GTGGTTTATAAAGGCCAGGGTGTTTAATAAAATGCACTTTTATCACATTAAAGCTAGAAGAAAAAAGAATTTACATAAAACTCAGACAAGGTCAGGGAGGAACGAGCTTCTTAATTTAGTCTAATCAACTGTCATTTGCATCGCGCCATTTGCGCAAGGTATTGCCACTAACTGAATAAATGGACTTCTTCAGACTCAAGGGGGGGCACTCCGCTTTTGATAAGCTGGCAACATAACTGATTTGCATATATTACTTTGATTATCTCATTACTAGGATGATTCTTGCGGAATTTTTGACACTCGCGCAATCGAATTAAAATTAAGGCACGCAATCAATAAAAGGGCAACGCGGCTGTGAAAACACACGGCACCCCAGGTTTGTATGGTCAACTAGCGGCGATGATGACGACGGTTATGATGATGATGATGATGATGTGTCAGATGATGATGATGATGATGACCTCTTCAGCTCGCGAGCTCCCGGAATCCGTGGTAGGTTTCACGAGAGTCTCTGGCTCTTGATTCCTGTGATCAAAGCAGTAATCAGTGGAGACAATGGGGGCCGTGAAATTGCCGCTCTTGGTGTGGGTGACCTCTCCACCTGCCATGAATCCGAGAGTGGACCGCAGGCGGCTCATGCTCTCGCAATCGATAATAGGGCTCGCATCTTTCCTCTGACTCTACCCATCTGTGGAATGATGAAATCATGCGTAAAGACGCGCGCGCCAAGGATAATTTTGCGATGCAGTGGCCGCAATAACCTAGCATGTTGTTGGAAACAAGTACAGACATGAGTGCTCCAATGTATGATCATCTGACACCCAAGCCCCCAACTTACTCTTATGATTGATAGAAATATCATATTTGGTTTGATCTCAGTTTGGTTCACATTCAACTTAGAACCTGCGCGTCTTGTTTCTTCCTTTTTTGCGCAACACAGCGTTAGAAAAGCGCTTCATTTGTTGCCACACACTATTTTTTTTTTGATAGATGAAGATTTGGAAACTCCTTCCCCCCTCTCTTAAAAGACTCTCACCCATCTGCACACGTCCACGTTTTAAATTCATGATGTAAATAATTACAGGCCTCGAAATTGATTTCTCTTACGACCTTCTCCACCAAACGAGGCATCCAAAAGAACCCCCCCTCCCCAAAAAGAAATCTCCTTCTGTTGAAGCATTAAGTCATTAATTATTTTCCTTACATAAGGACAAATTATCGAGTCAGTTGAACGAAATTAGAACCCTTTGTTTCTGATCAGACCGCATTACCGCTGCAAATTACGGCTGATGGCTGCGTGCGCGCTCGCCTTTGTTGTTTCGATCATCGCCTGTCGCTCTGAACCCGCGCTAACAAAGTCATTAAATTGACTCCCTCTCGCTCTCATTATGCGGGCTGTTAATAACCGCTAATTAACTTTGCTTACGCGCGCCTTAAAAGCCTCCCACCCCTTGCAACACACACACACTCTCTCTCCCTCTATCTTCCTTCCTCACTTGTTTCCTCCTTTTCCTGCACGGCCTCTTAGGGAGAGCAAGTGTCCAATTATGTCAGGGCGCGTGGATGGATGGAGGATGGAGGACGTGAGCTTGTAACCAAGGCCACGAGCCGCTTAATGCATGCTTGTGACTACTCATTGCACATGTTACATTAGGGGGGAAACAGAAATTTAAGGCGAAATGTGCCTGAATGCGCAAAAATATTTACATTAAACCTGCAAATGAGTCAACAAATTCGACAGGCCGTGCGTATGAATGTGCCCTCAGTCATATGAACAGGTTTTACCTATTGGAGCAGTTTCCCATTTCGTCCAGCAGATGGCGCCAGTTGAATGACCCTCAACGAAGAGTACAGTCTGCTGCTCCAAATGATGGGCTCCAGCTGGATGACTTTTCTGGCCTTTCCTGGAAAGGCCGATGTATGGGCTGCAAATGCATCAGACAATCTGGACTGAGAGAAACCTAAAGATGGCAGATTACGCATACTTTTAAGGCAGAACCATTCTTTTAATTGGGATACGTATAAAGTGAAAGTAGATGCGCGTAACTGCAAAATACCAGCGTTTTTGGGTCTCACTCTCCAGCCGGTTGTGAGCTGGAAACGCACGAACTGCTTCCAACCTGGTGTTCCCCCTGGATATCATCAACCATGGATGTTATGCAAATACAGAGTAGGCGGTGTAGAGGTTGAGCAGAAACAGGAAGGCGGCCTCTCTCCGCCATCTCTTCACCTGCACGTCAAACAGACGGAAAATTGAAAATGTGAAAATTGCGCTGTGACTATTCCGCCTCCCCAACCACCCCCCTCCTCTAATGTATGCGCGTAATTAGTGCATTTAAACAAAGCGCGGATGTCCTGCTGGCTGAAATGGCGGCTGACATCTCTTTTACCACAGGGTTAATAACAGTGTGCGGATAAATGAATCAAATTGTGGCCCCAAAATTACAGAGCGACTCTAAATACCCGTCTGTATTACGCACGTCTGTTTGTGACCGCGCAGGAAAAGGCAGAACATTTTATATTGTTATTACGCTCATTACATTGATTTGCGTGCAAATAAACAAGCGCGGAAGTTTGTGACACCGAGGAAAGTTGCGGATGGATTAAATCTGACACCAACAGCCCGCCCATACTAATGTTAGAGCATGTTTTATGGAGACAGAGGACAAACACATGGTGCAGGTAGCTACATGTGGATTAAAACAATATAACAAAGAGAGAAACTAGAAATGTAAAACCATCCAAGACTGCGTAAAACCATCCAAGACTGCGTAAAACCTCGAGTGCTCCTTCTGCAGAAATACATAGTGTGTCTTTGGTTATTTTTTTTGTTGGACTGTTCGATTGAAAGGAGGAAAAAAAAAGCTGGAAACAGAGGTAAATCTATAAGCGGCCTGCTCCTTAACTAAACAAATCAATGGCGCTCTTAATCCAGCTCCAATCATAACAAGGTCATAAAGCTATATATCGTGAAAATAGAGAAAAGAAGGAAAATAAGTTGTGCAATTTTCTGGACTTATATATTTATTGTTATTTCACGTTCACTGCTATGCTCCAGTCCGGGCAGATACATAACGGGGGTGGGGGGGAGGAGAGGGGGGCAGAGAGAGAGGGAGAGAGCTGGAGGGGAGGGGGGGAAGGAGAGAGTAAATTGCAGCTTGCTGAAGTTTTTGGATTGAATTCTGAAAATGATCCTTTTAACAGTGATGGGCTCTGAGGCGAGGATAAGGGTCATGCCATTCACAGCGGGTTAAATAGACTTTCATTTAAAATTACATTCTCGATCCATCTCTCCGTCTCTACCCCCCCACACCCCCTCTCCACGCAGGAGTCCCCCCGCGTGCCATCCACCGGCTCCCCCGCGCAGCCGTCTCATCACCGGCGCGCCACCCGTACTTTTTTAAGTGTATGTGCAACTTCAACACAGATAGATAGATAGATAGATAGATAGATAGATAGATAGATAGATAGATAGATAGATAGATTATCTATATACAATATTTTTAATATTTTTTGTAATAATAGATACAATATTGTTTTTTAAAAAAAACTGAAAAACAGTTTATGGAAAAAAAAAAATGAAGAGTTGATGTTTCTGTATGACTCAGTCCCTGACATGGCTCTCACCACAGCTGCTGTGTTTTGGGTTGAACAGAAACTCCGTGCCAGAATTTCTTTGAAACTTGGCGTCCAGACTCCAGGCCTGTAAAATAAAAGGGATTTCACTTTTTCAAAAACATTTTTATAATGCTTGTTTTTGGACAAAATCGACCCTAAAACTAACTAACTAACTAACTAAAAGAGCCTTTTCTTTTCTTACATATATATATTTTTTTATTTGACTTTTTTTTTTTTTTTACTGCAGTTACAATATTTGGGTTACTGACATTTTTTTAATTATTCCAAATAATACCGAACAGATCCACTACAAGAACTGCCTATGTAATTTATTTGCTTTTATTTTACTATTGACACTACTATCATTATTATCACCATAATACATTAATTTATTATACTAGTACCACAAAGCTTACACTACACTATATTTATTTGCATTATTATTAGTAGCACTATTTATAAGGCCAGTATTATCATGTATAGTTATATAATCTCAGTTTTTTTAAAAAAACATTCATATACCATAAAATCAGGGGAAAAAAAGTCATGAAAGTGAATGAATACCATGTAAAAAACTAAGGAATTATAATGTTGGTGTGCATAATAATAGGACAGGCCTTTTTGACCGCAGACACTCTGACTTCTTAAGGTTAAAAAGCAACATAAAAAATACAACATCTACCAATAGTAACAGCCCTATTTAATGTACCCAGGTCCGGTTAGTAGGCCTTACTGGGCAGTCTTTGGACATAACAGACATGGCCTTGAAAGTCAGACTTAATTCATTGTATTTCACATTTAAGTGAGCTATTTGTCTTAAAGAAACCCTGTTGTTTTCTTCTGTTCAATAGTAACTGTGCTGGTTATGTCATGATTTAGACATTAATACAATAAAACACAACTGTGCTTGTTGCAACCAGTCCAAATGTCCAAATAATGACCTTTAATGCTTTGCTGATGATTTTTGCTCGTTCAACTCAAACATACAATAATGTTTAAAGTTAAAAAATGGCCTTAAAAAGTCAAGTTATAAGTGTAAATTAAACCAGAAGCAATCCAGTAAAAAAGGTGCTTTGCTTTTTTATCAACAGAGTTCGTTCCACCGAGGGAAAAACGAAGTCCATGTCAGGTTTTGTTACCTTTCCCTCAAATTAACTTTAATCGTCAAAATATATAAAGCTGCTCCGCACTGTCTCTCTCCCCACATACACACATACGAGCCAATCAGGCGGCGCAATAACAGCCTACACGTATGCCGAGCGAGCGCGTGGAGCTGAGAAGCGCCTGGCAGACCGGGAGCGCAGCGCGAGGCAGTCAAACCGCTGCCTGTCATTAGCCGAGGGTGTAGTGTGACAGAGGAGTGAAAGGAGAGAGGGAGAGAGAGGAGGAGGAAGAGGAGGAGGAGGAGGAGAGCAGCAGCGGTCACAACCGGCCTGAAGGGAGAGACGGAGAAAGAAGAAGGAGAAGGAGAAGAAGAAGAGGAGCAGCACCGGACCGGAGAGAGAGTAAGAGAGAGAGAGAGTGGGAGAGAGTGGGAGACTGACAGGCGTTTCTGAAAACTCAACGAACCAAGGCGTCGAGATGAGCGGCCAGTTTGAGGAAGATATCCACGACCGGGCCGAGAGGAAGAGCAGTAAATCCCCGACGCTGCTCTCTTCTTACTGCATAGACAGCATACTTGGACGCCGGAGCCCCTGCAAGGTCCGGCTGATAGGGGCGCAAAGTTTGACGGGTCTGCCCGGCAGAGGGGAGGCGGACAAGACGGCTGACAGTAAGTTTCCTATGAAGGGAGAATAAACACCAGGTGTGATTTTGTGCTTGTGGAAGGAAAAATATCTCAAATTTAGTCACTGTGAAAGTCTTGTAGCCAACAAAATGATGTGGTTACTCCACTTAAAGCTGGCCCAGTCTATGTTTTACAAAGTTAACAGGTAGACTAGTGTATATAAAGCCTAAAAACATGTTTTATTGTATTGAACTTTGTGATTCTTTATTTTTATTTTGACATTTTTGCCATCCTTCCTCCACAGGGCCACTCAAAGACCCCCTCTCCCTCAGCGCCGACATGCACCTGCCACCAAAGCTCCGCCGGCTTTATGGACCCGGCGGTAAATACCTCCACGAACACGCAGAGACTCTGGACAGGGAGCGGCTCCTCCTGGAACAAGCCAGCGAGAGCCTGAAAATCAGCCAGGCGCCACAGGTGAGCATCAGCCGCAGCAAGTCCTACCGGGAGAACGCGTCACTGAGCCGGGGAGAGGGCGACCAGAGCCCCGGGGAGGGCTCGGAAGACGGCAGCCTGGGGCTGATGGAGCTCGGCCCGCTCAAGTTCGAGGAGGACGCGGGGAAAGAGGAAGGGTGCGGGGACACGGCCGCTCTGTCCCCGAAGGACGAGGAGAGGGAGAGCTTGAACGCCGGGGATGGGGACGTGAGGGACGGGGAGGACAGCGTGTGTCTGTCGGCGGGCAGTGACTCAGAGGAGGGTATGCTGAAACGGAAGCAGAGAAGATACAGGACTACATTCACCAGTTACCAACTGGAGGAGCTGGAGAGAGCTTTCCAGAAAACACACTACCCCGACGTCTTTACCAGGTATGAACGCAAATACAAATATTAGATTTCTGCAGTAAATTATTTTTATTTCATGTATTTTTTATCTTGCATGAGGCCCACATTATACTTACCTTTAATTATAATTAATCTATTTAATTTGGTTACTTACCCTTTAATTAGAATAATTCTACAAATTTAATTTTATATGCAAAAATAAAAACAGGACTCTTAGCTGATCAAACTACTTTTTTATAGCATGACACTTGTCTTATAATAATATTTTTTGCATTTTTATCAGATACTGTAAAGAAAATTCACCAATACAACCTGCTGTCTGCTTAAAGGATATTTATTATTGATAATTGGTTACAATCTTTTAAAAATTTCCCAGAAACACTTTTAAGTAATTCCACACTTTTTTCCACACCTCATAAAATTCCCCAACACGAACGCAAAGCCGTGTCCTGCATTAGTCAACACAATAGGGTCTGAAAGTGCAAACAATGGAGACGTTTTGTTACCTGTATCCGCTGCACTTGATCCACAAGAGCGCGGAGGGGGAAAAATTAACCGCAAGCTAGATCAGGTTACATGTTGGACACAAAGAGAAAACAACCTTTTCCAGGCCTGACCTCAACCCCAAGGGCAGGTGTAAAATACGTGAAAAGAAAAGAAAAATATTGAGTTTGGAATACTTCAATTTAGATGTTTTCTTTCATTTTACGCACGAGGGTTTGGAGTTATTTTTTTTATCACAAATGTGTCTCTGGATTTTTTCAGCACCATTAAGATTATTCATATTTTCCAATCGATTTACCTTAAAGCGACTTGTAGGTCTAATTTCCACTGCAGGCCCATCTTGCAGTTGAAAGCAGCTTCAATTGCTTTGTGGCAGGCTAGTTTAGATGTCATTATTTCCCCCATTATGTTGTTACAGTGACAGGCCTGTGCTAAGAAAAAAAAATATCTAACAATCACTAGGGCCTATTTCTACCCATCTGTGACAGGGAAAATAGAATATGGCTATATGGCGTCTTTCTGCAGCACATGAAAAAAAATCAAGCCATTTTTGTCGTCTTTTGTTGACAGAGAACAACAGGAGGGGGCAAAACAACAATTCTGCCTCGCTTCCAAACGGTGGCCCTGTAACCTGAAATCTTTTCTTATTCGCTTTTATTTCTTATTCTTTTCAGAGAAGAGCTCGCGATGCGGCTGGATCTTACCGAGGCTCGAGTCCAAGTAAGTGCCTCTCTGTTTATCTAAGAGGGAGGGGGGGGGGGGGAAGGAGCTTGTAAATCAAATTTTTGGAAGAAAAGCAAGCATCTTTTAATGTTTTATGTGGTCTATAAAAAGTCCCTGCTGGATAATAACCGGTGATGCGCGTCACTGATTGAGGATCAACGATTACGGGCCAATCCGAGGCAGTAATTTATTACAGTCAAATGTGTTAAATGGCCTCGTGTGCCGCGCGGGGAAGGTCTTTCCTGTTATTGAATGTTATTACGCGCGGACGGGGGACGTTTTAGTGGCAATTAAGGCGAGGCTGGCGATTCATAAAAAGCTCACTTAGTGCCGGAGCAAACACTGTGTATGTTCCTGGTGATGAGATGGTGTTTGAATTCCCATCAGAGAGAGTGGGAGAGAGAGAGAGAGAGAGAGAGAGAGAGAGAGAGAGAGGGTGGGGGTGAGGAAGAGGTGTGTGTGCGTAAAAACATGTGAGGGATGAAGGGAGGGGAGAGCTAGAAAGAAAGAGGGGAGGGATAATGCTATTTGATTTCCCATTATGTGATTGCAATAGACCTGCATTGATCCGATGCTTTGCACTTGGGAGCGAATGAGAGACCATTAAAGGTGTTTGCCCCCCCTCTTCTCCTCCCCTCTCCCTCTTCTTTCTCTGCTCTGAAAGCGTGTCTTGCATGTCGAAAACCCGGCCTCATAACCAGAGAGACAGTTCAAACACGGTGGAAAGCTCCGCGAGGGTTATGGCCCACGGTAAAACAACAGATGTCCCCTTAAGGGGGCCGTAGGTGAACAAATCACTTAACGGGCGCCATCAGGGAGGTGATAAAAACTCATAAATTCCCGAGGGGCTGTGTAATGCTAAACAGCCCTCTGGGAATAATGTGTGTGTCGCTCAAGCTCTCCCTGTTCAATCACTTTCCTCATGTTGACATTTTGCTCATTGTGCGTCTGCAGAGCAAACTGGGCAGCAGAGGATGCGTGGGAAAGTTAAATACTCTCCCGGATTGAAGTCACTTGTTCTACATCTCTTAAGAATTTAATTTAAAGCGCATTAATTGTTATTGGAGCCAGTTCAGCGGTAATTTTCTACATCTTTTGTTAACACTGCTCTTAATTATCTCAACCCTGAAGCCCGTCCACGGGGACACGCAGGGTGGAGGTGGAGGAGTAGGGGGTGGAGGGGTGTTAATTAGGCAGAAAGTAGTTTTAAAGGACCGCGAGCGGCAGGGTTTACCTCTCGTGTAATTACCGCTGACTTTCCGCCTGTTGGCCACCACCTGAAGCAGACAACTCTCAGACTGCTCTGACACAACATTCCCAAAGTCTACTTACATTCATCACAATGAAACACACTGCAGTCCTAGAAGGGAAAGACTTTTATGTATTTTCACAAAGTTGTCATAAACTGAGCATCTCCTGACCAAGAGGAGGTGAAACATCAGATCATATCTCATCACTTTCATTCTCTTTCAGGTTTGGTTTCAGAACCGCAGAGCCAAGTGGAGAAAGCGAGAGAAGGCCGGGGTGCAGGCCCACCCATCGGGCCTCCCTTTCCCTGGCCCCCTGGCTGCGGGCCACCCTCTCAGCCACTACCTGGAGGGAGGGCCCTTCCCTCATCACCCCCACCCTGCTCTTGAGTCAGCCTGGACCGCCGCCGCAGCTGCAGCAGCTGCCTTTCCAGGTCTGGCCCCTCCACCACACAACGGCACAGCTCCACCTCTGGCCACACCACTAGGCCTGGGCACCTTTCTGGGTACAGCGGCCATGTTTCGCCACCCTGCCTTCATCGGACCCACCTTTGGCAGGTGAAATTCCCCCATACACTGAATCCCATTCTTGTGTTTTCTTTACACACATTCCACCTAACACCTGCAATTTCTACACCTGCATGAATTTATCCCTCTATTTTACACTAAATTACTACAATTTACCTTTGAGCACATGGATGGAAAAATGCCCAGCAGCAGCAAAGCTCATACTTCACTACAAACACATCATGCAACTCTAATAACTTTATGGCAACAACTGTTCATCTCAGCGCCGGATTATTAATATGACTCTGCATTCACTGTGGTGTGTTATCACTCTGTCAAATATCTTAACACATTAGGGGAATGTGTGACTCCGCAAGACAAGCTGTGAGGAGTGGCACTGCCCGCTCCATATGCCACAACCAGCCTCCATACGCTTTATCATGTGACATTAACCTCCTTAGCATGCAAGTAATGGCCTCAAACATAACTGAGACATTATAGAGATTGACAATCGTTTTCCTTTGTGAACAGGCAATAACAGAGTGATTGCTGCCAATGTGAAAAAAAAGAAAAATTTCTAAATTAAAAAGGAACTTTGTCTGTTTTTTTAGAGACAAATGTCGCTCATTTTTAAATCTCTTTCTCCTTTCAGGCTCTTCTCGAGTATGGGGCCCCTGACTAGTGCTTCCACCGCCGCAGCTCTTCTCCGTCAACCCGCCCCTCCTGTAGAGAACCCCTCCCATGCAGGACCCGTCCTCCCCGACCCTTCGACATCACCCTCCTCCTCTTCCTCAGCAGACCGCAGGGCCTCCAGCATCGCCGCACTGCGCCTCAAGGCCAAGGAACACTCGGCTCAGCTCACCCAGTTGAACATCCTGCCCGCCGGCGCCGCAGGGAAGGAGGTGTGCTGAACACTCAACACCAGCTGTAGGCCTCCCAGTCCCCCCCCCACCCCCCAACCGGACCGCGTCCCATTCCATGACACCCCTTCCCTTCCACTCGCTCCTCCTTCCAAAAACCCACTCATACCTCTGGAGGCTGATGTCCCTTTTCCCCCTTGTCCAACTGTCCCTCTTACCTCATGTTTCCCCAACAAAATAGCACGACCAAATTCATGAGAGCACTGGCTAAAAAAAAAAAAAACACATGTGTGTGTGTTAGTGTGTGTTTGTGTGTCTGAGAGCTTAAGCCCTTGTTAGACTATCATACACTTCATCATACACTTTACTTTTCTGGATTATAAACCGATAATTGACATATTTTTTGATTTATTTATCTCAAACTCAACATATTCAACAATCAGATTGGAATTACTTATTTATTTTATATATGCTTTTGCAATAATCACATTAAATGTTCATACTGACTTGACATACGACCTTCTAAACAAGTAATATGCTCAGTCCAGACGCGGGAAATGAAACAGTCAATTTCTCAAGAATAAATAGGATTCTTACACTAAAATAACACTATTTAATGTTATTTGTTCATCTACTTCACCACTCTTGATTTATCAGATTAGGCTATTTTCCTACTCATGATTCCAACCCAAGTTTACATGCACATTCATGCATTAGCTCATCTAATACAGGATTATCGTGTTGTTGTTTTTGTTGTTTGGGTCAAGGACATTTTTCTTTATTTTAAGGTAATAACATAATTTACAATGAGACTGAATTTAAAACTAGGACTTTGACTTGCAATGGTATGTTTCAGCACCTTTTATTTTAGCAAGGGCTCTATAGTTCAACACACAAAATCACACACACACACACACACACACAAAAGCAGAAGAACTGCAGGGGAACCCAGACTCTTGGAAAGGATTCTTCTGCTACTTCAAAATATGGACAACTCGAGTGCTCGACATTAACTCTGTTTAATCTGTATGCATTAGTGTGGGCTGAGCCGGTCTACTTCTGTAATAAAGGCGCGTTGGAGGAGGTCCCCGCAACAATCCCCCCGCCCCCCCTCCCGAGAACCAAAGGAAAAACTGTCCACAGACCTTCCATAGCCTTTTCCACAAGCTGGACTCCTCTGTATGCTCGCTACGTCCACCAGCCACACCCAGCAATGCCACTGTTTGCTCTGTGTGTTTTTAATCTGTGAATCAAACTAGAGTTTTGGAATAAGACTTCTGTACATTTGCTGCAATCTGAGACCCACCCTCTGACTTTTTTTTAATGTTTTTATTTAACAACAGTGGCATTACAGCTGAGTCTGACTCCTGAGACGTGCGAGCAGAGAAGGGATCTGAGCTGTGTCTCTCTTATGACCTGACTGTGTGAAAGAAATTTGTACATATGATGTATAAAGTAAAAAAAAAAAGAAAAAAAAATACAAGAAAAAGGATGATTTTGAAAATAAGTTCGTGTATATTTCAGGAGATCATTTGCACTCAGTGTAGTGTTTAATGAATGTCGCCCTGTGTAGACTTTCACCTGTGTTTATGAATTATTAGCTTTTTAGATGATAATTTATGTCAAAATTTCCCCCCTGGAGGAACTGAGTGAAGAAGTTTTTTTTTCTTATTAAGTGTTTGTAAGTTTCCTGGTTTAATAATGCTAATTTGAATAAATTACACTGGTTAAATGAGTTATTTTTTTTATTATTTGAAATTCCTTTAGGACTGACATAGGCCTAAACCAGGAAATAAAATAATGTGGAATAGAGTATTATTGAAATATTAATAAAAAGTGTTATGAGGAAATACTGTTTCTGTCTTACATTATAATTAATATGATAAAATTGTTATAAAAATGTTTTTAAGCCTAAATTAGATTAATAGTCGCCTGGAATGGCAAATAAATATGACTTCATTCAAGGGAGGGATTTGTCGCAGCAGAGCGCATGAATAGCGGCGCAAAGTATTAATGCGTAATCCTGCGCGCTGCGTGCGTCTATCCTCTTCAGCGCAGTTGACAAAATACTGACCATATATTCATGAGCTTAATCCCCAACATGTGAAGCGCGCGACAAAGGCGAGGGGTTTTCAATTAGGTCGCCCACTTTATCCGGGGGGAGTCCGTCACAAAACTTCCTTTAAGACCCTTTAAAGGCGCTAAATTGGTCTTAACATCTGTAATGCCATGTCGATGGAAGCGAGTCCCCTTTGTCATTAATGAAGTAACAAACCACTTCATCAAACGGCTTTCACACACTGACACACACACACACGCATCCTAGAGAGTTAGACCCCCCCTTCTGCATTGGATCCAGAACTATTACAGCAATCAATGCTCATTCTCCTCTGTGTGACCCAGCTATGGTGCCCGACCAAATCGCGTGAAATTACCCTGCGGATTAAAGTAGTCCCACTTCTTTTTCTTTCTTTTTTTTTTTTTACATTATTGTCTGCATCTGCACAATCCTCTTCTTCCTTGTTCCTCTTGTGTTGTAGGTCTCGCGAGGTCTTCCACCTGTTAATCACTCAATTTAGTCCAAACAAGCAGGAATTAGACCCAGCTAAGAGATGGATGAAGAGATTTTTTTCCCCCTGCGCATTAATTTATCCAAACACGCACAAAGTCACCCACAGCTGCACTTTGGAGCGTAATGCAAGGCAAAAAAAAAGATAAAAAGCAATTTTCTCTTGTACAGCTTCCATCATCCACAATGTGTGATGTTTTATAAAATTCCTTTTCTTTTGCTCAGGCGCATTGGAGCGTATTTTTTTCTTCTGCGTGGCCCTACGGGGGTTTGATGACATTGTCCGGGAAGGTTTTAATCTTATTGTGAATATAACTAATGAATGGCAAACCAATTTGTCCCTAATATCTGGGGAATGCTGGGAGGCGGGTGACCTGCTGGGCCCGAGGCTTAAACTTTTCTTTGCAGCGTAAAAAGGCGAGAAAATTGAAATGCTGTGGCAGGGGCATAGCTGTGGATTCATAAAGTCACACTTGTTGGATGTGTGGTCTCTCATTTGAGACAGGCCTGTATGTGGGGTTAAGCTTTTTGCTGCATGAATGGTCATAATAATGGATGTTTAATGTAAAGAGAAAATAATAAATTCAGCCCTGTATGTTTTTTTTTTCTTGCACATGGCAACAGGGAAAAAAATGACATTATTTGGAGATTGTATCAATGCGCGAGGCCTTCATGCCTCAGCCCCCCTCTCTTCCAGGTTAACCCAGGTGTCCAGAAAATGTCCTCCCACTGACTTGTGCCCATTTTCATCATCGCCATCCCCTCCCTTTTTCCTCCACCTCCTCCACCTCCTCCTCCCTCGAGCTGCCGGACTTGATTTGGCTCTGTGATTTGGATTCTCCCGGACCTCGTTTCTCCCACCGCGTCCGCGCACCGAGAGAGAATAGACCCAATCACTCCACAGTCTCAGCCGGATCAGTCCCTCACTCAGTCCCCGGGAGAGGCGCTCTAAAAGGCGCTTTGATGAACAGCCTAACACCCTCCTCACTCTCTCCCTCTCTCTCTCCCTTTTCCTCCCCCCCTCGGGCGGAGAACCGGCCCCGATGAAAGACCTGAATAGCCGGGCCATGGCACTCCGCTCCCCTCTCGGATCGCCCCTTAATTCCCCGTCTCTCTTGCTCTCATCCAATTAGCTCAGTGTATTAAGCGGTTTATCGTCTCATAACCGCCCTTTCAGCTCCAACAAGGGAGACACTTTGCAATAGGACCAGCTCTCCTTTTGACACCCTCTCTGCTGCTTGTATGTTCCTCCGCGCCATGAATAACAGGGACAGAATAGGGGACTAATTCCCTCATCAAAGACTACCTTGTCCATCGCTGGTCAAAACGACAAGCAATAAAGCTTAACACGACAATACAAAGAGACTTGTTCGACCTTATTAGCTTAGCAGGGTCGAATTAATGCAGGGGGACTCAAATTGACTGGGTTGAGTCCAAACTGGGAGGACAAAATGGGGCCCTCACTTGAAAAAGCTGCAGCCTGGTTTAGTGGGAAAAGCAGGGCCTGCATGTGCTGATTAAATCCAAAGCAAAAAGAAAAAAAAAAGAGCTTGATGTGGGAGAAGAAGTGGAGCTGATATGATTTAATAAATATGTAAAGTTATGAGCAATAGGCTGTAAATGCAGCCAGACACTTTCTCACACACACAGCATGTTCTATCCATTGCATAGTGAATCATGGTTTAAGTGTTCAGCCCACTTAAGGTTGCCTTCACAAGTCACAGTGGTTTGAAGTGATTTGTGAGGCGTGCAGTGTTTATGGAAATGCACGCGGCAGGATGGAGTAAAAAAAAAAAAAAAAATCCTTCCCTGTATTAACACAAAAGAAGAATTCTCAGAGGGAAATAGTGAAACACTTCATGGAGGGAGTTACAGACTGAACTTTAACTACAGCAGAGGAAAAATACAGTGTTTAGGGAACTATATGAAAAAAAAACAACGCATGAGACCATGTTACATATCACATTTTACTAGTCTATGAAGGTATCTTGAAATTGTTTGTATCAGGACAATAAATTACAGTCTGCGTCTTTCAAATATTGAGGCCAAAAGCTGAGTCTGAATTCCAATGAGACCTGATGGTGTCCATCAGTTTTTACATTTGCACAAAATGTACTTTATCATAACAGCACAGCACATTATGTGCATGAGAAGAGGATCTGCAATGTTGTTAAGCACTACAATAAAGCAAGTTGACTTTAAAGTTGAATCTGAGGTGCAACGTTAAGATAAAACTGGTGTTATTTCAGATTTTGTATGTTTTTTTTTAATGCCACCGATGGACTAAAATGAGAATTTTTGGTCCAATTTGTAACAATTAGTGTCTCTTAAATGGAAGCTAAGGCTACGTTCACACTGCAGGTTATGATGCACAATTTGGAATTTTTGTTAAATCCGATCTTTTTGTGTGGTCGTTCACGGGACCTTGAAATTATTTGTATCAGGGCATTAAATTGAAGTCTGCGTCCTCAAATATTGGGGCCAAAAGCAGAGTCTGAATTTCAATATGTGACATCATCATAACAACACCACAGTATATTATGTGTATGAGAAGAGGATCTACAACGTTGTTGACCATGACAATTAAGCAAGTTGACTGTAAAGTTGAATCTGAGGTGCAACGTTAAGATAAAACTGGTGTTATTCCAGATTTTTTATGTTTTCTTTTTTTAATGCCACCGATAGACTAAAATGAGAATTTTTGGCCGAAGCTAAGTCTATGTTCACACTGCAGGTTATGACGCACAATTTGGATTTTTCGTTGAATCCGATCTTTTTGTGCGGTCGTTCACATTACAAAAACGAATGCTGCATCTAATGTGAACGGAATGTGTCCGTGAAGTGACTCACATGCGCACAAAGCACAAATTGCTTTCTGCGCCTGTTTGTGTTGTCGAACAATGGTGACGTTTGTAGCATATTGATGACGTATAGGTCGGATGAACGCGACCTGAGCGTCCACAGTGCAGTCACATTGGATACATATCTGATTTATATCCACATACAAAAGAGGCCTGGGTCGGATTTGAAAAAATCAGAATTGCACGGTTCACACTTAGATGAAAAAATCAGAAATGTGTCACATATGGTTAAAAAAATCGGAATTGACCTGCAGTGTGTGAACATATCCTAATAATCACAGTTAGGGGGGGAAAGAGTGACCGGCCCATCATCAAAGTGATCCAGCCGTGATCTATCACCATGACTCGTGGATGTCAATTACAATGGCGCGCTCTCAGGATTCTGCTGTTATCATTTTGATGGGAAAATCAAACAGTAATTATGTTTGGGTTATTTAGTTTGATGGGAGTAAATGCAACACATTCCTTGGGACTACTTTCAGCTGTGGAATTGGAAACCTTCGTGTAGGAGTGAGACGGTGCGATCAGTCCAGGTTCATGGCAATGTGAGAGGCCGGGTGAATAAAACACGAAGTTTCAGCTTCACTGGTGACTTTTGTTGGTTGGACTTTTGTTGCAGGCTTACTCTGGATGAAGATCAGATCATCACCAGTTCTAACTTTTGATTAATAGTGTTTAAATAAATTTGAAGGACACTTGATTAACATTTGAGGTCCTAAGTTTGACCTTTGTTGGGAACTATTTAATGCACTTGATAAAGCAGCAAGTTAACAGCAGAACAATGTTCAGTTTTATGGTGGTTTATGAACATGTTGGTCACTCAGCAGAAAAATGTGGCTCATCTGAGTGTTTGGAAATATAACTTAACTGTGCTTATGAAACTTTTAGGGGTTTCAGCTTTAAAGAGACCACAACAGTTGGATAAGTTTAATTTTGGCGCTTGAGTTTTAAAGGATTTATTGAGATTTGGGGAGCAAGCATTTATAAAGAAGATGAATAAATCTTTTAGATTTTATTTTTGGACTTTAAACGCCTCATTCAGATGGGTATGATCGTGGACACTAGAGGAAGCAGCAGGGGATGACATGCAGCAAACAACCACAGACTGGAATTGAACCCAGGCCGCCTGCTTTGAGGACTTCAGCTTCGATACACGGGGTGTCCGACTTAACTGCTAAGCCAAACTGGCGCCCCACGCATTTTAAATATTTGATCAAATATAACCATAAGTACTCAAGCTATGTTTGTTTGGGATTATTGTGGAATAAAACTAACACACCTTATTTCTGGGATTACAATAGGACAATGATTGAGGGTTCAAGATAATATGAGAGCAAGTGATGGGTCTGCTTTTGAATAAGAATAACAAATATGGACGTCAATGACGCGTTTAATAAAACTGCATCATCCATTTATTTTTACTAACTTCACTTTTAGGCCATTTTGGTTGTTTTAACAAACATGGCCTAAAAGGGAAAGATTACGCTCAAAGAAATCCATTCATCCATCCATCATTCACCCCCACGCACTCGCCGAATAAAACAATACTCACAGTTTTTCCATTAAAGTTTTTATTAAGATTTCAAACCGATTCTCGTCAATATGAAAACACCCAATACAAAATATTCATGTCATTACAAAAAATTATTACATAAACCAACCTGAGCGACAGACACACAGACAGTGACAGGGGTTAAAGAGTCTGCAGTGGAGGGAGGGATGGAGGGAGGGAGGGAGTGAAAGGGCTGAAATGACATCAGTTAAACAGAGGCGGTGGAGGAGAAGAAGATCAGCTGTTCAATACGGAGACAAAAGGGCGAGGGAGCTGATCGTGTGGCCTTCCTCGCCCTGCATCCTCCTCTTCTCCTTTCCTTTCATCCTCTGATCTCTCACACACACAGGCGCACACACTCAGGATGAATGGTGGTAATCAGAACAAGTGTCCGATCACTGCGGGGAATCCAGCGGTCGTAGCGGCCCGGGTCACTATCATTGGCTAATTAGTGGCTTTTTGGAGTTTACTGGCTGCTCTGAGGATAAGTCATTTTCTCTCTCTCTCTCTCACACACACATACACACATCTGGGCACAGAAAGCCTCCACACACACAATAGGCTGTCATTTAGGTATGATTGCTACCCCCCCCCCCCCCCCCTCTTTTTCCATACAGAGTCAGGGTGAAGGGGTCATGTCACAAGTGTGTGTGAGTGCACACCAGTGTCTATACGGAGTAAATGGAGGAGGGTGAAAGGGTGTGATTGGGGTTTAAGTCATGTAAGGAGCCCATTAGGTTCAGAGAAGATGATATGAAGGTTCACGGATCAATAACAAGGAAAACCGGTGTGTTCTCGTGTGCAAATTTCCTGTCGTGAGTCAGATGTCGAAGTCTTTCAAGCTGTGTCGTCTTTGCAGAAGTGTGTGTGTTGTTTTACTTGAGGGAGGTGAAGGCCTGGAAGAGTTTGGCCAGGTTGATCTCCGAGTAGCCGCTGGTGGCCAAAGCCTTGTCGGGCACTTCCTTCAGCCTTCGGTACACATCTTTTTCTCTTTTGAACAGCTTTTCTACCTTCGCTGGAGGAGACAGAAGGAAAGAAAGCGACAATCATGAATACGGGAGCTCAGTTTACGCTGATTGAGTTCCTTAAACACAATAAAGTCAAGGCTTTGATTCACGGGTTTCAGCTTTTTACCGGTTTCTAACTTTTTCTATTTTCCAACAGTCTTCATCAGCTTTGAGGCTTCATGTAGAAAATGTTCAATATGAAAAAGTGACGTTGAGCTATCTCTCTTCTATACATTTGACTAAATTCTGTTGAGTCCTACAGGATAAAAAGGAGAAGCTCCACCATAAACCACTCCAACACAGAGAGAGCTAACAGATCCAATGCTATCTGCCTGTAATGCTATCAGTGTGAGGGGCTGATCACAGAAACGGTCCAAAGGGTTGAAGGCAGTATTCACACAAACACACACAGACACAGACACAGACAGTCAGAGAGTATCATGAGATCGATATGAAAGCCCAATGAGAGCATGAAGTCAATATCTGGTCCCTGTTATCCCTTCAGGTGGGCCGTAATGAGGCCACAGAGACGACTGAGAGCTGCTCTCCTGGGCAGGGCGCACACCAAAACCAAATCTTTACAGTATTATTCTGAGCATCAAGTGTAGATGAAGTATCATGAAACCAAGCAATAATAACACACTATCAAGGAAGAGAGCAGCAAGCTGTATCAGGAATAATAGTGTGATGACTGGATGAGAGGTCTTTGGGTGAAGAAGTGAGAAAATGAGACAAAGTTTGGATTCACCTGCAGTCGATGTTTTTCTGCAGCGCTGATGCAGCCGCGCGCACATTTATCAGGAATTAAATGTTTCTGACTGTTTTGATTTACAACATATTACTCATAGACCTTCATCAGGAGAAAATCATGCGGGTAAACAACAGGATACATAGTAAACAGACCCTTAAAGAGCAGCAGTACACACATTGACACAAACAGAAAACGAGGTGCAATCATAAAAAACAACTTCAATGAGGTTAAAGGGGGATATGAACAAATCACAGGATTTTGCTCCAGGTTCTGTTGACGTAAACAGAGTATTATTTACCAGTGAGCTAAAGTTCAAGGACCACACATCTTGATTTACACGAGGGTTTCATTCATTTATAGCTGCAGTGTTCCTGCTGAAGTTCAACGATGTCAAAAGCAAAAACAGACAATAATAACGATTGAAGCAAATCTACAAGCTCAATAAAATACTGTAAACTCTCATTAAGAGCTGATACTCCTACTTTAATGATGACTAACTAATCATAAACACTCTGTACTCTGAGGGTCTGGATTTTTAGTACATGTAGAGTTCGGGTAACTGTTTGTAATACTGACCAATCATCTGTCACATTAATTGCAAAATCAGGTTTAAGATGCTAAGACTGGATGATAGCTGGATGCAGTGTCTGTGACCTCACCTGTTTGTTTCTGAAGCAGAGTTTTGAGGCCAGAGGTCGGCATATTGGTAATGCTGACTCAACTTCAATTTTGGTCAACCAAACAGACGTGAGTCTTTAGCTTCCTCGCAAATAGCCTGTCAGTGAAGTCAGCTGTTTTTTTAACCTTTATTTAACCAGGTAAGAAAACCCACTGAGATCGAGATCTTTTTTAAAATGGTGTCCTGGCCAAGAGGTCAGCAGCTCACGTCACTATAGTAATAAAAATGATAAAGAAGAAGAAATGACCTCCAGAAACATAATTAAAAACACAGGCACTGTTCCATGGTCTCCCAAAGTCTGTCATGTAAGATTAAACGAAATGCTTCCAGCCAAATTAATTCTGACAATTTCAGGTCAGTCTGGAGAGTATTCCACGCTAAAATGGCAGCAAAACTGAACACTTTTTTTGTCCAGTTCAGTCCTGGCTCGCGGAACAATCAAATGGACAGTATGGTTGTCTCTAATTCGCCAAATTTTCAGCCATAATTATGAGTTAAATGCATGAAAACTGTTTCTTTTGTCATGGATACAGTAGCTGAAGCAAGTCAAAGAGTAAGATCTGGAAAACTCACCATTTACAGTGAAACTGAGACCTACTTGCAGCAGAAGAACAGACACAACACAGACAAATAATAGAGCAAATTCGGATGCATGGAAAGAAAGTCTTGTCTGGATGTGGTATGAAGCTGACTGCTTGCTTTAAGTTGACATATATTCCCAGCGGTATATCTACTGCACAGCGTCAACAGATGAGGACTGACAACAGAGATTGTTAACCTGACATGCCATAGGATAGTTTTCACATCCAGCCCTGCAGCATCCGAGAGACGGCGTTTGAGGAGGGCAGAACCTTTCAAAACAAACTAAAAAACCTCAGAAGGTGATTGGATAAAAATCTGTCCATCACACATTCAGTCTGAGCCAATCAGAGCAGCAGTAGGTATGATATGTTACCTGTTGGCTTCAACTTTATTTCAGTCCTAAGAAATCACGCCTCTGAGAGCGTACTTTACCAGTTTCTGATAAAACCGCCACTATAGCTGCTATCAGGCTAATCATGGGCTGTCACAGTTTACAGCCTCGCCACATCTAACGAAAACACGCCTGTAGCTGCCGACTCTTTCTCCTCAAATGATATTGATTGGTTGGATCATTCTCTAATCGGGCTCAGCAAGACAGATCTGCCTAATGAGAGATATGGAATTCAGCCAATCCATCTGCTTTTCGCGAGGTTGTGAGAACTGCGCGGAAGCCAAAAGATATTCAATTTACAATAATATCAAAAAGAGAAAAAGCAGATTAACAATTAGCAAATGTTCCTCGTCTTTGTTTTTGATCAATTTGCACAGAAACGGGATATAAATGGTTAGAGTAAGAATAGTTTTTGGCTACAAATAAATCGATTAAATTATGATAAATAAGAGGGACCAGCTTGTAAATGACACACACTCATGTACATGTACATGTGCACGCACACACACACACGGTCCATATGGTCGACCGTCATGTCTGCATCTCCACAACCATATCTCCTCTATTGTCCTTCCTGCTCGCTGCATTAGTGGCTGCTGGATAAATACCAGCCCACTGACTGCCCAAAGGAACAAAGGTTAGATACACAGAGATCCACAGTGCATGCACACACACACACAAACACACTAAAAGAACGTGCACGCAGACAATTGATGGTAGTTAAACACTTAAAAAGCGCACTAACTCAGAGTCATGGCGACTAAAAAGCATCCCTGTGTCAGTAATCAAATACACACACAGACACACACACACACACACAGTGGATGGTGTGGTTGACTTTAAAAGCCAGCAGCACCTATTAGCAGATAATCCCCACGTACGGGAGGACAGGGACGGAGGGAGAAAAGGGGTGAGGAGAGGCAGGGAGAGAGAAACTAGTCTATTTATTGGGGGAATAGAAGGGAGGGTGATGATGCATGATCAAGCGAAAGCAATCATGTCATCATTTCTGAAAGGTAGGAGAAAATAATTCTCCCCCCACCTCCTCCTCCCCTATCTCCTCTCAATCCCTCCTTCCTCACTCCCTTTCTCTTTTCCAGCTCAATCACTGTGTGGCGAACAGATAAAAGAATGATTTAAGAGTCACGGAGAGGAGGGGGGGGGAGAGAAAGAGGGAGAGACCTCGCTGCAAGTCGGAGCACAGTGGGGAGTGTAGTTCAAATAAATAGCCTCCCTTAAAGAGCGAATGTGAGGCGGGGAGGAGAGAAGGGGCTGCTGGGAAGGCTTAAGGAAAGGGAGCGAGAAAAGAAAAAGGGAACAAGTGGAAGAAAAGGAAAGAAAAATCATGCATGTATGGAAAGCTTTAGATCCTGGAGACTTCACCTGCTCGACATCATCTTTACCTTCCTCACACTCACACACACACACACACACACACATGGACTCACACTTTCACACCGAGTGTATCAGGGGTTATCTCTTCTCTAACTAGGTGTTGTCACACACTTGCGCACACTCTGGCGGTGCCGGGCACGAGTAGATCGGGGCTCTGCACGCTCTAACTAGGTGTAAATACAATAACAAGCCTGTAATTAAGTGAGCATGATGAAGTTAATGGAGATCGGCCATTCCGTCGGCCGCCTCCATGAATATTCTATTAGGCTGGTGGCGACGGGCAGCTGGAATAGCAGTTAATTTAATCACCACTCGGAGCACAGGGAAACTTCTTTGTGTGAGTGTAATTGCACAGAATGAATAATTGATTTGACAATCGCACCCGCGGATTTTTGCCACCCCGCTTTGTATCACCGGAGAAAGGGAGGGGAGAGTGGAGGAAGAAAAGAGAGAGTAAGAGAGAGAGGGAAGAAAATGCAGAGGAGAAAAAAAAAGAGAAGAGAGAGAGAGAGAGGAAGAGGAGTGGGAGGGGAGAAGAGGAGCGAACGCAGAGTGCTCAGAGGTGGCAGGGAAGCTGTCGGTAAATGGATCATTAGAAAAGCGCAGCTCAAGGACAATTTATATTTTATCAATGCGGCGAAATTACATTATTGCTCACACACGCAATCATGCTGCCCACACTCCAGATTGAGACCTGGAGGGGAGGAGAGATGGAGGGGTGGGGAGGCAACAGATAGAGAGAAGGAAGGAGGGGGGATGAAGGAGAGCAGGGAAGATGGAGAGAAGAAAAGTGACATGAAATGATTTGAAAGTCATTGATACGGGATGTTCCCGGCTAAGGAACGGACAGCATGTTTTTTTCATAGTGTGTGTGTGTGTATGTGTGTGTATCTGTGTGTGTGTGTGAATAATCTATTAGAGATCTCCTGCAGCGGATGAAATTACCTCCATGTTTTACTCAGTCGCAGCAATCAGGCACAAAAATGCAATGTACATGTAGATAAGACAGGGGTGTACTTGCAAATCTGCGTGCACGCACGCACACACTTAGACACACACACACACACAATCGTAGTGACACATTCAAGATGATCAAATTACATTCAGGCTCCAGTCAGAGCTCTTTTATGTAAGGCTATTTTACTTTATTGTGTGTTTTGTGCATATTCAGCACACATAGAAACACATGCATTTAGATTTTTTAAACAGCCTGGTCAGATAAATCTAGAAAACACGGCTTTAAAGGTTCTGTGAGGTTTTTCATTTTGTTTTATTTTATTTTATTGTTGGTCAAACCAACATAGTGTGGGTTCTGTTCAAAGCTCTCTAACTTCTAGCAAAATGATTGTATCAACACTAATGTTAACATGGCTTCTTCTAAGTTTTATTAAAAAAAAAAGTAAAAATTATAAAAAGGTGCATAAAAAACTTAAAACATTTGCAAACTTAAAAGAATAAATAAATAAAATTCAGAGTTTAGGTTGCACTTAAATTTTGTCATCTAAAAAGTGAGTGGTGCCCTGTACACCAGTGCAACCAATAAATCAGTATGGTATGCAGAGGGAGGTTTTCCATTGAGTGCTGGTATTTCACCCACAAGACTTGGAGAGGCAAACGGGAACATCAGTGTAGAAACCATGCTGAGAATGAGGCGAGGTGGACCAGTCTTACTGCTCCGCTTTATAAGGTTTTCCTCCCTCATGGGATTACTATCATGTATTAAAAGAAAAGACTGCTGGTTGAATTGAAAAGGACTGAGGGGGAATAGGGGGACTGAGGGGAATAAGGGAGCTGGTCCATCAGTGCCCATCAACACTGCTGTCAGCTAAGCTCCACAACTATAGAGGATTGTGAGAACAGGTGGCACCAGAAAGAGCTACACCTCTGCATGAAAACTGCACATTGTTGAACACAAGCAGAAACACAGATCGTGTCTTTTGTATCAGTGCGTTTTATATTCTAAATTTTGTGGTAATCGTTTTTGTAGGAAGCATCCATTTTTGCGAGGGGTGTGATGTTGGGCCAGAAAGCATCTACATTTTTTCTTCAGGTTCAGAGACTGTGGATTTTCATCTTTGATTTAATGTCAAAACATTATGCAAAACATTGTTTTAATGCATAATAACTGAGGTCTATGGCACAGAGGATTATATCTAACAGTAGGGGAGAGAATCACTAGTGGCCCCATGATACAATATTATCACGATACTTGGGCCACGAAACAATAATATTAACATTTTGCAATACAGTGAGTATTGCAATACCATATTTTGCAATTTGTACAATTATTTTGAACTGTTTTGCTAATTAAGCATTTGGCTTTCCTTTATGTTTGTCTTATTTACACAGTTTTTTATTTTCATGTAGCACATCTTACAAATCTTATATATATATATATTTGTTGTACTAACTTCCTCCTGCTCTATGATGTCACCTCTGCCAACCTCACTGGACAAACAGTTGATTTTATTTTTTCATTATCATAGATTTGACTTTATTTTAGCAATTAATCTGAAAAATATCAATACTTGGTAAATAAGACAATACGATATATAGCCAGACAAAATATCGCGATACTAAGCTTTATCGATTTTTTTCTCCCAGACTGTATTCACTTGTGTATTCTGATTGGTTTGCAAGGAAATACTCTGCTAAAATTTCTGTACTATAACCATAATCACCAAAATTCAATCTGAGCAGACTAATAAAGCAGGACATGGTTCCATATTCCTCTCTAATTCACTGGCATGTCTAACCAGCTCTGTAGTAGATGATCAATCTATTATGTCTAGTACAATGTAACGCACAGCAGCGTGAAGATGAGACAGCATACACACCCAAACTGCACTCTTAAATCTGTATAGGTACTCATGCTCACACTCCCACAGGGAAGAAAAAACACTTATCACACAAATAGACACAACAGAGTGGAGTAGAGTGTATAGGACTGTATGTCTCCTCCCTGTAATCTGAGTTGTGCGGCCCCTGGGTGTGTAATGCAGTAATATGGGGTATTACTGCCCCGGGACAGAGGGCTAACACCTTAAACCTACACTTTATCGCAGCATGGTAGTGTGTATACATGCATCCTCCTCCATGTGAGGAAACCAATGGCATGCATGTGTGTGTGTGTGTGTGTGTGTGTGTGTGTGTGTGTGTGTGTGTGTGTGTGTGTGTGTGAGAGAGAATGAGAGAGTGGGATATTAATAATTTTGTGTAAGTGCTCATTTGAAAGCGCTGCCAGACAAGATTAAGTATATTTTATTGTAATAACCTTTATCAACAACACATATGCAGATCCATACTGATCTGCCATAACCTGCTGGGTGGATAATTAAACTGCAGCAGCATCTTTTGCGTTATTTGTGAGAAGCAGATCCAGACTTTAGTCACTGGGGCATCGACTTTAGTCTGGTTTCATACTTTTGCATCTAATCTACAATTTCTGCATAGCATTAGCCAGCTCCAGCTAAGATAATTCCTGCAGATAACATGCTTGGGGCTGCCGTGCTTTCCTGTGCGGAGAATTTAGCACAAAAGTGAGCAGATCTATTAATCGTTTTTAGTTTCAGTTTACAAATTAAAAAGCAAAATGTGAAATTTCTTATCTGAACTCTTATAAGGACTTAAAAGGATTTACGCCAAAATTCACATTTCAAAGTACCAACAGAAAGAAATATCCCAAATTTAAACGCAAAGAAAGTTTTAATTAGCCTGTTGAAACACAATCAAAACAGCAGATGTTTTAAGTAAGCTCTACATCTGATAAGAAAAACAGCCATTAGTTTTAGAGGATTTGGCACACAGGGTGGCCAATCAGAGGACGGGCAATGCCACCCCTAACCAGCAGTCTGGGTCCACCCCTGGTTCAGATATCCTTATTTGGAAATTAGTAACTTTAAAAAGAAAACTTTGAAAAGACGGTTTGATGGACTGGCAGTGCACAGGATTGAGAAGTGTATTTAATGCGTGACTGATAGATGCAGCTATAAGTAAGTAAATATACAGTAGACTTAATAGTGTTTGTGTTTAAAGCCGACAATTTGGGTGTTTTTTTCCCATATACTCTGAGTAGGGCTGCTATACAATCTGATAGGAAAATGTGCTTTTGTAAGGCCACAGGAGAATTCAGAATCCCTATCTGATCACACAGCTAAGTGACCCTGGTATACTATGTCACAAATATTGTAGAATTCTGGTCTACAAGATCCTACAGGTTAGCTCTAAGCACTCAAACCGTGTCTGGTTTTGAAGTTGACAGACAGCACTTGCAAAATGTCAGGTTTCTGGTGGAAAAAAAAAGGAAAGAGACCTGGTGCCATTGGCCAACAAAACTGCTTTCAGTTACCACCAGGCAAAACACTGAGCTGCTTTCGGAGCGTGTGGCATATATTGTATACTGTACAACGTGCCCTCTCTATACACGGTAAACTGTAAGGATGCATTTCAAACACTTTCTTATCAGGTAAAGTATGTTTTGTATTGTTGAGTACAAAACAAGACTCAGGAAGAGAAAGCCAAGTGCAGATAAAAAAAACAGCACAGCACAGGAACATAAAGAAAGGCGGAGGGTTGAGAATTGATTGGCGATGATTTCTTGCATCTGGGCAAGGACAGAAATACAAGAAAGCAAAAATGGAGGCTATAATCATGTTAGTACTCCTTCTCTTCCTCCCCCCTCCTCTACACCGGTCCAATCCCTCTATTTGAGCTCCCTCCATCTTCTGAGTGGTCATCTGTTGATTACACGTTATATTTACCTCTGCTGTCTCACTCTTTGGCTGTCTCGCTCAGGTCCTGGCTGGCACACACACTCCCAGACATACATACATAAATAACGTACACACATAAATATTTAATCAAATAAATAAATCACTCGGCCTGGCGGCCCTTTCTAATCAAGTGACATCAATCAGGGAGAACTATGGGTAAAGAGGCCTTGTGGCTGACGCCTACTGAGCGCGCCCAGAGCGCTGGAGTAGCGTCTATTTGAGTCCAAGGGGGGAAATATACGCTCCATGTCCCATTATAGGAGAAGGGCTATCCTTTCGTCAGCGCGCCCATTACTCCCCCTATCATTTCCCCAAATCTAAAACCTGTTTTCAATCAACACAGCCAAACGAGTGCCTGTCCAAGAGAGGGAGAGAGAGAGAGAGGAAGGGGCGAGAGAGCAAAGGAGAGAAAGAGGTAGAGATGGACAGTGAGGGTTGGGGTAGAGGGAAAGCGATCGAGGGCTCTTTCCTTCTTTCTTCCAGTGATTGGAGCGTTTTGCATTCTGTATGTGTGTGTGATTGAATCCGTCTCCTAAATTAGGGCTGTCGACTCGAGGAGCTGAATGTCCTTAACCCCCCCTCCCAGCATCCAATGCCCATACTCTGCCGCATGTGTGTCTGCGCGCGCGTGTGGCGTCATTGGTGAATATTGTAAGTGCAGTCTGGGTAAAAGGTTTACGTTGAGCCATTGATTGCTAATGCTATGTTGTGTTTGTGTATTTATGGAAGCATTGTCAGGACATCAAAATTCAAACTTCAGAAGCCGTTTCCGGTAACTTGATTTCTGTTGCAAAAGGCGGCGCTGCAGAATAATGAGAGCAGCAAGAAAAAAAAAAAAGAAAAAAAAAAGAATAAAATATGATGAAATTTAAAAAGCAGGCCCTGGTTTCTGTTTGTGCAAAACTTTATAAAAGCATCCTGCAGCAAACAGAAAAAGGACTTTTGAAAGTTAGGTACAAGACTTTATACTATAGCGACACGCATGTGTGTTTTCCCGTGCGTGTGTGTGTCTTACTTCTCTCGTCAGGCTGCAGGACTTTGGCAAACGCGTGGTCCCAGTCGAAGATGAACCTGTAGAAGCAGAGCTGGTTGTACAGGGCCTTCTCGGAGTACTGGAGAGGAAACACAAACAGAACAAAGCAGATTAAAACAACGGGGCAAACATAATGAGACCAATGCAGAGTCAAAGGAAGGCTCACTAGAGACGGAAATGAACCAATATTGATGTTTGTGATGCGAATGGTTACCTCTAAAGTTACTGATTGGGCTTTAGACAATGTAGGGCATGGGTAAATAGAGTCTCGGCTGAAATGAAGACATTACTAGACCCCAAAAGTCAACCATCATTCCTAAAGTAACATATCGTGGTCAGATGAAAACCCAAGAGTACAGTGAACCAAGGAGTCTTTCCTCATCTTGTCCTTTACAGTGTCCTCTGATGAAAAGATCTCATTCTTCTGACGTTTTTTACACAATTATAATTGCCAATCTTGTCGCTGATGGTTTTGCTTGCTTTTGTGTTTCATAAAAAGACAATGCATTTTTCCTCCTTGTACGATAGTTTATAGAAACCATTGGGTCTCGGACTTTTTAGTGGGACCTTTGGAAGCTCTAATAGGCTTTTGTTTGATATTTCATAGACAGTTAATGGCCCAACAACTGAGGAAAACAGTCTGTACTTTACACAATATTGTATTTACTTAGTGAATGCTTAATACGGTAGTGATGTCTTTCAGCTATTATCAGCCAGATTAGATGTGTGTCACAATTTTAGTATCACCTTCAGCGACACAGACTGGTTACACCCCATCAGTAAAAATATCTGGTCACTACTTAATGGTATATTGAAAAACTACTGGCGCTGATTTCTATTATGTAAAATCATTTCTTGTTTATAATGCAACTTTTTTCAGTAAAGTTTGAATAAAACCTTTTGTATATGCGGTATATTTAATATACTGTGGTCTTGACTGCTTTTGTGTTTCATAAAAAGACATAAATATGAGTTTCAGTCTGACTGTAAATGTTGCAGTTTTACATTGGGTGGGTAAACATCAGTGCGGCCCTTTAATGCATATTTCCTCCTTGTATGATAGCTAATAGAAACCATTGGGTCTCAGACTTTTTAGTGGGACCTTTGGAAGCTCTAATAGGCTTTTGTTTGATATTTCATAGACAGTTAATGGCCTAACAGCTGAGGAAAACAATCTGTAATTGCATCCTGAAATGCCCAAACACTGTGATTAATACTTTTTCTTTTCAAATATGCTGTCACTCAGTTCAACAGAAACACAGTTTGTCACCACTTGTTGATCACAGTTATAAAAAAATCAACTCTGTGTGTATGTGAGCGCTCTCAGTTCAATCTATTATTAGTCTATCGGGGTAAAGGGCTCATCACAGAGCAATGAGGACTTTCAGAAGCGAGTAATGAACTTCTTTACCAGTCTGAGAAACAGGCAGACTGAACGTGACTCATACGCAACTGTACCAGAAAACATCTCCTTCCTCTGTGTGACACGGTAAAGCAAGAAAACAAATTTGCTTGCTTTGTTAATCTCCACTGCAATTAACTGGAGCCACACGACAGCCTGCCAGAGAGAGGGAGAGAGAGAGAGAGACGGAGGGGATGAGCAAGACAGAGAGGTAGGAGGGAAAGAGAGAAAAGAAAGACAGAGGAAGGGTAAAGACACAAAAAGAAGAGGGAGATAGAGAGAATTAGAGACGGCAAGGCAGAGAGAAGGAAAGAAAAGAAGGGATCAGGCCTGAAATACCCTCCCTCATAATAGTTTGTTGTGATAAGGCATTGTGAGAGAGGCATGCGAACAGCCGAGGCTGTCAATTTGATTAGCCATTATACTGCATGTTTAATTGCAGTTATTGGCTCGTCATTTCCCCGCTACGCTGGAGAGGGCACGCTAAGCCCCGACCCCACACTGCCATCAGGTGTGCGCCGAGTGCTTTATTATTACCACCAGGAAGAATCCCCTGACAACTCCTGTGTGCCGCTGTCTGTGTGTGCGTGTGTGCCGGGAGTGTGCGCACGCCCATTATACCTGCCAATCGCAATGTGCGTAATTGTAATTTCAGTTTTTACTGCTGTGGCATAATCAAGTGGCGAGAGTATCTAATGCAGCTAAATGCAAACTATGTGACGTGAGAATCTGTGTGTGTGTGTCTGTGTGTGTGTGTGTGTATACGTGTTTAATGGCTTTCTATGGCTGCCCACATGGCACTCACAGCTGTTGACCGTTGATGCACTGCCTAGTCAACAACCAAACCATGCACATCCCATAATGGAGCCTCGGTTACCGTTGCCAAGGTTGAACAAGCTCGGGCAGCACAAACAACACACGCTTTTCTCCCCCCTCTACAACATAAAACGCACGCATACACACACACACAAAAAAAGGTGCACAACGCACACATTCAAACAATGTAACGCTGATTGTAGGCGGGCCAGTCGCTGCGCCCTGATTGACTGACAGGTGTCAGAAAGGCGGGGCTAAAATGTTACAGGGTTGTTATTGAATTTGGAGCCCCTCAACCCCACCTCACTCTCTCCTCTCTCCCACCTCTCTCACACACACACACACACACACACACACACACACACACACACACACACACACACACACACACACACACACACACACACACACACACACACACACACACACACACACGCCTACCTCGTCATTCAGCTCGGCGCTTTGTTCCTGCACTGACACCATTTCAATTTGCTCCACAAATCTGCAGCATTTTCAGCCTGACTGCCTAAGGAGCAAACCAGCTGTGAAATTGCCTCTCTCCCGGGAGCGTAGGACCCCCCAGCCCCCCCACCTTGTACCCCTTGCTCCTTTGCCTCGCCCCCACCCCACAGCCGACACACACATGCACCACCGCTGTTAAGCCAACAGGACGAGGCGCATATGTGCGTGCGCGTGTGTGTGAGGAGATGAGAATAGAGACAGGATGTATAGAATAAAGAGAAAAAAGGAGAAATAGGAAAAAGAGGCTAAATTGTACAAATTGATCCAAATCACAGAGCAACAGTCTGAAATGGCTCACACAATAAAACGAGCACTCAAGACTTCCTCAAGAGTCTTAAAAACACACTTTTGGAGAGGGGGGGGTGCACGCACACACACACACACACGCGCGCGCACACATGGATCCGACCTCCAGAGAACTTTAGCGCACAATGCTGTCGCTCAGCCACACCAGTGAAGCAGTTAATGAAAAGGTAGCAAAGTCAGCCGATAGTTCTCTATGTGCATGTGAGGGGAGACAAAAACAAAAACACTGAGTTTATGGAAAAGCGCGCAGCTTGCGAGAAAACCGCCATTCAACGCTCTGATATGGATACAGCTTAGAGGAAAATATCCCTGCAAGAGACACACACACACACGCACAGAAAAAAAAAAGGCCTTAACGTTACACACTTTGCTCCACCGCTCTGCAAACACGCGCTGTAAATACTGAAGCTACAACATCCGAGCCTCTCGCACAGCTGCAGGAGGAGAGAGGGAGCGAGGGAAGGGAGGGAGACGGAGAGAAACAAACATACATTTTCCCTCAGCTGGCGAGGCCACGAGGCTTTAAAACTCTTGAGCTTTTTAGATGCGATGAGCGTTATTGCCGGTTGTGGTAGTCACGCCGATCAGCTTCACAAGACACCATAATGAGTCAATATATGTAAATCTTTACTAGGCAAACACGACGGGAAACAAAGGCATTTAACTGGTGCTCTCGCCCGCAAGCCTCCAACGATTCAGCACCGGTAATTTCTCCCCATTGAAAGGCATAATTGCCTGCTATTTGAAGATATTCATGCTCAATTTTTGAAATTAATTTCAATTGGAGGGAAATGTAGAAATGTCAGCTCCAGTGAAAGGGATTTGATTTCAATTATCCTCGCTCAAAGGACTGTGATTTCCAAATACACTTAAGCAAAATTATGACAAGAATTTTTGTTCGGCAAAATTCAGTGTTTAAAGAGCGATTAGGCGATAATGGGGCAGCTTTGAGCCGGCAGTGAATGCAGCCGTCTCCCTCTGAAAGGCACTCAATTATCTCTGATTGCTCCCGCTATAATGTATCAAATAGAGATACCTGCTATTGCCGTAATTTGTGTGAAAATTAACATGCTGCAATTTCCACTAGAGGGAAAAAGGGAGCTCTAATGGGCGCCTGAGCGTACATCAATAAAATGAGGGGAGAGAAAAAGAGAGAGAGAGAGAGAGAGAGACAGAGAGGGAGGGTGAGAGGAGGAGAGAAAGAGCAGGCGAGGAGAGGAGAGAATGAGTGTTGGAGCTAAAGAGTGAGGGGAGGGAAAGAAAATGAAAGGAAAGGAGCGGGGAAAGAAAGCATCGAATAAAAGGAGGGGGAAGAAAAGGAAAGTCAGGACAGAGATTGGAGACACTGAGAGGAAAAAAATAGACCATTTGAGTTAAGCGCTTTGGAGGGAAGGAGAGAGAGAGAGAAAGAGAGAGGGAGAGACAGAGGGTGAGATGAAGAGCGAGGGAGAGAGGAAGAGAAAGAAATTTAATTTACTGAAAATATTACAAATTGCACCTGTGCATAACTCCCCCAAATTACCAACCAATCAAGGCAGAGTGCCTATTACTCTCCCATTACATGGAGATCAGATCACGCTCTGAATCTGTGTCCAGAGAGGAAGAGAGAGAGAGAGAGAGAGAGAGCGGGAGAGAGGGAGAAGAAGAGAAGAGGGGAGAGACAGCGCCTGCAGAGATGCTAAATGTAGCATGATGCAAGAGAGAAAAGGGAGCGCAGAGTCACAAACCAGACGCTCTTTTACTCATTTTGTTTTGTGCCTTCTTTCAAGAAGGCAGCCAGCCTGTCTGTGTGTCTGTCTGTGTGTCTGTCTGGCTTCAGCTTTAATCAGCCTGATAATCCAGGATGATACCAGAGCATCAAAACATCGAGGTAACTTAGCGCCAGGCGTCTCAACTTCCCCCTAAGACAGACATATTGTCATTTTTTTCCCTGTTTGTCTTAGGACAGCGGATATACCGGCAGCTCAAACAGCCATGAATGGCCTCAAGTACTTTGCATAATTGGCAGCAATTTAATATGGGAGCTGCTGGGCCATTAATTTCCGTGCGCGGCTCTGATTCAAATAACTGTGTTACCTAATAGAGGAAAGTCAGTGTTAGACTGTGATAAATCAAGTCGGAGCTGATTCTTTGTAGGGAAACCTTCTTTTTTCTGCGGAGTGCTTGGTTTAATAACATTTAACATTTCAGGGTTTATTGTCTTGCTCCAGAGCAGGCCAGCAGGGTATTTAAAGAGGCCACTGTGTGCTAGGATAAATATCAGACCAGTTCAGCTGCTGAAACAGACTGTCAGGTTTATTTGGCACTTGTTGGCTTTGATGAAACATGAGCGATAATTGAGAAATACATTTTAAACCTTCTGTTTCAACAAAGAGGATTTGAAGTGGCTTCGATTTCACTTTTGAGGATTGACTGACACCAGACCAGGTAATCGACGGTGGTCGCCATATTGGAAACACAGACACAACCTAACATTCACTTGACCTTGCAAGAGGCAAAGAGGCTGTATCACCCCGATATTAAACTCCCTACACTGGTTGCCAGTTCATTTTAGGATTCATTTGAAGATTTTAGTTCTTGCTTTTAGAGCCCTCCATGATCAAGCTTCCTCATACATCACTGAGCTACTGAGACCCTGTTCCCCCCCACGTTCATGAAGGTCATCAGACCACAAACTCTTGATGGTCCCTCACACCCTCACAACTAAAGGGATGGGGTCTTGATATACCTTCATACCTTCAGGCTTTGGAATTCACTACATATTTGTATATTTACAATAGGGTTGCCGTATTGGAGTATTTTTAGTGGTCGAGTACTCAATCAGTTATTTCAGAAGTTAAACAAATCAATATAATGAGAAATATTACAAACTCTATTTTTTTGCTTTTACTGTAACAACACAGGTTTACCTGTTCAGGGGAAAATGAATTCATGCTCATTTACTTGTAATAAATTATACTAAAACTATGCACAGGAATGTAATAGAATAAGTATTTAACTCTAATAGTAGTAGTGTCTAGTAGTAGTAGAAGAAAAGGGACCATATCACCCCAATTTTACACTCCCTACACTGGTTACCAGTTAATTTTAAGATTCATTTGAAGATTTTAGTTCTTGCTTTTAGAGCCCTCCATGATCAAGCTGATCACTGAGCTACTGAGACCCTGTTCCCCCTCACGTTCATGAAGGTCATCAGACCACAAACTCTTGATGGTGACTGCTCTTTCCAGGCCGGTGCCCCTCACCTTTGGACACACTACCATTGACCTTACGTAGCATAAAGTCTACTCAAAGTTTTAAGAGAGAACTTAAAATTGATCTTTTTAGACAGGCTGTTAACTGATGTCGACGGTGTGGGGCTGTGAAGTGCCTGTTTTATTGTGTTTCTCTGTATTTTATTGCATTTTATCCTTGTAGTAAAACACGTCATGATTTTATCTATGAAAAGTGCTATATAAATTAAATTTACTTACTTACTAGTCAAGGCTGACCTTTGGCCTTCTCGCTGTTAGCTACACTGTGCCCACATGTCAGTCAAGTCAGCTCGCTCTTCTAATGCAAAACTTGTAGCTTTAATATCTTAAAACTCATAATTCTCTCTTTCTGTAGTACGATGAGTTCACGAGACTGAAAACGTCTTCTCTGTACGGGGCTGTAAATGTTTACCTTTGCTTTAAAAATGGGCTGTTTTGATTGGATGTTAGGGTTAGTCCGAGTCCACTTTGGAGGAACTGCATTTTTTTTTTATTAGCACTTCTGCATAGGCTTCATTTCTCAAGACAAAGGGGTTGCTGCTCGGCTTTCCGCACACTCCCTCTGCTCCTCGGTCTCCACAAAACCGTCCTATCTAATAAAGGCTAAAAACTCTACGTCTAAAGTGAACTGGAAAGTAAAACACTGTGGAGGATGGGATGCAGAAACAAGAACAAGAGAAGAAGAGTCATTTGAATTCTCTCCTGCCGTGATTTCAAAGCTTTGAAGCTGATTTTCAGCGCCTTCAAAGCTGATTTTTACGAAACTTGCGGGATTGCTGGTGTAATTTTTTATCAGTTTTAAAAGTCGCACATGTTTATTTACTGACGGTGGAGGAGTCTGAGGGTGTCAGTGAGGTGTTGCTGTAAACAGAGACCCTTGACTAAGCATGATTAAACACCATAAGTAACAAAGAAGATCGATTTGATTGGTCAGATAATGATTTTAAATTGAATGACTGAATTAAATCAGATACATGTTTATCAGAAGAGCAGAAAAGATGGTTTTTTTTATACAGTAAGTTGTATAGTTCAAGGTAAAGCCCTTCTTAAACTCCTCCGGTCTATTTGGAGGTGGTTTGTTGCCAGTCTTCATCAGAGAAATATAGGTAGGTCTGAGTTATATAGGTTGACGAGCGGGGGAAAATGAAGACGTACTGCAGGCTCCAGGACAGAAAGAAAGGAGCAAGAGTGAGCACCTAGAGTTCAATGTTTTATTCAGCCCGCAGTTTAAAGTGCCGCGGCCCTCAGGCACAGCAACGGCCGCCCTAAGTGGCTACAGTGACAGCAGAAATTGGCCTTCTGGTTTACAACCTGTCGCCACAGAGTCAGACAGAGCAAAGCAGCCGGAGAGCGGGGACAGATAGGAGCAGATAAAAAAATTGACAAGAGAGTTAGGGGTTGAGACAGGAATGGTTAGAAAGGGGACAGAGAAAGAGAGGACAGAAAAAAAAAAAAAAAAAGAAATAGATTGAACCGTCACGCTTAAATTGAAAGGGAGAGTGTTTCTTTCAAATCCAGTGGTCAGGCTAACAAAGCGTTCAGCAGAGCTGGACAGACTGATGCTCCTAATGGTTTGATTACCAGTCGGCTAGTTGTGACGTCCAAACACATGCAGGCCAGCGCGTGGGTGCATGAACACTGTCACACTAACACACACTTAGGGGGAACAGATTGCGTTACTTTGGCGGTTTGTGAATGTACATGTATGTTGAAATGTGATACCAGTGGGTGAAGATGTACAGCATATATATATGAGGGGAGAAGTCAGCTCTACAGCACCATCAGCTGGTCGTGAAGTACAAAAACCATCCAAGTGGATTCAGAGCAGCTCAATCTCTGCGTGTTTGACTGTGTTTGGAACTCCGAGTCTTTCGTGTGTTTTCATGTCGTGTTACCTCAGGTCTGAGGGTCGCTCTGGTGCAGGCGGGGCAGATGGGTCCGTGGCGGGAGAAGGCGATCGGCAAACGTCTGATCCTGTTCTGACAGGCCTGGTCTTCACACACCAACCAGCCCTACAAGAGACACGACAAAACAAGTCACATATGAAACCTTTAAAACTTTCAAAGTTAAACCATCTTCACTTTTAGACTCTGAAACACAAGAATTTAGTTGAACTTTTTTATATGTTTTGGATCGGAAAAACGAGACATTAAGGGGAATAAACTCACGCTTTTGGAGGATGGGTTTAGAGTTTCTGATATCTCATGTTCTCAGGGTTCCTACACAGTTGGAATTTCCACACCCTACTTTTTGGAATTATCTTTGGAAATACCTACTTTTTTATCTTAGAAAACAGTATTTTTTACTGTGGTAATAGTCTGGAAAACTAAGCATTTTTCCATACTTTATTTTTTATTTACCATACTTTTTAAGACCTAGAAATTGATCAAATTACTTCCATAATTTTCCATACTTTTACATACTTGCGTAGTTCCGCATTAGACTATTTGGAGCGACTCAGCTTCTAAAAACAGGATTGATGGAATATCTCATCAATGGCACAAAAGGGATTTCAATAACCAGGTAAAAACTCCTTATTGCAGCTTTAAAAAAGAAACTAAACACCAACCGTCAAAATAACATTTAGGTTTTTTTTTAAACAATAATTTTGTTACTCAAACTATTTCTATGTCAGTTTCTGGAGAACTTCTCCAATCTTGAGCCTAAATATCCGAACATGTTCAGAGTGTTTTCATCAGAAAAATGAACAGAGAATCTGAAAGGAAAACTCAGCCTTTAAGTTCCAGAGTGATAACTTGTTGAAGTGTTTGTGTCGCCGCTTGTTTTGTTGACAAAGGTGTTTTTAAAAATTGACCGAAAAATTTTTCTTGCCTCCAGTCGCCCTTTAAAAAAAAATAGAAAATAAAAACACTTCTTGTAATGAGGAAATTCTGCTCAAAATTGTCGCTCCCATTAAGGTGCTCTAATTCTGCACAACAGAGGTGACAGGAAAAGTAGTGAGGAGGAAAAAAAAGAGAGAGAGAGAGAGAGAGGTGGTTAAAAAATAAATAAAAAGTGAAGTCAGAGGCAGGTGAAGAGGGGAAAGAGAAACAGAGGTTTACATCTGACTTAATTCCCGCCCTGCTGTCTCTCTTTACATTGGAGTGTATCCTCAGCTGCTGTGTGTCGGGGGTCCTGCTCTGGGAGTACTTGTCAGACAGGCAGAGCAGTGGACAGCCAAAACGGCAGTAGTTAGGACCCCCTGCGGCGAGGTAGTGACCCTGGGCAGGTGCGGTGGTCTAACCCTCTCAATCTCCCCCGTATTCTTCCAGACCCCTCCACCCCCCTGCTTCTTATGCCCTGTCATTACTAAGGGAGGCTTAAAGGGGAGGGGGTTAATGCCCGACTAATGACAGAGCGTCAGACCCACCACCATCAACGCCTTTTGCTGCTTTCCTCAATCTTTCTAACCATCCACCCCGCCTTTCAATCGCTCTAAATCAGCCCCCTCAAAACCACTGCACCTGTCTGTCTCTCCCCCTCGCTCACAGACGGAGTTTCTCTCATTGATTTTCGTGTTCGGCTTTGTCTCGTCTCCTGATCAGTTTTACGGCAACAGCTACCAAAGAAACGGCAGAGATTGTATTTTTCTTTAAAGCTCTCTTTACAGCATATATCAGCCTTTCCCCCCGATGTTCTGCGACGTTCGATAACCTTTCAAAGTCAGAACCAGCGAGAACAAAGTGAGGCTGGTGAGCTGCATCTGTGTCTGCTGAACTCCAGCCTGTAAAACGGTTTCTAAAGACACACTTAAACATCAATAACAAAGTTGATGATTCGCTAAAACCTTCTCTAAGACGGCGTGAAGACATTCAACGGCTTCATTGAACGGGCTGATTCATTCTGGATGCAATAAAGATTTGACTGAACACAAAAATGTCTATCCTGGAGGCATTAAAATGACATGTTAATGAACTTTTTTCAACTGAACATCTTTACATAGTGTCCTTAGAGGTAATTAAAGGTGCAGTACGTAGAATTCAGCAGCATTCAGCAGAGCAGACTTGGAAGAAATGGAATAAATTTTCTTAAGTACATTAAGGAGTGGAGCTTCTTCCGCACAGACAACCATCTCGCTGCTATGTTTTTACCGCAGCACAGAACTAACTAGAAACTAGTGATGCAGCAATACTGTCAGCCCACAGTACAGTATTTATCCCATTCTCGGTATGGGGTGGGAGAAAAAAAAATAGATACAGTATCGTATTGTGATATTTTGTCTGGTGATATATTGTATCGTCTCATTTATTAAGTATCAATTTTTTAAATTAATCGCTAATATGAGGTCAAATCTATGATAATGGAAAAATAAAATCAAGTGTTTGTCCAGTGAGGTTGGCAGAGGTGACATCATGGAGCAGGAGGAAGTTAGTGAAACAAATATATATATATAAGGTTTGCAAGATGTGAAAATTAAATACTGTGTAAATAAGACAAACATAGAGGAAAGACAAATGATAAATTAGCGAAACTGTTAAAAAATAAATAAATAAATCGCAATATATTGTATCGTAACAGTTACTGTATTGCAAAATGTTAAAAATCGCAATCTCTCATCGTGGCCAAAATATTGTGGTAATATATCGTGGGACCACTAGTGATTCACACGCTTAATTCTCAGGTTAGTTTTACAGGATAAATCCATTTTCTGACTTCATTAAAGCTCCTGTGATGACTTTTTTTGATTTGTATAAAACGGACTGAAATTCGATTCGATGCCTCTTTATGACACAAAAATGTAAAAGAGACCCTCCGCAATGTGACAGAAAATTTTTATGCTGTAATTGTAAACACCTGAAATGGATGCAAGGGGGTAGAAGTCAGCAGAGCAGCTGAAGAAACAGTCCTGTTTTTGCAGTTTCACACTGACTGATATGTTTGACTTTTTTGTTAGCAGTTTTTTGGGCCATGTTAGACGTACCTACAGTATTTAAGCCTATTACAGCACTTGGACTCGTGGGCACACAAACACACACACACACACGCACGCACATAAATACCACAAATCCAAGCCTGTATTGAATCATAGATACCATACCCACCTGTTCAATATTCGGATTCATATTGAAATCATAGTGGTTACTTTTCCTGTAATCTATCACATCTGGAGAGGATCACACCAGGATACTTATGTCCAAAATACACACAGATAGATACACACATACACACACACACACACACACACACACACACACACACACACACACACACACACACACACATAACACACACGCACTCTTAGAAGACCAGTTCCCTCTTAATTAAAAGCAAACACACACGTTTGCCCGATCGCGTCCCAAATCAATTAGAAAGTCCAGGAGTTCGCAGCTTTACCTACAAACCCGAACTCCAGGACTAATTACTCAAACAGTGGAGCATCATGGGAAATCATGTGACAACAGTCTGTGGGCTGATAAAGCTAAATCATAGAAGCTGCATAAAAAAAGGACTTAAAATAAAAGGAGACCAAAATATGGATTGGGGGGTGGGAGGTACAGAAGGACTTGAGTGAATAAAGGCTCGTAATTGTATAATTATAGCAGTGGATACCTGACACACTGAATGCGCAAGTCAAATGAATTCCACACAATTTAGCCAAACAGAGCCAAGACCAGGCCACGACAGAGCCCACCACGAAACCAACCACAATCTGCTGCCTCTGCTTTGTCTGCCCCCTTTTCACCGACCCGCTCCTCTCTTCAAAAGACTCCCTTTTACAGTCTGCAGTCTGAAACTGAAGTCTGTTCTCATTCTGGTGTAAAGTGTTCATTGGTCCTTCTGTAACTTTTTTTAAATTTAACATCAGAAACACAAACATGTCGATATACCACTTGAAAAAATTCAATCTCTTCACATCATTTTTGGTTACTCAGCAGAGCGAAACGTCCACAGCTCTGTGACGAGGAAAAAGGGAACTTGTTCATCAACATAAGAGACTGGAACTGGACTTTTCAAATACATGAACCACACTAAGCCTAATATCTGACGGTCGGGCTGACAAATCTAGATAATGTGGTTTGTGATCGTATTAATGCAGTACAGCAAGCCGACCTGATAGCCTCATGCTAACAAGTTTGTGAATTGTTTTGGTACACGGCTCCTACCACCTGCAAATATCCAACATGATGTACCCATGTTCAGATACGTTCAAACTTTGCAATCCTATCAGTGATGACCTTTTTACTGAGCCTTAACCCATGATACTTTCACACCACGCCTCTCAGATGTTTGGCTACATGTCCACTCAGTGCAGCTTTGCTTGACGATGTCCGCCATCTTTGTACAGTAACATTTCAATTTTAGTTTACTAAGGTCAGAGGTTCGTGGATTGGGCAGGTCACAATGAGAGCGCCCTCTGTTGGATCATATGACAACAAGCTGCTTCAGACAGCTTGATGCTCTTGCATTAATGTTCTTCCTTGAGCTGCATCACCCCGCAGCAGTCCATAATGGACTGGCCCTAGGTCTTGTTACAAACAAGCGGCTGCTGGAAGAGAGTGGGTGAGTTGTGTTTAGTCTCTTTGCTAAAGAAATTAGGCAAAGTTAAAAAGATGTTTTGTGGCTGGGATCCTATATGTACTGTTGATGAAGTTAGGTGCTGTTCTGAGAATTACAAGTTTTATGCAGTTACAGATTAAAATACCTGGTTAATTTCAAAATAAAAAAAGTCAATACATCAAACTGTTCTTAACTTGATAATAGGAGAGGCCAGGGTTGTGGGATGTGGGTGTTTATATACACTGCCATTTATATACACCCATCAGCGGATCTTATTCTGACTCCCGGGGAAACATGCAAGAGCTCGTGAGATCTCATCCAGTCTCATGAGAAATATCAGTATCCTCACGAGCGCTTCTCCTCTGATGGCGGCGGCAGATCGGATCCGGTGGGCACTGTATGTTTGCAGATCTGATCCACCTGCTGGTCCAGAGCAGAGCGGAGCCGTTCCGGATCCTGTGGGTTGAGCCAGTTCATTTTTGGCTATAGAGTGGTGTTTTGGTTGAGGTTTGTTTATGGCTCCTCAGGCCACTGTGTATTGCTATCCTGCGGTCGTTACTAAAGTTGGTATAACTAGAGAAGCAAGCGGTTGGTAACATCCATCTCTCGAGGGGGGGTCTAACTCAGTGTTAGGGTGTGTTCGACCCTAAATTAATTTTAAGACGGAATATCCCTTTAAATTTTCACTTTGTGTTTATGATGTCTTCTCTAAAAGTAAACAATTGAGGTGGGGGGGATGTGTTGAACTTTCTCACATTTTTGTCTAACAAATTAATTTTGAAACAGATTCACACTCTGTTAATTGACTTGTTGATTAAACTGACTGATTGTTTTCGCTCTTTTTTTTAAAGTTGAGAAGCCTCTCTGACATGATTCCTGTACCGGAGGAATCCACTTGTCACACACAGACACAACGGGGAGAGCCCTAACTGTTGTTGCCTTTCAGCAGTCAACACTCCCAAATTGAAAAGACCTAAAACCCGTCTACTTCACACACTCACTCTCTCTCACACACAGACACACATACACACACACACCGAATAGAGCTCAAACGGTTCCACTTTGTACCTCCTCCGCTTAATCAAAGCTTCTCTATTCAACAATTTGACCTTTTGTTCAAAACAGGATTATCACCTCCTCTGGTCTTCATTCAACCCCTCCCTCTCTCTCTCTCCCTCCACCTTTTCTTCTCTTGCCCCTCAGCCCGTTTCTAGGGGCGACCCACATCATGACGAGGGTAATTGCAATAATTTGTTAAATGCCATGGCAACCGCGGTTTGATGGGAGGGGTTTATAAAAAAAAAAAAAAGAAGAATTGGGTGGTTGAGGAAACAAGGGAATCTCTCGTTTTTAGCAAAGACAGCGGGACGAGAGAGAGAGAGAGAGAGAGAGAGAGAGAGAGACAGAGAGAGAGAGAGAGAGAGGAGTGAACAAGTGTTTGCCCATTCTCAGGGTGGTTTATTGATAATGGCAGGGATAAGGGTGGGGGGGACAGGAGGTAATTTCGCTAATGATTAATGTCTCTGTGGTCCTAGCTTAGGACGCCAACACACATACACATATTCTGGTGTGCACACACTGACACACACACTCACACACACACACAGAGGTGCAGAGCTTTCACACTATCTGGCCGGACAAACAGCTCTGTTTGAACTCTCCCTCGGCCTGAAAGGAATCCTTAATTACACAATATTACCCCTCTTCATTGCCTCACTGTGTGTGCCGTGTCCACCGCTGCTCAGTCTACTGTGTGTGTTTGTGTGTGTTAAGAGTGTGTGTGAGGTGTAAGCATTCAGTGGTAGCAGCTGTTTCACACATCGTGACAAAGAGGGTGAGGGGGACTCACTCCCCACACATTCACAAAACTAATTGATTTCTGTTCAGCACTGTGGGAGAGTAACACCCCCCCACCCATACACACACACATATACACACGCACACACACACACACACACACACACACACACACACACACACACACACACGGCTGCATTCCATGTACTGAAGACCAAGGTGTTTGAAAAGACCAGGATAGAGAGAGCTCCAAGAAGACAGCGCAGGCCTCCAGCTCTCCAACTCTCAGGCTGCTCATCAGAAGCTGGAACAACTGTTCTTCTTCCTATTTCTAACATTTATCCAACAGTTTGCAAACAGTCTCAAAAAGTCAAGTAAAGAGGCCACGCTTTCAGCAACACCTGCAAACTAAAACTGCTGTGCTGGGCTCCAGTCAGGTACAGACTAGTGTTGGGTGGTATGACGGTATAAAAGTGTCCACCGGTAGAAACTTTGCTAAACCGTTCATACCAGAGAGAGAGAGCAGATGTCTGCTGCATCTCTGAGTCAGTGCGTAGTTGTCTGCGCTCGCTAACAGGAAAACCGGAGCGCATCCGTTTGGGTGCATTTCCATATATTCACCAGCGTGTCGTGCGGAGTTTGTTTCCTTCGTTTGATTGGTCAGGTTTGGGTGCACTCCCTGTATTCACCAGTGCGTCCAGCAGACTGCTTGGCATAGTTTCAATGAAGAAGAAACAGCTTCACTGGTGGTGGTCATGGCGGACGCGGAGATTAGTGGCAGTACGGAGCAAACGGAGGCAGCCCGACCCACCCAACACAAGGAAGAGGAGGAGGATTGGTTCTGAAAAAGGGCGCAAGTCGCGACATTGGCTGGATGGAGAGTCTTCAGATTTAGAAAATCCGACAACGATCAAAAAGCAGTACTATGCCAAGAGTATCGTGTGGCTGTTGTTGCTGGAGGAGGAAACACCAGCAACCTCTTCCACCACCTAAAGATGAAACACGTCAAGCTCTATTATGAGGGTCAAAAGATGCGTGGCGCACCCGCTGCACCAAAACTAAAGCTGCAGCAGCTCCTCTCATACTAAAGAGCTTTCAGAGTCTTTCGCCAAAGAAACACCGTATGATAAAAGAAATTGCCAGACTGATCTGGCATTTTATTTGCATTTGTAAGCAAATCAGATTTAAAAAATAAAAGGAAAATGAATAATCGCAATGGTAAGGTTATTTTTAAGCCATTAATGTAAATTTACAGGGGGAAAAAACATACCATTATACATATACCGTTACTCTGATATATAGTTACTCATACCGCGATATAAGATTTTGTTCATACCGCCCAGCACTAGTACAGACCATATCTGGCCAGGTGGAAGCAGCGAGGCTGTACGGGAGGCAGTTTCACTCTGGGTACCTGGTTTGTTGGCAGCCTCTGATACTCAGACAGTCCCACTCATTTCAAGGCTACACAGTTAGCCCAGCACCTACACAGGGTTACCACTTTAATGAATAAGTGCTGATGAGATAACTAAGGACAGCAGAAGAGAGAGAGAGAGTCTGTCACAGCATCTCTTCACTTTTGTCCCACATGGATTTGTTGACACAGCTTTTGTGGTGAAAGATTAGGACGGTTCTGGATAAATCTGCATTTGAGAATTGTCTGTAAGTTGATCTAAACTGAAGCTTTAAAAAATAAAACAGGGAGGGGGGAAAAAAGGGAAAAAAATGGGTTAAGTAAAACTCTGAGGCTGTCCAGCTGTGTTTCTCTTACAAGGTGCAGCATTAGACACTGAATGGAAACTAAATCAAGTCCATTTGTGGCCCTGCAGGTGGGAAGAAGTAAATGCACGGATGTTGGAGTGCTTGTGTTTTCAGTGCGTGCAAAGCAGTTTTACCAAACGAATCGGTGGTATTTATCTAAACCACTCTGTCACGGCAAACCAGCAAAACAGAAAATACTTACAGAGTAGTATTTTTTGATGTGGCGACGAATGTCAAGTAGCAATTTGTTGCTGATGTTGACTACGCAGTCGAGGGGGCAGCTCCTGCAGGGGATGTGGCAGCATTGCATCAGGCTGGGCTCGATCTTTGCTCCCTGAAGACAAGAACATGTGATGAGGACATATTAATACCTCTTTACAGAGCATGATCAACATTAGTCCTCATACAGAACTCTGAGAATCTGTCACCATACTGAGCTTTAAAATGGTGCAGGTAGAAAACATGTGCAAATTGTATCATATTATATAACTATGAACATGCTCACACATAAAGTCTCTGATAATATCTTAACTATTCACTTTTGCTCCAATATCAAATCTCAAACAGTCACTGGCTTGTGCTTTAATTTAGACTTTGCAATGTCAGATTGCTGGAAAGAAAACCAAAAGTCCCTTGTTGCAACATTTTACAGAGCCAAATATGATCCCATCCACATGTATTTGATCAAATTTCTGTCAAGTTCAGTTACTTCGTTTTTTTTTATTTTTTGGTCTCTTTCAATTTTGTTTTTCTCTGATGCAAAAAAATTAATAAACCATTAAGAACCAGTGATATCTTTATTATTTACAAGCCAATCTGCTCATATATCATCTGACCAACCAGCCACTGAAAAACTGTAATTGTTCAACCACTAAAATTTAGTGAACTTTTGAGCTCCCAAAGTAGTTTTGTCCCATGAACATGATATTAATTGAAGCATCAGAAGAGTACACTTTCACTTTCAGAAGTAAAAACTCATTTTATTCTCACTTGTTCCATTCTTTTTTATCTGCGGTTCAAAAACAGGTTTAAAGAACAATCAATGAATTTTAGTGAAAAAAATGAGAAAATATCTTCTTTTTGTGTTTCCAAGAAGGAAACTGATCAGCTTCTTACATTATCTATTCCTCTTTTACATGATAACACTGACGAGATGATTTCAAAACCTGTTTTTGTGAATTCATGATCAACATTAGACTGTTAGGAGCATCTCTGTCGAAAGCGGGGGGTTATCTTTTAATCTCACATCCACCTGGCTCCAACTTGTAACTAGAGATGTCACGATTACCATTTTTTTATTGAACTCGATCGAAATTACATCATGGTCTCAATAATCGAAATCAAAGAGAGCATCGACAGTTCCCTCCCTCCATATCCGGGAGGTATGCAAAGCGGAAGCAAATGACGCACATTGTAGCCGACACGAGCCTCTGTGAGTTCTCATTTTTGTTTTTATTTTGTTTGTTTTTGTTGTTATTACTTCACTGAAAACAAGATTAAATTATTATTATTATTTTTTTAATCATTTACATTTGACCGTAAGTGCCTGATGTGATACATTACACAAGAATAATGGAAATTACTTGTATTTAGCCCATCTTTTAAAATGAGATTTGCTGTACAAAATGCAATGAATAAAACAAAGGATCGTAGACTAGACTAGTCTTAAAATAGCATAGGCCTCTGTGCTGTAAGAAAAAGAGTCGACAATCGAATCGAATTGAATCGAATCGTGATCCTAAAATCGATAATTAAATCAAACCGAGGATTTGTGGAATCATGATACCCCTATTGGTTACCAGTGGAGCTTGTCAATGGAGTCAGGAGTGCAAAACTACTCCTTAAGGCACATCACAGCGCCACCTATCATATTATACCGAAAACACTGATTGTCAGAATATCTCTTTAATGGCAGGGAAAGAGTTTACAAGACTTCATCCAGCCTACAGAAACACGTAATATGATCTGAAATGAGACACTTACAATGAAAAGAATCTGAACACTTTTTCTTTCAACATAAATATGTAGTAAATGTATTAAACTCACTTTAATCACATTTTAAGGTTGAACATAAATATTGTACCTGTATTAAACTCGCTTTAATCACATTTTAAGGGTTTCAAATGGTGGAGTGTGTGGGTTTAATGGCTCTTGGAGGAAGCATTTATTCCACTTACTGCCATTAAACTCACTACAATCAAATGTGCAAAAATATATGTGCAGACAGAGTTCATTACTGGTGCATTTTTAACCCTGTAATCAGAAAAGCAGCAACGTAAATTAGCACCTAGGCCATTACCTTTAAACCTCCATTGAGAACATGTCACAAGTGTAAAAAGGTGTAAGGGCTAAAAGCAGCCCTGGGTCCAGTCAAATTTAACGGTGTTGTAGCTGAAGAAAACAGGTCAACGTGACCCCAACAACCCTGAATTGTCCCATTGACAGCCAGGCTAACAGTTAATGCAATAAAAAAGTAGCCGCAGTACATAACAATTACGCTAAATATAACAGCTTTAAACACTCACTCCTTTAAACCTGAACTCCATTTAACTGTCACATTGACAGCCGCAAAAAAGGGTTTCTGCAGAGAAGTCAACGGCACACAAGCATACGTGTGACACCCCCCGCCCAGCCACACACAGCCATTTTTTGTTTGCCTACATTGTTTCTTTTAAAAGGGGGGAAAAAAAAGATTTTTTTGTATGTTGAAGACAATTTAAGTCTCTAATAAGCAGCTAAACACATTAACCCATGATGACTCAGGCAGTCCTCTCTGCTACTGCTGCTCTGGTATAAATACTAGTTATACAAATGCCTCCAGACCAGCTACAAAGTAACTCAAACCATCAGCAGCCGAGATCAGAGCAACAATGGGAGGAAAAGCTGTGTCATTTGCCTCAGTTATGTTTGAAGGAGTGTCAGCTGAAAACTCCTGATAAATGCAGGAAGAAGAGAGCGTCTGGAGATAGGGCTGGGTGATATGGCCATTCAATATCACGCTATATTGAGCACTTCACCTCGATAGCGATAAATGGACGATAACTACTCCACAAGCTGCTCACCCCCTCCCATGTTAATAAGGGTGGAAATCACCTGTGGCTCCACAATACGATATTATTGCGATTTTGACCATTTTGCGATACAGTGAGTATTGCGATACAATATATTGCGATTTATATAATTTTTTGAACTGTTTAGTTAATTTAGCATTTGTCTTTCCTTTATGTTTGTCTTATTTACACTGTATTTTGTACACTGCACTAACTTTCTCCTGTTCTATGATATCGACTCTGCCAACCTCACTGGACAAACAGATGATTTAATTTATTTCCATTATCAGAGATTTGACTTCATATTAGCAATTTATTTGAAAATATTGATACTGGGTGAATGAAGCGATACGATGTATCACCAGACAAAATATTGTGATACTATGCTGTATCGATTTTTTCTTCCACCCCATACACATTAACTTCGCCGCTCCAGCCATTACAACTTTTAAACCGTCCTCCATCTTCTCACCTGTCTTTCCCTCTTTGTTTTGAACTGGATGGGGTGGAGTCACGTCTCCGATGTAGGACAGCATCTTAAAAGGGACATGAGACCATAGCCTACCCACGCACTCAGGGTGGGAGAAAAAATCGATACCACATAGTATCGCGATATTTTGTCTGGTGGTATATCCTATCGTCTCATTTAACAAGAACCAATTTTTTCAAATTAATTGCTAATATCAAGTCAAATCAATGATAATGCAAAAATAAAATCAACTGTTTGTTCAGTGAGGTTGGCAGAGGTGACATCATAGAGCAGAAGAAAGTTAGTGCAACAAGTCTGCAAGATGTGCTCCATGAAAATAAAGTACAGTATATATAAGACAAAAATAAAGGAATGACAAATGCTAAATTAGCAAAACAGTTGAAAAATTGTATAAATTGCAATATATTGTATCGCAATACTCACTGTATTGCAAAATGTTAAAAATCACAATAATATCGTATCATATCGTATCATGGGGCCACTAGTGATTCCCACCCCTACGCACACACAAGCATGACCAACTTGTATTTATTTTTTGACACTGAGTATATTGACATGGGCAAAATGACATTGGTCATTGTCGCAAATTTCAGTATCTGTAAATTTTCGTTTTATCGTCCAGCCCTAGCTGTAGCTATGCAGTGAAGGGTGGTGGCCAGGGGTTAAACCAACGACCACTGCGAAGAGGTCTGCAGCCTCTGCACATGGCGCAGAAGCTGGAATATTTCCATCGTAGCAGAGTATAATTTTAGATTAAAATGCGGGTGATCTCATGTGACTGCCAGCTGAGGTGGTCAGTTTGTTAATGTAACAGGACATCTCCTCTTCCTCATCTCTTCTGCTCTGAATGAACGCAGCCTCCCTTTTTTGTTCCACATGTTATCTCCTCCCCTCCTCCTTTTTAATCTCGCTTGTTTCTTTTCATTCCATTCATTTCGATAACAGAAGTCCTCCTCCCAAACAAGCTGTACTGAGAGAACTTGAACACTAACCCATTTATCATGTTATGGCTGTGCAATTAAATGAAAAAACATGACAAATTAAAGTCGTATCCTGAATCGTGAGAGAAAGAATCACATCTTTCCTCGCTCCTGAAAGCTTCTGTCAGCGTTTGCCAAACTTTAAACAGGCCTCTGACAAGACTGTAAAACAGCAGTGTGAAAATTAAATCAGTGTCGAACTTGACTCTGTTCTTCATATCTGCTCTGATAATGTGCAGCTTTCACACTGTGTTGATTTGACTGCCTGATGTGGGACACCCAGCGCTTTATTAAAACAGGAAAATCCCTTCAGCTCGCTCCAGCTTTCTTATCCCTCCACGTCCGATCTTTTCATTCCCCTCTCCTCTCCTCTCCCCTCACCCCCATCAAACAACTTTCCTCCTCTGTCTGTCCTCCATCATCCATCACCGCCTCCTCCTACCATCTCTGGCTCAGAGTCAGTGGCAGAGTCAAGGCCCATCTGTCCTCCCCTCTCACTGAGCTGTTAGACCATGTTCACCACCCTAATTAACTTCCTGTCTTATCTGGTTTGCGTGTTTGGGTATGTGTGTGCGCGTGGAGGAATTTAATGCCTGTAATCAGATGGTTCCTGGTTAATTTAGGGCGCAGTTTCGATTAATCTCGGCGTTAAAACATAAAAGAAGACGAGTCTTAACTTTTCCCTCTGATAAAACATGCAGGTATGTAATGTAACGTTATCAGCCTGTTTTAATCCAGTGTGAATCCTCTCTTCTCAGACGCTTGTCAGTTTTATTAGCGTCTTCTAGACAAGAAAAATCTGTGCGCCCTACTCCTCATTAGACGCTGATAATGCGCACACACACACAAACACACTCGACCTTGGCCTGACAAATGGTAAGAGATCAGTGTGTGTCTGCAGAGCAGCAGGGGTTAAGGGAAGGCTTTTCAAGTTGCGGAGTCCAAACTATGCCAATGAAAACAGAGTCCGTATTGGAGCCAGGCAGCTGTCTAAAAATACAGACAGAGACACAATATGGAGGATGACTAAAGCATGAATCCTTCACAGCAAGTTTGACGGAAATTCTTCCTCTCTCAGGCTCACACACATCGCAGCTGATGAAGATTTCACTCTTTCTTGCTATATTTGTGAGGCATTCAACTTGTTTTCTTCTGCTTTATTTATGACGTGTTTCTACCGAGCAGTTTGTAGCAGAAGTTTGGAAGAAGTTTCTTTTTTTGTCTGTTTTTATTCATATAAGGGGATGTTTTTGGTTGTTGCAATGCATTTAAAGTGAGTCTGGATTAGACATGTTTAATATTGAGCTTAGTTCACGCACAGACACCAGGTGAGCAGTGAGAAGAGTACAGAGGTGGATGCAGGAGAGAGAGGCAGGTCCCAAAAGGGAAAAACAATCTTGCAACTTGTTTTAAGTTGAAGTTTTACCAGCAGAACCCCCAACTGTGAGCACTTTTAAATCCAGGTTCAAAACATTTCTCTTTTCATGCACTTATAGCTGAGCTCTTTTTAATAAACTTAAACTTTATCTATTGCTCCTGCTTTTAACTGTTTTTTTGTTTTTGTCTTTATGCTGTTCTTTTAAAAATAAAAAATAAAAAGTTTTTATGTAAAGCACATTAAGTTGCCTTGGTATGAAATGCGCTATATAAATAAAGATGCCTGGCCTTGCCTTATGTAATGACGACTTTTACCAGAGAAATTCTAAGTGTGCTAAAATTAAGACTCTGCAACTTTAACCAAATCACTGTCCCAAGTGCAAGTGCTTCAGATCTGTAGTTATAGTGCCTGTTAGGGGTGGGCGATAAATTATCGTTCACGATAAATCGTCAGAAAAATCCTCCATGATAAATATTTGCCATTTGATGGTAAATACGATAAATGCAAGTTGACGGACTCGCAGCCATAGCCCACACAGAGCAGAATAACAAACAAACATGGCCGAAGGAGGTGAAGAAGACGTTTCTGAGCAGCTCGTCACTGAATGAGGCTCCACATGAGGGATTTCCTTCAAGATTGAGACTTGTTTGATGTCACTAGTTTTCTCCATAACCTACCACTCAAACTTGTGGTTAAGTATCTTATTTGACTTCTCCAACTGGTGTTCTCCAGACAAAATAAGTCAAAAATATAGATTGGAATTATAATATTTTTTATCAGACTTTTATCGTTATCGTTAGAATGGCAAATCTTATCCATCTTATCCATCCCTATTGCCTGTAATGTTTGTTTTGTGGTTAACCGTAAAGATCTGCAACACAAAGGTACAGCAACTGCATTTAGTCATACCCGCAGCAGGACACAGATAAAGGGTGTTTGTGTTAGTCGTCGTTGTGTGCATCTACTCACAGCTCCTTCAAAGACGCTGTCGTAGATGTTGTCAGTGCCGCACTGTGGGCAGGTGAAGGTGAACCTCTCGCAGTCTTTGTAGCGCTCCTCATCGGTCAGCTGGACAGGAGCCCCCAGGGTGCCGTCGGCCTCCTCCTCTCTCTGGTACTGCTGGTGAGCCCTGAACTGACCCGGGTCCAGACCTGACATGAATTAAAAAACAAAAACATACTTTCTCACATACTTTCTACAAACTTTTGATTTTATGAATTATCCAGGTGTAAGAGAGTAAATGTTTAAACAGGCGAGAGACAGAGTATTTCAAGAATCTCTATCCCGACCTCTTAATTTTACGACCATTAGACAACAATGAAACGTCTATTTTGTGCTTTTATTAGTCTGTTGTGATATTAGGTGTGACAGCTTTTCTATGTTTGGCAGCCTCAGCTGTCATCAGACTATAAAACAGGACTAACATGACTAATGCTAACACATACATAAAGAGGGATTAGTGCTATCACTCAGAGTACGCTGTGCACCGCAAATACCTCAAGGCCGGTGTTTATTTATAAAAGAGTATGTCCTTTAACTGCAAATTACCATCCTAATGAACCACTTAACCCTGACTATTATGCAAATCAATGTAAACTCAGATCAAAATGCAGGATTTTGATTAAATACTTTTAAGTTCGTTAGACAGTTCTTTTAATTGATTTCTGTATTTTTCTCTAGTTATTAATCTCAACACCTTCTCCGACAACATACCTAACCACGTGGCTATGAGCACGCCGTCGATACCCTCGATGGGGTCGCAGATCCTGGACACCACAGGGTGGATCTGCTGGGCGAGATAGTACTGAGTGTCCAGGCTGAGGTTCTCTTGCTTCTGGAGCTGCTCGAGAGCATAAGCTCTCTGACTCGCTGCAAGTGGGGAGCCGTCCTAGGAGAGAACAGAAACAGGTTTGAGTTATTCGAGTTTGCTTGAACTTTATACAACAGGTGTGTTTGGAAAAATAATTGATGAGTAATAAAGTGTGGCTGATTGTTTTTGACCTTGCAGATGATGTAAGAGACTGTATCTCCAGCTTTGACTCGGCGGCCCCCCTGGGTGTTGATCCATAGAGCCACATGGACGTGAGGGAGGCTCTTCTTATCAGGATAGTCCTGGGGATCTTTAGTCAGAGCCTGAACAGAAAAAAAGTCAAGGTTGTTATGTTGGAAAGTTCTGGATACATGAGAGTCTGCAAACTCAGCATCATCCTCACCTTGTGGATCTCATACTGTTCGAGCGGTATGGCTCCACCTGCTACCTTCTCTCCGACCTCCACCAGGTGTTTCTGGATGTTCTCCACGATAACGTCACGATTCTGGTCTGACAGGATTTGACCAATCACGTAGCTGCAGGATTAGACAAACAGAGGTGAGGAGGTTTCTTTAAAAGTACTGAAAATAAACAGTTTTGGACGAGGAATGATTTGACTTAAGTTTCTGTAATTAAATCCAATGAAAACATCTGAGCACCAACGTAGGGAACAAATCAGAATGGCGCTCCCATTTTTCATCAAACGTACTTTCCACACTCTTTGGCGAGGTCACACCAATCTCTTCTCACGATGTCCAATCCTTTCAGCTCCTGTTTGACGCTGTATTTTCCCTCACTGTGGTTCTCCACCACCAGCGCGGCGTACTTCTTCTTCTTCAGCAGCAGCAGTGACTTAAACACACCATCGATGTCGATCTCCAGCAGCTTGTAGAGCTTGTTCACTTCTGCCTTAACCTGAGGAGGGACAAAAGCACGGACGCACTGAGTGAAAAATAACAGTTAACTAAACTCCTATAGAAAAGAATCATAACCTTTCTACTCCAAACCTTATTGCCCAGTTTGAAGACTTCCTCCAGAGACCTGCTGTTGGTGTTGATCATGATGGAGTCTGTGTCTCCGTAGATGACTTCCAGGTTCATCTGAGTCACACAAGAAAATGTAAGAGAAGAGAAAGTAAGCTTTTAGTAAGAGCAGGAAAACAAACGAAACAACAGATTTATTCAACTTTTAAAGATATTTTTATCTCAATTTCTAAAAGAGAAACTCATTAAAATCACAGCAACAAGAACTAAGTCTAGAAAAGTCAGAATGGTTTCTAATTCTGTTTCACTTTGTAAGAAAGAAGCATGACAAAGAAGTGCAGCGATGTATTTTATCTAGGGCTAGCCGATATGGCCTCACATTAATATAACGATATATTGAACAGTTCACCTCGATAACTGTAAATGGACGATAACTACTCCACAAGCACAATTAACTTTGTCTACTTTAGCTACCGCTCCAACTTCTGAACCGTCCCCCATCTGCTCACCTGTCTTTCCCTCTTTGTTACAGACGTAGGACAGCGTCTTAAAGGGACATGAGACCATAGCCTACCTACACCCATCCAAAACCAACTTTTATTTATTTTTTTGACACTGAATATACTGACATGAGCAAAATTACGTCGGTTATTGTTGTCAATTTCGGTATCTGTAAATATTCGTTTAATCGCCCAGCCCTAATTGACTCTCACCAGAAACGGATGGGGCAGTTTTCTGCAGAGTCTCAGTTTCACTGTAAAAAGTAAGCTACACCCAGGTAGTGAGAGAACTGTATTTTTGGTTCCAAGTTCCATTTTGTATAACTGAACCAACTGTGAAATAAAGTCTGATGAAATCCTGGATTTGTTCTCCTTCCAATAAATAGATACAGAGAAACAGACACTTGTTCACAACCCACCTTCTGAACCATGTCCTTGGTGTGCATCAGAATCTGGTGGAAAAAAAACAGACAGAAAAACATGAATGGGGACGGGTCCAAACAACAGAAATCAGTCCAACACAAGCAGCCGTTCAGCAAAGTAAACAAACATATCAGTCAGGAACAAACAATGATTAAAAATTAAGTTTCTCTGTTACTGAGTCGGTGTAAGTGTGTGCGTGTGAATGTTCGTTTGTGTGGACACGGGAGCAGAGCAGGTGACTTGCTTTTAAATGAGGGATAATTGGCTAAGAGGGCAATTATGAGAGCGTGCTGTGACAGGCGTCTATTCAACCCACGCACACCCAAGCCAGGCAACGCACACGCACGACACACACGCACCTTAATGACTCGTAATGGCCTTCGTCACCTGCAGAGTGAGTGACGGACAAATAAGAGAATTCTGTTAACGCAGGTTGTCCACTTTGTGTGTGTGTGTGTGTGTGAGGGAGAGATCTGAGCGGCAGAGGGATCCCAACAGGTGGGGGCCCCAAAGAAGGGAGGGCGGGGTGAGTTTGAGAAGAGGGAGGGAGGCTTTGGGTGGCTAATCTGGGGGGGTCGGAGGGACGGAACGCAGTGTGACCTGTCACCAGCAATCTGCTCCTCAATCAACCACGGCTGCATATATACACACCCCGACTCGCACTACGCTCCGTGTGGGGACAAGGACGTGGCTATTTCAGAGTGTGAGGAAGGGGCGGGGTTGGGCTGCGGTCGCGAAGGAGGAGGAGGAGGTTGGTGGTGGGGGGGCTGCTCCACTCCCTGAAACCAGAGTGGGACTTAAGCATGCTTTATGGGCTGCAACATACCGCCGGACAGCGGGGGGAGTTCAAGTCTCTTACAGAACAGCCTCCTTCATTAGACACCGCAGTCAAGGTCAAGGTCTCACCGCAAACACAGCAGACTTAGAGGAAGCACATTTACACTTAAGCGTGTTACAGAGCTTCAATGTAGATAAAATGAGTCTCGTGTGACTTTAGAGAGAGAGAAAGACACAAACGGAGAAGTTCCTGCATCTTCAGGGGGACAGCAACAATAAAATGTGAAACCGAAACTACCTGAGAAAGCAAAATCCCTACAGTCGTTTTCTTTTGAGGTTTACTTCTTAATCACAGTTTTGAGTGAGATACATGAGAAAAAGTATAAACCAAGTATCGGGACTATTTCAATCCAGAAACAAAAAAGTGACGAAAACTTCAGCTGAAGACTGGATGAAACCACGGGCAGCACAACAGCTACACCAGAGTGACACCAAAACTTTAAACTCCCCCTGGTGACTGGCATCAGCACAGGTCTCTAGGGGTGTCTCGATATAACTTTTTTTTTACTTCCAATATGATACTGATATTGATCCAATGTTTGCACAAACTTGTTTATGACAAGTTTTGCACTCAGTTGTAACGTCTTTCTCAGACTTTAAAAATACTGCCACATGACCGACATCACTCCTACTCCTTGCTACGTTGTTAGAACCTACGTACACACTGTTGTTGTGATCACATGGGCTCTGCATGCTGGATGAGGGGCTGCTAGCTAGAGATGCTGGAGCGGAGTCTGGAATGGACCGCTTGTATAAGAGTACTGATATCAGAGATTTTAGGCACACTGCAATATAATCAGATATTTGTTTATTTGCTGATATCGGACCGATATCTGATATCAATATCGGATCGGGACATCCCTACAGGTCTCCTCACTCACCTCTTCTATGCTCAGACAAGAGTCAAACTGGAAACTAACAAGTGTTAATTTCTTGTTTTATAAGAAGCGATATGATGTTGTGATTGATTTACTGTCGACTAGGGCTGGGCGATATGGGAAAAAGTTTATCAGGATATATTTTTTTCATATCAGTCCATATTGAGATATATCAGGATATAAAAAGATCACTTGTCAATCTTACATGTTACCTGTTACTCTTAAATGAAATTGAACAGTGCTTATTGGTAGCATGATTGGCTCTTTGACGTTTTGTCGTAAGGTGTTTCGCTAGACAAGGCGGACTGAATGGTCGGTTCAGTGCAGTGCGGACCCGCAGCAACTCCCCTTTTCATTGGCCATTCATATAGTCTACCAAAACATGGCAGAATGCCGGCTAAAGAAAAGCATATTGACCATGTTTCATATCGATATCAAGGAAATTAATTTTTGATATATATCATTATCATTTTATCGCCCAGCCCTACTGTTGATGCAAAGCAACAGAGGCCTTCCAGTTTGACTTATTAAGGCTTCCACCATTTCAAAAGAGAACAACCTTTACAGAAATAATGGGCCAAAATCTCCTAATGTTGAATATTGCTCTGTGTCATTATGAATATCATTATATAAACAATCAAGCCTCTATTATTAGCCGGGGTCCACTCACACTTTCCACTGTGTTGAAACAGCAGGAGAGAAGCGAGGGGAAGAAGACACACAGGAGCAGACTCTGAGGTGATCCGACAACAGACAGACAGACAGACAGAAGTAAAGGGCAGAGAAGTGATGAATAGAGAGATGTGGGAAAGACAGACACAGAGAGAGAGAGAGCAAAGTGATTTGAAGGGGGAGAGGGGCAGGCTGGCGAGGTGAGAATGTGTTGATATAATTGATGTGTGGACTCATTTAGACGGGTTTTCCATATGCTGTCACTTCCAGCGGGACGAGGAATGAACCCTGTGAAAGACAAGTCGTTTGACCATGATGCAATGTGTGTGTGTGAGTGTGTGAGGGCATTCTAACACACACTATAGGGGGCCAATGCAAACATAAGGCGGCGGGGGTTTAAAAAAGAGAGTGTATGTCTCCCCTCTGATGAGTCCACGAGTCACCACTGAGCATGCCGCTCATACTCCACCAAACAACTGAAAAAGCTGGACAGGGGACTCAGATTACGCTCACATCAGGCACATTTAGAAAGGGCTTTATGCAGAGCCGCAGGTAGATGTGATAACTGTAGTGACAGAAAAAGAAATCTTCGGTCAGTTTAGGTGACTGTAATCTGAAATTATTAATCTGTCTGCAGGATGTGATCCGGTTTTGGCGTCTCAAATAAGGAACTTAAAGGGATCCCTTTAGAGTCATGGTTTAGATTAAAGTTTTGATGTTTTCTGGGATATACAACATGAACAGTCTTAAAATTACAGAATTTAAACCAGATAAAGATGGTTTTTAGTCGGCTTCACTATCCTTCCTAAACCACATGGGACCAGCCTTCTGACTTTGAGGCCCACAAGAAAAAGCAGAGGTAATGAAGAGAACCAAGAAACTCATATTTGTCTTCTACAATGACAATCAGAATCATGTCAGTTCCTCATCACCACTAATATTTTGGTTTTGCCCAAGACTGAGAGGTACTTGGTTATCTTCTACAGAGTCTCTTTACATCATGGCAACACTGGAAACAGTTGCATAAGATTTCAATCTTCACGTCCTCAACAAAAACATGATTGCATTTGCAAAGAGCTTGTCTGTAGATTTGTGTACCGTATTTTTCGGACTATAAGGAGCACTTAAAATCCTTAAATTTCTCAAAAATTGACAAAAATTTTATAATCCGGCATGCTTTACGTATGACTACTTTTTGTGCTTACTGACCGATTTTATGTGGTACAATGCGCTCAAAATGTGTTAGTATGACTTCGGTAAGCAACGAAGCCGCTCCGCTCAATGGATATTCGGAGCATAACGGTACGCTGTGTCACTACCTGATCAGCCCCATAACAGGACCCCTGAGCAGTCTACAAGACTGCCCGATTGTAATGTCTAAACTAAAAGTGCATTCATGCAAGGAAGCCTGGGCCCTGAGTACGCGCTAGCAACAATAAACCAATCAATGCGTAATGCGCCTTATACGATCCGGTGCGGCTTATGTGTGAACATAGACACGTTAATTCACAGTGTGCCGTATAATCAGGTGCGCCTTATTGACGGAAAAATACGGTATGTCCTCCTCTTTGTCCTATCTGATCTGGGTTTGACCCTCCTTATTTGGTGTGAAGGTACACTTATGATGTTGGCATTTTATTGAAAACTTTAATAGTAGAGTACAGGTGACATTTTTCCCTTTGTGCTCCCTCTTTCTAAAAAACACAATGCCCCCCACAATCTGCCCGGAGACAGGAGTTAACAGGCTTCGGGGCAGCTGACCCTGCCGATGTTGGGCTAAGTGGTGCAACAGTCAACTGTAACACTCAGAGCTGCTGCAAGTGACCAAGAGGAGACAACTGCAGCAACATGATGAATAACAAAGGTGGTATAACCGAACAGGACAGTTTAGTACGCCTAATTTTTACAACCCTGATACTTCAAAATGGCACAAGACAGATCTACACTTGAAGATACGCCATCCTGTCATATCTATTCATGCCTTTAAATTTAGAACTTTGAACTATGTATGTCTCATGTCTTTGCGTGTGCACCTGTGTCCCTGCACAGAAGCCGTTCACATCAGCTGCGTGTTACAGCGGCATGTCATGCTAATTGATGAGCTGCTTGGCCTTGTTGTGATATCCACCTTTACCCAGCTGCTGCTCTGCTACTTGTTGCTCTTATCCATTAGGGATTTAGGTATCTCTCTGTGAGACCACTGTCATTTATCTTTAATCTAATCCGTCGCCCCTTTCCTCTTCATCCTCAAAAGCTGCTTCGTTTTAAGCCAGACTGTTATTTAGAGGCGCCGCGGTACAGAAAATGGCGAGGGCATGAAAATGAGATTTTTCAAAAGTTTTAAAATGACACAAAAACTTTTGTTTTCTTGAGAAGCATGACTGTATAAGGGAGGAGGAACAGCATGGCAGGCTGTTAAACCTTAGATGTGCATAAACTACATGTCTAAAAATACAAAAATGTTAAAAAATGACATCACGAGAATATAAATGTCAGTTATTTGTACTAGCTAAAACAAATCAATACCGTCCATCCCTAATTTTAACAGACAGAGTTATCAGAGCTTTGTTTCTCCTCAAAACGAACCACTAAAGTTATTAAAATGACAAGTACAAGAAGTGAAAACACTCTAATATACACACACACATGAACCAGCCACCTCTCTAATGATCAGAAGATCAGAGGTAGCATGTTAAAGCGCAGAGCGGCACAGGGCCCTTGTAAAAAGAGCTCGGGGCACCAGTGACGATTGTTTTGAAAAGCACTCAGCTGAAAAGCATTTTGGGATGACAGTCGGCCGACTGAAATAGCACCTGTGGAGGAACACACCACTGTCAGAGCTGGAGGGAGGCAGAAGAAACACGTGCACACACACACACACACACACAAACGCACACAGGCCTCACACACAACGATGCATTAAAGATTTATAGTCGCTTCTGCGCCGGTGTGAGCGCTCATGTGCACACAACTCCACACACACCCACAGAGAGTGAAAATCCTTCTTTCACCAAAATGATTTCACTTGCATGCAAGAATGCATGAGCGTTGAGAACACACACACACACATCCCACACACACACACACCTGTCCTGGCAGATGCCATAGTTGTGTTCTCATGTCTGCTGCAGGGAGGGTCAATCTGTTGTAAAGCTGTTTCTGATTTAATACAACCGGCTGAGATCACAAACGCTGTCATTCACTGAGAATAACTCGACGGTGTCAACGATCCTCCTGCTGCTCGGCCAATTAAAAATACAGTTCTTTAATCTGTAGCAGGAATTCATCCTGATGTATCACTTCACCTCTGGCATAGTCAACTGGAATCACCCACAAATCCTTGAATTGTTGCCAGGCCAGTGCATTACATACACGGTGAGTCTGGTCTTTACTGAGCTGATACCTGCAGGGGTATCGACACTATTAGAGACTCCTTGATAATCCAAGTCTTCAAAGAGTCAACATTCCAGACCCATGATTTTAGGGAGGGTCCCGATCTGATATTGATATCAGATATTGGTCCGATATCAGCAAAAAAACGAATATCCGATTATATCGGCCTGCATCTAAAATCTCCTGTACTCTGTTACAAGCAGTCCATTCCAGACTCTGCTCCATCACCTCTATCTAGCAGGACCCAAATCCAGCATGCAGAGGCCATGTGATCACAACAACAGTATGTGCTAAGGTATCAACAAAGTGTCGGCCGTATGGCAGTAATTTTTCGTTGAAGTCCGAAAAAGAAGTTTCAGAGTGCAAAACTTGTCTTAAACAAGTTTGTGCTAATATCGGATCAATATCGGTATCGGCCAATACCGAAGGCTACAATATTGTTATTGTATCAGAAGTAAAAAAAATTGTATCGGGACAGCCCTCGAGACCTGTGACGCGGACAGTCACCAAGGGGAGCTCAAAGTTTTGGTGTCACTCTGGGGTAGCTGTTAAGGGTGGAGGAAAAGAATCGATTCACTGAAGTATTGCAATTTTTGTTGTACAATTTTTAAATCGATATTTATGTTCAAAAATCTTTTTTCCTTCAAATTTAAGAATAAATCTAAAAAATTGACTTACATGTGATGTGTATTTTTTTGGGAAATATGGCTCCTGGAATAGTCTGTAGACAATCATAATCACTCAACTGTTTCACTGGTGTTAAAAATGCAGACTGAACATCGAGAAAATCTGAAAATATCGTAGAATCGCCGTTTAAATCAAATCGGCATCCAAAAAATCGTAGAAGAATCAAATCGGGAGAAAAGCACATCATCCTAGTGCTAGTAGCTGTTGTGCTACCCGTGGTTTCACACAGTCTTCAGCTGAAGTTTCCGTCCCAAAAGTTCGTCACTTTTTTGTTTCTGGATAGAAATAGTTCCAATACTTGGTTTAATACTTTTTCTTGTGTATCTCACTCAAAGCTGCGATTTAAAAGTAAACCTCGTAAAAAAAAAAAATGACTTTTTCAGGTAGTTTTGGTTTCACATTTTATTGTTGCTGTCACCCTGAGGATGTACCAAGTGTGTACCAAGGTACTAACAAAAAGCTAGGAGTAAGAGTGATGTCAGCCGTGTGTTGGTATTTTTTTGTTTGCATCCAGAAAAAGACGTTGCGGCTGAGTACAAAACTTGTCATATCGGTATTCGCCAATACTCAAGACTACAATATCGGTATAATTTTAGAAGTAAAAAAAGTTATATTGGGACACCCCTACATGTTTTAGTGATTGGGATCCATAGGGGTCAATAGCAGTATAAATAGGCCCAATTGGAGCAGATTTTTAGAACCAGGTTCCCCATCCCTGATGATATTATCAGATCTTTCCAGTTCACATATACAATTTTGACATTATTTTCACAGATCATACTAATACAGTGAGTCAGATATGAGCTGAAGGGATGACCCGACTATGAATTACGATCTGAATCCCCTCAGCTTTATCGAACTTTGGCTGATTTCCCATCATTGTTTTGCAGTCGGATGCTCTTCATTCTGTCCCTGCCTGGACTGCCTGTCCAAGATGGGACCGTTAAGCCTCTGGAACCCCTTGTCCATGATATACTGTCTTGACCTGAATATGAGAGTGTCTTATTTCATTGAAATACATTTGAACAAAGCAGATCGTCTTATATTTGGAGTGACAGGCGCCACTTATAAGCCAGTGTGCCCAAGAAGACGAGGTAAAACAGATTAGGTTTAATGGACCTTAACAGTTGTTGCATCTACTTGCCAAATGATCAGAAACCATCCTCGAACCATCTTCTCGTTTGCTACCAGCAGCTCTGATCAAGTCAGCATGTGTCAAATCAATCCATAATCAATTCTAATCCCTTCCATTAGCCTGGTCTCACATGGCCTCATTAGGAGGTGTTAGTAAAGTCGCTGTTTGGATTCTGAAACCTTGTCCTGTCCGCTGTCATCTCACACAGACAAGCTAATGAAGCCAAAATAGCAGCGCTGCTCCCATGTGACTATTTGTTAAGTCCACTTCTATCAGGAGTTAAGCCAGCTCTTTAAGCGGACTACAGGAGCCTGGAAACATGCGGCCGTCATTTCCCCAGACATTTGCGCACACATGTGATCACACACACACACACACACACACGCATACACTCCAGGCTTAAGTATTCTTACGTCTAATTCATGGAAATGTAAAAATGACCCCTGTGATTCTCAGACAGCAGCAGCGGTCGAAAGCCTGAATGAGAGAAATGGGGGCGACAGTATTTACTCATCACAGATAGGGTGCTACAGATAGGGTGCTACAGGTATTCCTGCTTCCAATTCTGGGAAATGATTTGTGATTCCCGAGACAAGAGGAATGATACAGATCCTGAAAGAGGGACAGCGGGGGCAACAATATTTACTTAGACTTCATTACAAGCACACGCACCCTTGCACACACAGAGGTTTAACCTAAGCCAAACTCTGACCTCTCCACACCCTCGGCTCTGTTACCCAAGCCCGCTTCTATCCTTCACTCCGCATGCCATCCAATAATGTCAACTACGAGCTCCTGTCAGGCTGTTTTTAAACACAAGGACAGAGACTCAATTACAGCAGAATGGCTTTCAGGAGTCGTCCTCCGTCCAGAGACGCACACACCTGCTAATGGTTGTCAGATTTGCTGGCAAAAGGGTCAAAGGTGGAACCAATCTGCATTCCACAACAATCAGCAGCTTCCAGCGGCCTCTGTTGTTAACATCACTCGATTAGAAGGACACACACACCCACACACACATACACACACGCATATACAATATGTCTTCAGCCATAAAAGGATGCTCAAAAACTGCAGCTCCTTTAGTCTCCACTCAACCATGTTCAATCTAAAAGGTAACTGTTAGTTAATCTGGAACAAACAGAACTCAGAGTTTGAATCAGTGCGTTAGCGTGCCCCCCTATGAAGTACCAACTACAGTGATTCCCTCAGGATTGGAATCTATGTATGTTGGTGTGTGATCTTTGGGAGCGGGAGGGAGTCATTAATCAGTTGTGTGATCGCCGACAATAACTCGCTAATGCTAATAATCGGCGCATGCGCTCCACGGTGCATTGCCTTTGTTCCCCCTTATATACTAATATGACTTTCTGAGGTAGAGTCATGTAAGAAAAAAAAACATTTTAAAGTGTGGCGGCTTTTATTTGGCTGCGGCGGTGCGCCATGATCAATTGCATGTAGGGGAAACCCTGATCTATTTTCACTATACGGAGTTTGCACTCCTGCTATCTATCATTACAGTAGCTGCACTCAGGCTTAAGCAACTTTGACAGCTATGAGAAATGGACCCACTGCTCGGGACCTTTTCACCTGGCCTTGCACACCCCCACCTCTGCTGGACTGAGTCTTTTGAATCAAACCTTTACTCAGCATGGTTTGTTTATTTAATAGCTAACCGTTTCTTCAAAGCACGACTATGATCTGATTTATTTATCCAACTTTTTCCATAAGATTGCTTTTGTTGTTGGAATATTTCCAGTTTGTGATTTGTTTTGATTGTTATTAACTTTGTTTTATTAGTTAGAGTCCACATTTCCAGACACTTGATTTATTTTGACGTTGGCTAGCAACGTTAACACCAGCACTGAAAAATTAACGCCAACAACCGGCCAAATGTTGAGGAGTTTTTCCACCGACTGATCTCTGCTCTGCAAAAGACAGTTTTCTCAAAGTCGAATTTTTAGTTGGAGATCCTCCAGGCAGTCAGAGGGAGTTAGGGATAAAAGTCCTCTTCACATGACAGATGCTTTTATCAATCTATTATAACACATGTGTGTAAGCTGCCTATGTTTCATATATCTGTTCGTCTGCACCCAACTGTTCTCTGGCGAACATACAAAAGAACCCAAAATAACACTGAGGGGTTGAGGGGGACATCAAACTGTAGCTGTGTAATCCTAAACCTTCACCTTCCTCTTAATACCCATCATCCCCCCCTTAATACCCACACATACCAGGACAGAGTAGGGCCACAACAAATGGTCTCCCCAACAAAGGGCAGAGTTCGTCCAGTAGCACTTGTGCTCAAAGACACATGTACGTCCCAACATGAAGACACCGAGATGTGAGACATACTGAAGGAACCGAACAAGAGTCAGGAGTGGAGCTAAGTGAGTGAGGGGCTTTCCTCTCGCAACTTGGCAAGTCTGATCAGAAGAGCCACCGCTGAGGGGCTGTCATCCCCCTCTAAGCCCCCTCATCCGAACTCTCCGTGGGCTGAGAAACCTCCGCAGCCCCCAGCCTGACCCTGCTCTGGCCACAGGGGGGGTTAGGCCCCCCAATTTAAAACGAGAGTGAGAGAAAGATGAGAGCTAAGCCAATCAATAAATACACAGAACACATGCACATTCAAACAGCACACCCGACCAAACAGATGAAGGGATGGAGGAGCTGGGCTGGGGGGGGTTGAGTGGAGTGGGGGTTGGATTTACACTCCGGGGGGGAGATGCGGTCGGTGTACGTGTTACAATTACAAAAATAAAAAGCCTCCTAAATCATGATATGAAAGTAGAGTGCAAATGTGACGATTAAAATGGGGGCGGGGGTGCAAACGGCAATACCCGCAAATACACTAGAAACCTCGCCATCAATGCCAGCTGGCTTTTCTGGCTCTCTGCAATCGGGAACTACCAAGAACTACTTGGATTAGAGCCGGTTTACTTCAGGGCTCCATGCAAATTCAATGAAAGAGCTGCGCAACAAAAACTTGTCTGAACTAAACAACTCTCAGTCTGTCATCCCCAGCTAACAACTTTGCATGTGGCCTGTATAGTCGGAATATAACAAAGCCAAAAGTAACACACGCAAAAATAATAATAATTCACATCAATATAGACTAAAAAAAAAATAAAAATTCAGTGTAGTTTTAAAAATGTCTAAAACCAGTTGCGAACAGTACTTGATAAGTGACTTTATTTGAGCAAGTCCAACCTAAGCAAAGTACTGATTATAGAGCTTAGCTGATTTATCTATGGCCAATAAAAGTACCAATATGGGACTGCCATGAATATATCTGTAAAAGGTTTGAATGTTGTTAGATTAGATTAGATTAGATTAGATTAGATTAGACTACATTAGATGAGATGAGATGAGATACAACTTTATTATTCCTTTTGGGACGGTTCTCTCAAGGAAATTGAAATATAAAAAAAAAAACCTTAAAGAAATGTTCATTTCCATGAGCTTTTTTAAATAAAAGCTTAACAGGTCTTTCATTATCAAGTGGGTTTACAAACACTTGACATTTGACCAATTATCTTTAACAGCCTTTAAAAGTTGATTTAATTAAAAGCTGAATAATTTAAAAAGTGTGGTACTTTTAATGTCTATCTTTCTGTCTGTCTCCATACACCAGTTAGTCTCACCTGATGTCCAGCCCACATCATTATCTGATTGGCTAAACATCACACAGCTGTGCTAACGGTGACTGTTTAACTATAAACTACAATGGTTTTGTTAAGTTTTAATAAAACATTTTATAATTCAAGCAAAGTTGAATTGTGAAAGTTTTTCATTTTTACAGTTACATCTATTGGTTTCTAAATTCTGATAATCAGTCTCATGAACTGCTGGTAATCAAGTATTGGCATCAATCGATCAATCAATCAAATTGTATTTTTATAGCGCCAATTCACACTAGTCATCATCCCAAGACGCTTTTCAAAGAACAAGAGCAGGTCTAGACCCCGCTCATTGTTTGATATCAGTCTTATAAATCCATACAGAGTAGCTGTCCATTATTATGCTTCACAGTGCCCCTCTGAAGTGGAATCAGTCTAAAAACCCCACATTGGTCTGACTCTGCCAAAAGACCCTCAACAACATTACTTCCACTATCTCGTTTACAGTGGGACTCCCTGGTTGCCCAAACACACAATCTGCAGTATAAATAGCTGTGGGTCCAGGATCATGGATACAAAGTAAACAAAACACTAATATTGCGCCGAGTGGGACCCCCTGCTGCATCAGCGGGTCCAGATCCATGCTATGTGCTGAGCACGGTGCGGGTTCGGATCTTAGCGATGACCTTTTGGTGCACGTCTCACATCTGTGGTATCAGTCCTTCGCTGTATGCAATGAGCCAAAGACGTAAGTCCAAATAAAACATAATCCACTTTGCTTCCTGTCCCTCTAACAATCTGAGAAACGTAAGACTGCTGAGAAAATTCGGGGGGTAAAGTGAGTCATGGACAGGTTTGAGGAGCTCCAATTCAAATCTAGTCCAATGTAAACAAAAGTATCAGAATGTGAGTTAGTCTTACAAGGACATGCAAATAAAAGGAAAACAATAAAAATTAAGGGATATAACATCAGAAATGTCTTACAACATACAGCAGAAATGTATAACCGTTATGAACTATTTAAATTCCCCCCCGTAGTTTAACTCTACACTTCAAGGTTCACCTTTTATTTTCAAATATAAATGTACTATTTGAGTCATCAATTACCAGATAATCGTTCAATTTCAGGCCACGTTTGTGATAGATCTGACTCACAGTTATGTTACACAATCCAAATAATGCGCTCTCTAATACAAAGTAAGAGAGCCAATAAAGGATGAATTAATTCAGCCAATTTTTAAGACTACCTGAAGTTTTGCATCCCTGTCCATTAAGGGTAGGAACCACTGGTGGCCCCATGATACGATATTATCACGATACTTGGGCCACAATACAATATTATCGCAATTTTTAACATTTTGCAATCCAGTGGGTTTTGCAATACAATGTGGCAATTTATATATCTTTTTCAACTGTTTAGCTAATTTAGCATTTTGCTTTTCTGAATGTTTGTCTTATTTACACAGTATTTTATTTTTATGTAGCACATCTTGCGAACCTTAAATATATATATATATATATATATATATATATATATATATATATATATTTGTTGCACTAACTTACTCCTTCTCTATGATGTCACCTCTGCCAACCTCACTGGACAAACAGTTGATTTTAATTTTTCCATTATCGTAGATTTGACTTCATATTAGCAATTAATTTAAAAAATCGGTACTTGGTAAATGAGACGACACGACCAGACAAAATATCACGATACTATGCTCTATCGATTTTTTTCTCCCACCCCTACTGTTCATAGCACGTTTTATTCACCTATGTCTGCTGTGACCCAGCTTCATATTGAGAAGACTTTCGGCATCTACAGCGATGAAAACTTTTCTACAGTGCTGTGAAAAGTTTGGTGAGGTCCAAACACTTGATAAAATCCTGATAAACAGACACATTAGACTTAACCCTTAATCATCCAGAGCGCATGCCTTGTTAACCATCAGAGAGTAAGAGTAGTTAGTGCTTTTTGAGTTCAAGTAAAGAAGATAAAATGTAATTAACCCGTCCACCTCTGGCTGTAGACAAAGATACGAGCAGGAAGTCTACGGGGAGGAAAAACTCCCACCTGTCCCGACAAATCAAATGTTCACCTTTTACAATGTAGCTCTGTCAGCCCGACAACGAGCGTGACTGGAGGCACACAGGGACTGACAAAACATCGCGCACACACACACACACACACTCTCTCTCTCTGAGATGCTGCCCTGCCCTCTATTAGGGAGCACAATGCCTGTGTAAGGGGATCTTAATGAAGGAGTCCCCTGAGGCAAAGCTGGACGCCTCAGCTGAGGATGTGTACTGTTAGAGCTCATTAAATGAACATGAGTACTACCAGTGAAATGGTGAGAGAGCGTGTGTGTGTGTGTGTGTGTGTGAGGCGTTCAGTTACAGTACCAGGTTTAGCCGTTTATCTCATGCTGCACACATGCCTCTGTGTGCACCTATTCATCCACTCAGGACGGCCCTGTTGTTCCAGTTGTGTGTGTTGAAAGAAGTCGTCGCACTTTACATGAACTGCATGTTAGCCTCATGTGTGTGTGTGTCTGTCGGGTTCTGTTACTGGTAAATACTTAGACAGAGCTATTGATATCCCAGCGATTACTCAGATCACAGTTACAGGCCTCTGACACTTGTAGGAATAATCATATTTAGCACACAAGAGGGGGATGTGGTAAAACAGACAGATGATTCTGTCAAGAGGACGGGCGACAAATGTGAGACAAGAGACGACAAAATTAAATAGAAGAATGAGGAATAAGAAATGAGAAAACTACAGATGTTAAAAACTGATCTTGCAGCTCCCTCTTGTGGATGAAAATGGGAGTGTTTTAAGTTTATATTTGTACATCAGGATCTGTTTAATCAGTGTGGGCAGATAAATGTCTAAAAAGTTCCTTATTCGACAAAAAGGAAAAGGAGAACAGCAAGAACCAAATATGGATTTACTGCCCCTGAGGAGCAGCTTTTCAGAGCAGTGGAGAACACAGGTTTGGTCTTCTGACACGGATTTACGTTGACAGGTGTTGGTAAAGCAAGTCTGACAAAATCAACAAATCTCTTATCGGCAAAAAATTCACACTCTTTCATTTAAATACAAGCCGGTCTGTGAGCACTTTAAGAATTTTTGTAAAAACTGTCATTATACTACAAATCCCACGTATGTTACATTTTCATGTGCTTAAAATGACGGATTTATACACGTAACTGCAAAGTCTAACTTGCATTGTCTTTTTTAATAATCTCAGATGGCAGGATAGAAATAAAAAAAATGTCTCAATATTTTACCGAGCTAAATATTTTTCAGACAGATTTCTTTATTAAAATGTTAATTTAAGATAAGCATAATTTTTCTCACTAGACCCATTTATGAATAAATAAATTTTAAAAAATCAGGATGTAAGCAAAATACATCAGCCAACCTGCTCTCTCATTGTCGGTATCAGCGGTTATCAGTGGTTGAAAATCTGAAATCAGTCTGCAACTTGTGAGCACAGTCCTGATCTTCATTTCAAACTAAATAAGTCAAATATTCTGTTCAGCAGAGGGTAAACAGAGGAAGAAAGGATTGGGTCAAATATGAATAAAATAATCCCATATTTGTCAGGGTGCCCACAAGAACCTAAAAGGACTGTAAGGAAAGCTGAACTAAACGAAGAAATCTTATTGATTTCATCTATCTGAGTGTGTTTTCCTGTTTTACTTCACCAACTAATCAAAATAGTTTAAGTGTGGGGTTGTTACACGAGTTCATAATGCCATTTCTTTTTCCAAACTGCATCTGAATTAGTGTTGGGATTCAGTGACGCTGTGGCTTCAAAACGGCTCAATCAGCCGTTTTCACGTGCTGCTTGTGGTTTTTTTGACTCACCTCTCTCCCCTTGTGTGTGACCAGCGCAGCGAGCGGCTTGGCGTAGAAACGACTGTAGCTGAATCCCAGGCAGCCGTACATGCTGTTAGCGGTGAGCTTCAGAGCCTTCTGACGAATATCGTACTGTAAGAGAGAAGCACACTGAGTTTAGTTGAAAGAGAAAAGTGTAATATATTATAGTCCTGAAAAATTAAAGACTGTGAAGCTCTGACATGTCAGGAGTTGTTTTGGAGGCGATAAAAAAATCTGATCATGAAAAAGTCATGCACACCAAACATTACAAATGCACCTGCAGAGCTATTTTCACACACAGAGAGGAAAACTCTTTATGTCCTAAAAAATCCTCAACCACCATCAATCTTTAAACCTTTATTACCATCCAATCAGTCATCTTTAAACCAACATTAAGATCAAATTTTATTTACCTGCTGCTTTGATTTTTTTTAATACATGAAATTTAACAAGAGCGAGCTACAAGAGTGTGTAATAAACCCCAAAAGAGTTTTGTGAGATTTACTTCTGTTGACCTACTTTAAGTTTCTGGATCAGAGAAAATAAAAATAACAGTGTAGTGATGCTCTGTGTGTTTCCATCATAATGTGTGAACTCTTGAGTGTGTGTATCTGTGTGTGTGTGTGTTTTTGTGTATACCTGCAGGTAGACGTCTGGGTTGATGTCTTGTTGCTTCATCAGCTGTTTGACCTGTCTACGCCTCTCGACCAGCTTCCTGATCTCTTTGGGCAGAATTCCCATCTCCAGGTCTGGATCTGGAATTTCAGGAATCTCCTCTGACTCATCATCCTGTTACCATGGAAACAAGAACTGGAGGTGAGCTTTAACTTTACCCCTGGGAAAAAAAAAAAAATCATTCTCCCGGGAAGCAGGAGAACGAGGATCTTCACGCCTCTGAACCAGAGACTCAGTCTGGTTTGAAATCAGTTTCTTTGTCTATTAAGTAGTGATGGCTCCTACAGTAAACAAATAAACAAACACTGTACACACCTCCTTCTTCTTCGCTGCGTTGTAAGCTTCCCTTTGCACTGTGGTGAAGCAGATGTTGAACTCCTGGATTATGGAGGGATACAGGCTGTTGAAGTCCAGCAACAGCACAAACTTGTCGTAGAAACCTGCAGAGAGAAAGGAAGGGAAGGTCTTGAAAGCTGTACGAAGACTCACATTTGAAAAGATACAGATCAAGAAAAAAGACCTGAAAGACTCACCAACTTTGGGATCCAGCACTAGACCGCCAGCATAGGCGGCCTTCTTCTTCCGTTTGCCTTTCCCAGCATCCACATCTTCATCTCCATCAACCTTGGATAAAGAAACAAAGAGCAGAAGGTCAGTCAAAGGAAACACACTTCAGAAGAATATTGACAATGTCTGCTGTTGTGTTCAGTTTTTACCGTTTCCAGCGGGGCCTTTTTAAAGGAGGGTTTGTCAGGCACAATGTAGTTTTTGTCATGGAAGGCGTGAAGCAACAGGAACTCATTCCTCTCAGAGCGACCACCCATCAGAGTGCGAGACTGCGGGGAAGAAAGCGGGTGATTAAAGCAGGAGGTGAAGGACGTAAATAAAGGGGGAAAAAAGCCAGAGGGGGGAAGCTGACTTAAACAATCCTGAAGAGTCTATCTCAGGTTATCTTACCTAACTGCGACACAGAGGCGGATTAAAACCACCACCGCTAAGCCTTGATGATTTCTTTTTAGAGTTACCGCTTCGAGTATTTTCTTTCCATTCAAAAAGATAACAAGTCTTGCTTTTGTCTGCAAACGGTTGATTCTAGTTTCAATTTTCCGTACAATAATCAAGAAAAGCTGCCGACTGAAATTCAAAAACCTCACCGATCTGCTGTCCTGTTTTCTTTTGTCCTGCATGCTTAAAAATTCTTTTTCTACGACACACAGGCAGAAAAGACGTCTGGGAGTCGGGAGGATTTCGAGTGTTTCAGTTTTACGGATGCTGATTTTTCTGTTCTGACCAAACTGTCTTTTGGTTGTGATGGTTAGTGTTAATTTGAGCAGCCGTGGATAATTGATCGTGTTACCATGACGTTGCCGGCAATGTTGGTGATCTGCAGGGCCAGCGGCAGCACGTTGAGCTCACACATGATCTGGAGGATGAGCTTGGCGTCCATCCATGTTAACTCCAGCAAGTACAGCAGGTGAGGGGAGTCACTGTCACACAAACACATTTTAGGATAAATACAGTATTTACATATTGATCACGAGGGATGATCACTCACTCTTCTTTTTCTGATTTGGTTGAACTGTCCCTTTAAAGAAATACAAACCTGTAGAGATTCTTGATGTCCTCCTGAGGGACTGTGACTCTCTCCGTCTTCAGAACCTGAGCCGTCAGTTCAGTCAGGTGGTAACTTTTGCAGCGAATCAGCTCCTTGGCTGAGATCTCCACATCGCACACAAGGCGGCCGCAGGTCGCGCTCTTCTCTGCAAAGGAACCACGACCCTGGAAAAGAGGAGAGTGTTCAGGAAAGTAGAAGACAATACGAAATCAAAATAAGCTGCTTTTGGTGTTTTCAGGTGTCTCACCCCTAGTTTTGGCATGTTGGCCCTCCTTAGGCGACCGATCTTAGACCAGTGGGGAACTTTGCAGAAATTGATCCTTTGCAGGATCACTTCCAGGTCGAAGCCAAAGATGTCATGACCCTACAGGAAAAAAAAAAACGGAAGAATTCAAATTCAACTTTATTTGTATGGTACTTTTCAGACTTAAAAATGTAGTTCAAAGTGCCTCACAGAGGCTAAAAACAACAATTAAACGACAATAAAACCTGACCCACACACAAACAAAGACACACACCCACCCTTACTCATCCACACATTCACACATTCACACACACAAACGCACACAGAGTAAGAATTTAAGATATATTGTTAAGGAGACATGGCCAAATAAGTGAGAGCTCTTTAACCTGTAAAAGGGGTAAAAGAAGTAAAAAAAAAAACTCTAAGATGGGAATTAAGAAAAAGACTAAGAACAGAGATTATAAATAAAATGACATGAAATAAACATGAAGAACTTCAATTAAAATGAACATTTGCAATAAGAGAAATATAAAACGGCAATTAGTGAAAAGCCTGGTTAAAAAAGTGAGTCTTGAGCCTCTTCTTAAAAACATCGACAGTCTCTGCGGCCCTCTGGCAGGCTGTCCCACAACCGGGGGCCATAGAAACTAAAAGCCCCCTTCCCGTGTGTTTTTGTTTTAACTTTGGGTAAGGTTAAAAGGCCTGTGCCAGAGGACCTCAGGGTCCGCAAGGGTTGATATGATGAAAGTAAGCTAGATAAATAGGAGGGGTCAAGGCCATTAATACATCTAAAAACTAATAAAAGAAGAGCATTTTTGTTTTGGCAAAATTTTTGATGGATTATCCCTCCCAGTTCAGGATTCGCACTCACCACAAGCACATCGGGGTCGATCTTGTGCATCTTAGCGAGGAAGAAGCCGAGCAGGGTCCGCTCTGTAGCTGCTATCTCCACTTTTCCATTCTAATAGAGGAAATAAAGTCTCATCAGTAATTTTAGAGTCATTTACAATGGAGACAAATGCTTTAAAACATCATGATCACTGCATCTGTGTACTTTTCATAGAAACCTTATCAAGCACAATACACAATGAATACATTTGAACGTTATTTCACTTAAAGAACATTCTGGCTCTATGAAATCAAGTCAAATTTGTAAAAATCCTCCATATAAAAAGAGCATATTCCCGTAAAAATCAAGACAATGTTGGTGCAAAAGACTCACCTTCTTCCTCACCACCTCTTTGAAGTCATATGGGAAGATACAGTCAGCTGGTTTGCTCACAACTGCAACCAAAACAACATAAACATTAAAATCAGAGTCTGTGTTTGTTTCTACCTCCCTCACTGACTTCTCTTTTAATTACGCTTTATACTTAATGTCCAAAAACTAGCAGCACTGGCAACACTATGGCTCAATTTTACCCTGTGTCTCGGGTTTCTAACATAGAGAAAGCAAACATGAACATAAAGAACTCACCACAAAAATGGGTCTGGTATGGAGGTTGAGGTGGAGCTTTATCCATGTGGAACTTGTAGTGAACCAGTGCAGCCAAAGACACAATCTGAAGGTGAACGATAACACAATGAGGTATTAAAGTCACACAACAACATTAAAATTATCAAAATAATCAAAGACAGAGTCCTCACCTCATTGTGGTGGGTCTTGGGGTTCTGGATGGTCTTGAGGCTGATTGACATGATGGTAATAGGTGGAGGAGACAAGTCCTTCACCACCGTAACCAGGTCACTCCTTAAGGCCAGAGCCTCCACCTTACACCAGCTGACTGGCTGGCTTATCAGCTCTGACACAGAAACAAAATACACCCATGAATCTTTCAGAGGAGAGCGGATCTCTTCATGAACTTCTCTCATGTTTTAACGATCGAGGTCTCTAATGAAAGAATAAATCAAGTTAAGCTAAAAGGTAGTTTTCTGGTTTTCCTTACGGGGCGTCTTGATGTCCAGCCAGCAGGGCCCTTTAATCTTCCTGCTGAGGAGAAAATGCTCCAGGCTGGAAGTGTTGGTTCCAAAAACGTGGGAGAAAGTCGCCCCCTTGAGGTCTGAAGGCAGCGCAGGATACTCAGCCTGCAAAACAAGATTTACAGCTGTAGTCTGGATCACTTCGACCGAACACGCTGAGAATGTGTGCTCATGAACTCACAGAATATCTGACTTCCAGGTACTCGCAATGACTGGGCACATCAGGGATCTCAAAGGCGTAGTTCTTCTCAACTTTCTGTAGAGAGAATCAGGGAACCAGCTGTTAAAAATATGTTGAGGAAAGTATTTTTCCTTTACAGTCTGGAGCTGAGGCTACACCAACCTTTGACTTGAACTTCATGATCTTAAACTTCTCAGACAGCTCATTGAACTCTTGGTAGACGTCCATCATTCCTACAGGAGTGTCTGATATCTGTCCAGTCTTGGGATCCACTTTCTGTTTGTGGGGGGAAAAAAAATCAACATAATATTAAAAAGTAGCATATAAATCAAGTTGAAAACGCCTTTCTGGTCCGAGTTTAATTCATGATAAATACATGAAATATTACTGAGATGATCAGTCGGTGAAGAGCAGTAAAAAAAAAAAAACAACTGCAAAAGAATGAGGTATTTAGTAACTTAAGAACAAAATTAGTACAACATAGTTAACTTAAAGATTTTCACAAAAACACCTCATTCTTTTGCAGTTGTTTTTTATTGTTTGTTTTGAGGGATGTGAGAGATGAGGACGTTGAGCAAAAGTGTTGGAAGTTAACTTAACTGTTTGCTTGTTTGTTTGTTTGTTTACTTCTTTTTCAGTTGTTTTAGCAATAAAAAGGATATCAAATGAGTTTTCTGCCTTTAATTCTTTGAAAAAGTGTTTGAAAGACTCAAAAGCAGCCATTTGTTTAAAAAAAATAAGTAAATATGTAGATATACTTTAATTAACAAAATTTTAAAGCTTTATAAAAAACTTTTAAAAATCAGCTGATTAATCAGTAATCGAACTTTCTCCCCCCCTAATAATCGGTGTCGGTATCGGCTCCAAAAATCCTTATCGGTCATGCCCTTATGTCAAGTGAGTACACATGCGTAGTAATGTGACTTACATGTTCACGAGGCAGCAAGTACATGCTCCGCTCAATGTTCTTCACAGTGACGCAGCAGCTGACGTGAGACTTTGCGGATTCAATCCACACTTTCCCAAACAAGTACACCACACCTAAACCAGAGTAAAAAAAATTACAGTCAGGGAAGAGCTCTACTTATCAGAACATTTTTTAATAGCTGAAGATTATGAGAAAGTCTGCAACATGTCCTCTCCAGACCTGGCTGGTTGTAGGGCTCTTCAAATGCGTCCAACCAATAGAAGCGGAAAACCTGCTCCCCATCAGGCCCTTCCACCAGAGGAAGTCTGCTGGAGTCCACCTGAACCTCTACTGGGGCCTCGCTGGCTCCATCCTCCTCTTGTCCCCAGGAGCTGAGTTTGCCTGATCTGGAGAGGGATTGAGAAAGTAAGAATGACGTTTTCACTTTTGACAGTGTATTAGACAGTATATAAGCAGTTGACCTCATGGGGTACGTACAATAATACAGGGTCCTGGAGCTCTGTTTTAGGCTTCACTGTCACTGCCACAGCTGCTGCTTTAGGTTCAGGTTCAGGATCATCTTTGATCACAGGCTTCTCCTCCTGGAGCCCGACCTCCATCGGCTCATCAAAGTCCACCCCGTCAAACCCCATCATGTCACTCACTGAAAAATAAACTGTTAAAAAAAAAAGCAACATGCAAGAAAAAGGAACAAATCGTGAAAGCAACCACAGTAATAGTTACCTTCTTCATCCTGTTCCTCCACTTTTATCTTCTGCCTCTCCACAGGAGGAGCTGGAGTAGATGAAGGAGGACGAGCTGCTGACCTGGGGGTCGGGTCAGATGGGGGCGGCCTGATAACTTTGGCTTTGGGTGACTCCTGGTGTTGCAGATATGATGTTAAACATTTCAGCTACAAGCCAGTAGAGTGGTAGCTTGATGTATGGTTATTGCAATGAAACAATATAATGAGAGAAATGAATAATACCTTTGGCATCTGGGGTTTCACAGAAAAGGGATTCATTGGTGATCCAAGAGGTTTCTTTTTCTTCAGAGTCACAACGGGTGGAGGGGTCAGGAGAGCTGGTTTCTAGAATTTTAAAAAGGCAGCTTTTACAAAATGTACAAAATTTGACCCTGATTTTGTTTTTCATGTTGATATTCTGCACTGAGGACGTGCAACTGCACTAACCTCAGAGTGCAGGTCCTGTAAGATGTCTCCAAGTAGGTCATCCTTGGACAGGTCCACGTCTTTCTGCAGGAGAAAAATGTATGTTTTGGTCCATGAAGGAGCAAGAAACAATGCTGAGTGTTACTTTTGATCTTAATTCAAAATCTGCAAAGGACACAACAAATTTATACATGAAACAAAGACAAACCTCAACAGGCCTCTTGACATTACTGTTCATGAAGAGGCTCTTTATAGAGTTGGGTTTGGCTACGACAGATTTCTTCGCAGTCTTCTTTGAGCCTGCTCCTTTGGCGCCTGGTTTACCTGCAACCCAAACATTGAGAATTAAATTATATAGTGTTTTGTGACACTACAATTATGCTCATACTCAAAATGAAGCTATACTTGTGCGTTATTTAACACTGCGCCTATGTTACCTTTGTTGTTCTCTACAACATCCTCGTCCAAATCATCGTCAAAGATTTCTCTCCCGTCCTCCACATATCCAATTCCATCTGAAAAAGAATTGAAGCTTTCATGTCACACCTCAAATAACAAACATATCCTAAGAGGATACATGACACAGAAAACCCACCATCATCAATGATCCAGTCATCTTCTTGCCTTTCTCGTACCATCTTCGAGTATTGCTGCTCGTCTACCTCTTCATATACACTAGCGAACTCCTCCACCTGGAAGCACCACCACAAGATGAGCATATTATCAAACAAGCCCTCTTGGATCGCAACAGGTCAAGCTGTGCATGTGATATCTACTACCATTTCAATAACACTATTTCATATGTACAAGAATTTTGTAATGGTGTTAGTGGATGGCATTTTGGTTGAGGTTTGTTTATGGCTCCTCAGACCGCTGTGTAATGCTATCGTTCGGTAATGGATAATGGATTGATGCCCTGAGGAGAGTTATCAAACACAAAGTTAGAGGTACAATTACAGACAACTGTACAAAAATATAAGGACTGCATCTGTTGCGTTCAAGCTTCCCACCTCATATTTGATCTTCTCCCCCATCTTGGCTTTCTTGATCTGCTCCAGTGCAGACTTCCTCCCCACCTTTTCCCTCTTTTCTCGTCTGGAGCGAGACTTCGCCAGACTGCAAGAATCACCTCCATCATCTGAGGAGAGGAGCACACGGACATGAGGATTTCCTGACAGCAGCTATCTGTCACAGGTACATACCAAAGCATTACTGGCTACTGTGCAGTAATGCTGAACACAAAGATATGTGGATGTTACCGTGGCTTTACATTTTAAAAAGGCACCGCTTAGACAACAAACTTTCATCTTAACTACTTCACTTTAATCCAAACAGAGACAAAATAAAGAGCCTGAGCGTGGCCTTTTTGTGCCACTTTAATGTTAGCTAGCTCCTGTGTTAGCTAACTTCTTTCTCAGCTCCGCTTAAGTTCGCTAAAAAAGGACGAAGACACAAACTCACCGCCGTCCGGACCGTCCATGTCCTTCTCTGGGTTCGATACCGGAGCCATGAATTAAGTTTTTTCCTCTAAAAAGTGTCCCAAATGACAAATGTTCGCGGGGACCAGCACAATAACAGATCTGTCCGTCCGCGCCAAATAATCTTCCCGGGAAAAGTCATACACAGGAAGTGACATCACAGCGAGGCTGGCCAATTAAAATGTAGTGTTGCTTCCGCTTTTGAGCACATGATGGCAGTGTTGTATAATGGAATAGGCTACTTGTCTATCACTCATCTACAAAAATAACCTCCACTGTTTCTGTGACATGTGATATTTAGTCTTTTAAATCACTGACATGCACCTAACCGAAGCTCCAATTAATGAGCTGCAATAAAAGAGTTAATAACCACTTAAAAAAGACATTTATATGTTAATTAAGCGAAAAAAAAAACACTCAGGAATCTTTTAACCCAATTTAGACCAAAGAATGACATACATTATGCAAATGCAAACATTGTACGGTGGCCGAGAACCGCCACTGCCGCAAATAAAAAAAGAATGCAAAAAAGGAGCCACAACAGAAGTTACTGATGCAAAAAAAAAAAAAACCGAAACCGAAGCCTGCTGCAAATAAAAAAAGAAATGGGGCAGATAAAAAAAAAAGCCACAATGGAAGTTAACGATGCAAAAAAGTGTCAATGCACAAAAAAAAGTTACTGCGAAAATAAAAGGATGCAAAAATAAATTTAAAAAAGCCACAACGGAAGTGAGCTGCCAAGGACCAATAATGATGACCAATTTGCAGCGGGCTTCGGCTTCCTTTTTTATTTTGTGCATCCGTAACTTCCGTTGTGCCTTTTTTTTTTAACCGAAACCGTTTCTTTTTTTTTTATTTGCAGCAGGCTTCGGCTTCTTTTTTTTTTATTATTTTTGTGCATCGGTAACTTCTGTTGTGACTTTATTTTTTTTTTTTTTTGTAGTGGCGGTTCTCGGCCACCATACATTTGAATTCACGGAGTAAAAAAATGTGAGAACTACAGAAAATATAACAAAAAATGTTCTTAAATGAAGTCAGCCCATATAGTTAGGCAACTTAAACACGAAAGTTTGGCATCCAAAGTGGCCGTTTCGTGGTGCTATTCCTGAGCTTCATCTTTTAATATCCGGGACTATGTACTGTTCCCCTTTTTTTTAAGTCAATGTGCGCCTGTGTGTCCCGTTAAAGATCGTTTCCATGACGACAAGGCGGGCTTTAAAAACACAATAGGTGTCTGTCCCAGATTGGGGCCACAGACACACATATACAGTGTGCCAAACAAAGGAAAAACAAAGCGTGTTTTGTCCTTTAAACACCGAGTAAATCTACATTTGTGTACAGTGGGTCCAGTCTAATGGGGTTGCATGCTCATCTATTGTTATTTATTTATTTTTTGCAATAGCAATTTAGTTGTGTTGAACTCATACTTACTAAAGACACTAGTTGCACTTAAATGCACATATTGACCACGGTTGCACTAACAAAAGAGTTAGATTGAATGTATGGTCCCTCTTTCTCTGGGTCTGCTAAATGGACCGTGGTCCCCCCTGTTGTTGTCTCAGCTCATCATCATCAGTGAGCAGCTGATCTCCGCACAGACGGGCTGTCGTCGCACGGCTGCTCCTCCCCTCTGAGCTGGAGCATGAAGAGTCTGTTTCTTTAAACCGAACAGATAAGCAAGTGGGAAAATAATAATAATACAGCCTACTGTTGCCTGGAGACTGAGTAGAGCATTTTGGAGCCTGTCACCATGGTGAAACAGAGACGTATCAGGACACACTCCTGCTGCACAGCTGTTGCGCCTTTTTGTTGCAAAAGAGGACCACTTAAGGTAGGAAACCATCCCTGCTGAAAGCTTCAAAGTTTTGGTCTAAAATGTGGGTTTCCCGGTCTTGTCAATGTGATTTTAAATGGCTCAAAAACAAAAACTAACAGTAAGTTATCGGAGTATTGTTAGGAATGAGGAAGCCAGAGTTAGTTTAAACACGTGGTGCATTTTTCGAGTAGTTTAACAAGACCAGACATCACCACATGGTGACATCTCTTAATATCAGCGTCGGCTATAACAAAAGACATGCCCATAGGACAGCTACTGTAACAAATAGCAGGGTCTACTACAAAATTATGTAGGCTAACAAGATATCTGTCAGTTTTAGTATTTTTCTGTCAAGTTCATTTGTGTATAATAAACAATGGAGAGCCAGTTCAACCTCCACTAGTGTTTATATACACACGTTTATCGCCCCGTACTCAAAACAATGTTGTTATTCTCACTGATGGTGTTTTTATCCCATCCACCAATCCTCACCGCCGAGACTGCTGTAGCTCGTCTGTGATTGGTCCATCTTTCAGGCTCTCTCCTCTTTTCCGTCGCCATGGCGAGAGCTCGTAAAGATCGTATATTGTAAAGATGATTCACTTGGCCTCGCAAAGGTCCAGACCAAAAAAAAAAACAAACTACATATTTTAAAGATATGTTTGAATGATTTATGATATTTATCTATGTGCCCCTTATTTATGTCTATGTCCCCCTGTTTTTCAATGTGGTCCAGTGTCTTTGTTTTATTGTTTGTGTTAATTGTCTGTTTTTATCGTTTTTTAATTTTTAACGTACAGCACTTTGGTCAGCGTTTTGTTGTTGTTTTTTTTGACTTGGATTGGATTAAGACAAGAAGTCTTTGTGATTTCCAGTTTGTGTCTCTGTACAAAATCATATACATATATTACGTTAATAAACAATAGCCGATAACTAAAGCTTGAGTTGAGAAATTTCACTCATGGACAATTTTGGTGACCGCTCTAGAGAAAGCAGTTGTCTACCTTATAAGGCTATCTCTCTGCTGATTTTATCTTGACATGTGCTGTCTGATGAAAAAATGTCATCAAATGCCAAATGTGTCACTTATTGTGAATATTTGCCACCAAACTGCATTGTTTTGACAGGATGTTTTGAAATGTCACCCTGCTGCAGTGGTTTGTTACCCTACAAATTACAACAAAAATGTATTTATTTCATCACTGGAAACATCAATTTAGTGCTAAAATGCATTTAAAGGTATTTACGGGCTGGGCTGTTGGTGAATTTATGGGATCTTTCACACACTTTTCCCCAATCCTTGTCTTTAATAATCACATTTAATTCTGATTCCCATTTCTCTTTAACATCTCAAGTGTCCCCTGTTATGAGGGGTTGCAAACATTAATGCACCTTTGATACTGTTTTGATGCTATCTTTCTCTAAGACAGAACTCATCAATATTGATTCTAGTTGGGATGGTGTTTGTCTTAACATATCCCAGAAACTATCTTATGTGACATAAGATAGTTTCTGATTTGTAAATATTTCTAGTGATCCTTATGACTGAGCCCATATTTGTCTTTCAGCTTCTTAAATGACTTAATATTACACCCTTCAAATAGCTGATGGATTACAATGATCCATTTCTTTGCCTAGCTCTGGAAAGTCAGGTCCATCCTATTCATTAGAAAATCCCTGATACTTACTTTATTTGTTGCCCACCGACCACACTTTCCAAGTACATTTCATCCAAACATTTTTGATCTTCAATTTCTCCCGTTGTTTTGGGTCTAAAAATGGTAATGATTCAAGGGGTGTATGAGGGCTAGAGCTTTCTTCTAGTTCACGCCAGTTTGATTGATTATTTTGTTTCACCCGCTCTATTAACCCAGTTAACAGTGAAGCCCAGTCATATATTTTTAGATTAGGGAGGCTAAGACCACCAGCGGATTCAGGGTAAGCCAGTACATTCTGTTTGACCCTTGCTTTCCTTTTTTGCCATATAAATGTAGATATCATTTTGTTCCGCTGGAATCCAAATAAGTAAGGACTGAAAGAGGTATAACAACCTTGATAATACAGCCAAAATCTAATCACAAGCATAGCCCCCTATTGGAGTGTTTAGACATTGCTACAGAGTTAGACCTCTTTGCTTCCTCCTCCTCTCTGCAGCAGGGGATCAGAGAGGATGGAGGAGGAGGAGGAATAGAGAAGAGGAAAGGCAGACAGTATGAGCAGAGAGAGTGGGCGGGGAAACAGAGAAAGGAGACAGAGACAGAGCGGTGAGGAGAGGAGAGGAGAGAGGCATCATCTCACTGATGCTGAGTCACATAACGGAGGGACCACAGACACAACCCATGAGTCTTTGGGAATCATGGAGGAGCTTGAACACACCTGCCCCCATCCTCGGACGGTAGGGCATTTGAGTGTGTTTTCATTGTGTGGTAGTGTGTGAGTGTGTGTGACAGGGAGAGGGAGAGGAAGACAAAGGGTCCTGCTTCCTCCCCTGTTACGAAACAGATCCCCTATAGTAGCTATGTGTCTGCTCAGAATGCTGAGTGGACACGTTTGAATGAAGCAGAGGGATCACACTGTGGATAATGTAGCATGTCCTGCTGAGGGGGACACTGCGGCACTCAGGCAGAGATCCTCCTTGGTTTCCATACTGTCTCTTTTGTTTTTGGCTGTCCTGTCTGCCTCCTCCAATCGCTCCATCTTTTCTCTTTCATCTCCTCTTTCCCTCCGAGGTTTCACTGCTGATGTTTTATCATGCCCTGCGTTCTTGTTGGCCTATAATCCTGCTTATGCCAGATGTTGTTCTCTTGTGCCAGAGAGAGGGCTTTACAGACCGCTCCTCCTGATAGGCCTGTGAGGTCCCCTGGTCAGTATGTTTAAGCTTTGCCATCTGCTCTTTGCTGACTGTTTTGGAAACCACCCCGCTGTTCTCACCATGCCCAGGGAATCATGGGAGATGAGGTTGTAGTTCTGAAGGCTATCGATGAATCCTACTACATCTCAGATGAAGAATTGTTCAAAATGTTCAAGCATTCTTTAAAAAACAGGGGGAGGTCAGGCGAGTAAACAGGTCGTAATTATGCACAGTTGTTAGAAACTAATACCTTTTCGTTATCCCTCTTGTATATCGCTGTAAATCCTGCTTCATAGAAAGAAGTTGCATGATTATTGAAATCCACCTGTCCACACTGCATATCTTGTTTCCAGACTTGCTTTAGATGTCTGTTTTGTAGGTGATTTGTGAAATGCAGTTACAGTCAAATGTGTAGAAGAAGTTGCACCAAAAGCATATTGGTGTGTTTTAGTGCAGATAAGTAGACATTTTAACCTTGCAGCCCCACTAAGCTACTTTTTTAGGCAGGTCTCATTAAATGCAGTAGAGTCAAAGTATCACATTGAGTAACAAATGCGATGTATGCATTTTAACTTACTGAGGTTTATTTAAGTGATCGGTAACAATGTACAATAACCATAATTTATAAAGGGTAAATAGTTTATTAATGTTTAATCATCATTTAAAAACAGTATATCGACCAGTTATAAATGGCATATAGATAGTTTATTAATGTAAATTAATAGTTACTTTACCATTAACAAGCATTGAAATTTTGATGAATAATTTTCATTAAATTATTAATGGACTATTTATTTAAGGTTTATGTAGGGTTTAAATATTGGTTGTAAAACATCTAGATTAAAATGTGTGTCAGTAGCACTCTGTAATTGGTTAATATTTGTTTTTTCTTTAAACCATCTATATGGTTATTGTAAAGTTGCAACTGATGTTTGTAATACTTTGTGAATGATCAATAAGTGGTTTATAAACCACCTATAAACATTACTTGGATGGTTATTGTAAAGTTAGAGTTAGGGTTACATTTTTAAAATTATAAAATTTACAATTTATTAATGGTCTATGTGCTATTTATAAATGATAATTAAACATTGATAAACTATCTGCTTACCATTTATAAATGGTCTGTTTACCATTTATAAGTTATGGTTATTGTTAAATGTTACCAAGTGATCTTGTGGTTTGGGGTCCCAAACAGAGCTGGGATGCAGGTTTTTAAGTACATGAGTACCTCCATATCAGAGTTCTTTGTACATGAACATTTAGTTCTGACCCGCCGACTCTTCACTGCTGCACTAAGGTCACTTGGTCATAGCTTTTTTTAAATGGTGACACAATGTTATTCGACTTTGTATCATGACATTACTTACAGTTTTAAAATCATTCAGTCCTTGGAATAGCTATTAACAATACGTAATGTCCTTGAGCAGTAATAAAAAATAGTCCCTTGAATACTTTAAACCCAGATCAATAGAATCACTATTCCTGGAAAAGAAAGTCTGTCTGTCCAATTTTTAAATACATAGCATCAAAAAGGGAAGCACTGTCTGAGTATCTATACAAATGATCAGGTTACCTGCCCGTCCTCACCTGTGTCATGTCAGACTTTGCTTTTGTTGCCGCTCTTTGAGGACGTATTGACGTCATTTTCCAGTCTTGTCCTTGGAGACCGAATGTGTTTCCATTTTATCCTCCTCCTCTTGCACTCCCACATTTTACCGCTCTGTGAATGAGATTCAGCGTGTATTCCCTGTAGTCAACAGATGGCAGACAAAGACAAATTTTAAGGCAGGCCCACAGTATAACGCTTTAACCTTGATGTGTCTTCTACACTAGCGCTACACTCCATCTGTCTTAGTTTCCATGTCTCACAGTGTTGCTGTCTTTTCTCTGTCAACATCTGCCCAGTTGATGTGTGAGTTATTCAAAAATGATCACAGTCTTTCCATCTTCTCACTCTGGAGGTTTTCAGCTAATTCCTGAGACGGTTTCCTCAACAGATCGATAGCTCTGTTCTTGTTTTCTGCCACATGTTAGCACACAAACAGGCGACACACAAAAATGTCTGCCCAAACATTCACACAGCGTGATCAATAACACTGAGTGCAGCTCTTTCTCTCTCTAAATCCATCGGCTGGATATGGAGCAGGCATCAGCTGTGGTCAATATCTTAATGGAGGTTACTAAAACAGGAACGAGAGGACAGGAGGACTGGGGATTGGTCTCTGCTCCTTTCTAGCAATATCGTTGAAGTTTCTGAAGTGATTTAAAAAGCTAATTTTAGACTCCTCTGTTCAGTCGTCCTCTCTGAATTCGTGCATTTTTCTTTTTTAAATCTTTAACTCTGTCTATTCTTCTCTCAGACTTTGACAGAACCTGCCATCTTTGCCAGGGAGACCAGTTGTGAATGTCGCGCCCCTCATGAAAAACTCACCATCGCTCAGGCTCGCAGAGGAACCCCAGGTACAGAAGACCTCTTTCATGTTCTAGATGTTCATTATCATCTTTAATCCCTCCTTTCTCCTGCCTCTACTTACTATTTTTATGCTTTTCTACTACCTCTGCGAGCACATTGCCGCAGGCCTTACTGCCTTTTCCATCACCACAAATATTCATACTACTCCTAAACAATTTAGCACTGATGCTAAATGGGTGCATCCAGAGAAAGAAAGTATTAAAGAAGATGTAAGAAGGTACAAGAAGGAGATTTTCTAAGTTGAGCCACCCTCTGTTGCTTGGAAATGGTAAAAGAAATTGATCATGTCACCAAATATTTAGGAGATGGGCAGCAATTCATGGAGTCTGTGAAGGTTAGAAGCACATGGGTGAAGGGGTTAGACATTTATTTAAAAAAAAAAACATTTTTCACTCTTGAAAGTGAATTTTGTCTGTCTTAAGTTTTTTTTAGAATTGTGTTCAGACCATTAAAGATCATTTCACATTTGTTTTACACATTAATTGTGGTATCTATAAGCTACAACATGAGGTCAAAAACCTAGCATAAAAGTCCACCATTTTAGCTTAGAGGACTAATAAAGTCATCATAGTAGCTCTGGGGTAAGTTGAGCCATTTGGCCAGGGGAAAGATGAGCCCGTGCAGTTATATTCAACAATAATAAAAAGAATCACAATAGATGAAAGGTGAGGGAGGGCTGGGGCGGAGAATGGGCGGGTAGTATGGATATGGCTGAATTTACCCCATACACAGGGTAAGTTGACCTCTTTTTTTTTTTTGTCATGCTAAATTATCAAGACAGTTATATTTACACTCATTCTGTTAGTTTGCAGGGATGCACAACATCTTGAAATATAAGCAGATACACTAGTTAGAGACAAAACTATGATTGCTTCGATGTAGTGATCCAAAATATGAAAAATGGCTCATCTTACCCCACTCTCCTCAGTACTTATTTGAGTTTTATAAGAAGTGTTTGCCAAGCCTAAAGCTTTAGGATAATTGCTGCACACTATATTTAAAGCAACTAGCTAAATAAAGATAACAGCACTGCTTAGTTTTTACAAGGTACAAACTAAAAGGACACAAATGAAAAAAGAAAGAAAGGGATATTCCTACACAGCACTGCAGTTTGCTTTGATATTTGCTGTTATATTTCTGTGTTCTCAGTGGACCGACCGGTCAGAGTCTACGCAGACGGCATCTTTGATCTGTTCCACTCTGGACATGCACGTGCTCTCATGCAGGCCAAGAACCTCTTTCCCAACACCTACCTCATAGTAGGAGGTACAGCAGAGCTCACATACTGTACTCTGAACACACACACACACATGCCAGGGCTCAGATTTGTTTGATAAGGATGAGCATGATTCTGTGTTTTGTGGGTGTTTCATGGCCTTTCTCTTCAATGTGCTTTGAACAGTGTGCAGTGATGAGCTGACCCATAAGTACAAGGGTTTCACAGTCATGACGGAGACTGAACGTTATGAAGCACTAAGACACTGCCGCTATGTCGACGAGATCTTGAGAGACGCACCCTGGACTCTCACACCAGAGTTTCTAGAGAAACACAAGGTTTGTGCATGTGTGACTGTCATCATTCAGAGAATAAATTATAAGAGGACTTCTCTTATTGACACCATCCCCATTTTTGACTTTTGCGTGCTGAGAGCATGTGTCTGTTTTACCTCACATTACTGTGCCAGTGCATTGTCTTCAGCCATACCATGTGTGACCTTTGATTGTTCCTCAGATCGATTTTGTGGCTCATGATGATATCCCATACTCCTCAGCAGGAAGTGAGGACGTTTATAAACACATTAAGGAGGCAGGTCAGTGTGTGATGAGATTAATTCACGCAGCTTCACTTCAAATATTCTTTTGAACTGTTTTCTGACTGTGTTTTCCTCTGTGGGTGCACCAGGGATGTTTGTACCCACACAGCGCACAGAGGGAATCTCAACATCTGACTTAATAACTAGAATCGTCAGAGACTATGATGTCTACGCCCGGCGCAACCTCCAACGTGGTTACACAGCCAAGGAGCTGAACGTCAGCTACATCAACGTAAGAGCCGTACATGAACTGTTAACTGTAGTTACCATTCCCAAAAAAGTCTGAGTCAGTCAAATAAATAGCCGCTATATCTTGAAAAAAAATCATTTAAAAAGCTCCTGTTGTCTTTGGATGACTGCTGTAATTTAACAGTATTTTGTACTGGGTGTGTTTTGTAGATTTTGCACTTGAATGTTTTTTTATAACTCTGACTTTCACTGAAAAACTTATTTGTAGACAGATATAAAGTCATGCACCAAACATATATAGCTTTTGTATTAAATATTCAACAGGTGTTGAAAGATACACATGATATGTAGTTGTACTATGTTTAAACAAGATTCCTCTAGGGCTGTTATATATTTTGCTATAGGTACTGTTATTTATTGTTTATGGGGGCTTTTTTACCATAATTGATAGGACAGATTGTTAAGTTCAATAGGTAAACCAGCACCCTGATATTAGACTCAAAATCTTACTTTGATTAAATATGCATTTATCATAAAACACAATCTTAAAACTGGTCTCTTAAACTGCCTTTTTGTAATGTTTCATGATTGAGATTGACATTCCAACAATCCCTTTGCATCCACGTTTTAATCCCATTAGGAGAAGAAGTACCGGCTGCAGAACCAGGTGGACCGGATGAAGGAGAAGGTCCGTACAGTAGAGGAGAAGAGTAAACATTTTGTCTACCGTGTGGAGGAGAAGAGCGCAGACCTCATCCAGAAATGGGAGGAGAAATCGAGAGAGTTTATCGGCAACTTCTTAGAGCTGTTTGGCCCTGATGGGACTTGGGCATGTATCTCTTTATTTAAAAAAGTACTGTCATGATTAATAGTGAGGGCCTTGTAATAAGTATTATCTAATAGCCAATAATAAGTTAATAAAGGGATAATAACATGTTAATTACTGCTTATAGGACACTGAAAGGCTTCCATTACAAACTAACAGCTAATATATATGACTTTGTATCTCAGTTGTTGCTTTCATGGACTTGGTAGTGTTGTGTCGTTCGCGAACGATTCGTTCAAAAGAACCAAATCTTTTAAGTGAATGTACTAAACCGAATCACTTTCTCGAGTGATTCATTCGTTTCTCACTTCAGTTGAGCTGGAGTGAGAAACAGCATTGCCTGTCGAGCAGCCAGTGAACGAGGGACCACATGCACCAACACCTGAACCACTTGGTGAACGATTCACGCATTGAACTACACTCTCTGGAATCATTTTTGTCAGACAAAATGACCTTCTTCTTTTTTTTTAACTGCTACATTGCCACCACAATAACTTACATACAATAGGGCACAGCATGTAACAAGTAGTGCATTAAACCCGCAGCATCCTATCATTGCAGCGGTTTGCGAGGGAACGGTGTATGTTCAGTTTGAATTCTTCTAAACATTCAGTGAACGAATCACTCACTGAGCCCGATTTACCAAGCAGACCTGATAAATAGCATAAAATAGAACAGTACACTTAAAACATCATGACTTACAAACAAGTTCATTTTTAAAACCTGTTTGTCAAAGCAACACAGCCAAACACTCATGTCTCCCAGTCCCAGAAGCTACGAATTGAGCTAAATCCTGAACTGTTCAGCTGTGTATCAGTTCAGGAGGTCGGAGTCGCAGGCTTCTCCCTCTAAGCGCTACATGATTCGGTGATTTGGTGAACGAATCTTTCGAACGAATCTTTTTAGTGAACTGATGCTAATGATTCAGTAGATCTAAAAGAACTGCCGTGCTCATCACTAGAACTTGGCTCTTAATGTTGTTTGTCCAAATGTCTCCTCTCTGTTCGATACAGAAACAAGTGTTTCAGGAACGCAGTGGACGGATGCTCTCCTACGCTCTGTCTCCCAGAGAGTCGCCCTGCAACAGTCCTCCCCGCGAACTGTCCCCCCTGCGCTCCCCCTCCCCTCCATCTCCCCCGGCTCGCTGGCACAATGCCCGGCCCTCGCCTCCAACCTCCCCTAAGGGAGCATCTGCCTCTATGAGTAGCATGAGTGAAGGTGATGAAGATGAGAAGTAGACTGTTGGACTCACACATGTACACACACTCTCTCACACACACACACACACACACACACACACACTTCACTCACTGCCTGAGAACTGCTCACACACACACACACAAATAAAAATACTTCCCCAAAAATTATCAAGACACTGTAACAGTTCTTCTCAAGGAAGCTGCTAAGATGAAACGCAGAAGAGGATCATGGGAAATGTAGTTTAATGCTGCAGGGCTAAGAAGCCATCAACTGTCAACCAAACAGGCAGGAGGATAGTCGGAGGATTTGGGTACGCAGTTTTACATATCATCAGACTTCCCAAAATGCTTTGCAGCACCTTTCAGGAGTATTTTCTTTGGATTGTCCAGTACTGACAGACTGTCCTACATCCTTCTCATAATGTCAGCGCTTTGTTTTGTGTCTTTTTCCCTTCTTTTTTGTCTTTGCCAAGTTTTTTTTTACCACTGTGACCAAGAACCACATGTGAACGGACACAAAGGTATTTAAAATGTTTGTAACAGGTCATGTTGATGAGCAGGAACTGGACTTACCCACCACTTTTATCACTCTGTCACTTTGTGCTTGAGGAAAGGATACTACACATGCTAGTTTATCATAGTTGAATTGTTGGGCAATGCCTTCACACCGGTTTGCTCCAATTGTAGCCAAAATCATCAGCCAGGAAAAAATCAGTGAACCACAATCTTTGATCGAGTGGTGCTCATGTTACAGTTGTAACCGTGTAACTACTAAACGGATTAAAACTAATAATCCAAAAATGCCAAGGGAAGTAGCAGACCATTGGGGTTTGAGATTTTGGCTTCATTTAATCTGTAAAACATCTCTTAGATCGTCCCAATAACTTGATTGTGATTATTAGCTTCTTGAATGTAAACTGAGTCTTCACCCTGATCTCTGGTGAAATGCCACAGATACACAAATCCTTCACCATCTAGTAAGCCACATAAATACCACATCTCATCTCTGAAATATTGATTTCCATCACAGAAAAAAAGCCACTTTTACACCTTTTCCATGTTTTATGATCAGTGTTGAGTCCAAATTTTGCTCTTTGGACCATGTCAGCTGTAAAACAGACCCTACAAACTTGGAGATAAAGCCTTCCTCCAGGACCCTTATGATACTTGAAATATGAAATAATACAATAACTGAAGCCCTCCAGATGTACTGTCAGATCCACAAAAGCTGGAATATCTCATTTATGTTTGATAAGAAGAACTTTATTTATCCCTGAAGGGAAATTCAATATTGTTCGATATTTGATTTGCTGTTATTGAAAATGTAAGGTATGATGTATTGATTTCAGGCATCTCCTCCATACAAACAATACAATGAATACCCCAAATGCAATGTAGAGAGCATAACCTCATGTTGATCTGCACTATATGTAAAAAAAAAACTTTGAGAATGTTTTTCTTTTTTTTAAGTTTTAACCTTTAAAACAGCTTAATATGTAAATAAATAAACAATCTGAAACTGGACACAGATGGATCACACACACAACAGCTTTTTCTTTAATGTCAGGGTTTGACAGTTGAAGTTGATCTCATGCTGACACACAACATTAGACTTTTCTATCTCCTTTGGGTTTGTTGCATGTCTCCACTCGCTCCTTCATCGATGCACACAAATGCATTTGTCTAAGCAGGAGTTACGGTAAGATGGGACACACAGTTGAAACTCCACACCGGCTGCATAAACAGCGAATATGTTTGAATAGTTCAGTACACAATATTCTCTAAAAATCATACTTCAACAGTGAAGACACACAGGCCTCTAAATAATACAGCTGGAATTGAAATCTCAACAGGGGGGACCACAGATTTCCAATGCTGAACTGAGGCATCGAAATGAGGCGGTCTGTTGTGTTTAGTGAACAACACAGCACTTCCTTTACAGCAGGGTTATCACCGAGTCACACTCAGAGAGACTGGCAGTTCATGAAGGCATTGGCAGTGACGAAATCTTACAGCGAGGCTGAAAAGATGAGGAAGCTTGTCTTTCTGATTTCTTCAGCTACACCCCTTCCTTTTCTTTTCGTATCAAACTTGAGCTGAAGGAGATGAGAAAAGGAGGTCACTTTAGAAAACAGAAATTTCCTGATATCCCGTCTAAACAAATGGTAGAAACTAGTATGAGCCATGTTGGGCCTTTTTTTTTTCAGTGGTGGTGACTTTGAATCTCATCTGATCATAATTTTATGAAAAAAAAAATCCTTATAAAAAAACGGACAAGAATGTAAGCAGTTACTTGAAGGAAAAATGCTAGTGTAGCCCAAACAAAGTGCAATAAAAAGGTTCCTGAATATAGTTTCAGTACCAAAGATCAGCGTCTCCTTTAAAAACACTGTACCCTGCCAGTTTACTGAAACTTACTTGAGTTCCTATTGATTAAATAAAGAAACCTGGAGTAGGTTGTCCACTATAACACAGTATTAGGGTCACATTTAAGGAAAGAAATGAGATTATGAGAAATAAAGGCATAATTTTGCTCTGTGGTTAGCTGCCTTCAGTAACATGAGGAATGTGGATTAAGTTCAACTGTAGTGCAGGTTCAACAAATTTACTCTTTTTCGAGTCCTGATAATTTAAATAATGCGGTGCTGAGTCCACATTGAAATTGAGATACAGTTACAAAAGTCGACCTTCATAAGAGGCTCCACACCCTGCTTTTCTAACATCTAGGCTATAAACAGACCAAATCTGAGACTTTAATTTTATGTGGGAGAATGTATGTTTTTAGACTCTTGCAAGTTTAAGAATTTATTCCCAGATATATCACTTTTTCCTCTTCTTGCAAAATTACAACTCAGCTCTCAGATCTCATTTTTTCCCAAAGTGTGGCCTGAATCCTCTGTCATAGTCCACATTTTTGTTTAAATACAATCAGAGACTAAAATCATCACTAAGAGATCATAAAAACTGATCTATTTCTCATGTCAAAGGTGAGAACTGAAAGATAACAGTGCAAAAGCCTAAAAAAGAAGTTATTCAACTCTTTTGTTCATAGATTAAATAAATTAAAAACCTCATATTTCTCTATTCAGGTGCATTTCTCTGTTTTTTTTTCTTACTCTTACAAAAGCAAAAGCACAATTTTAGAAGCACACAAGCTTTGTTCTATCACTCAGAGGACTGCAGGGATTAGTAACACAACAACTACACTGAAAGCTGACTGTTTGAAGCACTGCTAGCACTGATAGTCAAAGCTGTTAGCATGTTGTGTGATGGTGTATTCCTTATTTCAGTCCTTTTGAGAGTCAACAGTCCATCGCTCTCTGCGAGAGTTTGTACAATACATCATGCTGGTGTGGTTGAAGCTACTTGACTGGCATGTTGGTGTCTTTTTGAGCATCTTTAAGATGCCCCTTTGGTCCATAAGCAGATTTTAAATCAAGATTCAATGAAGAGGAATAAAAAGCATGATAAGGGTCAGAACTGGTCAACTCTCTGTAGTTTAGGGCATTTTGTTTGTTAACCTAATATATTAAGTAGTAAAATATGAACATAATACTCTTTTTGTCTCATTTCAAGTTGCTGTGTGGCCTTTATGGCAGACTCTGAAACTATCAAACGTGCTCTAAGCTCACAGAAGTAAGGCTTCTTCTCTTTCATATCAGTACAATAATAAAACCTGACTTCTAGATCTTCAAAAATAATATGTACTCTTCCTGTAATTATTCCAAAAGAGGTATAATTTTACTTTATCCTTCTAACACTTTCTCAGGCTTAAATAGAGTGTAGTCAAAACAAGTCTTTACTATGCCAGTGGCACACTGGCCTACTTGTGCGTTCAGTCCAAAGTGTCTCCCAAAGGAAGGAAATGAAACCTCCTCTGCTTCCAGTTTGCGCCGAAACTCGTCCCTCTGACTCATCTTGTATGTGAGAGAGTGAGAAACAGAATACAAGCCTCCAGTACCGGTGAAAAAGGCTTTCAATCAGCACTGTGCAGCTTATTCAGCCACAAGGAGGAGCGGCCTAGTCAGCAGAGAGCCGGGCCAAACTGTGCATGAGACAGAGGAAGGGATAATGGCGACGAAGTGAGTTGGCCAGATAGAGGGAAAAATGAAGTCAGCTTCAGCACAGACTCACAAGTCATCTGGTTAAACAACAGTGAGGATATATGTAATTTTCAGGAGGTTCATTTTAACCTCTATCCTGGGAGAGCCAGTGCTAATGCCACAACAAAAAAAGCTACGCTGATGAATGTTATTGCCATTGGGTAGAGATAAAAGCCCAGCTCATGCATCTTTCCCAAACCTTTAACCACTGGAATGTAAAAGTCTGATTCGAAACCAAACATTTTCCCCAAGGGCAACATTTCATCCAACATGCTCTCGGTTAAAAGAGCAAGCTTTTCAGGCTTCCAGCAAAGCAGGTCGGGCAGAGTTATCTGTTGGCTTTGTATTTGGACTTGCTGGCGTCACGTGGCTCCTTGCTGGGGTTGCTCCAGTCATCCGCCTCCGGGCTGGTCTTGTAATGCCGCCATGCTGACTTGTTGAACACCGGGAGACGCTCAAATGACTCACTGGACAGGGCCTTTAGACAGAAGACAGCAGAATAAAACAGACAATGAAACCCTAGATGACACTAAGTACAGTACAAAGAGATTTACACAAACTTCAAACTATCCATTTAAACTCTGACCCTCAAAAGCACCACGTCCTTGAGAGCCAAGAAAGCCATTAAACCGTGTTCCAGATTTGACTAGCTCACTTTACCTTCAGATAGATGACCGCATCAGTGCCAACGCCCTCCATGGAGTAAAGTTTCAGATCTCCCTGGAAGTATCGGGCATAGAGCCTGGAAATTGGCAAACCGTAGCCAAAGCCAGCCTGGGAGTGGGGGGGAGTGGAGAGTCTGGTTTTAGCTTCCCAGGTGTCACGAGATACATACATAACATTGAGGCCAGAAGGTGTTTGAAACTTTTACCAGTCAGTACTTGTTTGATTTTATGTGTGTGTGTGTGTTTGTGTTTACCAATGGAACAGCTCCCGGCTCCAGACTTGGTGTTGGAGCAGTGGAGTACATGTAGTTAAAGAGACGGTCTATCTTCCTCAGAGGAACTCCACCTCCTCTGTCGCTGATCTGAGAAGCAACAAAATATCAGAGAATAAGATAACTTCTGAGAAAAATACACAAATTTTCACTCAGGTTTGTACTTTTCGCTGGTTTACCTTTATTGAAAGATCCTCTTTACCCAGAGTAACTTTGGCCTTCACCGGCGGTAATCCCTCTGCACTGTTTTCATGAAGCTCCACCGTGGCTCTCATCGAGTTCTACAAACACCCACACATTTAATTAACCCAGCTCAGCACAAATCCTGACAGAATTATAGTCCCATTATGGTTTAATTACATTGAAAGAGCACTGAACCCGTTAAAGCTACATGCTCCGATTCGGCACGTTGCTTACCTTGAAGAGCTCAAACAGCATGTGGAACAGATGAGAGGGCACATACACCACCTGGATGGGCTTTTTCAGGGCCTTCACTGGAAGATCGGACATGATGTGTTGAAGAACAAGACAAGAGAGCTGGTTCTTTCGAGGTTAATGAGATGGTGGACATTGTAATCAAGGGTCTAAATTTGGACTCTAAGCTGCACCCTCCAGCCCTGGAATCACTGGGATTACAGGGAGAAAAGGGTAAAACACATAGATGGAGTATAAGCAAAAACAAAATCTCTTACTGTTAAACTCTTCAATCTTCAGCTCTGGAGCTGCTAAGTAGTACTTCTCACACAGCATCTTGGCTGTGTCGTAGGCATCTGCGGAAGAAAAACAACATGAATAAGGACAGACGGAGCAGAGTATGTTCCTTGTCTGGGCGTGGATTCCTATCACAGATCATTAATGTAGCTTCTGTTTATTGAAAGGTCACTCAGAGTGCAGCTTTGGATTCACGCTGCTGGAATTCTGTTGAAAAGCATCCCTGTATGAACATGTTGGCATCCATGAACTCTAAGTTGTTTGATTTTTGCCACTTAATTACATAAATCCATAAAAGGACATCTAGAAATGAAAGGATTGCACAATGACCTGCTGTTACTCACCGCTAACAACCTCCGCCACATTGCAGGTTGGATCAATACCGCCTATATGCTTGGGGAGTGCTGGGTTGGTGTCGTTACCGAACAGAAGAGCTGCACAGAAAGACGTGTAAGTTAGAGGTGAAAGAATAAAAGGATGGATGGTACACTTGTGATAGACTCACTGTGCTGGTTGATGAGCATGCGGAAGGAGATTCGGTTGGTGTAAAAGCGGTCGAGGAAATACTGGACGTTGCTGCTGATGAAGGGATCGAAACCAAACTTCTCTTTGTACTCGATGACGCCCTGAGCCATGGTGGGGACCACATCATTGTGACGATTACGGATCTCGATCAAGAGCTCCAGGAAACTAAAAAAAAACAAGAAAAAATGTAAAGATAAAGAAAATACATTAGCATGTGCAAGACTGTTGCTTCTTCAATGTTTTAAAGTCAGTAGAAGATAATCAGGGAGTCATAAATCAGGATTTTAACTTTTATTTTCATTAGCAGTCAAGAGAGGCACTCTTGTCTCTTATTTGTTTGCTGTTTTGAAGACTAAAACATCTAATCAGGAGGAGTGCAAAGCTTCATATCTCTGCGTTTTCCTTTTCAGTGAACAGAGCTATTCTTGGAACTGCACTCTGTAAACACGCAGCCTTATCCAGACTCCTGTCTGTGTTTATACTTCATGTGCTGCTGTTTATCATGCGGCCATTGTTATAGTATAAATACACAGGGTTACCCATGAAACCATTAGCGATGTGTGTACTGAGTAGATTAGCTGCAATAGTAGGACTATAAAAGACACTGTGTGCCCGTCCTTACTCTATGTTTATTGCATATCTGTTCATGAGTCATTGATCAAGGTGATATCCACTCACTCATTCAGAACCTGAGGATCCTCTGGCTTTCTGTTCTCATAATCGAGCAGCTCCACGAAGCTCTGCATATACCTAATAAAAAAAACAAAGGTCAAAACTTTTGCACATGCTTATCTCCCTGATGGCCGTGTTAAGAGAGTTCCTGGAGAGGGTGTCTCACCATTTCTGTACCAGTCTGACAGAGGGCTGGCTCAGCAACTTATCAGGCAGGAGGTTGACCTCCCTCATGGTGTTGGCCAACCGAACAGGCAGCTCCTTACGTAGGAACATGTATGATGTTTTCTCGCAAGCATTGTCTCTACCTGGTGGAGCGAACATTTGGTATTAATTCAAAATAAAACACAACAAAGCAAATATCTATATCGACACTTGACACTTTAGTGTTAGTAATGCTATTCCTGAAATATAACTCTCTCAAAGTTAGGTCATCAGCTGGGCTTCTCTGTGCATGAAAACCATGGGATTATCATTGTTATAAACGATATGGGTGAAAACGTCCACAAAAATGCTCAAATATACAATGGAACTCTGGCAAGTAATTTAAAGTTTGCGTCGACTTTGCCGCCCCCTGTGGACAACGCAGTACCTCAGAACCTTTGCTAATATTGTCAGTGTTTTGGATACATGAGTTGTTTTGTTTCTCTGCTTTATCTTAAAAGTTAATGTGAATCTTTTGTGACAGGCTGCTTTAGCAACCTACAGTCTGAAACCAAACTGTGGTAGCCCGGAAGGTCAATGGCACGAAAACATTTCATAATACCTAAAAACATAAAACAAAACAACACACAAAAATAACAAATTTACCACATATATTTAAGAAAACTACAAATTAAAAACAAATATTTTTTATAATTCAATTTAAAATTAATAAAAACAACACAAACCTTTGAAATTTTTAAATAAGTTTTGAAAAAAAACTTTGAGAACTAAAATATTTAAAAAATGTAAAAGTATTTCTCTGACTAAAAAAAATATCTCTCCCTGAAAAAACTGTCTTTAGAGGCAGACAGCTAGCATATTACTTGATTGTGACTGGAAAAAAAATTGTCAAAGATTGAAAAATAAAAAATAGTAAGTCAGATTTTTTTTCCATTTTCTTAGCTATTTCAACTTTTTAGAAATGTATTTTTGTTTTATTAAGTATTTTTGTGTTGTTAGAATTTATTTTGGTTTTCAAACAATTATTTTTACTTCCAAAATACTTAAACTTTTTACAGTATTTTTCCTGTTTTTAGAAATTATTAGTGTTTTTTTTAAATAAATAAAGTGCTCATGTGAAACATTCTTGTGTTTTGTAAAATATATTAGTGTTTGGTGCAAAAATCTATTAATGCCTTTAGTATCATTCATCCCATTGATCCTTAGAGCCACCATAACACCCCCCCACACGCACACAACAGAGGATTCAGGCAGTCATGGCAAAGATATAGAATTTTGTTGCTAATGATCTGGTTTGCATCTGTAGCCCATACAGTGGAATCCATATTTACTGTAGCCTGTTTCATTTTAATCAGAAATACCCTTATATGGGCTTTAACCTTTAAATTCCTGCATCAAAAAGACCAGTACACACTGTAAACACACCAGCCACAGCTATTTTAAGCCTACGCAAGCAGGCCGCAATAATTTTCAACCTTTCATATGATACCTTAAACTGACTTGGACTTTCTTAACTGCGTGCCAAAATAACTTCATAAAAGGCAAACATAAATCTCATTAGGCAGTAGAGAGGTGGAGTCAAAGAAAGGTTAAGGGGTTTTGGGTTTCACATCCACACAGGAAAATATGAATCACTGGAGTGTTGATGTCCGTCTCGTGAGTTTGTGGATGACTTTGCATATCTACCCCTTTTGCTCAACCAACATGAAAATGTCACTGTCTGCAAATACACCAGCCTCTCACACATGCATGCAAAGATTAATTGAAGAGAACATGGAACCCATTGAACCTTTGGGAGTGAAAATCACCGGATGCGACAAAAAAAAGGGAACAAAGGTAAAGTCTTATCAATAGACACACAGCAAAGGAACAACTCCAACAGAGTGGAAGGAAATGTTTCTTCATGCCTGTCCAACAGACTATCCTCCTCTGACTCAGCAAATTAAAGAGAGGCTGCATCACTAATAAAACCAGGTAGTGAAACCAGTAAATACTGAGTCAGCCCTGGAAGGCCACACAGTCTGCAGCAGTCTCTTCAAGATGTCTCATTTGCTCCCCTCTGAATAAGGTCTGCCCTACTGCTCCAATGACACAAGGAATTACAGCCGACAAGACGCTCCCTTTGTTTCTTCATGCGAGCCAACAATTGCCGAAAGTTCCCAGTGCTGCACATCCAATCCACAGCTGTGAGAACAAATTACGTAACGAAGATGAGTCGTGTTTAATCACAGATGGATTAGGACTGACTGGAGTGTGACTACCAACACATCTTGGAGTCTTTTTTTTTAAGTGTCTAGCACAGTCATTGTGTGTAAAAGTATGGAAAAAATGACTCACTGACCCATTTGTCTAGTACTAAACTACACTGACTCAATGACTGTTTGACTACATTGACTGATGCTCTATAATCAACTTCATGCAAATGAAAATGACCTCAAAATATGAATCAAACTTGTTGGAGAACTTGTCTAACATGCTCTGGAACATGCTCCTCATGGAACCTTCCTTTGTGCCATCTTAAATCTAAATACCTGCATGCTTCAAGGCCTTGGTAAACAAGTCTGGGATGGAAAGCTGCCATGCAGGAGCCATCATCATGCATGGTACAGTGGCTGCTGTTATGGTTGGGTTATTGAAAGTAAACACCAAGATCAAACGCCATATCAGATCATAACACAGTCTCATGTTAAATGGCAGCATTGAAAGGACTAAAGACACGCCATTTATAAGGTATTAGAAATAAAAAAGGTGGAATGTAGATTATGAGTCAATATAAGGCCCACACGGTTGTCCTCCTTCAATGTGGTAGTCCTCTTACCAAAATCCAGAAACTGCTTAATAGAGAGCGGAGAAGGTGAAAATCTGGAGTAAAACTCGATTTTAGGGTTCGCGTTCTTCAGCAGAGACGCGACGATCCTCATCTTGAAAGTTTAATATCGATGCCAGGACCTGAAGGTGAGAATGAGACTCAATGAAAACACCACCATTTCTCCAACCGGTTATGTTGACAACCACGCGAACGGTCCTCCTCTCTTATCCGCGGACACATCTGTCCAAGCCCGCTGCTCTCCACCGGACCATACAGCGAAGGGATGATCAATATATGTCCATGACTTTACATGATCGGATGCGGACAATATGTGCCCAAGTAGGCTTCCTGTACCTACAGTGATGGGGATTCACGGCAACGACACAAACTCAAGCTTGTCTGAACGAACGGCATACTTCCGGTTTACAGTTTCAAAATAAAACTGTTAAATGGCTCAAATTACCGACATTGATATCTAAATTAAAGAGTAACCAACATTCTTTTAAGGGGAAGGAAGTCTTTAATTTATAGCTAATAGTAGCAAAACTAATATTTAAGTAGAAAATCTCCTTTTTCATTGACACATGTATTTGTTTTAGACATAAGCTATGCCTGAAATGGATCCCTAACCCCTATATCGGCGACTATATGGGGGTCAGCGCCATTTTGAAGGGTGTCCGAAACCTGAGTGATCAATTCCAGTGCCCCATACAGGCGACTAAAAATTTCCCATAAACCATTGCAAAATGTAGTGACCGTCCGATGGTCACTCACCGGTGTTGGGCATCCCGTTGTGCATTGTGTCTTGCCATGTAGTGTCCGAAACCTCCGGTGATTGAGGTCACTACATAGTCAACTATATAGTAAAACCCCATATGGGGGTTAGGGGTTAGGCATTGAGTGATTCATTTTGGACACAGCCATAGACTGCATATACTATGAACAACTTGGTTCCGCCTTCCGCCAACAGATTTGAAGCCAAAAAGCTCTCGGTACTTCCGCATTTTTTCTCCACTTCCTGAAACCAACATTACGCAGTAGCGTTGTACGCACTCCACCACCTGCGCAGTAGCAGTGTCGCCGGGAGTCGCTGTGATGACACCCAGCTCAAACAGCGTATCCCCAGGTGAGGTACAATCCTCGTACGCCCATAGGCTGTATCAAGTGTCAATCATAGAAAACATGAACCACCTAATAACTTTTAAAAAAGGAGCTGCACAGAAAAAAAGAGGACTTGGGGACAAACCAGTCCTACAATAACTACATGTCAACATCGCAACCGGGGGGAGAAAAAATTATATTCTGTGTAATAAATTTCTAAAGTTTTTCCACAGCTCCATAGGGATTACTGGAGGAGGTGGGATTTATGACCTATACCGCAGCCCGTCACCAGAGGGTGCTGTTCTCGGTGTGGCTTCACCCAGCAAGGAGGTAGACGCTGTCCATTCTATTTTAGATATGTTTATCCATGACACACCTAATGCTGCTGTTTCTCTAAATTTTATTAATAGAGCATCGAAGTCAACTATCTGAGCTAGAATTTTTTTTTAAATTTTTTCAAATCACTTTTATGCTTAAAAAAATCCTTTACCATGGTACAATAATAAAAATAATAACAAGGCTGCAACACAACTTGCAGTAACAATGGATACTGCAAGTGAGAATCTCTCAAAAAGAAAATAAATGTAGATCAAAGATAAAGTTGATTTGTCTTTTAAATGCCTTCAAACTCTCAACTGCCTAATATTTATCCACAAAATTTGTTTTATTGATGCATTTTTGGTCTGAACTACCAGCTTCATGAGCGTGTCACCTGATGTATATGATTTAATCAAATATAGTGTCTGAGCATATTGTGTTTACTTCTCCAGTGTAAGCTGATAATAAATAAATGCTTGATAAACGACTGAAATGTTTTCGTTCTATAACTTAGTTTAACCATTCGTCTATAACTGGTAAACAGTGAATTGGACATACCTGTCAAGTTTTGGTTTGGAAAATAAGGGAAATTTTCGGATGAAAACAAGCCCCCAATTAATATAATTTGATTACAATAATTAAAATAATCTGTCGTCTGTTACTGCAATGTCTTAAAATTTCTCCACAACGGCATTGCATTTTATTTTGAAACTTAAATCCATATACTTCCGGCCTGTCTGGACTACAAATTGATGTCCGGGGAAGCACGTACATCCGAAAGTCTCGTCAACCGCACTTGGCCCAGGCCTCCTGATGCTTCACGCTGATTGGCGTTGAACCAGGAAGTGAAAAATTGCAAGAACACGATTGGACGGCTGCTTGTCAATCATCGTCGTTGGGTAGTTTGTTTTTGTTCAGCCATTCACAGCTGCACGTACAGGATTACGTTCATGCATAACCAATAACTAAACATGTATTAAATTGTGATGTGTTCAGTGGTAGGGCATTTTCTCAGTTCATACTCCCTATTTGCACACCTTGACATATTTTCAATTTAATGAGTAAACATAGAAAGTGTAGATCAGTGTTGATCGTAAATATTCGATCGAAATATATTCGATCAACACAACAATATTACTGGGTCAGGTAGGCGTTCATCAGATTTTGAACTACACTGACATCTAGTGGCAGATTATAATTCAGTACCGCTTTGTGAGGCAAATAAAACCACTGAGTCAAAGGGTTTTCCAAACCTTTATCAAAACTTGTAATGTAGTAAAAGCAAATACTCTGCGTGTGCAACGTCCATGACACTTACACATTCCCACGCCATCATGGGTGGAATTAGGGTGATTTATCAGTAATTGGAGCGAGTTATGCTCTTACATAATAAAGCATTGCCAATAAAAAAATGTAAATAAAACAACTAACCCTAAACAAATTCTAACAAAAGGTTTCTTAACTGTTTTATAGTATTAGCTGTTCTTAATAACATACTAAAAGTTTACCAAAGTTTGACCGCTAGAAAGGTCTTTTTCAAGATTGCGTTCATGATGGGTTGGAAGCCCGAGGAGACACCCCAGGCGAATAGGGTAAAATATCACCATGAAACTTCCCAAGTTTATAACCTACATTAAGACAAATATTTTTTTGCACTACAAGTTTTGTCAAATGTTATGTTGGAATATGTAAATAAGGCAATATCTAATTAAATATGTATATATTGTAACCACCCCTAAAAATTCAAATATTGCCATGTGGTTTTTTTTCCCATGTCCTTAAAATGACTATTACTCCTTTGTATTCATTCTGGGGCACTAGTTATTTATCACTTATTTATCATACAAATATGCTAGTTAGAATATAAAATGTTCAAAACATGTATCAGGCACCAGTATTCCTGGTCTAGAATAAATACAAAGGAGTAATGGTCATTTTAAGGACATGGAAAAAAAACACATGACAATATTTTCATGTTTTAAAGGGTGGTTACAGTATTTTCTCATTTACAGAGTGATAAAAAGAGTTATCCAAAGTGCCCCCCCTTTCTGACTCTATGTCAACAAAATAAAACAAGAATTTGAAACTTTGGCTTTATCCATGTTCAGTTTCCGGTTCTGGAAATGTATGCAAATTAGTGCATATTTAATTAGATATTGCCTCATTTACATATTCCAACATAACATTCGACAAAACTTGTAATACAAAAAATGTTTGTCTTAATGTAAGTTTTAAACTTGGGAAGTTTCATGGTGATATTTGTTAGTTAAAAATTTTACCCTATTCACCTGGGGTGTCTTCCCAGGCTTCCAACCTATCATGGACGCCATCGTGAAAATGACACCTTTCTAGTGGTCAAACTTTGGTAAACTTTTAGTATGTTATTAAGGACATCTACTACTATAAAAAACAGCTGAGAAACTTTCTGTTAGATTTTTTTTGGGCGGGTTAAGTCATATTCACACCTGACTATATATATGGTACAAGCAAACTCTGACCTCTGACAAACAAATACTGCAAGCCTTTATAGATGTAATTCATATCCATATTTATTTATACATATAATCTCATAATCAAATTCATGCAGGGAATAAAAATGACACACTCACACACTCATACACTCATACATCCATTATACACAGTTCTCAAGCAGCCTTACGGCTCCGGGGCCATCTTTGTGTTTTCATTGTCTTCGTGTTCCTCTTCAGGTAAAGGATCATACTGTCGGCGATACAGCAGACGGGTTACCAGAGTGATGATGAACATCTCGAGGATCAATAGCTGCTGACTCATCACTGCAGAGACATGTGTGAACAGAGATTAGCTGTAACAGAGAGCTGTGTTTTGATGAGTTTAGCTCATTGTTCGTCACACTGATGAACAGAACAGCCTTGTGCATGATTGTTGACTCACTGTATCCTCTGGCGGCGGAGGAGAAAGGTGGAGTGCAGGCGATTGTTCCGTTCAAGGCCAAGATGTTGATGATGGCTGTTTGGAGCTGGCTCAGGATCAGCACGAGCTACAAACACACACACACACGCACATACACAGACAAACACTGTTTAACCTGATGAGCAAAAACACTGGAAAATCTTGTAAAATAAATCATGACAGTCCAATAACCTGACAAGATATAGGAGATTACTGTTTGCTGACAGCAGGCCATATAGATTTTTGTGTCTCCAGTTACTGTCCATGTGTGCTAACAGCTGTTTGTGTGCATAGACGTGTCAAGTTCATGTGTGTTCAAAGCGTTTCTCACCTGGTACATGGCGTACTTGGGGATGATCTTGAGTGAGCGCAGAGTTGTCCTCAAGTGCATGAACATGATTGCTACAGGCCACAGGGCTATGATTGTCAAGATACCGACAAAAGGGTTGATCCAGATCGCAGATCCTGTAATGGACAACTAAAACACAATCACGCAGACAGAGTTAAAGTGAGTAAATTTGGTAAAGGCAGGAAAAAATAAGACCAAGTGAGCGCTGACAGGAAAACAGTGAAAAAATCCCACCTACTATCATTTAAAATACAAGTTTGCTTGAATATATTTAGGTGTCCTAAATTTTATTCCTCATATGAAACCTGACACTAATTGTTAGTCCTAACATTTCTCTGTCTTAGATTATAATTTCTTTCAAAAAGTGGAGAAAACACATGAAAACACAAAAGCAAAGCACACTCAATCCAGGATGGATAATGACTTAGTTTTGCTTACAACTGCAGAAACAATCCCTTGAATCTTTACAAGTTAATTGTGAATGGATCTTTTGAAAATTCCTGAGAATTTCTAAACAATTTAGAAAATTTGTAACATTTCTGAACAGTGAAAATGATCTTCATTGAGCTTTTCAAATATTTATCATGAAGTTTCCAAGAATTTCAAAATAAAACTCCTCAAAGATTTTTTTCAAATTCCCCCCCTAGAAATCTAAAATAGCTTTAAGTTAAATAACACATAATTTCAGCATGTTTTCTCTGACAGGAACACGTCTCATTGTCCTTAAATTAAATACAATACTCAAAGTTGGCCAACTGGTCACATAATGCTGTTTTGAAGGGAGAAACCACACATCGTAGTTGTTTGTTCAGTCTTTTCAATTACCAAAATTACAAGAAAACAATCGGAAATGACTCAGTGGGGAGTAAGGAGCTGGAAATTCACTGACACAAAAAGAAAAGAACAAATATAATGACACTGGGGGATTTTGGACAACTTGTTCTATGCTACTGACTCACATCAGCCAGGTTGAAAGTCCCATTGGTCCAGAGGACAATGGAGAGGATGGTAAAGACTGGCTTCAGGAGGGCGAACTGGAAGGAGCCAAGTTTGAGCAGGAAGAGAGAGCGCCTGTAGGTGGGAGAGAGAAAAAGGATTCAAAGAAAGCACAGATGGCAGAAAACGATTTCAGGTTTGTATTTTCTGTAAAGAACATTCAAGGGTCCTCTGCGTATTCCCCAGCTTCCCTGAACCATCATATCTCCATTATATCCACAGGATGTTTTGAACAATTCAGGCAAGTCCATATCTGAATGTACCGATAAACCCCATGAGGTGTGCTCTGATTTCTCATAAACTGAAGTGTTTCCTCAGAAAGGCAGTGAAAGTTGATGATGGGAATCTGGGAACCACATCAAAGAATAAAAAGGCTCCTTGTGTCTTATCTCACCCGTCTCCTGCATCGTAACCATCACTGTGTCTATCAGTCAGTCTCAACATAAAAGGACTTTCTGAGTATTTACTCTGATGGAAATCATCTTTAGCAGTGCATAGCGTAATGCGTAAGCACATCTGTTCATCATTGTCAGACTCCAGCATGCAGAACATTGTGTTGAGACTTGCAAACCAACCACCACAGACAGACATACACAACAAATGGGCCATGGAGGCAGAGTTAATCAAAAATCCATTATTTGTTATGGGAATGCAGCCAGCCTTAAGCGGGATACACACACATAAGGATTTTTTAAATCTGAAGAGATTTTTTATCTGTTACAGACCCCACACATCAAGATAAAAAATCAGGCATTGAACAGTTTTGATTGTACTCTGTGTTGTGTGCTCTGATAATCTCAACACAGCACACCACACACAAAACGACTCTGTTTCACCACCGATCTAGAGTCTAGTCTTCCAAGACAGAAATCTTGCATGATAAAACATGATCTAACAAAAATGACTAAGAAGCAAAAACCGGGAAACAAAAGACGCAACATGGAAGAGGACACACAAAAGGAGGGAATGATGGTGGTTATGGTAGACTTTTTCACAGAAAAATCACGTACTAAAAAAAGAAATAAAAAAAAAATCAAAAAGATTTTTTTCCCACTTTATTTGTTTCCTTGTTTCTCAGCCCCCTTCTTGATTGGCTACATTCTGTTTCATGTGACAATTCATCAGTCATGACTCGGGATCGTCGGCTTTCCCGCCACATGTGAAGATTTCTGGTCGTAATATTGAACAAGTTTAATATTTATGATTGTCCGCCCCGACCCATTCCGGACCCAATTATCGGGACAAATTCACTCTTAATACACCCCAGACCACAGGATAATCTTAGAAGACATAAGATAATCTTCCGATGGTTGTCCTTGGTCGGGAAGGGGAAAACGGGACAAAAACAGTCTGATCATCTTTAATCAGATGGTAAGGGGAAAGCCAGGTTTCTAGTCTACTGTAGCATATATGACAAATACACACATGCTGTCTTCTGGAAGAGTTGAATGGCCAGCAGTGTGTTCAACCTACAGTCAACAAAGTGGTTGGCTTTTTTCTATGCTGTATGTGGAGACATTCTGTGAGGTTAAGCAACCTCCAAACAGGTCAAAGACCTCCTAGACCTGCCAGCAACCAAGCTTACCCCTCAATAAATCGGTGGTTGTGGCCACAGTAGCAGCTTTGAGAATCTCTGCTTCAATCGCATTGCATGACTGCTCAGCAACAGTCAGGAGATTTTAGAGCACTTCATGCTTTGTGGTGACGGATTCAGCACCTGCCCACGCTAAAACTACCACAAGCTGATTTCCTGAATGTAGTGTTTCTTTGCAAAAATACAGACGAGCTGAGGGCAACTATGATACCATAAAAGCCCTGAGATATTTCACGCTATGTGTGATGAAGCTATAATATCTGAAAACTTCAATTCTTTAAAATCAAATTAAGGAAACGATTAACTTTTTCAGGACATTCTAGTTCTCTGAGCTGCATCTGAGTGTACTAATTAAATGAGACACATACCAGCATGCTTAGTTATTGTAGGGAATAGCTTAGCAACCAGTTTTTTCCTGCTTCCTGCTTTTGTGCTGAGATAATATAGCCTTATATCTACAGGGCAGATCTGAGATGCTGTTCCACTCCTTATATAAGTCTCGAGAGGAAAATCAATAAGCATGTTTCATTAGATGTTGAACCTTGTCCCAGTGAAGGATAACCCCTTATACTTATCATAAAGAGCCCTGTAAAGAATGTCATTTTAGTAGCAAAACAAGCAACACCTCATGTTCCAAAAACAACATTTTTGTGCCACTGGCAGTGAGGCTGATATAAAGTTTCTCAGTAAGTTCTAATCTGATAAACATGTGCTCTCCCTCGCTGAGGATAATGGGATCCAGTTTCTAAATCCACATGCAGACAGTTGATGTTGTTACCAAACCTAACATATGTCTCTGCTTAGTATTCCCCAGAAGCCACTAACTCCCAGGGTATTGTTAGAAGTTTGAGGTATTGATTACATAAGCAGATGAAAACCAAGAATTGGATATCATTGGCGCGCTTACTTTGTGATGGCAACATATGGGAGACATGGGCAGCAGCAGCAGCACGGCCCTGTGCTGATCCTGAGCTTATGTTTTCCTGCCCGCCTGAGGAAGGCCTCGTCGCCACCCACCTCCTCCACCATCAAGATCAGGAACTTGAACACCACGATGGAAAAGTAACTACGGAGAAGATATGGGGAGTGAATAACAAGTGGAGAGTATAGAAGAAAGGATCAAAAGAGAAACAACCATCTGTTCCCTGATTCAGAAATCATGGTAGGGTGTGAAGTTCACGTTTTTGAGCGTAATAAAACACACAGCTCTGTGAAAGGTGAAAACTGAGCTAAAGAGAAGCAGACAGAGAGAGACCCACCAGGCAGAGAACATGTCAGTAAACATGGTGGCTCTTGGGATCCACATCCCAAGGCAGGACATGGTGCCGATCACCTGAAACCAACGAGAGAAACAGTAAATCACCATGAGGAGAACTGAACCTTCTTCACTAATGTTGAAATATGACTATCTGCTTTCTTTTCAGGATTTCCCATCGTTATTCTTACCGGTGCTGCCCCGTTCACCCAGATGATCACACTCTTCTTATTGTTTGGGACTTTTCTGTAGATGTAGACGCACTCCTCTATGTAGATCAGCATGGACACTGCTGCCATGAAGGTCAGCACGGAGTACAGGATGATGCCGAAGATGTCCAACTCTAGAGAGAGGGAGGGAAACGAGCCGTTTACCCGCAACTCTTAATTTCACAAGCTATGCAACAGAAATTGAACCTGAATATGGTTGTTGACTGGATCAGTTAATACAATTACAAAACAAGTAAAATGCCAATTTGGAGAAAAAATGATCGTTTAAATTTTTGAGCTGCATCTGTATTTTGATTAGACCCACATCATATGTTAGTTTCTGAACGGGGTATGTTTTTACTGGAAAGCTGCTTGATTAATAGCACTGCTTAGTCCTTTAACTATTAAGGTGATGTGTTTTAATGTGCTCACAGCCTTCATATGTCTAATCAGAGGGAAATAATCACACCCCAAGTAAAGCCAAGAAGCCCAGAGGCAGGGAGACGTCCTCATAAGAAGTCAGGTCAACAGCCCTGCTAACAGCTCAGTGAGAGTAAACATGAAGATTAGAGTAGTTTTACACATGTATTAGCATGCCCACCATGGCTGTGCTTACATGCTAATAGTTAGCAGAGTTAACATGTTAGCATGCAAGGTGAACTATTTGCTTCCAGAAAGTTTGATATTCACCAAACTAACCATGTAGATAATGGTGTTGATGTCATGGCTGCAAGATACAGGGCAGAACTGACACCGGGATATGTTTTCTGTGTGCATTTTAATGGCAATTTGAAAACAAATTAGAAAAGTGTTTGATTACCTTAATTTTCCTTGAACAAAACAAAACTTCAAATACCTTTACTACACTTAGTTCAGCCCTTCACCAGTAAATCTGACACTAGACCTGCACAAAATGAAAAAGCAGTCTGATAACACTGCTAAACACTGTGCTATCACTAAGAACTGTGAAAAATAAGCATTCAAGAAGAAGTATGCGTTGCAGTGATGATTCACTTCTGGTTATTTTGAGTTTATGAGCATAAAAAAATAATTCCTGCTGGTAAATGACATCCTTAAAGCAAAAGTTCAACATGTCATAACAGAAGGAAAAAACGATCTATTGCTACACTCTCTGAGACTTACTGTTTACTTTAGGTTAGCCAAGATACCGATGTAGATAAATGCCTGTTTTTCTTAAAAAATGACACATGCTTAACAAAAACAGTTTGAACTTAAAAATTCCTTAAAGGACTTTTCACATTTATGAAGCAGACAGAAATTTGAAAAGGACTGTCAGCGACAAGATTGAGGGTCTTTATATCGTCATTTTAGGTGCCTGAAACCAGTATGAAGCGATCAGCTGAGTGGCTGAGGAGGCAGCCCTGTTTTACAATCTTCACATAAAATTTTTACTAGCTGTGATGAATTTACCTACGCATGTAGAGGGAGATTACTTTGCCCACAGGTAGTGCTAAAATTGACACCAACCAAAAGTTCCTTACAGGAGCTTTGATGTCCTCGTTCCCAACAACTGCAGCTAGGGTAAGTTTTATAACTCATCCTTTTTAAATTAAATAAGTTTTTCATTACAAGGAAAAATTAGGAGACTGACTGAATCACAAATCCTGCAAAAAAAAGAGATGATGGTAGAATTGTGTCATTGGAAATATTGCACATTAAAAACAGGTTTAATCAAAGGGTAATTTATGTGTGTTTGTGACATAAAGAACTGACAATGGCTCAAACTAGATTGTGTAGCAGTAAAAACGATGACTGCAACAGGGGAAATCGAATGCAGACTGTTCCCTGGACTCACACGTTGACAGAAAAAAACAATTAGAGGATGGAAGGAGACACTTGGGATTAATTTTTTCAGTCACTGTTGGTTATTTCACAAATTTCTCTGGAAGCAAACACAAGTTGTCGATGAGTGATGGTGGGCTTTTTCATGAAAACTGAAACTTGAGGACACATGTGGTCACAATTGAATCAGTCCAACAGATGTTTCAGACAAAGATAGGCAGAAAGAAAAAGTAGGAGAGGGGGCTGAGGAAAGTGTTTCAGTATGTTGCCTGTAAATCTGATTCATTTGCTTCCTGGTATTCAGGGTCATTAACGGTAAACATCACTAGAAAACACATGGGCCGTTAACAACACAAACAAGCACTGCTATTTTAAGGGTTTGTGGTCAGGATGTCCTCTCGAGGGGCAAACTTTCTCTTTCTCTGCTTTTGATAAACTCTTTTAATCTAAAGAAATACTTTTTATTATTAAACTGTGATGTGGTATATATCAACCAGTATGTCTCGTCAGACACTTTTTTTTCTTCTATTTTAAAATATAAAGTTATCATCACCACATTATGTAATGACTTGAATAAAAAAAGATTTAAAAGATTACATAAAGAACTTGGCACAACATATTTTTGTTATCTACGCATCAACATAATTACCAAGATAAACAATGGGTGATTGTACTGATATTTGAGTCATACCTTGTCTGAGGAAGTTCCTTGGAAGAGTGGTTTCACAAGAGACCATTTGCTCTATAGTGTCACCAGGGATTAATTGACATAAGTTTATTTAACAGCGGATATCACATTGTTGTTATACTGGCATGTTACCTCGAATGAACGTTTCATTAGATAAATGTAGAAAGAAAAGTACTTGGCTTCGTGAAACGTTGCCACAGGGGACTTTGGATTTTCTGTCCAGATATCTGATGTAAGTAAGACCAAAAAAAAGGTGTATATAAATTTTATAATGTTTAATACTGGTGAGTAACTGCTTTTATGCTGTTAAACAAGTTTTTCATTTAGCAAGGCCGGTATGACGCTGATTGATCTACCTGATTGATTGGCCAGCGGAATAATCGTCTATCTTTAAAAGACATTAAGGGAAATTTTGTTAAAAAAACATATAATATGAAATTATGATAAAATAGAGAAGTGTTTTTAAAAAATCTCTTTTATTTAAAAATACAAAGTTTTTAACCCTTTATGTCCTTTTGCATCATATTTGATACATACTTTTATAGACTTCTATCAAAACTTCTATCCAAAAACATCTAATGTATCAAATGCGATAAAAAAAATATATTTGTTAAATTTTAAGGACATTTGGATTTTTTTGGTTTTTGAATAGTAAGTGAAATAAACATTTCAGCTCCAAAAAATGTTGAATTTTCTGGCCATAATTTGTGGTGTCAGGCATTAAAGGGCTACAAAACCAAAGAGAACATAAAACCCAATCATTTATGGGAAACAGAGGATGTAAGCTTCAATCTATGATCATAAATCAGACAACCAGAGTCCAGATGAGGGTGTAGCACCAAGCAGCATTATCCATTTAGTCTTTACTCCAAACATAGGATATAAAATCGCCCTGAAACTTCAGTAACAAAAAAATATCATCTTTGCTCATCACAAATATTAGGCCTCAACACGCCTTTAAGTAGTCAGAGTGAAAGAAAGGGAGCCGAGTGTGGCAAAGGGGGATGAATCAGAGTAATGAAATCATAATAGAAGAAAAAGTTTAAAATCAATCATGTCATTTAAGTGTAAATGCCTTATAGTTTAACTTAGAAGAGGAAAAAGTAACAACCTGGATGTTAAAATACAGGAAACCACTTTCACATGGATTGATTTCTTCTTGGAGTTTTCAACTGTCGAACCCCACGGACAGACACTTTCTAATCTATAATCAAATTTTATACACCAGTGTATTCAGAAATATATTTCAGAGGAAGAAAATTTGAATCTCTAACACAAAAATATCATGAGTTTTGTTAACATTTGTTTAGTCACAGTAAAAAAAGGTGTATTTTTTTGAACCCATTTCATTAAAGAATAATAAAAACAAAATATTTTAATGACTAATTTTACGAACACATTTTCTGTTCCATCATCTTGTTTACTACTTTAGAATTTAAGTCCTAAAAATAATGCTCAGCTCTTCCGAGGTGGATTATCTGTATGCTGCTGCAAAACCTCCACGGAGTATAACACTAAGAAGTGAAAAGGATTATCCAACATTCACAATAACACCAGCAGCCAAGGGAAGTGGATTTATGGATTAACATGATAATTATTTTAAAATCTGTCACTGAACACTGAATTTTTGACATTAATTTAAGGTTTTACAGGGGTGCTTATCTTGCCTGGTGGTTATTTGTACCTTTCTCAGCTCTAGCTGTTGGGCTCTAGAAATGTAGACTGTGAAGTGGTGTACTTCAGTCCACCCAGGAGAAAAACAGGAGCACTAGATGCACAGGGAAGACCAACAACCCACAGCCTCCCAGCAACTCCGAGATTGGGGTCGAGGAACTTGTGGGAACAGATTGAACCGACGCAATAATCAACAGAACACCAGGCTGACTCCAGTCTGGAGGATAAAACTTGAAAATGTTGTTTCAACTCACTGAGGATGATGTCGATGGCGAGAGGAGGTTCTCGCAGGCAGCCCGGGTCCATCGTGGGGATTGATCTGTTATCCATGGTGAGTGGTTTATGTTAGTAGACTTGATATAAAAACGGTTGTGTCTGCTCCTGCTGAGGATTCCTGCTGTCTACATCCACAGACGCTTGGTGAGTGAAAGTCGAATCTCTCCTCTCCTTACATCCACAGAGCGTCCCGAAAGTTTCCACAGAGGAATATCTGCCTGCAGGGCACCCCAAACACTTGTTGCAATCCCAGGACCCGCCTCCACCCCGCTGTCAGAGGACGGTGATTGTTGCTCCGTTGCAGCCTAATCGTGACAGGCTGGGTAATTGACGTAAAAAACGTGCTGTGGGATGTCGTACAGGGTTTTTTTCTCCAGAAAAGGAGAAATGAAAGGATACGGCTTCCCTAACCCTCTTTGACTTTTTTCTTTCATTTTTCAAACTAAGCTTAAAGGGCAATGATTTCTTCTTTACTTCCCAAAGTATTTTTTTGGCAGACTGGAAGGTGAAAGACATTTCCCATAGTGTTATCTCCTCCTCTCCTTCTTATATATGACTTTCTAGAAATTGTAAATGGGATCTCATCTCCAGAAACCTTTTCATGTCAAACTTCTTGTGCTAAACTTTGTTTGGTTTGTTTATTGAAATTCATTACCAAGCAGGGGTGTTCACAAGCTATTTTGACTGGGGGCCATAGGCTAACAGGGGCACCAGGTGGCCCTAGAAAACCACTTCTAATCAGATAAGAATTGGAAAAAATGCCCAATTGGAATAAAAATGACTCATATAAGCACTGTAGTTAGAAAAAAATTGCCCATATGATTGGAAAAATAACAGTCAAAGATGGATGGTGTAGTCTCCTCCGTTTTGCAGTTAAACAGCCATGCAATCAGAGGCGAAGGAGAGGGGACTTTCCCCGGGAAGTCTTCCCCGGGATGCATCTTTTTCCCCCAAGAAAGTCGCAAAATCTCATTGGGCTTGATTTGTATAGTTAGGCGCATCAAAATTCGCCTCTGAATATTTCGTAATTTCGCGTTCTATATTTGTGTCGGCCCCGGTGTGTAAGGACCTTTAACCATAATCCTCCATCTGTTTACATGGAGAGAACAGGGTTTATGACTCAAACACAAACAGAAAGCATTCATTTGCACTTTTATCTCCACATATTCTTTACATACAAGTATTGCATTCTCGTCTCTAATTAATTATCTTTCAAAGCAGCAGAATGGAGTGGCAACATATTAAACCTTTATGCACAATCCTTCCATGACGAATAAAACGAACAAAACAGATTATATTCCACTGAAATGCAAAGAAAGCTCCTAACACCCTGCTGCAACACAATCTAAATTGCCTAGCTGATTTTCATGTGAGCCCCAAACCCAACAAGGCAAATAGTTGATCAAAGTTTGGAATTTAAGGGCAGCTGATTAGAACCCAAGGGGGGGACAAAGGCACCTCTGGTAACCTCCTGGGCTCACCCCTGTGTCAGAGAGCCCTTACCTTTTTTATATAGTATATATATATTTCTCTGGTTTGAATAAAAACTTTGTGGGGTTTTCAATGGACCCTGTTACAAACTGCTTATTTATGGTCAGAATTAAACAGAATTACTAGTAAGAAAAAACACAATTTTGTCATCTGAGAAAGAACCTTGTCTTAAATCTTGAAATGTTACTGGACTTCCTCGTGTAACACCTCAGGACTTGCCTCCAGGAGAGAGAGGAGGAGGAGGAGGGAAACAGTCACAGCCGTAGATATGCATGTGCGTGCTTGTGTGTGTTGGAAGAGGGGCATTTCTTAAGACTGGAGCCTGTGGACAACACATGCATGCACATCACATGCCCCGTTGTTCCCATAGCAACATGTGCAGGAGGTATTGTCATGTGAGGCATTTGTTGGGAATCTTTTTGCGCCCCTTTAGCTCCATTTGAATAATTTCCCACTACACTTAACAGCCAGTGTGGAGATTTGAAACATCAGTAAACTAACCCTGATTCACTGGGTGCAGGTTAATAACTTTCCCCCTTTTAATTGAACTTTTTAACATCATCTGTCTCCCACTTATATACAGATTTTATTTTTCCATCTCTGTGTTGAATCAAACCTTGGCTTCATAAGGTTAAAACAGCTTGTTGGCACTTCTGTTTATCTTCTCCCTGCCCTTGATCTGCGTGTGCCAACACATTTGAAGGAGTGCTTTCAATGGCTGGTTTAAAGGCACTGAAACGAGGACATACGTCAGCCAAGTATTGCACATATAGGGATACAATATTACACTCCTCTGGACTGATGTGCTCACTTTTATGACAAAATGCACAGTGTGACCCACCGCTTTCGCACCTTGGGCTAACGTCAGATCATTTGGATCATGTCTGAGCAACAGTCTTTCTCGGAGCATCACGGCACACCTTGGCTTACGTTTCTTGCTCCACACTCATCCGAAAGGATGTGTCTGGACTGGCCTAAGAGAATGAAATCAATAGGAAAGCAAGACGGTGTTGTGGTGTGGTGTGGCAATAAGCAATGCTCCGGCTTTAAGAGAACATGAAGGAGAAAATTGGTCCCTTAGGCAAAAAGAATTAGTATTTTATACCAGTTTAGAACACACTGTTGGGAATGACATGCAGTATCAAAGCTGATGAGCCATCTCCAAAAACCGTCACTTGATGACTTCAGTGATACTTCCTAGAAACACAAAGCTTGCAGATTTCCCTTTAATGGTTAAACCATCCAAAGGTTTTTTTTTTCACTGACCTTGCTGAGGATAGACTCGCTGTTTACTCCACGTAACAAACTGACTGCAAGGTCATTAACCCTGGAGCTTTTATCTCACATGTACACGGAGAAGCGCTCTACAAACATATGCAGAAAAGTGCTCTTGACCACTTGTTCTTTAATCATGTTTGAAGTTCCTGCTCAGACTGAAACAATATGGATGATCCCATTGATGTAAAACAGTAACTGAGATCATCAGAGATTATTTTCAAGTTTTACCAAGTGGTTTTTAATCACAGCCATGGAGAAAGTGAAAGAATTGTATCACAAATCAAAAACAGGTGATGATGATATTTTTTCAGAGGAAATGATGCAAAAGAGTTTCTAAATTGGGGCTAAATCGATGGTGGAGTGACTGATCGACAGGTTGAGGCTGAATTTTGGCATCATGTATAGACTACTGTCTATTGAGGGCACAAGAGACAATCAGCTGCTCTCAACTGGTTGGATAAACTTCTGGCGTTGCTCCATGTCAACACATCGCGTGCTGTGGAAAACTGAAACACTCATAGATACACTGATCAGCCAAAACATAGTAGGGGAGAGTGGGGTAAGATGAGCCATCTTTTATATTTTGGATCACTACATCAAGACGATCATAGTTTTGTCTCTAACTAGTGTATCTGCATATATTTCAAGATGTTGTGCATCTCTGTAAACCTGACAGAATGAGTGTGAACAGAACTGTCTTGATAATATAGCATGCCAAAAAAGGGGTCTCCTATGGTCAACTTACCCCGTGCATGAGGTAAGTTGACCATAGGAGTGGGGTAAGATGAGCTTTATCCCTACTACACCCCCACCATCCACCCCATCCTTCCCTCACCTCCTTTCTCCCTAAATAACAGTCACTTCTTCACATTCATGTTTTGTAAAAAGCCACTTTAACATGAGAATGTCTTTAAGTGATTCAGAACATTCACAGCTGTATTTTTGAAAAGAAAAAGTAAAACATTTCAACAATCTGAACTGAAACACTGATCCTCTCATCAGACTCCTTTACTTTGACTCAACTTACCCCAGAACTACTATGATGACTTTATTTTTCCTCTAAGCTAAAATGGTGGACTTTTATGTTAAGTTTTTGACCTCATGTTGTAGCCCATAGATACCACAATTGATGTATAAAACAAAATTAAAATGATCTTTTTTTGGTCTGAACACAATTCTCATAAAACTTATACAAGACTAAATTCACTTTCAAGAGTGAAAAATGTTTTTTGGTAATAAATGTCTAACCCCTTCACCCATGTGCTTTTAACCTTCACAGACTCCATGAATTGATGCCCATCTCCTAAATATTTGGTCACATGATCAATTTCTTTTACCATTTCCAAGCAACAGGGGGTGGCTCAACTTACCCTTTGGCTCAACTTACCCCACTCTCCCCTATTCTAGCGTTGAAGTCGTACTCTCCGTCGTACCACAAGTAAACTTAATTGACAGCTATCAGATCCCCGTCCTGGACAAATAAGGTGAGCACCCAAGCTGTGCTCAACAGATGGACCAAACACTATGGTGTCAGTTCACCTTCCACCATGACATTTATAACTCCATACAGAGTATTCCTGGCAGAGATTTTTCTATCTGAAACCACTACAGATGGTTTGTCCACAACGGGCACAAAACCCAAAAGTTCCTCACAAGAGTTTTAACTTTGTTTTATACATTTCCTACGTACCAGGACGAGGTGGATGTTTTTATGACATGGGTCGAAATATGTAATGCAAAAAAGTTCGCTAAGAGTTTTTTATTCTGTCAATCTGAATATAGTCCCACTGAGCATAAACATTGTGCAATGGAGAAAATGCTGAGTCATGACACTATTGTCTGGGCTGGTGTGTTTCACAGATCTGTAGAGCAGATGTGATTCAGACAGGATCTGATCTGTCTACAGGTTCATCGGAAAACAGGCTCTGTGTTCAGAAAGTGAGATGGGAGAGGTTTGAGCAAAGAGATGAGGTTCAACACTCTTACTCTCAGGTCAAGAGCCTGAGTGTTAAACAGATAGCACAGGTCAACTGCTTTCAACTAGTGAGAGTATGAAGCAATGTCTCCTTTAGGTTATCAAAAAGCTGTTTGTGTTTACAAATCATTGTTTCTCCTTCCCGTTCAACCCGATGCTGTTTTTTCAACATTGCATAACATACATCAAATCAAATTTCAGTCTAGGAATAGCTCTGGATGATGTTTGTTTCCTCTGTGTGCACACTGACGTAGAGCAAAGCTTAGATACAGAGCAAAACTAATGTTGTCTGTCTTTCCTCAAGAGTGTCATATGGATTCTGCTTTAGGCTCAGTTGCAGCAGAGTGCATTGCAGTAAATATAAAAGTTGTGTGGGCCCCTGATTTGATGAGTGTTCTTTCCGCTCATAACACAGGCACAGTCATATGCTCACTGTGCCAGGTGGATTACGTGGTTAAAGCTGGACTTCTTCAGAATTTTGTGTGAAAGAGCTGCAGCATCCAGGCGTATTGTTACTTCCAAGGGGGGATGAACAGTCTCTTTGTAATAATGATGCATAGCAGATGGAGGAAGGACATCTGCTCTTTCTTACTGATGTCTCTCGTCTCATCAGCCTGACCTGAAATTAATCCCAAGTGTTTCCATGCATTCTCTGCCAGATTGTCACCCTTGTGTGTTCATGCTCTCCAGTGTTGTTTCTGAACTTTGCTTGGATTTCTGGATTTGGGTTTTGTGGATTTTCCCTCTTGGATTACTTGCCCTTGCTGACTGTCTTACTGTGTGCGATCACTGAGCTGTTAAGAACCTGGATGGTTTCTCAAGTCCTGATTTTCCCCTGTATGAGTCCCAGATTTGTTATGAATTGTTGCAGAATTGGAGTTGAGGTAAGCTTTTGGCCTCCTGAGAAACAGCTGTTACTTGCTCATCTATCACAGATGAAAACTAGCACAGCGGTATTAAGAGTTGGATGGCTCAATGATTGAAAATTGGATAAAATAGTTAAATCCATAAAACTACAATCACTGTATTAAGCTGCTTTGGTACATTTACTGCCAATATAAAGTCAGGAAATTTAGAGGGAGTGTGAGTTGGACCTTAAAGGGATATTCCGGCGTAAAATTAATTTAGGGGCAAACACACTGTAACACCAAGTTGGACACCCCCTCGAGAGATAAATGTTGCCCACCGCTTGCTTCTCTAGTTAAACCAACTTTAGTAACAACCGACTATAGCAATACACAGCGTCTGAGGAGCCATAAACAAACCCCAAACAAAACACCACTCTATAGCCACAAATAATGCTCAGAACAGCACCTGACTTCATCAACAGTACATATAGGGTCCCAGCCACAAAACATCTTTTTAACTTTGCCCAATTTCTTTAGCAAAGAGACTAAACATATCTCACCTACTCTCTTCCAGCAGCTGCTGAGACCTCCGGGCGAGTCCATTACAGACTGGTGCGGGGTGACACAGCTCAAGGAAGAACATTTATGATCATTTCTTCATGGAAATGCAATCAGACCGAGACACTAAGGCAGAAGAACTACTGCGTCTGCAGTGGAAAATGATTAATATGATGATTATTACTTCAAGGAAATGATAAAGAAATGATCATAAATGTTCTTCCTTGAGCTGCGTCACCCCGCAGCAGTCGATGGACTGGCCTGAGGTCTCGATACAAACAAGTGGCTGCTGGAAGAGAGTAGGTGAGTTGTGTTTGGTCTCTTTGCTAAAGAAATTAGGCAAAGTTAAAAAGATGTTTGGTGGCTCGTGCTTTGGCTGGGACCCTATATGTACTGTTGATGAAGTTAGGTGCTGTTCTGAGCATTATTTGTGTCTATAGAGTGGCGTTTCGGTTGAGGTTTGTTTATGGCTCCTCAGACCACTGTGTATTGCTATCGTGTGGTCGTTACTAAAGTTGATATAACTAGAGAAGCAAGCAAGGGGATGTCTAACTCAGTGTCACGGTGTGTTTGACCCTAAATTAATTTTACGTCGGAATATCCCTTTAAATTTGGTATAAATTTCGGAAATGTTGTGCTGTCTTGTGAGGAACTTTAGGCTTGGATAGATTTTGGCACCCTCTGTGGACAAAGTCATGCCTCTATTGCTGAATATTCATGATTTTTTGTTAAAGCACAGTGAAAACACTGAATTTTTAGTCTGTAAAGCAGTTTGTTCAACATCTACTCATTAGCATAGGCTACAAGCTTTAACATTTACTCAAAATAAAGTCTTGTCATTAGTGCTCTTGTTTGCTTTTGTAGACCATGAAGAGCATCAGTATTGATCTCGATCTCGCTAAAAACTTCTCACAGGAGCTTTAAACGAGTCCAGAAAAAACTCAAAAGCGAAACAGACTGGAGTTTTAAAAAAACATTTATTATTTTCACGTTAATTGTGTGGAGGCATGTACTTCATTCACAAAATAGGAACAGTAAAATTAATCAGACAAGAAAAATATATGTAGTCTTTTTCTTACATTATCAATATATATACACACATTGTAAAATAGGATATCGTAACAAAAAGGAACCAAAAGGTCGCAATAAGCAAGTTGTGATAGGCTACATCTGCAGCGTGAGTACAGACGTAAAATGTTTTTGTCAGTTTAAAGAAAAAAGGCTGAAATTAGGCTGAAACTCCTTGCTCTGTTTTTACAGGAGTTTTTATGGCTTCATTTGAAAAGTTGAGACAGACCAGAGTAAAGCTGATTTAAAACATGATGCACCTAGCAATAGTTGAAAAAACCCTAAAGTCTGTTTCGATACCGTACTTACGATTCTCATGGTAAAACACGTTTTTTACAGAAGTTAGGCGACATGCTTTTGAGCATTAGTCAGACGTTATATATGTACACAGATATGTAAAAATCTCATGGCTGCACAGAAGCATTTCTGCCAAGACGACAATATTACAAAAAAACACTCCATTAAGCATTACAAAACACACACGCGCACTTTAGTCTCAGGACCAAACAGCCCAGAGAGAATATAGGCAATTTGTAAAACAAGACAACAGGTCCAATGTTTCAGAATCAGTGGCCGTAGGTGACAAGTGGAAGGAACCAGATGACACACTACAGTGTTTTTTTTTTTGTCTTTTTTCTTTAACCAAATGTTTAAGTGTGAGGTTAAAAGATTTTTAACATGATTAGAACAAAACCTTGGCTTGGATCGTGATCTCTGACTGTAATTCGCTGTATTAAACTGAGATCAAACCACAGTGTGATTCTGATTCTTGGCCACCGTTATCCGAACAATAACAAATATCCTCCAATTTAACACCTGCTTGGTAGAAAGTAATTATAAATACACTTGGGCTCAAACATGATTGGGAGGATGAAACGTAAACATAAAGAGCCAGCTGTTTTCAACCCTATGTCAAAGTTAAATACCCTGCCTGCTTCATCTGTGGTACATTCAGCACGACGGTGACAGCTATTACCAATAAAAACATCATACAACACCACTAATCCACTCTACACAAGAGAAACAGCTGTAAACTTATACTTCACCAGAGGCTGGTGGAGCTGAGTTAGTAGGAGGCTCAATGGGCAACAGTCGGGGATGTGATTTGATACAGAAACCAGGAATTTGCTGCTCAGATGGTCTGGAAAGTTGCATACAAGTAACAAAATTCCTTAAAAAAGCAGTGAACTCATTCCTGAATACTTGTTATTTGGTTATACCGACAAAAACGGTGATATGCACGAGGAGGGTCATCTTATACTTTTGAAATGCTTGTTAGAGAGTTCATGGTACCTGCTGCATCACTGTCACATCCCGGCTGCTTCACCCTGACAGCTGACAACACACCTGTTGATTTACCACTAACTCTTTGAATACGACACAATCAGAACAGCCAACTCCCAGCTGAAACAGAGAAGATCAAGATAACAGAGAGTAGTCTACACTTCTAATTTTACAGTAGATCAGCTGGGTTCAATTCACTTTCACTTTCAAATTAAATACGGGTGATTAATAGAGACGTATAGGAAAAGATTACACACTGAGTAAATATTAAACAAGGCATCTAGTTCTAAAAAAAGCTGAACTTGTGAGTTAAAAGTGAATTGAACCCTGAGCCACATAATGGAAGTTTGAAATGATGGCAAAAAACACGTCACCACCTGCTGGCCAACAGCTGTAATACAAGGACATCATGGCCTATGACAGGCAGGAGGGACAGAACTGACTTCTATAAAATATTGTGCCACAAAGACAAGTTAATAGAATTTGGTTATGATGACACTGGCCAGTGAGGATAAAGCTACGATGTTGTAAACACTTCAGGTTCAGAGGTCAGAGCCCTTATTTGGCAATGAGTATTGTCTTAGTAGAGTTTGAAGCATTGAGCTGTACAAGAAAAAACAGGATGACTGACACGAAAACAACAGGTAGTGATGGAGGCTGCACATTGCACAGTACGAGATACATGTCTCAGGTCTATCTGTTCATTTCAAAGCAGCATCTTTGAACATCAGTAGGCCACAAAAACACAAAAAAGCTGATTCTCTTAATTTCTGTTAGAGTTTAAAGAAAGAAAGAAAGAACACTTTAACACATTCACACAAACAAACAAAACGCCATAAATCACATGCTTATCCAACAGCTGTGTTACCTGCGATGCTTTTTGGACCAGGAAAAGAAAGAGAGAAAGAAAGCAGCACGTTGTTTGATGGACATTGATAATCGACAAAGTGCAAATGTGCCATCTTGTGCTCTGATATCCAAAACGCCGTCCAAAGACCCAGCATCAGTCTTCACTGTCAGATAGTCCAGGTTCTGACGGGAAACATCCATCTCAGAAAAAGGTGCAGACCATGAACAAGCTCCGACATTACGAGTGAAAAATAAAAGACAGGGAAAAAAAGAAAAAGGATTTCACAAAGGTAGACTGTCCACTCGAGATGTACTGCCTTTCTTTGAAAAACAAAACAAAACAACAAAAAGAAAGAGATGTTCAAAACCAATAAAAAAACAAACTGCTCCAGCTTTTTCCGCGCTCTTCACTGCAGCTTTGTGCCAACAAAAATAAAACTTGCGGCGCACTGAACACAAAAAGTAGCTCTTATTTTTCAAGGATTCTTCAATTTTCTCATCATCGTAAATGCTCCAGCTGTGAGAAAAACTTAACAACACAAGAAAATATGCTTCTAATTGAATGTTAGCGTGTGTGTGTGTCGGTGTGTGTGAGGGGGGAACCAGCTGGTATCACATGTCCTGTGGGGGTAGGTGTGAGGTTTGCCAATGACACTGCATGCGAGTAATGCCAACACCATGGGTGTAAATATGCATTTCCATAGTTACTCTGAATGAGTCTGACTGTTGCCATGGTGACACACTAAACTGTTGCATTTTCTTAAGGCATCGTATTAGATGACGGAGTTTCTCCTGCGGTAGAGAAGAAACAAAATAAAGAGGATTAGATAAATCACTGACGTTTGGAATTATATCTTAAAGTCGGTCTAATTATACACTTTTATTCAGTCTGATATTCATGCCATTCAAGGTAGTAACAACTTGGTGATAGTTTTTGAAAAGGTCCATGTCTGTGGTTGAGATTTTGAAACATGAACTGTGATCACTTCAAGCATTCAGCCTTTATTTGTCCAAAAGTGCCATTACACCCGGCAGGTAAAAGAGACCACACCATGAAGACCTTTTCAAAAGTGATAACTAAGTTTTGACACCTTCTGGCCTCTGACTCATGGACTTATTCTCAAAAATCTCAGACTGTATAAAAAGATGGATGAGGTGACAGCTCTCTGACACATGCTGCATATGAGGATGGATGACATCTCTCCACTGTCTCCAGCTGTATTCCCAGAGATAACCCCCACTGACATTTGAAGTCAAACTCTGCACAGTACGGACCAGCTGGTGGAGCGGTGATATCGACATCACCTCCTCTCCATCCACTGTAATACATTTAACATAATGATATAAAAACTCAGGTCTGCAGAGTCTGCAGCAGAACAGATTTTTGTGAGTTGATTCAAATCAGACATTCACTGTTGTGGAAAGTTCAATGACTCCTTTGTATAGTGTGTGGGTTGGTCTCCTCTTGCAGATTTGTGAGAGGAATTTAACCTGCTAACACTTATGAAGGAGCGTCTTTATCAACAGAGCTGTCATTCATGGTGTTGTAGCCCTTTTTTAATAGTATCAAATGGCAAATAATACTGAAACCTTTTGAGAAATGTTATTTGGTAACTGATTTGATGCCACAAAAAGGGGAAGTGACCTTATGATTGACAGCTCTGTTGACGAATGCTGCTCCTCCGTTGTTGTGTTCATTGGTAGAATCAAGGACATTTATGCCGCGTTCGAGTTACCTCGGAAGTCAGAAGTCCGAGCTGGGAATGACGTCACACCCGAGTTACCAGCGTTTCGGTTACCAAGTCGAAGGAAAGCAAAATCAAAGGTGGAAACAAGATGGCTACATCTACGATCTTGCCTTGTCTGAATTTAAGCAAGGACAAAGCAAGTGCTAAAATAACTTTCGTACATGTAGCCATCTAGTTTTCGCCTCAGATTTTGCTTTCTTTCGACTTGGCAACCGAAACGCTGGTAACCCGGGTGTGACGTCATTCCCAGCTCGGACTCGAGGTAACTCGAATGCAGCATTAACACACTGAACAAAAAAAAGAGTGAACACCATGAGAGGTGGAGCAGGCTGCTCCATCTTTTTATACAGTCAATTAAACTCAAATCTGAAATCTGGATTTGGAAGGAAAACTTTCACAACATCGGGTGGTTTACCCGTATTCACCTGGTTAGGACTCGCTCTCCATGGAGATTGTGATGGTTTCACTTTCAGCTGCGGAAAGAAAACATAATTAGGTGACAGATGGAAAGCAAGGGTGTTAATTTTGTCTGTGAAATAAAAACATCCCCGGTAGTGCTCACCTGATTTGAGAGTGTTGTTAGCCAGATGGTCTTCAACGTTGTTGGCATGCTGGTCGTTGCTCAGGAGGCGATTCTGTGAGTCGCTGAGGGGGCTTGAAGGGACTTCAGCAGCACTAAAAAACAAATTAGAGAGCTGAATGGGATGTGCATCAACGAATTCTTCCACTACATAAATCCTTTTTAGGGCGATGTGTCAGGTGATGTTTTATTACAGATTTATTACCTTTTATCGGGCTCAGGCTGCAGGGTGACTGTGGCTTGCTCTATGTCGGCGTTTACCAGCCGTGTAGGGAACGTTAGACCATCTCCCTGACTGCAGTGAACACAAAGACAAGAGAGAGACAACATAAATGTGGGCAGCCTGCAGAACAACATACAGACACCATGACAAAGTTCACCTGATGTTGTAAAGGAGGAAGAGGTTTGCTCATTCCCTACTGGTGTCAAGTTTCGCCTCACTGAGTCGTGGATTAAACAGCAGAAAACATACAGAGACAGGAAACATATTTGAAACAACTGAAGTTCCTTTAAACAACCAAAGAGATTTTATCTACAATTAGACCAACTAAAGCCACATTCATCATGTTAAGTGTCTGTTCTGCTGATATCCTTGCCTTCTTTTTGAGGAAGGCTTTGAGTAACATGTGACTGGTTTAGTACGTTTGTTACGGGAAGTGAATCTCCTGTATGTTGTAAGTGAACGATTAGTCCAGCCTGTGTTTCACAAGCTTAACAAAAACTTCCAGATAAGCTCAGGTTTCAGTAAAGAGGTCTCATCTGAATCATCTGTTTTATGCAACATTGATTCATTGACAAAATGCAGCTTGTTGTATTAAGATATTTTTGTTTACCTCATTTTCTTACCCCTATTTGCATGTGGTTTTGAGTGCTGCATGTGCATGTCATTCTTTTTTTCCCGCAAGAGCACAGCAAATTAAACACTATGATGAAATATGGTGACAAAGGCTTATTATTCTGTTCTATTTAAATTAAAAAATGATTTATTTTTATCGTTTATAATGTGTATATCAGGTGGTTTGGTCTCAGTTTTCAATATTTACTTACACGGTGCCAATTCTCATCAAATTTTATCTGGTAAGAGGCTTTACACCACACTCTGTGACATTTACAGAGACCCAACATCAGCACTGGTGTTAAGTCTCACCTAGCAAGGTAAGACCCACACTTATCCCAGCAGCAAAGTAAGACGCATTACTGGCCTAGGAGTGTTCTTATAAAAATCTTCTCTAAGAGGCTCATTATTGTGGTTTGCATGAATAAAAGCACTCTAATTACATCACTTATGGCTTAAGCCCATGTTTTGATTCCACAGCACACGTGTGCACTGCATTCCAGTGCCCACTCTAGCTGGTTCTTGTGTTTCTACAATAAGCACTGTGGACTGCTTCATGGTTGTGGACCCACTGCAGTGTGGCACAGCTGAAAATTCACTTCCATGTATTGTGCATTTCACCCGTCGGTTTCACTTTGCAAAGCATTCATGACTCAGACCCCCACTTTTAGACTGCTCTAGTAACACACTGTGTCAAAATCATCTGTACAGAGAAAATGGTGTTACACTCTCCAGTAGGTACACCTCGCAGGAAGCTGGATTCTAGGAAAGACTCCTTCAACTACAAAGCAGCAGAGGAGGGTGGTGTGTCTCCAGGTGATTTAGTCACTTTTGAGTGAGCATGCACCAGCAAACCTGGCAGATATATGTCTTTACCATGCCTCACTAAAAATTTGTGCCAAGTCTATTTTAGGCAGAGTTGCTGTCCAGTACACATCAAGCTAAACAGGAGCCAACTAATGAAACAGCACAAAGCATCCAGTCAACTTCAAAATAAAACATTTTGTTCAGACTCTCAATAGTGTATTAGTTCATATAGATGAGAAATAACTGATAGTGACGAACAAAACTTTTGCAACTAAAAAAAAAAAATCTTAACTGGACATATCAGATGAGAAACACACTCATTCATAGAAATACAGAAGAAAAAAATAATATCCAAATGAATAAGAAGTCACCTGTCGCTAGTGTGTTGTTTCTGCATGATCTTTCAGTGCTGCTTCACTCTTTCAGTGTGATGCTGCGTGTGCTGTCAGAGGGAATTAAACTGCAGCACAAACAAACGTGACGCGCACACACATGCTTGCAGCGGTATCGGGTTTGGGGCAGCCAAACTCTCTATCCTCTTATCTCTAATTCCTTATTCTTTTCTTTTACCTGGTAAAGATTGGCAGCAGCCAGTACTTCTTCTGGTCTCCAAACACCTGAGCGATATTCTTCCGGAAACCCAGAGAGAAGCCGTTCTTATCAGAGCCCGTCCGAAAGACCGGTGCTCTGAATGCCTCTGGTGGTTGGGAGGGACATAGAGAGACAGGAATGAACAAAAACCACAAATAAAGAGTTGATTGTGCAACCAAATTTACATCCTCAGAAGTGTGAAAACCTCTTAAATTATGTGTTAACAAATTCAAAATCAACTCAGGATGAATATATGTGCATGGATATCTTTCTGGACTGGTTATACGGCGGAAACATCTGTTGAGTGTGCGCGTGTTTGTTACCTATAGTGGACCTGTTCTTTCCTACAAGCCACAGGTGGTAGCTGAAGAGGGACAAAATACTGATGCAGAACATAGCCGCCACAAAAAAGAGAAACAAGACATGGAATTTGGCGTGAGTGTCTGGCAGCTCATTCTGGGGAAGAGACGGGAGAAGAGGAGAGCGAGAGAGGAATCAATAACGGTTTACGTTGCGGTTATTTATGGAAAGAAAGAGAAATCTGAGAGAAAGTCAAACAGAAAAGGAAAGAGACAGAGAAATAGAAGAATGAGAAGACATGTGAACCACGTCACTGCACGCACATCACAACAAAAACCATGGCAACGATGGTGAGGCACGGCAACACTAAAGGCTTTGGAGGACAGCTGGTTACCTTTGGGCAGTTCTCTGCCGATTTCCTCCGGCAAAGCTTTAGTACAAACAGAAACGAGACTGGTTAGCAACACCAGGAGAGAAAAAGGTGGAAGGGGAAGGAGGCACTTGGTAAAGAGCAGGCAATTACAAGTCAAGGCCAAGTCTGGTGAAAGGGGGGAGAAAAAAAGAAGAAAGAGTGGGTGACTGTACAAAGTGTGCCCAGAATGGAGTGAACAAAGAAATGAAAGAGAAAGAAGATGAGAGGAAATCAAGGGGAAGAAGAGAGGAGGTGTTTGTGACCACATGAGTGAGTGGTGTGACTGATTGTTTGGATAGTGGAGAGGGGAGACAGAAAAAGAGAGAGATCAGAGAACAATGAACCAGTGTGCGAGAACTGGGGATAACAGAGAGCGAAAAAAGAGAGAGAGGGGTTGTGGGGCCAAAGGTCAGAGAGGACAGAGGGAAAAAAAAAAGACAGAGGAGCAGTCAGCACCATGCACAACACACTCCAAGGATGCTCCACATGCAACCACATCTGGACCCTCTGTATCATCACACATCCCCATCCACATCATTACTCACTGTCCAGAACTTTATGAAATACTGCAGTACGGTGGCTGCAATGAACAAACAGTACACCAGCGAGTAAGCCAGGAAGAGGATGAAGAACTTGTAGTTGGAGAAACCAACACAGTTGTTCACCCTAGAGACAAAAAAAAAAAATAAGGAAAGGTCAGGACTGACATCACTTCCTCTAGGCAGAGATCTTATCAGCCTGATATTTTTATAAGGGAAGAGGCGTTGTGTTACTCTCGGGGTTGCATAGACTGTTAATAAAACTCGCTTTGGTTATAAAACTCTGATTTACATTTAGGGTTATACCAGCCTGTGCTCGCTCGATTTTAAGAGACAGCCTCAAACACTTACACTACTTATGTGAAGTGAAATAAAGGAAGGGAGCTGTAGGACTGAACTGAAGGAAATGATACGATTATGGAACAGGGGGACAACAATGGTTGGAATATGACTGGAGGGAGCGATGTAACCTTGTTTAAAACCTGATGGACTGGAAAGTGCAAAATGATGCCCATTGTACGACTGAAACTACATTTTCCTCTCTCTACTACTGCCTGTGTTTGTTTTAAACTTGAGTACAAATGAGATCTTTGTGCAAAATAAAGCCCATCTCTCTTTGGGATTGGTAAAAAGCTTGACTATTTTATTGTCTCAAAATCATCGGTTTTGTTCTTCAGGCATCAGTGTTAATTTTTATGTGATTTTTAAGGACATGGAAACTCCTAAAGGAGCTTAAACATGACCAAAAAGAGAAATGAAAATGGACACATGACACAACCAGGAAGTAAAGTATATCTATTTGTGCTTCAGATGTTACGTACCAGGGACAATGGTGGTCCATCTTCAAGACACACCTACACAGAGAGAGATCAAATAAAAGCGTAGAGATTAAAACAACAACAGAGAATGATAATGTTGCTTTAACTTGAATTAAAGTGGGAGGAGTCCGAAATGCACGATCTTCTTACATGTCACACGCGGAGCAGTGATGACACCGGTCCGGCTTGATGACTTGACATCGATCACAGTAACGGATTGCTGCATCACACCAACACAATGGTACTCTGTTAATACTTAAACGCGGCGATACAAACAGACAGAAAGATTCATTCCCACACACAGACGTACCTCCTGCTCCTGTGCGAGTGTACAGAGGCAGACTGGTGGCAGCTCTCCACAGGATCTCTTGCTGGGACTCTGGCCTCTCCTCCTTCTCATAACGCTCCTTCTCAGCCTTTGGCAGGCAAAACTGGAGGAAAAAAAAGAAACAGAAAATGGATCAATTTTACCAATGCATCTGATTTATTTAGAGAAATACAGACACATTAAGCTTGCTTAGTGGGATCAGGTTGTTTTACCTCTTTGGAAGGGTTGGCAGGTTTGGTAAAGATGGTCTTCCAGTAAGACCATACAAACATGATGAAAGAGAGGTGGAAGAAGATCAGGTAGACAACTGAAGGAAAGACAGATAAAATCACCAGGGCCATCAGGAGACAGTCTGATATGTACGTGATATGTTGCTGTGATATACTTCAGCGTAATTCAATTAATGAGAGGAAAAGCTAATGCTGAATGAGGAGCTGCTCTGCTTCAAGCTGACTGACCACAGCACTTTGAGAGATCACGTTTTCTATCTGTGCCAGCTTTTTTTTTCTCCTTCTAAGTGTACAGAGCATATTTCACCAGAGCACGGAGAGATTATCCCAATTAGCAGCAAACTGGCTCAGCCCAGTGAATTCCAATCATGATGTATTAAATAAACATTCCCAAAAAACACTTACTTTGCTCTCCTATACTGGGGATGGTGACTGCAAGAGAGAAAAAAAATGAAGATAAATTTATAAACCACAAAAAGTTTCAGCAATCGACATAGCAAAATATGTTTATTTTTAATATCATGTCTCTTTCCCTAATTTCGGTTCGTGTTTATTACATTTCAAGGTTAAAGCAGTCATTTCTTTAACGCTTTTAATCAAATCGCAAATCCCTATGTTGCAAAAGGAATAAAGATATTTCTTTTTTTAGCATTTTATAGACTTGCTTAAGGAGATTTCTGTGTCCTACATCAGAAATGAACTTACGGTCTCTCTTTTTTGCCAATGTGATCCTGTCTGATCCAAACTGATTTGGAAAGGATTTTGATGACTACCATTTAGTCAGAGGCGAATTTAGTCACTTATGGGGAAAGTTTACCACCACTATTACAGTTTATTCAGCCTATCTCAGAAAAAGTCAAAAAGTAAGGTGTCTTCTTGGCTGGTATTCTCTGTGTACTGATGGATAATACAAATGTGGTTCATATCACATTAAAACCAAGGCACAACAACATTGAACCAAACTACATATTTTCAATGGAGGTTAATGGAAAAGTTAAGGAACTCTTGAATATAAAAGACATGCATTATTCACTGGCAAATTATGTTCATTTTTATCTGCTTTATTTCAACATTTTTTACAGTTAAATTCTTTTTTACACCACGAGTCCACACTTTACCCGAGTTGATAAGTAAAATAGGTCAGTACAGGGAGGCTGGATTTAGGGTGTATTCATGTGGACAACCGGCCAAGAGCCGTTTAGTCAGCTGTTTAAGTCTTCACCCAGACTCCATTCATTACAGCAGAAAAACAAAAGAAAGACTCCATGCTACAATATTAACAGCTCTGTGAAAGTTTCCCTTTGTTCAAAACAAATTCCCCATAGAAACCAGACGACCCAAATCGATGACAGCGGACAGATAATTAGCAGTATCTGGATTTGGTCAGGCTTGCCAACACCATTGTTGAGCTGCAGTCCATTTACTTCCTGCTGGCCAGCAGCAGCAGCAGCTGTATGTTAGTGTGGACAGCAGCGGCACAATGAAAACATCTGCGGTTTAAAGGACCTAACGAGGAAACAGCCAGCGGAAGGACGTCTACTTACATATACAAAGCTCCACCACGTAAGCATAATACGACCAGCAGACCACCAGGGCGATAAAAATCACAGGTATCCATGCTAAACCCCGTTGACAGCATCTCAGTACGTGTGTGGGCGCCATCTTTCTCCCTCTACTGGGGGAAAGGGAGTGCCAATGTGTGACGTCAGGTGAGCAAACCGAGACTGGAGGAGGGCTTTAAAAGTATATGTTGTTGTTTTTCTAAATTAATGATTATACAACATCATTCATGAAATAATGCGTGGTCATTACAAGATAAGCATTGTGCGAATTAAAGTACTCCGAAATGCAGCAAACAATAAAAGTTGTTTGTTACTTCTAATAATGTTATCTTCCCATTTGTAAATTCGAGCCACTTTTGTAGTTTCTCGTTGAATATCTATCTATCTATCTATCTATCTATCTATCTATCTATCTATCTATCTATCTATCTATCTATCTAGTTCTTTATAGCCCTTTTTTAATAAATGAAAGGAAACAAAGAGTGAAGTAAATGATTATCTGTTTTAAAATAAAATATTTCCTCTGAAAATACGAATTTTGAGGAAAAAATAGCCTACATGAAATGTTGTTTTTATCAAACAAATTTAATTTAAAAGTTTAATATGACAATATTCTGTGCCTAGATCCTAAAACACCCGTGCATCATCATTATGATGGTCCTCGGCAGCTCACTTCTGTTTGGCTTTTTTAATTTGCATCCTTTTATTTTCGCTAGTACTAACTTTTTTTAAATCCATCAGCACTTTATTGTGTCATTAACTTCCGTTGTGGCTTTTTTTATTATCTGCACCGTTTCTTTTTTTATTTGCAACAGGCTTCGTTTTTTCGAGGGGGTCAGTAACTTCCGTCGTGCCTCCTTTTTTTTGCTTTCTTTTTGTATTTGCAGCAGTGGCAGTTCTCGGCCACCGTAGTTAATGAAAAGAAAAACACAGGTCTCTGTTTTCCAGGTTTTACTAGTCATAATTACATGTGTCAGGAAAAAGTCGCTTCACTTCCTTATTACCGTCTTGTTTTGGAGCAGGGGCTGACTCAGCAGTGGTGATCTTTGGACTTTTCCTCCACACATCATAGACTCAATGTAATTCAACACCAGGAAGAAAACGAAAAGGAAGGAAAAGTTCGGAAACTTCTCGGATATTCACGTAAATGATCGAACGAACTTTATAGGCTTGCAATTTGGACTGTGCTGCACCGAAATTGAGGACAAAGGGGGTTGTAGTTTACTACTGTGGAAAAAATAAATGACTTCTCCTGACATGGACGTGAAGACTTATCTAACTCGCATTGGGTATTCAGGCCCAACAGAACCTACCCTGGATGTGCTGCGTTCGGTCCACCTCCACCACCAACTCTCGGTACCCTTTGAAAACTGTGCACAGCGGGGGGCGAGTTCAGCTCGACCTCCCTCTGTTGTATGAAAAGATAGTGATCCAGCGCAGAGGAGGTTTCTGCTTTGAAATGAACGGTCTCTTCTCCTGGATGTTGCGCAAACTCGGCTTCCAGGTGACCCTCTTTTCAGGGCAGGTGAAGAGTCTGAAGACAGGTTTCTACGGGCCACCTTTTGACCATCTGATCATCCTTGTGACCTTAGATGGGAAACGCTGGCTCTGCGATGTCGGGTTCGGCAGTCAAGGCTTCAGTTCCCCACTTTCACTTGACACCAGTGACCCCCAGAAGCTGGGCCACATGGTGTATCGGATCAGAGAAGAGAAGGGGATGCACTTTGTAGAGTGGCAGCAGGAGGAGATCAGAGAGCCGGATGGAGACTGGGGAGCGATCTACAAGTTCACCTTTGAACCTCGGTGTCTGGAGGACTTTGCAGAGATGTGTGAATACCACCAAAGCTCACCGTGCTCCATCTTCTTCTGCAAGTCATTCTGCACGGTGTTAAAGTCAGGAGGAAGGCTCACCTACATTGGCCACAGACTGACAAGCACAACTTTTCCCACTGAGACACACGGGATTGAAACTTCTACCAGGGAGGTTAAAGATGAGGAGATACCTCAAGTTCTTGCAGACGGGTTTGGAATTGTGCTGAAATCTCCATTTATACCAAAGGATGAAGCTATCACACCACCAACAGAGATGTACTGACTGTATTAAAGTAGGACATTGATATGACAAGATTACCTAGAGATGGGAAACCATAACATCTTCCTGGTTGAGACCATCGCTCTTATTCAAAGAGAACTCGTTCAGATAAATTGTCAGTTTGATTTAATAAATTATACATACACTTTTAAGATGTACAATGGTCATTGCATTAATCCACATCTGTCTTTTTTTTTTAAGACAAAGTCTGCGTTCAAAGTATTTACACATGTACAATTATCAGGAAGCACTTTACAAAGCAAGGCATGAACGACAATACAGATGTTGAGCTTCAAATCAAACCTCTAGCCCTTTACAGTTTACTTACTTTACTTGAAAATCAGAACTGTATTGCTGCTTCTCATACTAAAGGCAGGATCCAACACTCAACAGCCCTACTGCTATTTTTGTATACCCCAAACAAAGCAAACTACAATTTCAATTGCATTCACAGACTTATTTGTAATCCAGGCTAGAATCTTCTTACTCAAAGTTAACAGATACTTAGAAAGAAAACAAAAACATCTTTTGACTATTACATGGTTGAATATGTAAATTTAAAGTATCTGTCTAACACCCACCTGCTCGATCACAGTCTTCAGCCACCACTGAGGGCCCATCAGAGTGAGAGCAGCAATAATTTTAGCATGGAGCACTCCTAGAGCCCAATCCTGTAGAAAACCAGTCGGACAATCAATGGACATGTATATGGGATCAAGGAGACAGACACCTCTGTCACATATATTCTCAGAGTTTTTAGAAAGTTTCAGGGGCTCTGCTCTCAAAATGTCCCTAAGATGCTTGTTCACACATGTCTCTCACAGGCTTTACCTGTCAGATGAGAGTGGGTGACAGAGGCTGAACATGACATACAAAGCAACTCCAGAAGCAACAATATATTGCTTACAACATGACGGCAGAAGAGGTAATAGATAACTGTGCTGTGAAGATTTATCTGCAATTGGACAAATGTGCAGACATCTTTGCTAGAAATGACCTCTTTCTTGGACCGTGAATGTTCTTGTTTAACCCATTACATGGCAATCTTTCTTGGCTCTAACTAACTGCAAGATGGAAATGACATCTCCCCCAGTTGCTCAATTTTTCAAAACGATTTTTTTGCTGCATTCTAACACTGACTCACTCTGGTTCTTGCACAAGAAAGTCCAGGTGAAGCCGGGGTGAAACTTTTGGTGGTTTTTACTCACACATGCAACTTGCCACAAAAATTTCTTGAAATTTTTCAGACACAACCCAGACCTATAATCATACCTGCCAAGGGTAGAAGAGGGGTGTTTGGTCTAGGGGTACCCTGAGTGGGGCCACAATGACCAGTTCAAACAGCAGGCCCAGTAGTAGAGGGATAACTCCAGCAACCAGCAGAGCTACAACCAGGGTCTTCAGAATCTACATGTACAAAGAGAAAACAATCACTATGATGTCTCTAATGCATAGTTTTACGCTTCTCTATCTAGAGTCTGCTCAGTCCTACCATGAGAGTCCACTCCTGGACTTTGTGGAGGATGACGGCACGCCCCTGGGGCATCCACGCAAGCAGACCGGTGACCCCACGGATGGACAGCCAGCACACGTACAGGCCACAGGCTGCAGTGTAGAGCTCGTGGATTTTAGAGCTTCCGGTCCAGAAGGACATCAGCCAGCGCCCAGTGAATACTGAAACACAAAAAGAACATGAAATGATCACTCTGACGCTATTTTTACAGTGATCCTTAGCTTTGGCTGACAAGGATCTATCTATCTATCTATCTATCCATCTATCTATCTATCTATCTATCTATCTATCTATCTATCTATCTATCTATCTAATTATTTTTTTTATAAATGAAAGGAAACTAAAAGTGAAGTAAATAATTATCTGTTTTGTATGAAATAAAACATTACCACTGAAAATACGCATTTTGAAGAAATAATGGCCTAAATAAAATGTTGTTCTTATCGAAATAATTTAATGTAAAAGTTGAAATTATTTTTCTTTACAAAGTCGCCTTCGCCTATAAATTTTCATCCTCTACTTTTTTCCCTTCGCTATTTACGGTGGCTGAGAACCACCACTGCTGCAAAAAAAAAAGAATGCAAAAAAAGAAAGAAAGAAACCACAACGGAAGTTAATGATGAAAAAAACTTTGCAAAAAAAAAAAAAGTTACTACTGCGAAATTAAAAAGATGCAAATAAAGAAAAGCCAAAACCGAAGTGAGCTGATGGGGACCATTAATGATGATGCACCGGTGTTTTACGATCTAGACACAGAAGACGACGGCGCGAAACCACACACAGAAGTAAGTGGAAAGTTTATTGTTTAATTTCACTTTGTGTGCTTTTTAATGTGTTATTTGATGAGCCAATGTTGCGTCTGAGTCGATATGAAGTTGAACTGGAGGATGCCTTGGTAGTATTAGCTCCAGTTCAACTTCATATCGACTTGAGTGCATGGTCTAACTACATGACACAAAGAGAAATTAAACAATCACCTTTCCCCTTAGCTTGTCTTCTCGCCATCGTCTTCTATGCCTGGATCATAAAACACCGGTTCATCATCATTATTGGTCCCTGGCAGCTCACTTCCATTGTGACTCTTTTATTTTCACAGTTAGTAACTTTTTTTTCTATCACCACTTTGTTTTTGCGTCGTTAACTTCCTCTTTGGCTTTTTTTTTATCCGCACTGTTTTTTTTTTTTGCAACAGGCTTCTGTTTCTTTTTTTGTATCAGTAACTTCCATTGTGACTTCTTTTTTTAAATTTTTTTATTTGTTATTTGCAGCAGTAGCGGTTCTCGGCCACCGTAGTTAATGAAAAGTTTAACTAGTCATCCTCACATGTTTTGGAGCAGGGGCTGACTCAGCCGTGGTGAGCTTGGGACTTCTCCTCCACAAATTATAGACTCAATGCACCACCAGCAAGAAAACGAAAAGGAAGGAGAAGTTCGGAAACTTCTCGGATATTTTCGTTAATGATCCAGCGAACTTTATAGGCTTGCAATTTGGACTGTGCTACACCGAAGTTGAGGACAAAAGGGATTGTAGTTTACCACTCTGGAAAAAAAAAGAAGAAAATGACTTCTCCTGACATGGACGTGAAGACTTATCTAACTCGCATTGGGTATTCAGGCCCAGCAGAACCCACCCTGGATGTGCTGCGTTCGGTCCACCTCCACCACCAACTCTCGGTACCCTTTGAAAACCTGACCGTGCACAGTGGGGGGCGAGTTCAGCTCGACCTCCGTCTTTTCTATGAAAAGATAGTGATCCAGCGCAGAGGAGGTTTCTGCTATGAAACGAACGGTCTCTTCTCCTGGATGTTGCGCAAACTCGGCTTCCAGGTGACCCTCCTCTCAGGGCAGGTGAAGTGTCTGAAGACAGGTTTCTACTGGCCACCTTTTGACCATCTGATCCTCCTTGTGACCTTAGATGGGAAACGCTGGCTCTGCGATGGCGGGTTCGGCAGCCAAGGCTACAGTTCCCCACTTTCACTTGACACCAGTGACCCCCAGAAGCAGGGCCACAAGATGTACCGGATCAGAGAAGAGGAGGGGATGCACTTTGTAGAGTGGCAGCAGGAGGAGATCAGAGAGCCGGATGGAGACTGGGAAACGATCTACAAGTTCACCCTTAAACCTCGGTGTCTGGAGGACTTTGCAGAGATGTGTGAATACCACCAAAGCTCACCGTGCTCCATCCTCTTCTGCAAGTCATTATGCACGGTGTTAAAGCCAGGAGGAAGGCTCACCTTCATTGGCCACAGACTGACAAGCACAACTTTTCCCACTGAGACACACGGGATCAAAACTTCTACCAGGGAGGTTAAAGATGAGGAGATACCTCAAGTTCTTGCAGAGGGGTTTGGAATTGTGCTGAAATCTCCGCTTATACCAAAGGATGAAAGGATGACACCATTAACAGAGATGTATTGATTGTATTAAAGTGGGACATTGATATGACAAGATTACCTAGAGATGGGAAACCGTAACATCTTCCTGGTTGAGACCATCGCTCTTATTCAAAGAGAACTCGTTCAGATAAATTGTCAGTTTGATTTAATAAATTATACATACACTTTTAAGATGTACAATGGTCATTGCATTAATCCACATCTGTCTTTTTTTTTTAAGACAAAGTCTGCGTTCAAAGTATTTACACATGTACAATTATCAGGCAGCACTTTACAAAGCAAGGCATGAACGACAATACAGATGTTGAGCTTCAAATCAAACCTCTAACCCCTCGCCCTCCTGCCACTCCGTCTGTCTTTGGGGGGGGGATTGGCCACTCTGCTGTCCCATGACTATAATACATTTCCCTTACCCACCAAAGATGGGCATAGAAGGGAGATTCAAGAAACTGAATGACGTCCATCAAATCCACCGAGATCCAGGGGAGATATAAAAGGATTAGGGTCCGAGGACTGGGTTGAAAATCAAAAAGGGTTGGGGGGTAAAGGTGGAAAGATGGGTGAATGCGGGGTAACAGGTGAAAAAATGTGGCGTTGTTTGACACAAAAATCTATTCTGCCACAGGGTTGGAAGGTGGGACTGAGCTTGCTCTCCCAGCTTTCCGCTCGTAGTTGACAAGTCTCTGTCCAACCAGGTATCTGTGAAGAGAGGAAGAACCACAATGTTAAACTTGAGATTTTAAGATTTTTCTACTCAGCACACCAAACAATATTTTTTAAAACAGGGTCCACATCCTTACTTGTCATTCTTGATGTGTTCATAAAGGCGTTTAAACTGTCTGATCTGGAAGGACAAGATGCCGATGAGTGAGACCACCATCAAGAGGAATGGGTAGATTCTCCTCTGCATCAGAATCTCCATCTCTGGGGTGACTCCTGTGAAAGCACACACTTTAGTTATGAACTGTGGGAGGGAGTGTCGCCTTTGCAGTCAGAGCAGTCTCTGCAACAGTTATCTGATATAAGAAGGTACAGAATATCTCAGGGACATCTTATTCTTTCTATTCTGTTACTCATTGAAGTGAATAATCTGAGTGCTTTTACTGGGTGAGGCTAGTGCTCCACTCCCCTTGCTTTGTGATACTTGTTTCTACAATTACACATAATATTTGCTGATATGGTCATTGGTTTACATATGAATCAGGACACTCACCCACAGCAGGCACAACTCCAGCAGCGATTACATACGGCACACATAGGGACAGCAGCAGGACTGAGATGACCGGAGCAGCCAGTTTACGGATGATGAACTGCAGGTCAATATTGCGAATTCCATTTGCATAAACCTAAGATGGAAAGTTTATAGTTTTCTTACTTTATTTGAAAATCAGAACTGTATCCCTGCTTCTGCTATAGAAGATAGGATCCAACACTCAACAGCCCTACTGCTATTTTTGTATACCCCAAACAAAACAAACTACAATTTCAACTGCATTCACAGACTCAGGATACTTAGAAAGAAAACAAAAACATCTTTTGACTATTACATGGTTGAATATGTAAATTTAAAGTATCTGTCTAACACCCACCTGCTCGATCACAGTCTTCAGCCACCACTGAGGGCCCATCAGAGTGATAGCAGCAATGATTTTGGCATGGAGCACTCCTAGAGCCCAGTCCTGTAGAAAACCAGTCGGACAATCAATGGATATGTATATGGGATCAAGGAGACAGATGTCTGTCACATATATTCTCATTAAGTTTTTAGAAAGTTTCAGGGGCTCTCCTAAGATGCTTGTTCATACATGTCTCTCACAGGCTTTACCTGTCAGATGAGAGTGGGTGACAGAGGCTGAACATGACATGCAAAGCAACTCCAGAAGCAACAATATATTGCTTACAACATGACGACAGAAGAGGTAATAGATAACTGTGCTGTGAAGATTTATCTGCAATTGGACAAATGTGCAGACATCTTTGCTAGAAATGACCTCTTTCTTGGACCGTGAATGTTCTTGTTTAACCCGTTACATGGCAATCTTTCTTGGCTCTAACTAACTGCAAGATGGAAATGACATCTCCCCCAGTTGCTCAATTTTTCAAAACTATTTTTTTGCTGCATTCTAACACTGACTCACTCTGGTTCTTGCACAAGAAAGTCCAGGTGAAGCCGGGGTGAAATTTTTGGTGGTTTTTACTCACACATGCAACTCGCCACAAAAAATTCTTGCAATTTTTCAGACACAACCCAGACCTATAATCATACCTGCCAAGGGTAGAAGAGGGGTGTTTGGTCTAGGGGTACCCTGAGTGGGGCCACAATGACCAGTTCAAACAGCAGGCCCAGTAGTAGAGGGATAACTCCAGCAACCAGCAAAGCTACAACCAGGGTCTTCAGAATCTACATGTACAAAGAGAAAACAATCACTATGATGTCTCCAATGCCTAGTTTTACTTCTCTCTAGCCAGAGTCTGCTCAGTCCTACCATGAGAGTCCACTCCTGGACTTTGTGGAGGATGACGGCACGCCCCTGGGGCATCCACGCAAGTAGCACGGTGACCCCACGGATGGACAGCCAGCACACATACAGGCCACAGGCTGCTGTGTACAGCTCGTGGATTTTAGAGCTTCCAGTCCAGAAGGACATCAGCCAGCGCCCGGTGAATACTGAAACACAAAAAGAACATGAAATGATCACTCTGACGCTATTTTTACAGTGATCCTTAGCTTTGGCTGACAAGGAGGAGAATCACTGTTTGAGTTAGAACTCAAAAGAACCGCTTCAAACAGCAGAGGCCTGTGTTTATATTTAGAGTCACCCTTTCATTATGGTTTGGGTGTGGATTCGCAAAGTAGGAAATGAATTGCTGGTTGTGCTTTAAGCCGCCAAATCTCACCTGGTAGGGTTAGGCACACCAGACTGGCCACAAGCAGAGTGATGCACATGAAAGCAATGAGCAACACGATCTGAGGAGGAAAAAAGAAAACACAAAATTAAGAATACAAACAATAATGTTGAAGAAAAATGCCTACAGCCTCTATTTTAGCTGTACTTATGCTTAAATTCAGCATATTTGGAGTTCAAGTTGATCCATTTTCTTCTTATTGACGAATGTTTAGTAGCACTGTAAGCTTGTGGTTCGATGAAACAGCTTTTTTGATTCATTGTCTTGCCATCAGCTTCACTTTATCATTTTGAAGAATGTCACATTAGATTTCTCCAGAATCTGCACTCACCCTGAATGGGAAGCGGAGGGGTCTGTGGTAAGGTTGGAAGCCCACTGGTCCCCCTTGCTGTAGAATAGCCTGGTGGGCGGCATGCAGTCCCTCGCCGACGGCTGGAGCAGGGTTGTTGTTGTTGTTATGGTGACCGGGAGGAGGGTTGTTATTGTTGTTATTGTTCACGGGCTGATTGGCATCATTGTCTTCCTGCTCCCCGAGGAGGTAGGAGTGGAGGTCTCTGTGGAGGTAAAGATAGGTTTGGTTAAAGACGCTTATATCACGAACAATCAGTGGCTTTGTGAGGAAATGTTGTGTCGATAGAAGGAAAATCTATCCCAACAGAATAAAGTGATCTCTTTAACACCCCCGGATGTGTAAAAGTGAAATGATATATTGACTTACAGTAAATATCCAGCACTAACAGTCCAGGCCCTGACCAGGCCTTTCAGCCACTGGCGAGTGTGTCCCTGTTCCAACAGAGCCGGCAGCACAACCTGAAGTAATAACAGCTCCAGAGACAGCTCGCTGACCGGTGCATCACTAAGGCGAGAGAGAAGGACTCTTTAAAATAGTAGTTTGAATGTGAACCGAATGCTGACACAGAACAAAACCTCTGATTCTCGTGGGTTTGACGCCTTTCACAGAAGCTTTAATGTATTCACCTGTAGAGCATGACATTGTATGGGAGGAAGGTGGGCAGCAGCAGTTTGATCAGTCTGATGGGAAGCCACAGCATGAGCAACACAATGGAGCCAAACACCACCACAGACAGGATGAAGCGCCGCAGGTGTCTGTAGATGGGCAGATGAATCATCTCCTGCACTGGGTTAAAGTCTGGGTCATTGAGGTTCCTCAGAAACCATAGCACGCCCGGCCTCAGCACCTAATGGACAAAAATAAGATCAGTAATAATGAAAGGAGTCCCGTTTCCCTCATTACTTAAAAAAAAAAAATCATAGATCAGTATATCTTTATGGTAACTAATTAAAATTTCTTTTTATGTTTCTGCTCTTTTTCTCCATCAGGGTCTCACCTCTCTCAGAAGCAGGATAAAAGAAGCAAAGTAGAAGACATAAACCATTCCCACCAGCCAGTGCAGGAACATGGTGGTACCAGGGGCAGATTTAAAACTTAACTCTCGGTCTTTCAGGGAGGCATCAAACATCTCCTACAGGATGAAAAAGACAAATGTTAGAATAAATGCTTTCAGATGGACTCAAATCGGCTGTTAGTGTTCAGTTGGTTGAAGTGGAGTTGTCTAGATAATTATATTGGTTTGGATCCTCTGTTTTCTCTCTCTCCTCTCTTCCCAAGCAGGCTTCTCAGGTAAGGCTGTTCACTTTTAAACATCTCTCCATGTATTTCCTCTGTAAACAGCTCCACCTGCTCTGAAACAGGCTGAGGTGCAAAAATCCTACCCCCTAATTAAGGAAGAGCAGCACAGGTGGAGAAGCTGAGGAGGCCACTGGAGACAGGGGGGAACTTTCAAAAGCGAAATTTTGCTGACACAGACTTTCAGAGGTGGAGAGTGTGCACAACGACACAGAGACATATGCGACTCTCTCATCATCCAAGCTGTTTTTCTACCTCTACTAATGTACAAAGTCTGTAATTAACAGCATCTGTCTCTGTGTTTATGCTGGACAACCCTGTTAAACGGCAAGTGCAACACACGCCTCTACAGGGCAAAGAGCGAATGTGCAAAAACATCCAAACAGTATTCACTCAAATATCATTGGGAAGATGAAAAACATGGAAGGTTCAGTTTACTAACCAAGGAGCAGATGTCAAGCCACCAGCCACAGATGAGTGGAAAAACACCAATCTCCACGACAACCAGCAGAGACACCTGGAGAGGAAGCAGAGGCACACCTCAGTATCATTACACACAACCTGAAAACAAACGAGAAAGGTACATCCAGAACAGCACATCCACCTCTGGCCTGAATGTGATTTAAGCATTGCGTTTCTCCAGATTTGGTGTACAGATTCAGTGGAACATTCAGGTCATAAATCACAGTGAGTAAATACTGCTGTCCTCATTTCCACAACTTGGAGATGTTACCTTGACAACAATATAGCAGACTCCCAGGAGACGTCTGGAGCGCTGGAACCTGACCAGAGCAGCTAGTCCCTGAGACAGCCGTTAAGAATCAACAAAGCTTACACAAACTGACTGAGACACATAAAATAAATCTCATATGCAACATATGCCTTTGAAACATGGCAGAACTCCAGTCCAGGGTTGTCATGGCGACTCAATGCTGTGATCCTGGGTGACTCAATGCTACCTTCGTATGGATATAATTTGCTTAAATTAAATCTTTTGGTGGACTTGGATCTTGGAGACCCTCACAACTGCAGTAGGAAGGGGGATAAATCATCAGACTCCCTACAGCTTTTAACATTTTTGTTGACTTCCATTAATTTTCAAGTAAGTACGCTCGATCAAGTACTGTACAGAACTCCACAATGCTTCATGGCTAGCCTGTTAATACTGCTGTAATTCAGGTGGACTGATGCTGTTGTGAAAAGGATACATGACAAAGGATGAGCGTCATGGCCAGGAGTATGTAGCCCACTATGGTTGTGATTAAGCCCTCAAAGTGGGAGGCTTGGACCTAAAGAGAGTACAAAGTTGTAGTCAAATAACTGATTACTGAAGAAGAGGAACAATATTTCAACTTTAAATCAATGAGAGAATTTTCTTACATATTCCTCAAATCCAAGACCAACGACAGAGAAGTGACCGATGTGGTAGGGGCAAAATGCTGCATGAGGAAAGCAAGCACATGTTAGCCATTGCAGTTCATAAATAAAAGAAATACACAGATAACCTCTAAAGAACTTTGAGTAAAACAATCAGTCCTTATTTATGCTTTGGAAACATCCTCTTGTCATCTACTCACCAAAGACCAGGATGAAGAGAGTGTTCAGAGACACCACCCAGAACACATGCTCCTGAAAGACAAGGACATGAGTCAAAACTGGTGGGACTTGATGCTTCTGCTAGGAACCTACAGTCTGTGTTGATTTTAACACCCCAGATGGACAAAGCGGTGCCATTTATCCCTCTGCTGATCTTGACCTGTACACGTGTAAATAGTGATTCACCCTGCCTTACTCAAACAGTCAGGTTTATGACAAATGCAAATAATGCAGGTAATTGTTTTGCCTGACACTTACCCCTGGCAGTGGTTTTAGACATTAGAAATAATTTGTTAAAACTTGTCAGTCTTTATACTGATGGTATTGTTAGCTTTTGTAGGTCTTAAAGAGGCATCAGTGTTCATTTCAGTCTGTTTAAATCGGTTAAAAACTCCTTATAGGGGCTTTAAACAGCAAATCCATCACATATAACATTTTAAGTTTTTCAGTTTGGAAATCTAAAATTAAAATCATGACCTGTAAAAAATGCTAAAACAGCTAGCCCCATGACAATAACTGAAATACGACTTACCAGAAACACCAGTGAACCATCCAGACCGAGCATCTAAACAGAAAAGGTAATTTGTGAGCAAAGACGTAAGAAAACCTCTGATTGTGAGTTATGTACAGTTTAGCACTGATGTCTTGCATTATTACCCTTTCCCAGGTGAGCTCCTCTGCCGCCCTGTCCCACTCCAAAGCATTCCAGTTCATGTCATCTTAAAAAAAAAGGGACATTTATACATGGGATACAATAACAAGCAATACATTTACAGCACTCAGCAGCTTCAAAGTATTTAGAGACACGCTATTGATCTGAAGCCATTAATTCCAAACAGATCTGGCCCCAGCAAAACAGCGCACCGTCTGAAGACAGCACAGTTCCTGTGTGTTAGCTCAAATGTTTTTGAGTTGCCTTTTAGCAACAGAACAGTAATACTTAAAAGGTTGTTGCTGTTGCATTATTTATTCTGCTCTGGTACAATCTATCAGCCCTGAAGTGCAGAGCAACCTATTGTGAGTTTTCCACTGCAGCCATTTAGCTGTCATGACGCCCCTCGGCTGGAATAATGGATAATACAATCACAATTCATTACCAGCCCTTTCTCAGAGCCTGCTGCAAAAATCAGCCCATTAACCAAGCTACAGCAAAACAAATGAGTGTGATATGAGAGCTTTGGGTAACATTTGGACACAAGGTTGGATTATTCTCAAATTAATTGTGTTGATTTTGCAAACTGACAAATGGGACTATTGTGAACAGGCTAGGATGGTATTATTCTTTTGTTGTAGGGCTGCTTAGGCTTTTATACTAAATTGCTCAGCTGGTAGTGTTGTTTGTTGGCTTTACTGCAGGAAAAGTATTTGGGAAAACCTTAATTGATGACATTCTGCTCCATTTCATTTGAGCATGAAGTGAAACACTTTCTTTGTGTTTTGTGGTGTCAGCAGTTTTGCAATGTATGGCAGTCAGACATGTCTCCAGAAAGTGTGACGTGGCCAAGCACAATGGGGAAGTGTGTTCGTGCTTATACAACTATTTAAAAAAATGCTATTTAAATACTGATGGAAAAAGTTTGGATTAAAACTTCAGCTACCAGAGCAGAAATGTCACACTCTGGGTCACTGGCATCATCACTAAACTAGATACAAGTTCCTTATCCAATCCCCACCTTGTGCTCCATTGTTGGGGTCAGCATCCTCTGCTGCTGCTCCCTCCTCTTCTTCCAGCTCGGGGTCATCACCCTGGTCTGGGGGGACATCAGGGGGCTCAGGCTCTGCTTCATTCTGGGCTGGTGGATCAGCGGGAGGTGGTGGAGCTGCGGGGGGCTCATCAGCTGCTCCCTGACCTGCAGCCTGGGGCTGAGGGAGAGAGGAGAGGATGCTAAAATCTGCTGTCTTGTCACATCGCCTGGTTTACAGAGCTGACAGTCTTTGCAACAACTCCAAGAAAGTACCTCATTGGCCTGTCCGGCTGCATTTGGAGGTGGTGGCGGATGCTGCTCCAACCACTGAGGGGCGCCACCATGAACTATCTGTTCTCTGAGCCATACCAGACTAATGAATGCACAAAGCGTGCAGGTAACCACAAAGCAGCCCTGTAGACAATCTGCAAGCAGGTTCTCTCTGCAAAAGTATGAGAATCAACATATATCCATGAACAAAAACAATATACAGGCCCCTTTAGAGCTAGCTAGGGATTACATGTGCACAGAAATCAGTTAACTAAGCTTGGTGTAGCCTCATATGCTGAAAAATTGTGTTTTGTTCACTCACGTTGAGAGCATGTCCAATGGCAGTGTCAAAAGAGAGCTCACAGAGCCTGTAAACAGACACTTGTAGATGCGACCTGAAACAGAAAGACCAGATGAAATTTATATAAAACTTCTCAAAAGAGTTACCTTACATAACATGAGTCTTCAAAAGATCGACATTGCCGACAATGTTTACACACAAAAGGGGGATTAACATAGCCTAGAGCTCTCACATCATTGCCTGCCGTGAAGCTGCACAAGAGCTGTAATTCTCTTGATGGAGTTAAACCATGACCATGAGCTGATGTGTAACGCTTACATCATGTTCATTCCATACACAACTGTGTTATGTGCAACAAGTGCATTTCCTTTAACCCTTACTGGGACAGAGCGGGGGACTAAAAAGGACTATGATCAATCACAATACCCTGTGTATAAATTATCAAATCTGATGAACAAAGCAACCTGATAAAACTGAGTCAAATGTTTATCCCGCCATTGTTTTATGGCTCCAACAATAAAGGCCAGAATAGAGTGAATTGTGCTCTAAAAGGAAATATCTGATAAGGATTTAAAGAAAGGTGGTTCACACTATAAGAGTATATCCTCATCATACTACTTACATGCAGTGAGAGGAACCACCCCGAGCCATGCGAAGGCCACCAGAGTGTAATGGAACCAGTAGCGGATGGCTGTGCCCACACTGGTCAGCAGGCCGGCACAGATGTCCTGGATGGGCAGACGTGAGGGCATGTCTGGGGAGTAAACTAAAAAAAAACAAAGAGGGAAAGATTTTACTAAACACTTCATTAAAATACTGACATAACTTCCTGAGTATTACACATAGTTGAGTAACAGCAAAACAAATGACTTGATCAAAATTAATAGTCGTGTTTGTAAAAAGACTGATACAAAGTGGACCCATATGGCTCAACTTTTAAGATTCTTGAAGGATACTTCAGTCTGTTTAATATGTTCAAGCAGATAATCCATCACTGTCATAAGTACTTACTGGGTGTGAAAGCAAATCTGTGCTTGCATAATTCACAGTACTCCTTCCTGCTGTGCTTGAGCCACTGGACCAAACTGTAACGCAAATATTGAGAACATCAAACTTGTGGTTAAAATTCAACAATATAAAGAATGAGCAGTTTTATGAGGACAGAAAAAGCAGTCTTTTAAATGAATCAGAATTATAAAACAACAGTGTGTGTGGTCATGTTTTGAACTTTAAAAAGTTTCTATTTCGACATTTGCATCTTCACACTCTATCTACAAAGACTTGAGCTTATTGGGACTCTTCTATGTACAGTCCACAGAAATATTCTGCGTAATGGATTTAAAACCGTCTGGAATGTAAAATAAACCAATTACTGATGTCTGACAACGGCCTGATGCCTGAACTTACAGACCCATACAGTGCGCACTTATCATATTTCAGTTGTGGTTAAACACTCACCTTTGTTGATAACACTTAACAAAAAGAGTATATTTCTTATCACTGGACTTATTTATGCTTGCACGTTACCATAATAACAAAATCCCAACTCTTTGTGATTACTCTCCAGGATTAACTAAACGGTTATGTAAGAGGAGCGTAACACCAGCTGAATCCAACACGTATGTTTTCGTCAAGGGTCTGTGTCATGGGACCAACACATAACAGAGCTCTGCTTAAGTTTCGCTTCACCTTACATCACTTCAGGTTTCCGCTCAGGCTGACTTATTAAACATTCACAAGGTTCGATGTGCTATAGCTCAGCAATATGTTCATCTCTCCCTGTGACAGAACGCATTTTACATCCTTTTCGAGTCACAACGGTGCTGCAAAGGTCGTAAAATGACCTCAAATTCCCTCATCTCTAACAAAGTGCTAAACAGTGTAACACTTATCTATAAATTACTTTATTATGCTTTTTAAAGTACCCCACAAAAAAGCATTAAACAAGGTACAGGTGTTCTGTCGCCTGCATACATTCACCACAATTGCACTATCTTTATACAAAAGACTGCTATTCTAACTTTGTTGGGATGACTGTGGACTGATATGAATACAGAATGAGGTTAAACAATTGCCATAGAACAATCCAGGCCTCCTGCCCCGGGGATTTCCATGCACCTGACCCTCTTGTTGCCTGTGACACCCAAACACAGGGCAGATGAGAACACAGCACAATCCCAAAACTACCTGCAGGGCCTGGTATTGTTTTCATCAGGCCAATACCACACCTGAGATGAGTATTGTGAGGCACTGTGCAGCCTGGATGTGAGAGAGGGTGTGCCTGGTCTGTATCCTTTTGATTCTTCTACTTATTCATATGCCAACATGACAAGAATAATCACAGGCAGTGCAGCTTATGCCCCATGTTATCCAATTACTTTGCAATACAACAAATCACTCAGCTGCATCAATCCTATTATAATGGAAGCATGTAAACACACATCCTGGCTTCTTTATTTAGACTGCTGGATTAAAAGCAACCTGCTGACTTTTAATTAAGACTGTATTTACTCGGTTTTGCCTCAGCTATGAATTCTGCTTCAATACATAATACCTGGATGCACAAACTTATGTGGTGTGAGAAAAAGACGATACGTGATTTCTTTCCTGTGCAACTCTGAGTCAAATACAACCTTTACAATCTGATTTACACATAAGCATGTGCCGATATGAAAAATTTGATATCATGATATTGGTGGCCCAAAATATCACAGTTCACGATATTATCACGATATTAGCGCTTTGCTTTTAACGTTATTGGAAATGGCAAAAAACAGTGAAATCACTTCTCTGTGCACTGCATGACACGCACAAACAATATGAGCAAATGGCAGCTAACGCGACGTTGGGAGCATTAGCTTTTTGGAGCTAAAGTTAGCAAAAACATCACTAACGTCAATAATAAGCAGTAGAGTAGACCAAACTTGTTGCAGTCATGTTGTTTTTACCCTGATTTGGGCTAACGATGCTGGATGGTGTTCACGGAGGTGGGCACATATGTTTGAAGTATTAGACAACGGCGCTGCAACTTCCTTACGGCGTAACCTGCAGATTGGTGTCAGGTTTACCTGCTCCGTCTGTTTTCTGAAGCCGTAAAACGTCCATACTGCCGACGGAACCTTTTTAATAGTAGGTTACAGCCGAGGTGTTTCGTCATTCTCAGTCTCCGACTGTTCTTGGCCCGGCTGCATCGTTACGTTGGTAGGAAGTTGGAGCGTGTGTGTCACCTTTTTTTTTCTTCTTCAAACTGTTTCCGGTTCACAGAGTGGACATGCTCCAACAGTGCTTTGGGTGGCCACGCATTTTGTTGTAAAATTTCTTCATTTTCTCTTTTAATGTTCCCGTTGTTGTTAGGCTGGCTTCATTCGAGAGTTTGTTTTGGATTTGGGACTACTTTTGTGGTGGTTTGTTTGTACATTTTGCTACTGAGGCTTTGACACCGTGGGTAAGACTACAAGCGGGTTAGGTTGGTAAGTACTTGGCTTAGCTCGCCTCCTCTGAGTGAAGAGTAAATTATAGTCGTGGAACGATTAGTACAGTACTCTACGATTTCATCATCGCAGCCGTTTAATATCGCATTTCGCGATTAAATCGTATATCGGCACATCCCTATTTACACATTAAGTTTATTTTGGAGAAACTTATATGAAAGTTAAACATTTGGAACAGGTATCAGCCAACCTCAGCAGGTGTGCTCACAATCATGGCAGTAGTCATGTGAATATTTATTAAAGTTAGAAAGGACTTTTAGGAACAGGTGTTGGAGTTCAGTGTGACAGTAATAACACACTTACCATTCCTGGTGGATAAACTTGATACTGCCAGTGCAGACACAGGGATGGTACAGGGGTTTATCTGGGGTCCCCTCGGAGCGGCACACACGACAAATATCCGCTGGACACAGACAAAACACACACACACACACACACACACACACACACACACACACACACACACACACACACACATATTACCAAAGCCTTTTAAAACAGGGGTGCCCTAGTTGGATAGGTGTTAACTGACAGGTGTCTATTTGTACAGAGGAGCTATTACAGAAGCGCAAAGCTGACTGTGTAACACACTAAGATAAGCGTAAGGAAGTAAGTTCAGGAGACTTCTTATCTAGGAGAGTGGTGACATCAACAGTAACTTCTGGCCTTTCTCCACTCTTTACTCCACAATGAAATCTAATATTGAGCTCGCTTGTTAAGATAGTGTTAAACAGTCATCACATTTCAGCAGAGCTCGAACAGGCTACGGGGCTATGCTATAAGGGGCTAAGGTAGCAGGCCACCTCAGCACCCGGTTATCGGTGATACACAGGAGCTAATGCTACTTAACTAACTATTATCGAGAAGCAACAAGCGACACTTCAGGTTATTTACCTTCTTCGGCTGTATCCATGTTGCTCCCTAAGCACTGGTCACCGAATCTTCCAGAAACACCTTATACTGCGGACCCATCCACGGCACAGACGGTATATCTAGCTGCGTTAAGCTAGCAAGGCGAGTGTATCCTTATGTGTCGGATGCATTGAAAATCTTAAAATGGTTTCCTGCAGACTAAACACCAACGCCTCCTTTTTGTCTTTAACACTCTCGAAATAAGAGTATGTCCGCCGGTGTAGAGCAGGTTTGAAACTGATAAGTGTTTTTTCTAATGTTAAACGATCAAGCTGGGAAACGTTACATCCTCCGTGTTGCTGAAATGACAGTTTAACCTGAGAGACAAACGGCTAACCGAGCTAACGCATGCGCCAACGTCACCGCCAACTCCTGTCACAACAGTTTCACCGTGGTCCGGCAGCAGCTGCGGGTTTACGGCAAGAGAACTTCCATAACAACGATCACGTGACTCGGAAGAGCAGGCAAAACATTGATATCGTATTCAGTATGGTGTTGAATATGAAATCATAAGAATGTAAACATCATTATCATGTATCTGTATTGGACAATATGCAAATAGACACTGGACAGTATGTTTTTGCCTTTATTTAAGGCTCTAATAATTTGCACCTGAGTTGAATAGCGCCATCTGCAGGATATTAGTTGGACTGGTATCTTTTATACCACACATTTGTCTTGCATGCTACTTCAAGGGCCACTCTGGTGAGAAATGTTGCTTCTTTACTCAAAACAAAATTTAAGTTTTGAGTACTAGCCAGTTTAACTTCTGAGTCTTAGTTAAACAGATGCTTTACTATTTAAAGGTCCCTCCTAATGTCCAACAGCGATCAGCAATAGGGGGGAGTGGGGTAAGTTGAGCCACACCCAGTTGCTTGGAAATGGTAAAGGAAATTAGTAGTAGGGATACGGCTTAACTTACCCCGCTCCTATGGTCAACTTACCCCATACACAGGGTGAGTTGATCATAGGAGACCACTTTTTGGCATTTTTTTTTGCAGTTGTATGCATTAATGATAAAAAATTATTATACCAGTTGAATAGTGTATAATATAGGAGACCTCTTTTTTTGACATGCTATATTATCAAGACAGTTACGTTTACACTCATTCTGTTGGTTTGCAGGGATGCACAACATCTTGAAATATATGCAGATACACTAGTTAGAGACAAAACTATGATTGCTTCGTTGTAGTGGTCCGAAATATGAAAAATGGCTCATTTTACCCCACTCTCCCCTACAGGCGGTACTGATTTGGTCACATTTAGCAAAAACAGCAAGATTTAGTCACATTTAGCTCCAAACAGCATGTGAGCAATGAGGAGGCCTGTACCAGACCATCTCCAGTCTTTCCTGCTTTGACAGTTGCGGCATTTTGTATTTTATACCATTCTGGATAGTATTTCTTGATTACTGTGCATAATTTGGCTAAAAATAATCTGTACGCAGTTGATAACAACACATACAAATAAACCACTTATGAAGGGGAATAAATGTTAACAACACTGTAAATGTGTGTCAATGCAGAAGCCTATTCACTGTAAATTTACCTAATTTATGTCGCCATATGACCTAGTTTGCCGCGGAGTGATTAAGAGTTTAGGACAGGTGTGCATCGGCGCCGTGGCTTAGTTGGTTAAAGCGCCTGTCTAGTAAACAGGAGATCCTGGGTTCGAATCCCAGCGGTGCCTTTTCACATGTCTTAATATCCACCATGAAAACACGTATAGATGGGAAATTTGCAAGCAATTAATAGCATGTTTCGATGGTACCCATCCAATCAATTGTAATGACAGGAACATTCTAGCTGTAATAACAGTAACTGACAGAGATAGCAAGACCATGACCGGCAGCTTTGTGGTTGTTACCTCATGTTCATGCATATTACAACTACAAAAAAGCTGACACCTAAAGCTAAATGAAAGGTTAATTATTTCCAACTTTTTTTTACTTTTTAAAAAATCACATGCTGCGGGATTCCAAATTGATAGAACTGGCGTCTTCATTTTTCTTTAGTGCTTTATCGAGAAATTTTGAGTACATATTTAACTGCTTTTATTTTGAAGGCGATAACAGGAATCGACATTTCTTGCGTAATAAAACACTGTAGAGCCAGCCTAAAAGGTCTGTGTTCGGACTCTCGCTGAAACTTTTGGGTCCCTGTCAAACTTTTCTTTGCAGCTGGAATAAATAGCTACCCCAGATAAAACGGTATGTTCATGCTAACTTATGGGAAAATCATTTGGTCTTGCTCTTAAAAGGGAATGCAGTAAAAGGTCATGTGGCTTTGCTTGCTTTCGTTATGTAATGGGGGTCAAATATTTCAAGCCAAAAACCACGAACGAGGACTTTCTTTGTCTACTCACTGTCTGTCTGTCTGTCTGTCTCTGCTTTGGTGTGTGCTAGATGGCAAATGAAGCCAATCCTTGTCCCTGTGATATTGGGGATCGGATGGAGTATGGAGGGCTCGGCCAAGAGGTCCAGATAGAGCACATCAAAGCTTATGTGGTGAAACCATCCACTGCTTCTGACAAGGCTGTGATTGTCATCCAGGACATCTATGGCTGGGAGCTCCCCAACACAAGATACATGGCTGACATGCTGGCTGCCAATGGATACACGTGGGTAAAAAATTATAGTGCATTTTAGGGGGGACTTTATGCTGCATGTAATCCTGTTATAGTTGTTAGAACAGTTTTTCTCAGCAGTGATTTGTGGTCCTTTTTTCATCCCCTCTGAGCAGAGCTGTTTGCCCAGACTTCTTTGTAGGGAAGGAACCCTGGAACCCTTCGAATGACTTTTCCATATTATGGGACTGGCTCAAAGATAAGAGCCCTACTGACACAAACAAGTAACTATAACCCCTTATTAAGCAGTTTTTGTGTTTAAAAAAAATATATTTTTCAGTTAATAGAAACGGAGAATGTCGACAATCCTTACTTTTTACCTTTATGCATGGGTTTGAAGAAAATTGTGATATTTCTATATTACTCTCCAGGGAAGTGGATGCAGTGCTGAGGTTCCTGAAGGAGCAGTGTGGGGCAAAAAACATTGGAGTAGTGGGCTTCTGCTGGGGAGGGATCGCCACACATTACATTTCCCTCAATTATCCGGAGATAAAAGCTGGAGTGTCTCTATATGGTCTGTATATTTTTCGAGTAAAGCATATATAACTCTCAGTATACAGCACAAAGACTCTTTGTGATGGGCTCATGTGATTCTGCGTAGGGATTGTCCGTGACAGAGAGGACAGGTATGGGCTGAAGTTTCCTACGTTGTTTATCTTTGCTGGGAATGATTCCTTCATTCCACTGGACCAGGTAACTTACTGCAGTAGCTTTAGAAGATATATGCTTTACATGTGCAATATCACAACTATAAATCCTTTATTTTGCACGTCTTTTCAGGTAAATGTTCTTGAAGAAAGGTTGAAGGAGAAATGCACAACTGATTTCCATGTGAAGATCTTTCCAGGTCAGACACACGGTTTTGTCCACCGAAAGAATGAAGATATGAACCCTGACGACAAACCGAGCATCTTGGAAGCTAGAGCCGACTTACTCAACTGGCTCAAAAAGTATATGTGAAGAAGTTTTAGTATGGCTTAAAAAAGGCTCTCAGCCAAAAAGATTTATGTTAGAAAATTACGCCAGAGAGACGAGATATACTTTGCCTTTCATACATGCTTTAAACTCAAATAAACTTAATGTGCTTTTTGCTTCAAGCTTAAGGTTATAATTGTACATTTGGTAATCAATTTTTATTAATGTAATTGCAAATGTGATCTGAGGCAGCTAAATGTTCTGTTATGGACCAGAAGAACTGACCTTTTTCTTGTTATTACAATAACTGTGAGCCCAAAACTATCTAGCATCGAAAGTGCAGCTATGATTCAAAGCATGCCAGTAACTACAGTCATATAAGGAACACTGATTAAACTCTTGATGAACCAGCTTTTGCTTTTTTTTTTGCTTTTTTTATACAAACTATAAAGTTTGAACCAAGTATTGTAATGAAATACCCTAAGGCCACAGTGACTGAGGCCATAATCGAAAAAAAGAGTCTGGGAATTTTTACAGACCAACATTTTAATGATGACTCGGATACCCCATCAGCTTGAACGTTTTGTATCAAATGATAAATAGCAGTACGCAGTGCGGGTTGTACACGGTGCTCCACAAAGTGCCTACAACTTCTAGAACAGCTCAGAAACATTAACTTGCTCCAGGAGGCCTTCAGTCCTCGCTCTCTCCCGGGCTTCGGATGTCGTCGATCTTCAGGATCATCTTGACTACTTGAGAGGCGAGCAGGATCTGTTGTTTCTTGCCGATCAGGGTCTCGACTACATGTTGCTGCTTCATGTCTGTGGAGGAGAAAATCCTTTGAGTATTTCCTAAGCGTTACAGTGTTGGGTTAGGATTGTCAGACAAAAAGCTTCTTACCATTGGTGTTGTTGTGCAGACAGTCAATGCCGAGGAAGGGGTTGTTTTCTCTGACCTGTCTGGCTCGGACCTCAGTCATGGTCTGGATTGGGTTCAACCCGCTGTTCTCAGCCAGGGCCATTGGGATAACCTCCAGAGCATCAGCAAATGACCTCATTGCATACTGCTCCAGTGATGGACACTAGAACAGAGAGGGGCAGATATTCAGTTAGTGACAGTGGCTAAGATGGGCAGCTTGAGGAAAGAAGCTTGAAATCTGTATCCTGAGATCTAGGTGCTTTTTTACCTTATCTGCAGCCTGGTTGACAGCCAGAGCACATGCAATCTCTGAAGCCCCGCCTCCATACACCACACGATTGTCCTTGACCAGGTTGCGAATGACGCAAAGAGCATCATGGAGAGCACGCTTGGCCTCTTCGATGATCTTAAGAAAAAGATACAACACAAGGTGAATGATAAGGCATACGTGTATAAATGTCAGGGCTGTAAAAGGGCACAGCTTTAGTTACCATTTTGTTTCCTCCCCGGATGAAAATGGTAACAGCCCTGGTGTTCTTGCACTCCTGGATAACCAACATGTGATCCTTTGTAGTGCCAAAGGAGATCTCCTTCACCACACCAGCTGTTCCAAGCTTCTCTGGTGTCAGCTCACAGAACCTAGGAACGATGCGCCCTCCTGTGGCAATGGCAATCAACTGCAGAGAAAACAAAGCAATATATATTTGTAATCATGTTTCCATTACTTGAAAATATAATTTATCATTATAAAAGGGACTTGTGGCTATTTTGTTTGGAGTATAACCCCCCAGTAAAGTGTGATCAATGTGATTTCTTACCTCGATCTCAGGTCCTCCAACCCAGCGCACAGCCGGCAGCTCATTCTGCAGCAGGAGATGGTTGGCCTCATCATCAAAGCCCCACTGACAGATTGCCAAGTTAGCGCCATTGCTTTTAACCTAAAAGAGAAAGAAGCTTGCATCAAAGAGTTCAACACATAGCAGTGTGATGGAGAATGGTTTCTAGGGTGTAAAATGATAAATTCCCACCTGTTGAATCATCTCCTCAAACTTCTCTTTCTCATACTTCTGAAGGGCTTTGTAGTCCTCCACAGATGTGACATCCAACTTATGCTTGGTCTTGGGCTTAGGGGGCTCAAATGGGCAGGTGAGGATGGCGATTTTGACGTCTTTCAGAACCTGAGTGGTGACCAAAAAAAATAAGTTAACATCAGGGTCTTGCTGTGGCCACTCCACAAGAAAGGGCTGCTTGATTATGGCATTAACTGTGACAACGATCATTTTGATTGATGTTTAAATCAGATAACAAACAAACAACATGGCAAAGCAAAAGAAGAACGATGAAGCTAGTGGGGCAAGATTGAACTGTGAGACATAGGAGAAGCTAGTTCATCTCAGGCAAAAACATCCCTGCCTTAACGATGGGTTGTAGGGGAACAGACAAAAAAACAACAACTGTTGGCTAGAAAAAGCGGAGGCACTGCTGGAGTGAGTGACTATTTATCGCCATTCCTGTCTTGTCAAACCCAGCTGCTTTCCTTCCAATGGCATCAAATAAGCTGTAATGCCATCATAATAAACCATGACAGACATGTCACTCAACACCCTAGTATTCGGAACCATATTTTAGATTAAATCAAGGGCTCAATTTAAAGTATGTCTACCTTAGGCATCTGAGGGTGGCTGAACTCCTTGTCAACAATGACTCCCTTGATGAGCTGTGTATCCTCCAGCTTGCCTCCCACTTTGCCCTCCATCTTGATGAGCTCAAAGTCTACATCCTTCCTCTCCATGTCTGCCACAGTGAGGATGGCATTCACTGCAATCTCTGCCATCTGTCTGTGGCACCGGTTGATGCTGTAAAGTGAAATATGATTTAAATTTGTGACATCAGCTAAGATTACTGAACTCAGTCAATTGCATACAAAGCTACTAGTTCGTTAGTAGCACAAATCATACACAAATTAAGGAAAGCAATATTGGCTGGTTAGCAAGTCAGCAAAATATACCCTTCAGTTTTGAATAACCTACATTTTAGATCCCAGCGTTGTCATGGCGGTCTCAATCAGTGGTTCTGTGTTGTTGGGATCGCAGGGTAGAGTTTCTGCGATTTTGTCCAGCTGCTCGATGGCGATACGTGCGGCCTGATCGTAACCATCGGAGATCCTGATGGGGTGGATCCCGCGGTCTAGCAGCTGCTCAGCCTGCTCAAGCAGAGCCCCAGCAAGCACTAAGGAGGAGAAAAACTGAGTAAGTCAATGGTTACAAATGCTAGCTGGAGTATGATTGAAATGCATCTAAAAAGTGGCAACTATCTAACTCGGATAAAGCATGCTATATACACACAACATACTCGTCAGTTTTGCTGTGATATAGTTACAGGACACATGGTTCTTAATTTAGTGTAATAGAAACAGAGTCACCCTATTCTGTACTTTAAATCTATCAGGTGCACAAGCTAAGGAATCCTCAAGTCTCTTAGTAATTCAGCATGCCTGGGTTGTATATTGGAGAAATTCGATGGAAAATGTACAGAGCAACATTGAGTTTTTTTCTGTTTAGGAACAGATGAAAGTGTTAGCAGTTTCAAGTGCTGTTCTTGTAATCAGTGTCACTCAGAGTGAAGTGGTGCCATCATTACAGCAGAAAATATGAAAATCCTTCATATTTCCTCCTTCTCGTACCAACAACTCCAGTGGTTCCATCACCAATCTCATCATCCTGTGACTTTGAAAGCTCCACCATCAGCTTGGCAATCTGGTGATCAACGTCCATCATGCTGAGAATGGTGGCTCCGTCGTTGGTGACAGTAACCTCGCCATCCCTGTCAACCATCATCTTGTCAAGACCTGGGAGCAAAAAAGGGTCAAGGAGGAGTAAATTTATTCTGTTAAAAGATTAAAATATCTTTACAATTCTTTGTAAACAGGGTACAACAAAATTTAAGTATGTAGTCTCACATACACTACTCGAATTAATAACTTTATTTGAATAGCACTTTTAAAAAACAGAAGTTTAAGTGCTTTGACATACAGTCATAATGCACATGGAAAAAGACAGATAAAAACAAAAAGCTCAGTAAAAAAGGGATTGAAAGCCATTTTCATGTCATAAGGAACCCAGACAATACAAGAACCATGCAACATAAAATGAGACCATGAGGACCAAAATAAAAACATAAAATAGTTAAGAGGAAAATGCAATTAAAAGGGAGGATGAAAACAGAAACAGGATAGAAAATATAAAAGACAATCAACAATGATAATAAAATAATAACAAGTAATCCAGATGATAATAGTAATGACCTCGACTTTGGAACGATCAGGAGACCTTCACCAGAGGATCTGAGGCTGCAAGTTGGCTCATATGGTATTAAAAGCTCTAAAATGTAGCTCACAGTAAGTCCTTTGAGTGCTTTAAAAGTAATCAATAAAATCTTAAAATCAATTCTAAAACTGACAGGAAGCCAGTGAAGGGAGGCTAAAATTGGAGTGATGTGATGCTGTCTACTAAAACCAGTTAAAAGCCTCGCTGCTGCATTTTGAACTAGTTGGAGGCGGGAGAGTGATTTCTAATTCAGACCAGGTAGGAGAGAGTTACAGTAGTCCAGCCTTGAGAAAATGAAAGTGTGGATTATTTTTTCGAGATCTGGTAGGGTGAGTATTTGTTCAATCTTTGAAATTGAGCGCGAGTGAAAAAAACAGGACTGGATGATATTATGGTATGGGTGGAGAAGGTGAGGTCTGAATCAAAAATTACTCCCAGATTTCTGGCTGTTGGTTTGATGAATGCTGAATGTGGACCGAGACAAGACTGTATATTTAATATAGTGACTGTGGCATTACAGAGCGAAAATGTGAGATCATTATTTACAAAAACTCAAATGAAATGCAAACACTTTGTTCCTACCTACTTGATATTACTGACAATTTGTAAAAAAAACTATTAAATATGTTGGAAAAAAATGTAATAATTTTGAGAAATTGTGGTAGCACCACATGACATTTTGTAAGGCCACGGGCAATTCATCTATACGAAAAAACACTAAAATTTTTGTAAACACAACATCCTTAGTGTCTGAACTTTTGCAAAATATATTCTTATTTTCGCTATTTTAAAACTGCCATGTTTAAAAACCTTATACATCATTGACCCATGTTACAGAGAATTATTTCAGATTTTGAATAATTTAGCTGGAGAACATTTTTGTGACAGCAGCTAGGCTTCTTGGGTCCCCAGGTCTCAAAGGAATTACACATTTACACCCACCATTGGGTCCCAAAGATGTTTTCAGCGTTGATGCGACTGCTTTGGCTGCCATAATGTGAGACTGCAAAACACAAAACACAAACATATTCACATATGAAACAGGTTTTCAGCAGAGGAATTGAATGCATCCACACCAAGTGTTTGGGGGACACCCGTGTGGAGCAACACCCATCAGCTAAACGCCGCACAGAAAGCACATGGGCCTCAATATTAGCATGACTCGCTAATCCATTTACTAAAACTATCCTGGGTTATCCCTCAGCCTGACAGCTAGGGATATGATTACAGACCATTTATATACATATCATAACATAGGGTGTCAATATCACAGATCAAACTCCAATAAAACGAAAGAGACTGATGACTTGCTAAGCAACGTGCTGCAGTGGTGCTCCGCTAGCTAGCCCATTGTACCTTCAGTGCGTCAATGCCCGTTAACCGAGTCTTCTTGTCCTGGTCTTTAATGATGATAAAAGGTCTCCCATACTCGTCGAAAGCGAGCGTCCCCAAGGAGGACATGTTGACAGAGGTATTAGGACACTTCACAGGTGTTCAAAGATGAAAAAAATGAGATTTTATCGTGATGGCTTGGAGAGTGGCTTAGCTGCAAGCCGCACGGGTCTGCCGGCGACTTCTGGAAGGCTCCACGGGCGGGGAGGGCGGAACCAAGTAGCACTGAGAGTATCTTATTACTTAGGAAAAAAGCCACGAATTCAAAACAAATCCAAGATTATTAGAAACTTTTTGTATTTATTCTGCTGTCTACTGTTAAGTTTTTATTCACACGATTTCAGTACATGGACTGGAAAGTTATAAACATTTTTTACATGTGGTTTCTTCCGATCACGTTCAAGCACCGTCAGTGGATTGTTATCGCGAGAATTACACCACCGACAAAAACCATGGGGAGGACCGGAATGTGAGTCTTTTCACAGCTGTTTAGAAAAGGTAGAGATTTATGTTACCTCTGGAAACCATACATTTACGTTTCCATGTGGTTCTTCTGTATTTATGATTCTACAGGAGTTGTTAATGGTTCAAAATGATGCCATTTGAACTAAACCGGGGGAAAATGTTGGCGAAAGTGTTTCAGTGTAGTGTTAGGACCGATGGGTTTTAGTTGTCAGTTATTTAGATACAAACATTGACTTGAGTCTTTGAGTCTAGAAATATTGTTATTTGCTCATCTGGAAGTGTAGTGAGAAATGTGAGGATAAACAACACGATAGACTCCACGTGCACTTTGGGCTACACTGTGGAACGTCAAATACCGACGCAATCGTGTTGTTTCGTTCGTGAACGATTCGTTTAAAAGATCCGAATCTTTGAAATGAACGTACTGAACCTAATCATTTATCGTTTCTCATTTCAGTTGAGCTGAAGTGAGAAACAGCATTGCCAGGCTAGCAGCCGGCAAAAGAGGGACGACATGCACCGACGCCTGAATCACTAGGTGAACAAATCACGCATTGAACTACACTCTCTGAAATAATTTTTGTCGGACAGAGCCACCTCTTTTTTACTGCTGAATTGCCACCACTGCAGCATCCTATCATTGCAGCGGTTTGCGAGGGAACGGTGACTGTTCAGTGTGAATTCTTCTAAATGTTCAGTAAACGAATCACTCACTGACCCCAATTTACCGAGCAGACCTGATAAATAGCATACCTTAAGACAGTACACTTTAAACGTCATGACTTATAAACAAGTTCATCCTTACACGCCTATTTGCTAAAGCAACACAGCCAAACAATCTCGTCTCCCGGTGCCAGAAGCTATAAATTGAACCGAATCCTGAAATGTTCAGCTGTGTATTAGTTCAGGAGGTCAGAGTCGAAGGCTTCTCCCGCTAAAAGATTCGGTGATTTGATGAACGAATCTTTTTAGTGAACTGATCCTAGTGATTCAGTACATCTAAAACAACTGCCGTGCCCATCACTACGACGCAACATCCGGGTACTCTAAATTGATGCTTAGGTTTGCGAGAGGTGTGCTTTGGCAGTCTGCTTGCTACCTGTCTAAATATGCAGTATGGAGGTAAGGTACATAAGAGAAAAACACTCAACTATAACTGACTTAAATGAGCTAATAATGTATAATTTGGACTCCCCAGCATGCCCTGTGAGGTGAAGCCCAGGTTTGTGGTTCTGTACGGGTCTCAGAAAGGACAAGCCCAGTCCATAGCTGAAGGGATAGCTGAGGAGGCAGAGGAGCACGGACTAGTTGCTGAACTCAGCTGCTTGAACCAGAATGAAAAGGTAAACACAACACATTAAAGCTGTTCTTGAAAGCAGCATATCTGTTAAATCCTCCTGCTGAATGTCTTGGACACTGTAAGTCATATAGGGGAGAGTGGGGTAAGTTGAGCCAAAGGGTAAGTTGTCTCATCTTACCCCACTCTCCCCTCTTTGGTTTTAGTACAATTTAGAGAAGGAGAAAGCCCCAGTGGTGTTTATTGTATCTACTACTGGAGACGGAGAACCACCAGACAATGCCCTCCAGTTTGTCAAGTGCATCAAGAAGAAGACCCTTCCCACTGACCACTATTCACATCTATGCTATGCACTCTTAGGTAAGTTTTTAGCCATATAGTGGACAGTGATTTGCACTTACAGCTGTGAAATATTGCCGCGATGATCATGGCACTGTGTTGACTGTCTAAACAATTGTTGACTCAAAGCATAGTCATCCATTTCTCTTGTGTATTCCAGCTTTAGGAGACACAAATTATGCAAATTTCTGCAACTGTGGGAAGACAATCGAAGGTCGATTACAGGAACTTGGAGCCAAACAGTTCTATGCAACAGGATATGCAGACGATGGTGTAGGGTAAGTTCAGTGTTTTCACAGTGCCAACCACCTAGTCTCTGTCTCCTATTTTGTTATTCTGCTATGTGAAATCTCACAGACTTTGTGCTCTCCAGGCTGGAGTTGGTAGTGGACCCTTGGCTTGAAAGTCTATGGAAAGCCATTAAAGCAGCCTTATCAAAAATGGCTTCTGATAGCACTGGTTTACTGACAAGAGAAGCAGAGGATTCACCAAAGGAAGCCCCTGATTCATCCACTCCAGATGTCCAACTAAGCCTCTTGAGCATCACTGACCAACACGACCATAATTCAGCCAAATCATCAGCCGAGGTTGCCTCCAAATTTGCATCTGCCGTCTCATCCTCAGTTTTAGCTTCTACTACACAGACTACTGTTACTGATCTGGGGCCAGCTACTCCTTCGGGAAATGACAGGTTGCAGTCCCAGCGTCATGATGCTGCCAGTGTTTCTACATCAAAACCAGAGACTCAAACCACGGATGCTGGAGTTTCCCATGCTGCTCTGGCAGCCTCACTGACACACTCCCTGCCACCGCTATCTGAGTCTGCTCTTAACGTTCCTGCTCTGCCTCCTCCCTACTTGGATGTGTCTCTTCAGCAAGTGGACTTTGTAGAACAGGTAAGGAATGGTACCCCTGATAAAACCAGTATTCGTGCCATATTTCACCCTTCATCTTTCAAATCTTTTCCCTCAGCCTGATGGACCTGTGAACAAAGAGTCTCTCTGTGAGGTACCTGTATCCAAGGCAGTTCAGCTTACCACAGGAGATTCAGTCAAAACAGCTCTTCTCATACAGCTAGACACCTCTGTAAGTGTGAAATATTAATGAGATTTTCTAATTTTGCAGCTTAGAGATGAACATAGAGGCACTTTAAACTCAACATGCTTGTTTTTCATTCTTAGGCGTATCCTGAGATGACCTATCAGCCAGGGGATTCGTTTGATGTTTTCTGCCCAAATAGAGCCTCTGAGGTGGAGGACATGCTCCACAGATTGGCTCTCCATGACCAGAGAGACCATCAGGTGCACATATCTCTGCGTAAAGACACTAAAAAGAAAGGTAAACACATCCTCAGTGTACTTTGAATAACAAGCTCTACGAGAAAGGAGTATTGCGCTTGAAACGCATCTATCTCGACCCGCCTTCTGCTCTCTTCCCTGGTTATAGGTGCTCAAGTGCCTCGTGACATCCCCCAGAACATTTCTCTGCTGTTTCTGCTCACATGGTGTCTGGAAATCAGAACTGTTCCTAAAAAGGTACGGTCTGTCCCTCTTCTCTGTTGTTTTGAACAAGGCCAACTACACTGACAATGAAATGTGATATACTAGCTGTTGCAAAAATTGGGAAAAAGAAATTGGAATTTATTTGAGGAAAATCAAGTGTTCAAGACGCTTTACACAGTCATAGAAAAATAACACAAGTAAACATTATTACCTGGCTGTCTTGCTAATCACCCAACTATGTTAAATACTTGATTCCAATTGGACTAAACTCCATAATAAAAGTGATCCATCCAGAGTAGCCCGAGGGACAACTTGAAAAACATATCAATCTCCAGGAAGGGGTTATTTCACATCTAGTGAACTGTTTATGACTTCACCCCTTCCCGTTGACAGTGAGACAGACACATTACTTTCAGAAAGCAGTGGCAGACAATGTAGAGAGCACATAACTTTAGATTGACAGTTAAAGCCTGAAAAGAAGATGAGAAGTAGGATAACAGTGCAAAAATTAGCACAAGATGTCAAAACACACTAGGAGCTAAGTGAAAGAGATGGAAGAGAAGAGAAACTAAGCACCAACAAACTGGCAGTGTTAGGGGACTGGTTGAGTGAGGAAAGAAATGGCAATGGTGAAGTTAGGGGGAAAGAGACCTCAAACAGGTGCTGCTGTTTTTTTTCCTCCATCTGTTCAGAATGCTGTCAGTAGCAACATGCTCATGCTAAGATTTCACCATGTTTGAAAATGTTAAGTCCAGTATGATTGCTGACAACAGAGAAGAACAATCTTTAGACTATTATATATTCAATCTTCGTCAGTCTCCTGTTTTTTTTTTTCTTTCCTGATTATTACTTGTATCTGTGAAGTTTATCCAAAAAGCAGACTTTTTTTCACTGCTGAATATCCACCAATTTTTAGCTGATCATCTAGCTTTAACTTTATCTCACTGCATCAAACTGGTTTGGATGTATGACTGTTGTTCTAGCCACCTAGTAAGATGTATGTGTGCTGAGTTAAAAAGCATTGATTGTCCATAAAAATAATGTTTCTAGTAATGATTTATCGTGCAGCCCAAGTACTCAAATACTCCATGAGCTCCAAGAATTTACAAGGGATAATGGATGAGCTTGACACACTGTTATGGGCTCAATATGCTTTGTAGTGTAGCTGTTAAAGCTTACATTCTGGTCCAGGTAAAGTAGATAAACACATTTGGTGTATGTCATAAAAGCTATGATCTCTTATCCCGGCCTCACTTTTGGCAGGCGATTCCATGTGCATGAGCTTATCCTCATTTGCAAACATACACAGCTTTCTTTAGAATATTAGAAAATGCAGCGACTGTGGCTAATCAACTTCTGCACCCTTGTGTGTTCTTTCCCCAAATTAAAAAGTTAATGAATATATTTGTTTTGCAGATTAAATAACTCATTTAACAACTACATTATTGTCTGACCAAAATGAAAACCATTCGTTTGCCTCCAGCACAAGCTTCATCATTAGTTCACCACTCTGCGTAAACAGCACACTGAATAATGAGAGGGAGATGATTTGTAAAATAGAAAATATGGCAACAATCTAGTTCTTTCTTAATAAATAAAACATTTTAAGAGAAGCGTCCTCAGAATATTAGAAAGCTTAAATGTGGTTAAACATATTTAAAGAAGCTGAAGATGGAGCCATTTAGAAGGGGATGATTACTCTGGTTTCTACTCAGATTTAATAGGGGGAGCTTTTCAACTGTGTTTTACTACATTATATGGTAAAACACAGTTGATATATAGAGAGATATATAACACACACACACACACACACACACACACACACACACACACACACACACACACACACACCATAATAGTAATAATTATGACTGCCACTCGCAGTCACTTTCCAGCTGTATTGAATCCTTGTCTTTTTTGACTCTGTTAAAAAGATGATTTTTAGGTGAAAAAGTTGCCCTGAGACTTACAAGGCAGTTAGAGTTTTATTTTACAACACCTGTCTGTGTAACACAAGCAGTTAATCTGTTCTACTAAAGCATTTACAACCTCCATAATCTTTATACTCCATGATTTTTAGCGTAGTGAAAGAAAAGCACCTCAGCTGCTCGGAAAGTACAATTTTCAATAATTTATTTAACAGCATAAAATTCAGTACAATAACTCGGCATGGTTCGTTTTTTCTACTCAGACACATGTGTTTTATTAAAACTGAAGCTAATCAGAGTGTCAGCCTGATACTGACACTCTTTTTTGACGTTAGTGTTGAAGTGTTTTCAGTACAGGATGTATTGTAGGATTGGAGTGATAACTCTTCCAGGGAAAGCTACAAGTATATACCAGTAATCTCTCTTTACATGCACTCATAACTATAATGAATCACTGAAATTACAGCCAACACTTAGGCATGACAAATATTCAGAGGTTGAGATTACTATATCAGAGAGATAAATGGTTGTGGACGGACGTAAAATTAATCCAAAAGTTGTTCAGGAGTTTCGTTTCAATATTCTCCCTTGATGCTTTTAATCCTGTTAATTCACATCAAAGCCAACAAACAGATTAACAATAATTGATTCAATGCCAGTAAAAGTGCAGCAGCAGCAGCCTTGCATAATTATCAAAGTAACTGATTGCATTAATTAATTTAGATGACTTTTTAAAAGGGTTTTAAGAATGCCTGTTTGCCTTTAAAACTAAATAGCAATTAGACAGGGACAGCGAGTTTACTCTGCAAAATAAAACTAATGAATCCCATAATTCCACCTACACCAAATAAAAAAAAATATCAAAGGAACAAAAGATGAAAATGAAAAAAGATCATCTCTTCTGACAGTTGGTAGAAAAGCTTTAAGTCACTCAACATCTGATTTCTGCTTCCCATCAGGCATTTCTGCGAGCCCTGGTGGAGCATACAGAGAACAGCGAGCAGAGGAGGAGACTGCAGGAGCTCTGCAGTAAACACGGCGCCGCAGACTACAACCTGTATGTGAGGGACCCGAGCCTCAGCACTCTGGAGCTTCTCACAGCCTTCCCTTCATGCTCTCCTCCTCTTAGCCTCCTCATAGGTCAGAGTGCTTTCTGTTGATAACTCACACGCTCACCTTTTTCAAAATATGACCATAAATATTCAGAGTTTACTTCTACCTGGTTAGATCTATTACAGAACAGACAGCCTGGCGTTCACCATCTGAATTTACCAAACATCACTTTTATTTTTCATTTTGGTTTTAGCAGAATCTGCAGGTCACAGAGCTAATGGACATGTTTGATGCATTTCATTTATTCACTTCCTAATGAGAAGACAATCTAATATTCCTGCATAATTTGAGGGTGTTTTTTTTAAACACATAACTTTAATTGATTCCACATTTAATTAAATGCAGGTTTTAACTTTTGCCTGAGGCAAATGCTAAATCATAGTGATTGGCATGAGATTGGGATTTAGACCGCACCTGTTCAATTACCAGTAGAATAAATGACTTCACCTCTATTTCTTTTACTTTTCACAAGACCTCAGGTTATAAAAAAAGTTTGCCTTCTGTGTTTTTTTAATGTAGTAAATTGCATCTGTCGGGTTTATTTTGTCCAGTAGGGGTCACTGCAGCCCCAGTAGAGAGCCTAGTCCTGAGGCTGGTTTAGTCAGAGCATTTAATCACAGTGAATGGTCAGAGAGTGTACTTCAGAGGGCTCCCCAAAGGATCAACACTCATTTCCTTCCCTCAAATTCAAGAACATGTAGCTCCAATTTGTTTTTTTCTTCTCAGTGTTAGAGTGAATAAAAAGCCAATATTGTAGCTGCGAGACAAGAGAAAGTTTCTCTGTTAGTTCATTATTTCTCTCTTTGCTAATAATATTGATCACGTTTTGCTGCTGTTGACCATCTCTGCCATTCCTCCCTTGACCCCTGCAGCCAACTGTCCACGGAAAACTAACATTTTCTCACTGCTCATTAAGATAGTTGGCCGGCCATTCAGTATGGATCTAATAAGCTTTGACTGAAACTTAACAGACAGTGAAATTAGTTGGCTACAGCTTAGCATGCAAGTTGAGTCGCCCTCTAAAACAGCTGCGTCACAGCTCTCGGCTACCCCGGTGTCGGTTATTTTTGGTCGACTTGCCAACCGCAGCACCTTTTTTTCTTGTGGTGAAGTGATGCAGAAATTGGGAATTGCGGCGATCTCGCCCTGGTGAATAATGTGCCGCTGGAGGCCCTGCGGGGCAACAGCTGTTATTTCAGGAACAGGGGAGGCGTTCAGCGGTGGGCCACCAAGCTTCGCAAGGACACAGGCACACAGGGTCAGTTAAGATCGTAGGTTAATGGTCAACTCTGACTCAGAGTTTAAAAGCACGCTGCTGCATTTTTGCACCTTTCCTGGTTCATTAACCCGACCTGAGGGAGGAGGAGGTGTTTGCTGATCAGAGTTTATGCTGTTATACACTAAATATAAATAATGAGGAGAGATGTGTGGAAGTGCGAGTGTCTTTGGACAAGTGCATGCTGGGTACAAAAGTTAATGCTGGGCATAAATTGTGAAAGATACCTTCTTCCTAGAGTCAGCTCTCTTGTTGTTATACGGCCTATTGTTTCAGATGAAAACTTTGGGGTCACAGCCCCTGGGAGCTCAATCCTGTCCATGAGCATCTTTTTCAATTTACTTTACTGCAAGGCTCAAATGAAACTCTACTATGGTGCAGTTTTATAATTTTTTTCCTTCTAAAGGTGCAGTGCGCAGAATTTAATGGCATTTAGCAGGACAGACTTGGTAGAAAAGGAATGCTATATCCATCAGTATGTTAGACTTTACTTGTATGTTGACACACAACAAGGCCTGCACACATTTTTATATTTGTGAATGGCCACCAAAAGTGCACTTGTTGGAAGCAGGAAAAGATAGAGTGGTTGTTGTGCACATTAGCACCTGTTGTGATGGACAGTTTTGATGATCCAACTTGACAAATGCAGGATAATACTTGTTATGCCTCACAGCAGCTGTGACGCATGATGCCTGATCTTTTCCTCAAGGGCCACCATCACTTCATTAATGGGAGGGGTGAGCAAGGAAACTTTAAATCTAAAATCTGACAGGCAGATATTCCTTTTTCTACCCTCTACAACTGAAGAACATAAAAGACAGTAAAACAAAGAGGTAAAGAGAAGTGAAGCAGATCTGTCTGTGTTCACTCTCCTGGTTGGTTTGAAATTAAAAATGAGATGTCCTGGTCACAGATAAAGCACTGCCTATCACATATATATCTTCAGACACTGAAGATGTAATAAAATGCTGCTGAAAACTTTTTTAAATGGTTGCAGAGGGCCATGAGCTTTGAAAATCTTGAAAGACGCTATTTGCAAGTTTAAAAAAGGAGAACAAAATCCTCCCAGGAGGAACTCATCTTAATGCTTTAATGCTAACAACCTTTGTAATTCTCTCTTTGTGCGATCTACACAAAGAAACTACTGGTATATCTTTAAGAGTAAAACTTTTACGTTCAACCACATTGCTATCTCATTTTGTTCCACTAAAACGGTACCTATGCATATAAATTGCAGCACAGAGAGACTTCTCAGATGGGATAGATGATATTGTTGTGCAGTATGATCGATGATACCCCTGAAAATGCTCATTTTCTGAAAAACATATCAGGGACCCTGAGACTGTATTTTTTGGGACAGAGACCTTCTGTTGCAATACATATTTTACGATGCGTCCTCAAGCCACTCACTGCAACAATAAAAAACAAAGCTTTGCACTCAGAGGTTTTAAAAGTGATATATCCTTTTGTATCCAGCAGCGGTATCATCATGGTGCAGTGATGTGAGATGATGGATTGATCGTCCTCTGTTTCGGACATGTGCTGTCACTCTGAGACAGAAAAGCAGCAGCCTGAGCACTATGCTGCAGCAGAGGATTGTGTTGACGTACATGATACACCCTCTGATGGAGAGGTGTGTGTTTCCTCTGATGGAAAGCATTTCTAGATCTCTTGTATTTTATTCCAAAGGATTTTCGCCCCTCTGGGGTTACTTACCCACCTTTTATGAGAAGCATGAATTATTTTTTTCATCTTTTTGAGCGTGTTCCTAATTATTTCAGAAAATGTATTTACAAATGAGTTACTGTGAGTTGCATCTACAGCACAAGAATATTGATTATATTAAATCAAGGCCGACGTGTAATCTTGGGTCTCCTTGTAAATTCGTGTGCCCTCTGGTCATTAATACATTTTTGGCCTCCATGTTTAAAGATTTGAATTTTTATCTCTGACTGAAAGTTCTCCTCATAAAAGTAAGCTCATCTCCATCTCTTCTTTTTAGCCCAAAATACAGCTTCATATCAAACATGACATATTATTAATTTGTCTTGTCTGTTAATGATAGACAGAAGATTCACAAGTCTCTAATATGAGTTAATTATGTCAGCCCTCTAATCTGCTTAATTGTTTCTATTTTACTCTTACATGAGAGTACAGTTAATTAATAATCTAACAAGTAGATTATATCTGTCATGTTTTAATAAATTATAATTGTCATTGTTTTAATTCTGATCGCTTAAAGAGAAAATGATTAAGAAACCTTATCAGTGAAAATGAGTGCCAAAGACATTCAGTTACATTACACCAACTTTTATGATACTTTCCAACAGTTTAGTATTAATCTCTTCATACAAGTCAATCATTTATTCAAGCTTTAGTTCATACAACTTTTTTTCCCCTCATCAACGACTGCAATCTCAAACTTTTGTGTGTGAACACCCAAAAAACGAACTTATTTTCCAGACCACTGAGGATGCACTTTGGGAAATCTTCTTTCCTCCTTTCAGAGTGACTCCCAGACTCATTTCAAGATGTTATGATAAGCAAGCAAGTCTGAGAAGGATGTATGAAGATCCTCACTTCTTTGAAAGATTTGAGACCTTATGGTTTCCTCCTATTACACCAATTTCTATCTTAACACATTCGTTTTTTAGACATGCACAATGTAAGCTCAATAAAAGCTCTGAATTTTTCTTATCAATATCAGCAGCAATGAAAAGTTCTGCTAACACTATTAATTCAATTGTGCATCTAAAAGAGCCTTATCCTGGGTAGCACCAAGAGTTTCTGAAAAGTAATATTGGTCTTATTATCAGTGTGAGCCATATGAGGTTAAAAACATCAGCATATTGCATAAAAATCCAATATCACGCTCCCTACTTTTGTGTAGTTTGCACACCCTCAGCAAGCTGTATTGTTTTCTCAATATTAAGTTGTTTTTTTGGGGGTCATCAAAGGTCCCTTATAATGAACGCATCTATAGAGTCCCCAATCTATACATTCAGACGTACTTAAGTCACCCTCCAGTCCAGCAATACTGAGATTGTGGGAAGGTAAAAGCCTCTGTGTTGTCTCTTAATTGAGCCCACATACTTGGAAAATGGCTCCTTTGGTGATGTAATAACAGGAGTGATTTGCATAGGCCTGCGTTTAACACAACTCCCATTCCCACTCTTAAGGTGATGCTGCCTGCTACTGCACAATAGTGGGTTTGCCTTAGGAAATAAGACCCAAACTTGCTACTACAATAATCAAGTGTGTAGATGTTTCTAAATGAGCGAAGCCTTTAGCTCCTTTAAGGTAGAAAGAGAGTCAGTAGATCTAATAGATTTGGAGTTATGTCCTGTACTCCCTTATATTTTAGTTGCGTCTCTATCTAATAGTCTCTCACTGCTCTGTTGTTGTTTACAAAAGAAAACGCATTGATTACTAGTCTGTTTTAGCACCAGAGCAACACCTCTGTATCAGCACAGGTGTGCCCCTTCAGACAGCATTTAAGCAGCCAATCAGCACAGCCTCATTATTTTAACAGCCCCTTTTACTGTAGGTTACTAAGAGAATACAGATCCTCCAAAGAGGCTGAAATCGTTTTATTTTCAACTCAATTCAAAACCTGCTGTAAGGACTACTATGACATGTTGGAAACAGCTGAAAATACCACTGTACTGGACCTTAATTGTCAACAGATATGTGGATGAATTCAAGAAAAGTTTTTTTTTTTGTTCAAAACTGTCCTTCAGACTCACTTTAATGTGTCTAATGCATCACCACTTAAAAAAAGCCCAACATCCCGGCTCAAAGAGATGAAACAAGTGTCAAAGTGCCAAGCTGTCTTGCTAACACCCTGAGCTGTTTAGATGTCAGAGAAATCCAGAAAAAAGAAGAGACAGCAGATTTAGTCCAGCTGTTTGTCTGCCTGAGCAATTTAGTGGAAAAATTTGTTATTGTGAAGCCTCAGCTGGTGCATATGGTGCAGCTTAACTTTCCCAGGTCCATCTCTCACTGAGATACAAATAAAATGTAAGGACACACATCACATAACTCCCAATCAGTCTTGTAGCCTAATAGTTAGTGGTGATCTAAGCGTAGCAAATTGCAAATGTTGTTGCTACAGGGTGAAAAGTTATCTCTTACTTTAATAAGTTTTTCCTGATTTCCCTGACATATCCTCGCTAAAGCAATTCGTGCCACATATTACCCAAAAGAGGGCACCTTCATGGCTGGCATTGAAATAAGGTCTGCATAAGCAATCTGCTTCCTACTGGCTCCACATCTGGACACTTGGGATTCCATAACCCTGAGTTAGTAATTTCATAAATATAGAAGTATGTCCTAGAAACAAGACCGGTACCTGTGTGTGGGGGTGGCTGTGGATGGATTGGTAGGTGGGACGTCTCGATGGACTAGGATGACTTTCACTTATTTAGTCTTCTTTCTGTCATGGGTGTCTCTGTAATATAATCTAAGCAATACAGCAGAGTGATTGACAGTTGTGCTTGCTTTTCAGAGCATTTGCCGAAACTGCAGCCCAGGCCTTATTCAGCAGCCAGGTAAGGTGACAGAAAGACACGCACTGCATGAAACTTTGAATAGATTTGCTCTTGTAGCATTGTACATTCAGATTAACAAGTACACTGCAAAAAAACAAATATCAAACTAGCTTAAGTATCTAAATATTTCAGCTTCTATGAGTTTTTTTTAAATGAATGAATCAGACTGGAATTCATATTAATGCCTTTTCATGACACCCAAAAGAAAACATTACCATCAGCAACAAGATTAATGGTTTTTATACTCTAACTTTTAAAGTCTGGAACCGGTGCGAGGGGGGTAAGGTATCAGCCAAGCAGCTGAAGAAACAGCCTGCAAAGGTCACCTCAGCTCCACAGCTAGATAACATTAAATCTGCTCATTTCCACACTCTGTACTTAGAAGATGTTATTTCTCATTTTAAATTTATAGAAGAAAAATAGCTTGATGCCCTTGCAGCTATTCTTTCTGATTAAAAGCAGTCGAGTCTTCATTTCTTTCTTGTATCGTCTTCAAATGAGGTGTCACATCTTAACTTGTCAGGTGAATTTGACTCTAATGAAGTGTAATGAGATATTTTGATTGGCTTAAATCAGAAGTCCAGGAGTCGTGGTCTTATTTTCCCATCATGGTTAGCTTCGGTAAGGACACTGAGAAATAATTCAAGCACTGTGGTGATGTTTCCTTGAAAAGGTTTTAATATTAACTGTAAAATCTGCCTTTGACGACAAATCTGAAAATATTTCAGACATTGAAACATTCAGACTCCTCTGTGCCTGTCTGTAATTATGATGATGAATCATGATGCACCAAGCAAATTAGAAATACCTCCCATTTATTTGGAGATGGATCTCTTTTTTATCATTTATTCATCTGCAACAAAAATACGACTTCCTCCTCCCTTATGTAATTAAATCATTTAAATTTATTATAACAGGCTTTTTCTCACACAGCTTTTCTTCTCCTGAGCTCATTTGAATTTATTGTAGGGTATTTCTGAAACACAGAATAGCATTAATAAAATAAAATAGAAAAAAAAAAAACAAAGTCTGGACTATGTAAGATTTAAAGGAGAGTGTTCATGAATTTTCATACTCTCCACAACTTTAGTCAAAGTCCTTTTTAAAATGCTGCAGGCTGTTTTACACTCAGGAGACATTTCAGTTTAGATTTGATTTTTTTAGGTTGGCGTTGCAGAGATACAAGAGATGATGTCAATTATAAATGTTGTTGAAACTCTTCAGTCTCATTTTCTTATTTATTCCCCCTGTCTACATCATAATGGATCAATCAGTCAAGACCTCCACATTGATTTTTCTTTGCTTCAAGGCAAGACAGTTGAGTTCACATAATATTCAAATTTTCTTATTTCCTATTGGCAGCAAGGAAATGCATTACTTTCCACCAGAGATGTGCTATTTCGCCAGCTTCCTCACAGTGCTGGATTGAGCTTTCAAATTATGTGACATTTGACAGGGTTTATTATGACATCAAAGCAAAGGCTCCATGAATAATATAAAGTGTGGCATATAAATTTTGAGTTTTGGGAGACATCTAGAAACTATTTTAAAGAAGAAATGATTCAGCGGAATATTTGTGCGTTTATACGCCTTTGTCACAGCCTTAATATTTCCGCGCATGCTTTTGTGTTTATTTTTAAGAGATGTTTTTCTCAATAAGCTTACTGAATATAGAAAAAACTTCAGCCAACCTGGGAGAAAGTAATTTTTTGTAGTCCTTAGCCAGGTGTGCTTATTTTGAATCGGCTCAAGTGTTCCATCTTTTCCCCCACTTAGTCTGTCATTGATTTGCTCTTCCTGTTAAGCTAGTGCCCATTAGGTTTGCTTTAAAGCTCATGTGGAACAGCAACATCTAACGCAATGTCAAAACTTCTCCTCTCTTCTCATTAGTCCCTCACTTAGCTGCCTGAGTGTGTGCATGTGTTTGTGTGGGCCGAGAGATAGGGAGTGGACAGCAGAGACGGTGGCTGTAGTTTATCAGATGGTGCAGAGACATTAGAGGCTTGCATTATTGATGCTGTGGTCAATAGAGGTCTCTGGTGGCCCACAGGAACTGGAGAGTGAAGGATGAGGGAGCGTGAGAGTTCGTCGGCCAACAGAGAAGACCTGAATATAGAGGAGGGGAGAGGTAGTTTTATCCAAGCAAGACAGACAGAAAGCTTTTTTTTATTCGCACTACTGGCCGTATTTATTATCTCGAATGAGGAAGGAGTCATCTGCGGATCATTTGAGGTGCAACACACGTTACTCTATAAATAGGGAGTAAAACTTATTAGACATTAGCCTCAGTTAAAGATCAGATTATAGAGATATCAATGTCAAAGTAGTTATTTTAGGGTAGTGGCAAAGCAGTTGAAGTAGTAAGCTAAGAGTCAAAAATAAGAGGTTGAAAGGATTACTAAATTTAATTTAAAAAGAGAGAAAATTGTCAAACTTAAAGGGATTTTTAGGCTGACTGTGGTGGAATTACAAAAAAAGCTCTAAATGATGATACCTGCATTAGATGAATCAACACAACATCAAAAACATGTTCTTCAACCCCCCTAAATATTACTTGATACCATCCAGTTCCAAACCCATCCAAGCACATATTTAATACATGATGTGTGGTGTTGATGAAGCAGTTCAATAGCTCCCTGACCACAAGACAGTCTGCCAAGACAGACAGAAAATCATTGGGAACCACTGGTGTAGATCATAATTAAGCACATTTCAATGTCATCCCTGTGTTGTAGAGAGCAGCTGCATCAAAGGCAGATGCTTTCTCGTCATTCAGAAGCTTTTCAGCAACATTTTTGTAAAAGCGGTTCGAGTGAATCGCTTGAAAAGGCAATTTTGTTTATGCTCTTGAATCCCTCCTCCTTTGTAATGCTTGTTTTTGTCTGTACTCCTCTGTTTTCCTTTTGCTTCTCTTTGCGTTTCTCTCTATTTTTCACTTCATCTCTCTGCGTGTCACTATTTGTGTTCCTTGCACTCTGTCTTTCACACTGTTGTTTCCCTCTATCGCTATCTACCTCCATCTTAAACTCTCTGTGGTACCATTTCTATAGCTCCTGCCTCAGACACCCAGGAAAGCTGCATTTTGTCTTCAACGTGGTGGAGTTCCCAGCGTGCTCCTCGCGGCCTGCGGGAAAGCAGGGCTTGTGTACCGGTTGGCTGTTTGACCTCATCAATCCTGTCCTGGTTTTCTCGGGGAAGGATGAATCCTCCAGCTGCCTGGACCTGCCAAAGGTAATGAGCACAGTGGAAAATGGAGAGCTGAACTAAGGGTGTGCAAATTTGTGATCTCTTGGCCTTGGCAGATACATTTCTTTGCTGGTGCTCATACTTTCTGAAAGTGCTGTATGAAGTGTAACTCATGAGGAAAGAAAAGCACAAGGTTGAAATCCTGCTTAGCACTGCTTTTAGTTTTGTTCCTACTTAAACGCGAAGAGAGCTTGGCCGTCTGCTCCCCTTTAAACATCACAGTTCAGGAAACTCAAGAGTCAAAGGGAATGTTTAAGTTAGAAGAGGAGTGCAGGAAACTTCGGCAGTGTTTCCTTAAATCTGCAGAACAGAAAGTATTTTGTGTTCGACGTGTTTCAACAACATGTTTAGGGTTTCTCAGCAAACTCTGTTTTAATGCATCACAGACAGAAAAGAACACGCTCTAGGCCAGTTGCATGTGATTAATGAAGGAATTAATTTGAATTAGAGCAAGTGAATCCTCTCCACTAAAGACTCTATGGATTCCAGCTGGAGCTCATGAGCTTTCCTATTAGTATGTCTTTAGAATATTAAGTAGATCAATTAATAGATTGGTAAGCCCACAGCCACTTCTCAGCGTCGTAGTAATTACTCTCATTATTTTCAATTCTTTTCAATGGCTTTGGACTTTAGATCCACGTGAAGTTGAGGCCAAACTGCTCCTTTCGGCCGCCCTCTGACCCCTCGGTGCCCTTCATAATGGTCGGACCCGGCACTGGAGTCGCACCCTTCATTGGTTTCCTCCAACAAAGGTAGGGCAAATTAAATTATACAAATTACAGTAATTTTAGGACCCATAGCAGGGCTTGATACTAACTTTTTTCACATGTGCTCCTAAGTTGAAAAGGTAAGGAGCACACAAAGAACTTTAGGGGGACAATGAAAATTGATCGAATAATGTGTGTCTTATTGGTTGACTTAAGTAGTATTATTTGAAATCAATTTTAGGTCTTTTGGTCACATGACATGGAAGCTTTTGAGGGCAAACAGCCTTTTTTGAGAACATCAACCAGCAATTTGTTGATGGTCCCTTATTCAACACCCGACGTTGACGGCTAGAGTGCCGAGTAGATTTAACCGCGCTGCTGTTGCTATTCCCGGTTATGGAGAGTGAGAAGACAACGGTAGATCTGCAGTGAATGTCAGTCGGATATCCAACCTAAAACTAACTTCACCGCGGTATGAAAAAACATTTGTTGCCTCTGCTGATTTTTTTATGCTTACATGTACCCCTTAATACATTTTGCAATTTGCACACATGTATTATTTTTTGTCGCAAATACGAGTGAAACGGTCCCACTGTCAAGCTCTGCATAGGTATAGGAGCCAAAATATATTTGAAAGTTGATTTCTATGGGTACGTCACTTCCGGGGATCGTCACTGAGGGGTGTGGTTTTGGGATGTTTGGCAGGTCTCACTGGTGTAGTCAGATAATGGGTTTTTGGTAAGCTCTTATAATTTTCTGTTGACCGTTTCACTCATCCTGTTTTAACCTCATTTCATCTTATCACTTTTTTATTCGAAGGCAAAAGTTTTGGACCTGGATCAGTATGTTTTCTTTTCTTTTTCGTAACAATAAACCACTTTTTAACTCTCAAACTGGACTGATAATTGAACGAGTCACAGATGCAAACGCACCCTAAACCCCAGCAGCCTTTTTGTTGAAGAAAAGCAGTCGCTATAATAGGCGTTGAATGTTTTTGACAAACTTCAATTTTTGATTTAGAAAAAATCCAGGCTGAGCAGACTGTTAATCCAGGCCATCACAATTCTATAATTTAATAATAATAATAATACATTTTATTTAAAAAGTGCCTTTCTGAACACTCAAGGACACTGTACAGGGCATAAAATTTACAGATTATGACAGAGGAGACCCAACATGACATGCGTCAAGACCTTTGGGGATGTATGTGATCCTGCTAATGTAAAATACGCTGCTGAAATCGCAGAGTTAAATATTCATGTCAGGCATCAGAATCACACAGGTTGTAATTCTGCTTGGCACACTGTGTGACACGGGCTACTTCAGTCAAAATTTGCATCCAGTAATGAATATTCACAATGTTCAAGTGATGTTAAGTGCGCATCATCCATGCCTATTTTTTGAGTAATCTGCAGAGACAATTAAATGAGACCCCGCTCAACGGCGATAAAAGTCACCGTCATGTACATCTCATGAGTCAAGATAAATCTGGCGGCGAGGGCTGTGATCACGTCGGGGATTATTTCAGATGCCGCACTTGTCTGAAGAGGAATAAATTAGTCCTTCTCCTAAGCACAAGTTTATGACTTCTCCTGTAATGAAGAGCCAGGAGTCAAAGCAGCACATGAAGCGTTATTGATTTGAAAATAAAAAAGTCCAGCGGTCCACTGCAGCGTTGTTGGAGTAAATCATTGCTTGTAATTGCCGGTGAGGTGGTGTGAGGATATTGACCGTAGGCTGAGTATGTCACAGTTCTCCCCCAGCTTGTTAAACCACCGCTGTCCATCTAACTACTTGAGGATTTCGATCATTCGGTAGAAACGTGATCTTTCATTTAATGTTCAGAGGTTCTGATTTGATGCTTAAATGGAGATTACAGAGTGATGATCTGTCAGGAAGATTTTGCGTGACCGGTGCGGTGTCTCCATCCAGGCTGCGGCATGTGTGTGGAGACAGTCCTAACTGCCCACTGCGACTTGTTAGAAAGCAGGCTGAGCCTTTTTTAGTCCGACTGACACGTCTAACTCTTGGGTGGCTTTTTATAAATGAGGTTGTGCCCCAGTCAGGTCCAATTGTCTCTAAATCCCCCAGACGTGTGCTCCGTTGTGACGAGTGGCGTTGGTGGATGATAGCTTTGAGGGGTGACACGGCACCGGCTGGAGTGATGGCAGTGCTGGATTAGCTGCAGCAGATTCGGGGGGGGAAGGATGAGCGGTCATGTGGGGTGAGGAGGTGTTTGCGCCTTTGGGATGCAGGAGCACCGAAGATAGCAGACGTTTTCAGACTGACCTGGTTCCACCACTGGCAGACAGACTCTTCTTCTTAATGATCAAGGTGGAGCCAGAGGGACTGTACTCCGGTGGAGGACTGCGATATGAACCTATCAGTCATACTTTGATCCTCGTGGTGCCATCCAAACTTTGCTTTCTTTCATACAAGACATCAAATCACACATAAAAGTGTCTTACAAATGGTTTGCACTCAGAGTTTGTCAGTAAAAGTACAAACACCCACACCTTGATTGTTCTTTGTTTCATAATACAACAATTAAAACCTACATCAATCTTGAGACTTCAATGCTCTTCCGTGGTTTGATTTTTTAAATTAAATTTCTGATATTTTTTCTTCTGGGAGATTTCTCGGCTGTTGGAGCTGAATCCTTAACTTACTTATCATCTCTGTTGTCTCCTCACTCCCTCCATCCTCCCTCTCCCTCTGTCTCCCCCCATCCTCTCTCCCCTGCCAGCTGCATATTGTGCTGGAGGATTGTACAAACCTGTCATGGAGCGCCACATTATACAGAATCTAACTTGAGATTCCAAACAAAGCCTTGGCGGCTGACGCTGCACTCTGATAGGAGATAACAATCACCAGTTTGTCAACGGGACACCGTATCTGCCTCTAGGCCTAAGAAGGGTCCTGTTAGCAACAAAACAACACGAGGGGACGCTTCGATCTGACTACTCCTCCCACCCCCACCTTCCACCCCTGCTGTTAATCGATGGCTGTTTCAAAAGTACTTTGTATGAGTTTGTAGCGCCGGTAACAAGTGGAAGAAGAGTCTTTAAAGGTCAGAGGCTCACTTGGCGGTACCAGGAGATTTTAATAAGCCTCCCCGGTACTGTGGTATTGATTGCTGCGCTTTTGAGTGGAAGGATTTCATAGATAATGTGATTTTCGGTGCGTTGCTATTTTGCCAGAAGCAGTAACAGTTAAACAAATATTGTATTTTTACCGAATGGATAGCTTGGAATAATCTCTTTACAGCCCTAACAAGCTTTTCTTTCTGGAAAACGAATCAGTTCACTCAGTTTTTATACCCGGGTTTGAAGGGAAGCTTGGCACATTCAATATGACAACTTTTATTAAAGTTAGTGTGAACAATATCGAGCTTTCATTATCAGGCTAACCGCACAGCTGATTGCAATTAGGCTACGTCTTTCTTCCCAGCACCTTCATGTATTATGAAAACATTTGGAATTCAGCGCATTGTTTATATATGGGTGTAATTTTGCCGTGTAATTACACTGATTAAGCCTCAAGCTGTTGTTATATTTAAGCTTTTTTGTCTTGTTTTTTTTTTTTCATGCCCAAAAAGCTGCTCTGAACCCCTCGCACGGAGCTGCAGAGAAAACAGATGATAGATATGAGATAATTGGGATGTTTACCAAGTCTTTCACCTCAGCCTTCCTCACAGCTTCCCCCTCCTGCTGATCATCTGACTGGCGCTGAAAGGCAACCGCTTCTGATTTCGACCCCAAATGGAGTGCTCTGTAGATTCCGCCTTTCCCCCCTGGGATTGTATCGCAGGCTGTTATAGTGTGGGCATGTGATGTGATGTGATTTGTATTCAGAGAAAGGCGCCGGTGTGGTCTGCTCAGAATGGAATCCAGGTTTTTCATATTGGTATTGATCCCTTTAGGGCAGGCAGCGAGAGGAGAGAGACGAGTCCACTAAAATGAGTTTACTCGAGGCTGTTTGCAGATCAGAAGAATCTGGTCCAGGATGCTAATGGACGGGATCTGAGCGTTTGGATCCAGTCAGCCAGACAGCTCTGTTACTGAGGCCCAGACACAGACACAAAGTTCAAACAAACTTCTCCTGCAAGGTATTTTCATTAACTGGTCAACTTTTATTGAATTAATGAGGGCGAAGCTTTGTTCCAGTATTCAGACCTGTGCATTGATTTTGTTTTTCTCACCAACACTAATCAGGGAAGAGCTGCGAGTTCAGGCACTACAGTTCATTATTTAAATATAAAAAAAGAATATAATTGAGCTTTAGTCCACAAAATATCCAACCTTTCTATACCGTCCTTGTACATTAATTATGGTGTTGAGAACATCTTGCTAACATAAACCTGAACCGCCTCTTCACTGGGTAAAAAACTTGTTATTGTTCTTACATGAAAATTATTCTCTACTCCAGGTCTCCGTCTTGAGTTGTTCGCTTAAAATAAAATCTCCAATTCTTACCCTGAAGTTGACTTGGAACCAAAATAGCTTTGAGGGCTGGTAATCGAACAAACAGTGTAATACAAATTCAATTTTTTTTCTCATTGAATTTTAAAGCTCTGTCACTTTTTTGTAAACACTTAATAAGGGAAGATTTTTGCTGGTGTTTGTACAAAGTGGAATCCTGACAGGGTGAGCAAGACCACAACTGAAAGGAAAGGGGCACCTGGGTGATTTGAGATGACTTGGGTCCAGTAGCTCCTCAGACTTCTTATCTGATACAAGATCCAGCCTGAGACATAAACTCATTTTCCTGCCACATTGTAAACAGGCATATACTGATCACCATTGATATGAGGTTTGGACCATCAGAATGGAGTTTTAACACAACTGGGTTGTAAAATTGTTCATGTCTGATCACGCCCTCAGGTGTGTACACTTATTTTGTGTGAATGAAGTAGGTTTTTTTTTTTTTGGTCCCCATCTTGACTCACAAGATCTGGGCAGCACACCCAGATGCCGACCACAAACTCACAGTGTTTGAAAACGTTTTGTTGGAAGAACTTGTTGAGGTTTTTTATGAACCCCAAAATAAAATCAAAACAAACAGACCATCAGACCCAATGTTGCCAACTAATGGTAGACCATACTCATATTTTTTGGACGTGCCCCGCCTTGCAACCTTTCTGGACCCAAGTTCAAGCTACAACAAAGAGGATTCTGGGATTTGATATTGACTTCACTAGTGTCTCATTTTATTTGGGGAATATATCGAAGCATCTGCATAACAGGGACAGATATTTATTAAAGATTCTCATTGTAGCGAGTAAAAAAGCAAACCAGATGCTGGCTTCTTAGAGAACCTCCCACTCAGAACCTATGGAAAAATAGAATGAATGACATATACAGTCTGAAATGTTTGACTTTCACTTTGAGATTACAGAAGGAAAAGGGGAAAGATTGCAGGGCTAAATGAGTTAAATGCCGAACTGATGCAGAGTGAAAGAGTTGAATTTGCTGTAGATGCTAAACAAAAGTTTATCACCCTGTGGCGAGCACTTATGTGTCTTACTTAATGTGACTTAATGTTTGTATATGACCTCTTGTTTGTGTTATGGAAAGAAAAATAAAATATAAAAAAAAATAGCAGCAACCTTTTTTTACTGAACAACCCCTAATCACATGCAGTCAGCTCCGAGTAGATCAGCAGATGCTTGTTAATATCTGTAACAAGTCACATCCTGATATCCTGATTTAGGGTGTTTAATCGAGTAGCACTGTTGTGGCCTTTTTCTTGGGAATTTGAAGTAGAATTTGACGTGTGTTTTCATGCTAAACACAAACAAAAGAATGATCTGTCCAGGGTCCAGAAACAAGTCTTGAAATCACAAAAATATGAAGCATTGTTAAAGCCGGTCATTTAATGCTTGGTAACTGGCTCAATTAAAAAGTTTCTTGAAGGAATCATTTCAGTGCAGAAGTGACTTTATTTTCCAAACAGCATAAGAATCAGATGCCATTGCACAACTACAAAACACACAGCAGGATTCAGTCTGCTTTTTGAATATCAGTTATTTGGGTTCAGGGCTCTGAGCGCCTTATCCTGCGAGTGCAGCAGCTCACCACAAAGGGCCAAAGCATCTCTGTGGCGTTCCTCGCTCATCGTTGTGGCTGGTCACTTCAACAGCCCCGTCCCTTTTTTTCCTCCCTCCCTCCAGACGGGGGCCAACAGATAAAACCGGGCTCCTCAGAGAGTCCACTAACTGATGGCATCATGAAAGGTTGGGGGTCAACTGTTGTTATCAGGGTGAGAGCTGTCACCTTTGCAGCAGGTGTTCGGCACAGATATCGGCACCCTCAGAGCTGCTCTTTTTTTTTTTTTTACACGGTGTGTTGCCATCGCCTGCAAAGAATTCTGGGAGCTTTGCCAAACTTCTTAGCCACAAGAGGAATCACTTTTGCTGGGGTATATTTTTTTTCTTGCATGCAAGCACAGTTGGACACACAAGCATGATAGTACACAAAGTACACACACACACAAAGCACAAGCTGTAGTTTCATTTTCAGTTTATAGTGATGGCCTCTATCCTTCTGTTTGGGAGAAATTTAATAATACATATAATGTCCTCTCGGCAGCACACAGTCATTTCCGTACATTAGGCAATCGTGGCACTCTGTGTACTGTCATTGCAGACAGTGCTTAATGGTGTCACTACTCTTCTTTAACCTCCGCTGTGAGGAAGGACTCGCTCTCCTCCATCTGGCCTGGTCGTCTGTGAGTATTGATTGACCGCTAATATCTGTTGTTTGACTTTCAGAGAAAAGGAGAAGTGGGAGAAGCCTGGGGCCACATTCGGAGAGACCTGGCTGTACTTTGGTTGTCGCCATCAAAACAGAGACTTTCTGTTCAGGTACAATGTGTACATATATATATATATTTTTTTTCTACTTTTATTCTTTATTCAAAGAGCAGTAATTTATTCACATATTCTATACATACCTCCCTTTAGCCTTTTATGAGTCACACAAACTTCCTCATTCCCACATCCCTCTTCACCTTGCTGCTGCATATTCCATGTATTGAAACCTGTGACCTGCATAATGAACACCTCTATCTATACACATGATGTGGGTGTTCTTTACTTGACTCCACATACCAGCATTATGTACACAATTAACAATCAGCCCAAGGACACATTTGAAGATCTATGGGAAGAAGATATTGAAATGCAAGGTTACAAGGCCTTCACATATAAGTGAAAATGGAGCTGCTTCTTGTTGCTTTCACATGTAATTGCAACTCAAGGCAACGATTTTCAAACAGGTTAAGTGGTTTGAACTATGCTGGGCTCCTATAGGCATCTTCGTCATCAATCTGATTCCAGGTCATTAAAATGGTTCGATGTGTGTGGCTCCAGAGTTATGTAAATGGAAATGTAGAGTGTAGTGATGGTTATGCAAATTAGAATCTAGACAGGATGAGCAAGACTCTCCACTTAGTGTTGGTTTATTTCGCAGATACTAATGAAGACATATAATTTATTGCTTCAAAGTCGATTTTATTGATTTTAGAATGACTTCCTGAAAGCGATAAACATGCATAACTTGACATCTAAATTCAACAGCTTAAAGGCTTCAGTGTGCTGTGTAGGAGCAATGTTTGAGAAGGAGGGTTAATATTCTTATTTACTAACATAAGAGGTGGAAATTACTAGTGGCCCCATGATATGATATTATCATATCAAGTATATTATATTGATACTTGGGCCATGATACGACATCATTGCAATCTTCAGTATTTTGCAATACAGTGAGTATTGCGATACAAAATATTGTGATTTATATAATTTTTTCAACTGTTTAGCTAATTTAGCATTTGCCTTTCCTTTATGTTTGTCTTATTTACGCAGTATTTTCATGTAGCACATCTTGCAAACCTTTTATATATTTGTTGCACTAACTTTCTCCTGCTCTACAATGTCACCTCTGCAAACCTCACTGGACAAACAGTTGATTTTTTTCCTCCATTATCATAGATTTGACTGAATATTAGCAATTTATTTGAAAAATCGATACTTGATGAATGAAATGATACGATCACCAGACAAAATATCACAATACTATACTGTATCGATTTTTTCTCCCACCCCTAACAAACATACAGGTAGTTGGTGTCCAGACTAGTCAAACTCTTAGGGCACTGCTGTGTTATCACCTCCTTTAACTCATACATCCTGCTGCTTCAGGAGATTATATTAGCTTTACCAGCTCTACTGGTACAACTCATTGTTTTGGGATTTCATCTCACCTGCTCACCTGCATTATATCATATATATAAATAAATAAAAAGAAGTTTTGTCAGCTGTTTCTATTTGTTTTAGCTGCTAAATAATTCTTTTAGCATCTAGCTAGGGATGCACCTCTGTGAAGTGTAACAATTAAGCAGTGAAATACAGTCAAGTTTAATTAAAGTTCATGAAAAATGACAAATATAAAGTTTTTTAAAGTTAGTACATTAAAATCTAATCACTTAATCACATTGATGCAAAGTTATATCAGTGCTATCCTACATTCAGCAGCTAGAGCACAGTGTACTTAAGAGTCGAGGCCAAACAGACCAAAAGTAAAGCCCCAAATATGACTCTAAATCACTGCTCGCTGTTTATGCGCACTGCTGTTGGGATATATTCAAAGTTTGCCATATAACCTTTTAAGTTGATACTTTAAGTCAGTGTTGTGTTTACAACTTGTTTCCACAGTCAATGCAGCTGTTAAATTTTTGAAGGCTAATCCTAAATATATCTGATAAGGGATTAATTTAATCCGCCGCAAAGACGGGGTTTTGAATCGACAGTCGGACTTACTTCTTGATGCAGATTTGATAAAAAGCAACTGAAACAAAATGCTATTGTTTATTACCTGAGGGGGAGGGTATTAAATCATATTTCATTTTTTAGTGTTTATTTGGTTTGGTACTCAACACACACACTCACACCAGTTTCCCATCTCTCCAAGTCCATATTTAAATCGTCAAATTCCCCCTGATCCCACCTCTTCTCAGAAGCACAGCCCACATTGACCTAATGGTATGTTAAAGCACTGTAGATTGACTTCCACCAGTGAGTGGATCATGGCTCTGATCTCTCTGCCACGGCTTTACTCTCCTAAATACATGCTAATTGATCGGCTCCTGCCACCGTCAGCAGCACGCTTGCAGTCGACGCCGGTGCACAGATCGAGTTCTGCAGCAGGATTAAGTACTGTGTGAATGGATTAGCATCCTTAAACACACACCAGCAGATCACAGAGGATGCTGTTTGTTCCCCTTTGTTTCCTCTATCCCTTAGTTAAATACGGACTCACAGGCAGGTAGTGGGCTGTGTTTGTTCACAGTGTGGGCTTCTCTGATGAACACCCCCGCAGTGTTGACCAAAGCGATTAGTCTGTGTTTTTATGAGCCACCCATGAAGAGTTGTACTCAATTTAAATAGGTTAGCAGAATGAGAGCAGCATACCTGCAGATGAAATGACTTCCTGCATGCACCTCTGTTGGATTTCCATCACAGGAGAAGCAAGTTGATTTCTTGCATTGACTTAAAATGCTGAAACCTGATTCGCACTGTTAATAGCATTTCCGACGGAAGGTACAGGATGTAGAAATGAGAATATATTAGTAATATTAGTAATCAGATTCGCTCCCCTGCCCAACCCTCCTGACAGCGGTCCTGGAGGACAAGAAGCTCTTGTGATGCATGATAAGTATGATCCTTATTTTTTACCATTACAAACGTCCATCAGAATAAATGCTTCCTCTTTATCTTCCAACTGGTGCATTTCCAACAGCTGCACAGTTAATTAAAAACAGAGCATGATAATAGTTTGTCTGTTAAGTGCTACGCTAGAAACATGGTAATGCAAGATGGTGGCAGCCATAGAAGAGGAACTGCTGCTTTGTAGATTTAGTGATCAAATCTCCACCCTACCTACAAAGACTTCATACACTTAAAGGCCTTTAGGGTCAAACACACCATAACACCGAGTTAGACACCCCCTCGAGAGATGAATGTTGCCGACCGCTTGCTTCTCTAGTTATACCAACTTTAGTAATGACCGCACGATAGCAATACACAGCAGTCTGAGGAGCCATAAACAAACCTCAACCAAAACGCCACTCTATAGCCACAAATAATGCTCAGAACAGCACCTAACTTCATCAACAGTAACTATAGGGTCCCAGCCATAGCACTAGCCACCAAACATCTTTTTAGCTTTGCCTGATTTCTTTAGCAAAGACACTTAACACAACTCACCTACTCTCTTCCAGCGGCCGCTTGTTTGTAGCAAGACCTCGGGCCAGTCCATTACGGACTGCTGCGGGGTGACGCAGCTCATGGAAAAACATTTATGATAATTTCTTTATCATTTCCTTGAAGTAATAATCACCATATTAATCATTTTGTACTGGAGACGCGGTAGTTCTTCTGCCTTAGTGTCTGATTAATTTTACACCGGAATATCCCTTTAAGTTTGCACCCATACCCCTCTTTCACTGGGAACAAAAATTGAGTGTTGGTTGGAAGCAAACACAATTAAACTCGATGAAATCCCCCCATTAACTTTTAATATGCACGTTGGCTGTGGGGAACTTTTGTAGGTGGAGATTGTTACAAAAACTTTTAAATAAAACGTGTCCTTCTCTCAGATTGATTTCTAAATTTTTTCCAGTGACAAAAACCAAACAAGGCGTACAATGTGACTCAATCATCCGAAGAATTTAACGTCCCTTTTTTTGAGAGGTTTGATGCCAATCTGCTTGTTTGTCACATCAAACCTGTCCTCCCTTCTCCGCCCTCCTACACTCATCCTCTCCCCCCTTCTCTGGCTTTTTCCTTTCATGGATCGTGATTTCATGCAGGAGGGGGAACGCAGCTGAGGGCCTGCTGAGATCACGTTAGGGTCCGGGATATCGCCACAGGCTGTTATTTGTATAAACACACAGAGGAGTCTGGCGGGTTTTGGGCTCAACTGTTTTCTCAGAAGTCAGCTGTCTTTTGTCATCCGCCAGCGTCTGCTCGCACAGTTATCAATCTCTGATGATTTATATTCACACGTCAAGCAAACAAGACTCCTCCATCCCTCTCCTTGTTTTTCATGTTGCTGCGCTCTTGTTCAAACAGATTTTTTAATCACACATCTTGGTCAAAAAGACGTGATTTATTTTAATGACTCCTGTCAAAAGTTAAATTAAAAACAGAGGCTGAAGAAGCAACAATTGTAGATGATTCATATTAAACCACAACACCAACACTCAGCCCTACCTTTTAGTAGCGTTGTGTTTGTTATTGGAAAATGCCCTATTGTAGTCCAGGGGCAGCTGGAAAACACAGACCCCCGAGGCGAAGACCTTCACCCATGATCTCAAAGCCGCAGCTTGCTATGTCTGCGTCTGCAATTGTGTCTGTTTGTGTGTGTTTTTACTCATTCTGACTGCCGAGCTCTAAATGAGGTGCTCTGAGCTTTGGTAAACCCTCGCTCTCTCTCTCCTCACCTTACTCTTCCCTCTCTTTCTGATAGCACCCCAGGCCCCGTAAAAACACTGAGGCAGAAGGAGGAGTATTAGTTGGCAAGCTGACCACATAGAGCGAGCAAGGTTACACCAAAACCTGCAATGCTGGGAGGATTGTATAAAGATGCTTGAACAGGAGCTCAACCTTGCTTCTAAAACCCATATTTTTTACACTTGTCTTGTTAAAAAGTGGAAATTGGTTGTTTACCCATCAGTTTAATGTTTTATTAAACTTGACAGTTGTTTCGTTCTTGGAAAATAGTCTGCAAAAAGGAGTTCATGTGTCTTGTTAGGCAGCTGAAGTTTCTGTTCAAGCTTAAGGGAGGTTTAGGTGTGAAAGGGTAAACATCCAGCATGTTGAATACTTGACATTAATAGAGCAGAAGTTTTTGCATTTACTCCCAAGTCTGGGTAAAAAACGTGGACAACTGTTATCTCACAAGGTTGGGAAACTTTTTTTCATCCATCAGGAACAACTTCCCCAGGATTACAGTAATAACCTTGTGGGGAAATGGATTTTATAATTACCTGTGAAATGTTTGGATGTGTCACTGCAATCCCGCACAGAGAGGAGCTGGAGGGATTTGTGTCCAGCGGTACCCTGAGCCACCTCAAGGTGTGTTTCTCCAGAGACGGCCAGGGTGAGGACGGACGACCCAGATACGTCCAAGACAACCTGCTAATTAACAGGCAACATGTCATGGACGTCCTGCTCAAACAGAAGGGTTGCCTCTTCGTCTGCGGGTAAGTCTGACACTGAGAATAATAAAAATACATTCATCTCTGTGTGCACCTGGCATGGAGGTGTCATGTCGTGGCACTTTGGTGTGAAAAAGCAGCCCAGCATGTCTCTGTTATCAGTCAGGGCTTTTTTTCAGCTCTGGGAGGAGATCTGCTCATCTGATCTATTTTTAAAAGTGTCTCTGATGTCAGGAATGAACTTGTAAATCAGAACAGAAGCCTTTGTTTGTTCGGAGTTGAAACAATGCCATATTGAACCAAGTTTCATTGATTGGTCTTCTCATTTTAAGGGGAACATTTGCTGCATTCCAGTTACCTCAGAAGTCGGACGTCGGAGCTGGGAATGACGTTACACCCGAATTGATAGAGTTCAGTTAATAAGTCGGAAAACCAAGATGGACGCCTACTGTTAGCTGTTGTTAGCCGTTGTTAGCTTTACCAGTTGTAAAGGACGCATAACACAGTATTTTACTCGTACAAACACCAGATTTAAAAGTGCAGCCTAAAACATTGAGAGCGCCCCCTACTGATTGGCTGCAGTTGAGTTCATAGAGCCTCTTCCTCCATGTAAGCAGATGGGACATGGGTCAGGATCAAAAATCCAAATACAATCATCCATTTTCATCATTTTTTATGCCGATTCATGCTCTGCTGTTTATTCGAATGAGAGGTTAAACCGTCGTTAGTGATTTGATGCCATGACTAACAGCTCGATTAACAAATGTGGCCCTCATGGCGCTGTGTGCACTGGATCGGCAGAATAGGAGAGGCAGGGTAGGAGTAAACATACTGAGTCATTGAACTTTCTGTAGACTGAGCTGACCTGGGGGGTCTTTTGCCTTTTGATCAGACAGGTTCACGCACGTTTTGGTTTAGGAGTGTCCTGAAAATGACTGATCTGTAAGTCATCTAGAGGGACATTTTAATTCTGTATAAGAAAGGGGATAATTAGTCAGGGGTCAGATTTTAGATTGAAATGTTCCCCTGCTCCCCTCCCTCACTGGTGAAGCCACTGTGGCCTCCAGTGACTTCTGTAATGCTGCCAAATACTTCACACTGCGCCTTAAATGGCGATTCACAGCATTTTACAACAATCTAGAAATAAAGGAGAAGAGTGTATGTTGGGAAATGTAGCCTCTCATCAGCTCATATTATTCAGGCTACCAGAATAAACAACTGTCACACTGTTTCACAGCCAGGAAACATCGCCAACGGGGAGAGACAGACCAAAAAAAAAAAAAAAAAACCTTGTTGTGCTGCTTAACAACTCACTGCCTGTAGACATGCTGCAGTGGGCAGTGGAAGGTGTTGGAGACATTACGTAGCTGGGAAGCAATTCAGTGCCAGCTACTTCTGCCAACCTCACCTGTCGGCTGAGTTCTGCTCCCAGCGGGGCAAATAATTCATAAAGAATTCACAAAAGTTGCTGAAGTGCCTTGCTTAAAGCCAAGTTCCTTGAAAACCCTGTCTCTAACTCCCTCTGCTATCGCTGACTTAACACTGATGCAACACCTTGTACAGTTTGAGGCATTTATTTTGTATACATATCTCCTTTCCCCCTGTTTCCATATCACAACACGGTGTATTGCCAGAGTAAAACAGCAAGACGAATCAAAATACACCCGGGCATATAGCGAGTCAAGTCAGGTCAACATTCCTATATTGCTTTATATCACTCTTTCTATCCAGAGTTGTCGTCTTTCATCACTGCCAGACCGCTCAGCCCACCTTTTCAGTAAATGATCTTTGAAACATCAGAGCTGGCTGAATCCCTCAGAGTCAAAAACTTCACTTTGAGTCCACAGGATGATGAATCTCTCACAATGTGCTGCCACAGCAAGATAGAGATTTCAGCAATTTCCTTTCAGGATGCTCTGCTGGACTGGCAGCACTTGCTGCTTCCACAAAAAACGGGCTTGCCTCTGTGCTTTGTAATGCGATTTTTCTAATACTCTTTTCTTCCACCAGAGATGCTAAGAACATGGCTAAGGATGTGAACGACACCCTGATAGAAATGATCAAGACAGAGCTCCAGGTTGATCAACTTGACGCCATGAAGACAGTAGCGGGGCTGAGAGAGGAGAAACGCTACTTGCAGGACATCTGGGGCTGACAGCGGATGACAAGATAAGGGAGCTCTGCGGCATCCACTCGGCTCTTTTACACCTTAAAGAAAAAAAAAAAAACGCCTTCTCAGCTGTAACCCCTAGGACTGTAAAATTGCGGATTCTGAAGCCCAGACTTGGTTTACACCAGCCTTTGCCTCAAAGATGGAATGAAGCTTGCTGACCCGGGGATATCGGTCCACTACATCATCTCAGGCTTTGCTGTTTGATCAGAAGTGACCTTGGTCAGGGCAGTGGTGCTGGAGATTGGTCCCTCAGTGTGAAAATGCTTTTAGCGTCGACAAGCCTCTTTCCCTGCCTTCGTCCTGTCTGGGGAAAAGGCATTTACTTCCGTCCACTGTGATGGAGTGACTTTGATGAGACCAAGAGCAGGATATAGCTGCAGCCTAAATGGAAACAACGGGGCAATTTTAAACAACATACGAACCGCAAATTGTTTATTGTCATTCAGGCAAAAATGAAACTGATTTTAAAGTCACAAAGTAATTCTTTGGATGTTTCACAGTGCCTCTGAATGCATCGGTTTATCTCCAAAATCGTGCTGACATAATGTTCTGTAATTTCTGAGTTCAACTATTGTCAGAAGATTTAAATTAAAGTTCATTTTCCAACTGTTTGATCATTGTCTTCTTTCATACGTGTAAGACTGCCATCAGCAATCCATACACTCGGCAATCTCTTTCTCTTTCTACCCTACATGCTCACCAATTCAAAATGGTGTCTTCATTCCTGCTCTGCATGTGACAGAAAGAAAAACAGAAACGTACCAGACAAAGTAAGGACAGCGTTAGAGATTATAAATCTTTTAGTTGCGTCGGTACATTGAACATTTTGTTCATGCTGATTATTCTGTAGCTTTTTTTTTTTCATCCGCACCAGTGCCTTTACCATCTGGTGGGAGCTTCTTTTCCTTTCAAAATAAAAACGTGATTGCTGTCCAAACAGAAACAAAGTAATGTGGGCATCAGTAAAAGCTTCACAATCCAAAGTTTTATCAGGCAGTTTTTCCTCAAGAGGGAAAAATACAAAAAACATTGTCAATCATATTGTATTGCAAGTTGAGTGTTTTGTTACATCTGTCGTTTTGGACACTGCGGATATCAACAACATTTTAATAATGGCTTACCTCAAAATAACACACTCCTTTAAATCTCGCCTTTGGGGATGCAGGTACTTTTTGGTGGTGCATGATTCACTGTTTTCAATCGTGAGAACTGAGTTCCAGTCATAAACAACAGCTCTAAATATATCAAACCAGCTTTGTTTGTGTCTGTTGGCCCCAGCTGACTGCCAAATTTGGAGAGACTGAACTCCAACTTCTCTAAGTCCTGCAAACCCGAGGAAAATCTCTCAAACTGTGGTGAAAACAAACACAACTGTGCCTTGTGTGATCAGGTATTAAAAGTCACTTCATCCTAAACTATTGTTGTCTTCTGCTTTCCCTTTATTGTGCACACAGGTGTGTTTGTAGATGACCTTAGTACACGTGTATTTCAAGTGTGTGGCTGTGAACAAGCGGTGCATGCTCAAGAAGCAATGGCAATAATTTGGGAGCTAATGAAGTGTGATTGATTGGGAGTGATTGTTTTATTTAAATTCGAAGATAATTTAATTGTTCAAGGTGACTTTGGTCCGAAGATGAAGGCGTACTCTGCTAATTGAAGGCTTTTCACGATGGGCTTCTTAGCGCTGTTCAGAGCCCCAGAGAGAAAGGCTTCTCAGAATTAAATCTTCTAACAGCAGTCTCTTTATTTATAGTCTTGTAGCAAAGAGAGAGAAAAACATGTTTACAATCTCAGCAGCCTGCGCCGTAGATGACACCCCGTTCGCTACATTTCTGAGTGGAGTAAACAAAACATGCACTGTCGCAGAAAACAATCCCTGATGGTGAATAATTGGTTTAATACATTGTGGTGGACGGTGGAGCTGTCCTTGTGTTTGTCCAGGCTGAGCTGGGTGCACCTCATCGTCCTCATCTCTCAGTGCCCTGCTGCTTCGCCCAAGTCACAAGAGTAGAGGACAAAATCAAAATAATGATGCCGCGTGCGCCTAACAGCACCACCAATCTCATCTCACGCACACATGCACACACGTGGTGATGCATAACCTCCATTTAAAGCAATTTGTTGTTGGAGAATTGACAACAACTTCCATGTGTGCCGTGAAAACGGGAAAGTTTCATCAAAGTGGCTGATCATTAAAAGTGAATAATTTAAGAACCAGGAAGTACACTTGGAGCTGTGCTGCCCTTATTTACCCATCCTATTAATACACCCTCATCTCTATTTAAAAAATGACCCCTGCCGTAAGACGGAGAGCCTGCCGGCTGCTTGTGTCACCTCGCCCAGCTCCCACCTAGGACTGATGAAGTTTTAAATTATGTCCTCATAATTAAAAAGGTTCACAGTGGCGGTTTTTGTCCCGCAGCGTGAGCAAAAGACGGAGCTGAGGAGACGGTCAGGAATAAATCAAGAGTGCTGGAGGTCAGAGCGACCGCAGAATAGTAGCACCTCCATGATAGATACCCCCTTGTTAAGACAGGCTTAAATGAAGCAGAAAGATGTGTGCTGAAGATAATGACTGTTATTATGGAAGTGTTGAGTGAGCCAAGTGGGGAGATGCACTTGATGTCAATGAGCTGAGAGATTTTAGAAAGACCTGCTTAACACGCAGCTTCCTGCTGCAGGAAGTACAAAGCGTGATGATGGGGGAGAGTAAGTGGAACCTCCCACACTCTCCCTCCCTTAGCTCAGCTTAGAAGTCGGCCTTAATTAGGACAATGACAATATGTCCGATTCATTTAGCTAAGGTCTAAGTTTCAGGAGTAAACAGAAGTAAAAAGTTTTACACCAAAAGACAAAACTTTAAAGAGCTTTAACTTTTCAAACATGGGACTGTGGTTGGTCATGTTTGTCCACTTCAACTATAAAAGTAGTTTTGTAGTCAAATAATAAAACATGTTAGAGTTTCTTTAAATGTGGTCTTTTTTTTCTAACCCTCCTCCTGTGTTAGGGTCTGCACCGACCCGTTTCTGATTTTAAATGCTTAAAGAACCACTTAAATTAGTTTTTTTACATCAAGACTTTTCGACTTTGTCAGGAACCTCTATTTCAACAAAAAAAAGAAAAAAGAAAAAAATTACATTGACTTAATTATAAAATGCTCTTATTAAAATTATGGCACTTGTGTTAGGGTCGCTGTTGACCTTAGGGAATTCTCATTTTACCATGTTTTCCCCTGCACAAAAAACAACAATGTCGGGCATTTCCAGACATGTGATATTAATTCAGTATGGATGTTTGCATGAGGGGTATACTGACAAAGAAAGGCCCAGAGGCCCACAACAAAAACTATTATAAGCAATAACTTCATGGATAATGAAGCCTAACAAGGTAACCTAGAGATGAGAACCAAATTGGATGATAGAGAATTGTTTTTAGTGTAATTTACAGCTGATTTAAGACGGTCAAGTTCTCCTCCTTAACCTGTTTCTGGTTATCCAGGAACCACAGTGAATGTTGAACAGTAAAAGTGTGATGAATAATTGAGCCATTTTCTAAACATCTATATAAACTGATAAATATTTATTTCTTTAGCACCTTTTAAAGCACAGAGCTTTGGGGGAGACATGATATTAAAAAAACATAGCAAAATATTCTGCATGAGGGCCTGAGTTTTACCACACAAGCTGAAATAAAACAAAGCAAAACAGTTTTAACAGTTTTATCATATCAAACTGTCCCCTGTTCAATCCCTCTGCTCACTTGTCTTTGTATTATAGCTTTCTATTTCTTTATATGAACTATTGTAATATTGTTTGGTGTGCAATGTATCCAACTTACCTCAAGAAAATATTATGATAATATTAAGAATGATACCTCGATCCAGCAGACATGAACCCTCTGCACTTCTCTTTTCTGAATACTCAATCTTACTGATTGACAAAATCAATGTCTTTCACTCTTGCTTGTTTGTCCATAAGTTCATCAACAGGAAACAAGACCTTCCTGACTCCTTCCGAACCTTTTTACCTTCTCATATGGCCTTCGAACCCGTATCCTGTCAATACAAGCGTTCACATCAGCCACGTTTTCCCGTCCTGCGATATTGCGGCATTTATTTTTTCAGATCATGGTCGATATTTCTAAAGTGTGTGACTGTGTGTCCACTTCTGACCAATCAGATTGCGCGTTGTTGCGACGTCTGATCCAACATGGCCGATCGGCTGATTGTTTACGTGTCGGAGAACAGAGTGCTTTTTGATAAAAGACACAAACATTACAAAGATAATGACCTGAAGGACAACTTGTGGTTTGTGTGCTTTAACAGTTTGCTAAACGTCTTTGTTTTAACTTTCCTGTGTGCTAACATAAGCTAACGGTTGTTACCATAGTTTTATGTGCTTATCTGGTACTGGCCTCGACTCAGTTCATGCCATCATGACAGAAAGCCATCTCAACACTAGTGTCTAGTGTCTAGTCCTCTGCCTCTTCAAACTTGGAGCTAATTGTTTCAGCAGAACTTCAAATTGTCCAACGGACATCCGAAAATTGGTTCTGAAGCGACTCTTGCCTCTGATTGGCTGTAAGTGCTGACCATTTGGCTTGAGCGTTTGATGACGTTTCCAGTTTTTCTAGCCAATCAGAGGCGAAGGAGGCGGGACTTTCCCAAGGAAAAGTCTTCCCAGGGATGCGTCTTTCCCCCCCCAGAAAGTCACTAAATCGCATCGGGCTTGGTGTATATAGTCAGGCGTGTCAAAGTTCGCCTCCGAATATTTCTTAATTTCGCGTTCTGTATTCGCGTCGGCCCCGGTGTGTAAGGACCTTAAGCCTATTGGCTTTGTTCCCTCCTTGCACTGTTTTTAATCTGTGTTAAATAAATAAATACAAATAGAAATAGAAACTGACTCATAGTTTTCATATTAATATTTTGAAGTGTTAAAAAATGTTAATATAAAACGAAAAGCTGTGAAGTATGCTATTAATTTTCCTCCTGATTAACTTAAGATATTGTCAACTTTCAAGCCCCTCCATGTTTTTTCTGTCAGCTGACTTTTCAGTGTCTCATGAAAAGTGACAAAGAGAAACAACGACATTGAGCAAACATTTATACAGTTTTTAACCGGGGTACATCTGTATCCTGTTATTCCAGCACTGTAGCATCGAGGCAGCCGGCGCTGTAGTTTCTATTGAGAGATGAAGTTTGTTATTCAGCGTAGAAGCAGAGCTGCTGCGGAGGAGTCTCTTTTGCATAAGTGCAGTCAACAGAAAGCTTCATCTTCTCTCACCTGGGTTGTACCATTAAAGCAGACACCTCCACTCCGTCTCCACTGTTCTCAGTCTGCAGTCAATGACCCAGGAATGTCAACTCAGCTCTTTGATGTGGCATCAATGACATGTACGCACACAGACACACACACACACTCTTACGCTGATACACACTGAGAGCTGAAGTCAGTCTTCTCTCCAGGGTCCCAGCTGTGCACAAACACTTTAACTTCAGCATCTGTCAGGACTACTGGAGGAAATCTATGTTTTTCCAAAGAGGCCGCGCTGCTTTTATCGAGTTTCCTCTTTTCACTGTGAGTTGCCGGCGTTGTTCTGGTCTCTGTTTATTGATGAAGGAGGAGAGATACCCTTGCTTCCGATACTGTGGAACAAACATTTACTGTAATTGATGCTGGCGGGAGGAGAAAGTATTCAATAACAAAGTATTTCTCTCCCTGAGGCTTTCTGGAAACATTTCCGACTCAGCTGACTGAGTAAAGAACATGGTAGAAATCTGAAAACTTTAAAAAAATATCTCATCAATGAGATCACGTGACCTGTTCAGAAGTGATTAAGCACACAAGTCAGGTAGTGGATGTCTGAATGAATTAAACAGGAACTGCTTGGCTCATCAAATGTATGAATGATGCCTCGGTGACGGATGCTCTTTCTGTCTCCATTAGTCAGAGAAATCTTAAAATTAGTTGGGCATTTTTAAACTTACAACGACGGATGAACACTTAGCAGAATTTATAGCCTCTGCCGTCCTCGCAGCCATAATGACTTATGCAAATGTGAGGTTAAGTGCTGAGATGAGACTGTTCAGCAAAAAAAGAGGATGCATGGAGAATCTAGGATGGAAGGAAGAATAATACAAACTGTTTGCAGTTGACATTTATTTGCACAAATTGTTCAGGATACTCTGATCGTTGTGTCACAAAACAGATCTATCTACATATCCTACACTTGAGAAATATTAAAAATGAAGATGAAACACAACCGCCAGATCTTTTGTCTGTCATGGTTGCGTCCATAAAAATAGCAAGTGAAATACATGGAGGATGACACATCAAACGGTCTCTTTACGTTTCTTTTGATCACACAGTGATATTTTTGCATGAGGAGACGATAAATAACAAAGAACAGTTCTGAGAAAGAAGATTTAGAGGGTCAGTGGAGTAATACTTCAGTATGAGAATCATTTCACAGTCATTGTTTTCAACTTGAATGGACCTTCAGTCTTTATAGAGGCATCTGAAAGGTAACGACAATGCCTTTACTGCGTCTTTCCCCCGTCCTCCGTGTGAAACTCCACTGACTGTCCTAATCTAACTGAGCGCCTGATAAGCAGCCATGAGCTGTCTCGTGAGTGGGGCTCATCAGTGGCAGATTAATGTCCAGCTGTACTTTGAGCACTGGCTGTGAAGTAGAATGACACTGAAAAGAGGGAACGATTAACTGTTCAGTCAGGTGCTGAAAACGGGTAGAATATAGAGAATATAGAGCAGAGATTGAGAGAGCATGATGTCCTCCAAGGAAAGAGGAGTGAGGATACATACAGGTGGTTAGGATAGGACTAATCACCTGAAAGACAACAGGTTCAGGTAGGAGTTGCGAAAAATAAGAGGTCCCTGACTCTGAATTTATTACTGTGCTTTCTGTGCAGCAGGGGGGTGAACCAGGGCGAGTTACAACATAACCTGACCCTTTTTCAAATTCGTCTCCTGTAGAGATGCCCTCAGAGTCATCGCACCACACACACCAACACTTTTAGACATTAATAAAAAGTACACCACAAACTGCTGCTTCTCTCGCCCGACAAGGGTCCAAGAGCAATGTAAAAAGTTTAGACCTGCATCCAGCTCTGAATGTTGAGGAGAGGAGATAAACTGCCCCCGAGGTGACTCAGTGTATTAAGGATGTTTTTTTTTCTCAAAATGAGCAACGGCATGTGTGATTAATCATCCTCCCACAGTGTGACAACCCATGTGCATGTAATGGGACAGCTGGGATTTTACTCAGTGATTACTGTTTCATTGAAAAATCTATATGTACAAAGAGCAATTACACAGGTTATAGCATAAACTGTTTGTGTTGCAGTGTTCGAGGCAAATCATGCATCATAAGGACTTGTGTTTTCTGGTCATCTGAGAGATTGGGCTTTCAATTAATGTGATACAAAGAGATATAAATATTCAAGCGGAGATTAGAGAACATAAACTGCCTCAGGGAAAACTAAGTGCTGTAAAAAGGAATATTAAAAACAGACTTCAGTAAGCCTCCAATACAAGGTCTTTAGCAGCTTGAGTAAAGTTTTTTAATTGAGAGCCCACTTAAAGGCACAGTCTGTATTTTTGCAGGTAATGGTCTCTCTCGTAACCCCCTCGTAAAACAATAACAAACAACACATTTTGATGGCGTTGTAAATAAAGATTTGGTTTTAGAAGTTGTAGTTTCCATATGTAGTCATTCTGTAGTTCTTTGTTAGAGCGTTGATGGCCCAGTGGTCTCTTATGGACCCTTTGCTTTATGTCTTCTCCCACTCTCTGGACTCTGCATTACCTGTCTCTCTTCAGCTGTTAACTTAGAGCTCCTGTGAGGACCTTTTTCATGGTTGCGAAATAGACTGAAATTCACACTGATGCCTTTTCATGATATACAAAAACAAACAAGATCATCAGTGATGATATAGATAATTTGAGTATTGTAATTTTCAATGCCTGAAACGGATGTGAAGGGGTAGGTGTCAGCTGGAAAAGCTAAAACCACAGCCCTGCTTTTACAATTCAGAAGTCAAAAGTCAGCAGATGCTAATGAGGAGATGCTAATTCTAGAGGTCTATAAGTGGATTTCCTCCTCTGGAAGAGCACGATCTACTGCTTATATGGTTATGTATCTCTCTTCATAGAGAGGACACGTTATTGTGCAATTCTAGCGAATTCGCAGGTTCTTG